GGAATACCACATAGGATCAGTAAGGAGTGAGTTGAGGGGTGAAGGTTGAAGTATTGAATTGAGTTGCAAGCATGAGTGAGAACTATCTAGAGGTGGGAAGAAGGGGGTTCATATACCTAGATGGGTGGCAAGCTGACAAATGGGAGCTGACAATGGGAGCTGACAAATGGGAGCTGACAAATGGGTGCTGACAAGTATAAAGACTGGTAGGGTTGTTGTTGGCTGCAAGCCATGTCAGGATGACAGGTGGGACCGAGCCTAGCCCTCACAATACATGAGCAGAGGATTGCTCAGATTGCTTGTATTGCTCGGTACTGAGTATACTGATTGTACCGAGTATACTGCTTGTGTTGAGTATACTGACCATGCCAAGTATACTGCTTGTACCAAGTATACCAATTGTACCAAGTATACTGATTGTACCAAGTATACTGCTTGTGCCAAGTGTTGCCGACACGGCCCACTGCTTGGGTTGCTTGAGTTGCTCCACTGAGAGTGATGATCATACTGAGTATCGCCAATGCGGCCCACTGCTCGGGTCAATTGATACTACAGTTCCTTGGCTCCCCTTGTATCATTGTGTAGTCCTGTTTGGTCAGTGTTGTTGCGGGTTGCCCTTTGATTGTAACAGAGAAGTGACTGGGTGGATTGTTATTGGCTGCAAGCCATGTCAGGATGACAGTCATCTTCAAAGGCAAGCATCTACAATCAACCTGGTTTCCATCACAAGGCACTCCCAACTGGCTATACACAACCTTGGAGAATGGATGGACGTCAAATGCAATTGGATATGAGTGGTTACAGTGTATCTTTATACCAAGTACTTCACCATCAACTGATTGTTACCGGCTGCTCCTCCTTGATGGTCATGGCTCCCATATACCTGTTGACTTTATGTGGCTTTGCAGGCAACACAAGATCCACCTACTATACCTCCCGCCTCATGCCTCACACCTGCTACAGCCATTAGATTTGGCTCCTTTCTCAGTGCTCAAATCCAAGTATTGTGATGAGATCCAAGTGCTCTCCGCCTTTGACGATGCAACACCAATCAAGAAAGAGCGCTTTGTTACATCATACAACAAGGCAAGGGAAGAAGGGCTATCTGATGTGATGGGCTAGGCCCAGTGTTAGCACCTTGGCAACAGCACTGGCCTTGGTACCTCCAAATTGGGCATACAACCCCTAGCCACCTCCAGGGCAGGCCCTGCAACCTCTGAAGCAGGAGTTCTAAAACTCTGCAAGTCCCACTCTGGGGCTTGCCCCTTATCAAATCCATTAAGTTCTACTTTGCATATTGCCCTCCGCGGCTTGCCCCTTACACTTCAAGGCCCACCATCACCTCTTGGCCTGGTACAAAGAGGAAGCTCTACCCCAGAATTGGGTTATTGGGGTCTCTGTGTAAGGTCACTGTAGGCAGGCAATTGGACACAGGATGGATTGGGGCTGTCTGGGGCCAAATGGGATGAGGTTAGACGAATCCTTGATGGCTGAGCCTCAAGGTTTGTGAGGAATATATATAGGTGGCCTGTGAGCCTCTGGTTCAGCCCTGGAGTACATCCAAGGGCTGGCCAATACATGTAAGGGGAAATACTCATGACACTCTGAAAACGGCTGGACTACTAATAAGCTTGGTCTAGAGTGGTTGAAGCATTTTGATGTGTACACAAAGGGGTGTACTATTGTCTCACACCGTCTACTGGTTATTGATGGCCATGAGAGCCATAACTTGCTGGAATTCCAGCAATATTGCAAGGATAACCAGATCATACCAATCTGCATGCCTACTCACTCCTTGCGTCTCCTGCAGCCACTTGATGTGGGTTATTTTGCCCCTTGGAAGCAGGCGTATGGGTGCCAAGCCAAAAACCTCAAGTGCAACAGATCATGCACATAACAAAGACTGAGTTCTTACCATGCTTTATAGCAGCCTTTAAGGCTTCATTTACTCCTAGCAACATCCAGGGAGCCCACTCGGCCATTTGTTGTTTGCAGCAGCTTGGCGCCATTTGACTCATTCTGAGCACTGGTTGTACCGAAAGTTAAGCCCCATGTTGTACGTCATTATTTAATCCTTGAAACACATGGCTACTCATAGTTTGAGATTGTAGATCAGATTAGTCTCGCACGTGGCGCATCGTTTTTCATCGAGTCGATATGAGTCATTCTTGGCATTGTGCACCACAGAAGGCTGAGTTCAGAATAACGTTCGCTTTGCGCTACTGTAAAATCTTTCAAGATCTCTGCGGATCGTCGAGTCCCATGGTTGGCCACAGGGGAAGTGCGGTATGCCATCCTCTATATTTTCACCTTGAACAGATCAAGCTTTGCAACGTTCAAGAACGTTCAAACAGACTTGTTGTAATCTAGCACAAGAGTGTTGTTCTCCTCTGCAGGACTAAATTCAAGAAACCAAACATCCCGTCTCTGGGGTCACTACATCTTTGGTGCTTGGCGTGCACCTCATCACTTCATCGCGCATTGCGACGTCGCCCCGATTTGGTGATCCGGTACAGTGTTGGGACGGGTAACACCCGGAACCGCGTAAAGTTAAAGCGGGACTTTACGCATCTCCGGGCGTTATGCGTCCTAACACGTTACTCTTCAGATCGACCTCATTGCCCTAGCGTACGTTTTACGTATTATTCAAATGACGGCAGAGTTGAAGATCGATGAGCACAAATGACTCATTGCGGAGTTCAATTAAGGCTGATAAGGGGCAGAGACTCTGGAAGACCGTAGCTAATAAAACACTAGTTTCCGGCATGGATTATAGAGTTGCAGCACAACTACACACCCGGAATTTCATAGAACTAATGTTCAACCAACTTCTTACAAAAGCCTTCCTCCATCCGGAATCAACATACGATCAGCGATGGGTCCTGTTCTCAATCCTATCTGGTGTTGTCATGGTTGCAGCAGTGCTCCGAGTGCGCTCAAAATCGAACATACCCGTCATCAACAAGTATAGCGGTGACTTTTTTCTTAAAAAAGCACATACGGAGTACCTCAATAATGCGAAAGCCCTCATTGCTGAGGGTAATAAAAAGTTCGACGGACCATTTCGTGTCCTCACCACACTCGGGTCAAGGGTAATTCTTCCACCGAGATTCACGGACTGGGCAAAGAACTGCAAAGATCTGGACCATCCAAAACTTGTCGCCGACGAATACTTCGCACGCTACCCAGGCTTCGATGGAAGCGGAATGGTTGTCGACCCAGGTCGAATGATGATAAACATAACTAAGACGAAACTATCCCAGAGCTCACGTAAGTGGAGTTTCCCCTACCAAAATTTCCTCGGCGACTTATTTATGATGCAGAATGCAACATCTTCAACGAACGTATTTCCGGAATACTCGAAAAGGAATGGACTAATACGCAAGGTAACGTTTTCAACACTGTTGATGAGCACCAATCTGACTTCGAACTAGAGTGGCGCACTGTCGATTGGGCTCTTGACGCACAACGATATGTGGGGCTGATGTCCGCACCCATTTTTGCAGGTCCTGAACTAGCAAACGACCCTCAGTGGCATGAGCTTACTGTTACCTATACTATCAACTTATTCAATGGTGTCCGAGCACTTCGAGCATGGCCCCCGCTTCTGAGGCCAATCGTCCATTGGATTCTGCCAGAATGCTCAACTTGTCGGGCACAAGTAAAGCTCGCACGGAACAAGCTAAAACCAGTATTGGAAAAGAGAGCCCATGAAAAGAAAGAGGAACTGGCTGCTGGCCGCAATCCAACAATATACGAGGACGCGATTACCTGGAGCGAAGACTTAGCTGCTGGACGACCAGTTGATCACGCTGCAATGCAACTTGCTTTCGCAATATCTGCCATGCACACCACCACCGAGCTTCTAAGACAAGCACTACTGGACATCTGCGCGCATCCGTATCTCATCCAACCTCTCAGAGAAGAAGCCGAAGCTGCTGTAGCGAAGCATGGTTGGACAACGGCTGGCTTGTCTCAGATGCAGCTGCTGGATAGTGTGGTGAAGGAAACGCAACGGCTGAAACCTGGATCGTTAGTCAACTTGGAACGCAAAGCCCTTGAAGACATTGTTATGCCAAACGGGACCATATTGCCAAAAGGGACGAACATTGCCATGGACACATCCGTAATGTGGGACCCAACGGTCTATCTTGACCCAGAGACGTACGACGGTTACCGGTTTTATAACAATCGCCATGGAGGTGGTCCACGAGCTCGTGATGCGCAACTCGTCTCAACTAGCTCGGATTTTATTGCGTTTGGGTTAGGTAAACCGGTCTGCCCAGGTCGTTTCTTCGCTGCCAATGAGATCAAAGTTGCCTTGGCCAATATCTTGATGAGGTACGACGTACGCTTACCAGACGGAGCTAAACCTCGAGTCCTACACTACGGATTTGAGATGCTCTCGGACCCAAGCGCGAAAGTTGAAGTGAAGAGACGAATCACTGTCAAGTAGGGCAACTAGCCCTACTGAACCAATGTCATAAGGAGTATGTGTTAAGATCCAATAATCGGAGAGCCAGTCATTACCAGTCATTCCGTTATTACCCGGCACAGCCCCACTACAGGCCGGTAAAGAATGAGCAGCTAAGAACAGTTTACGTGACTAGCTCACAAGTGGATCTGTGAGCTCACGCGCTAAGGAGTGAACGCTCACGATGGACTCTGTAAGAGCTTGTCATATTTAGAGTAAGCTGTTAGATTTTATAGAGTATATAGATCTTAGATAGGATACTTTTATAAACGCACTCAAGCTTTATGGTCTCGTTAACGTTCTCCATGTGTAACAAACATCGCAATACTTCAAGAGTTACTCATACACGCGGTCTGCAGTCCTGAGGTCGTCTTTCTCCATAAATAACATGTAACCATTGCTATAGATGCTCTGCTAGCCTAAATCCGCATACTCTACGTCAATGCGAACTTGTTACACATACGTTACAGTGCAGTAATCGTGTAGCGCATAGAAGGAGGCTTCGCCAGTAACAACTAGTTCTGCAATCTTGACCAGGTTCATCAAATGTTTTACTGGGGACTTTTGCATAATGCAGTTGTTGGGCCAGCATTGATCACCGACTCAGTAGTTGTCGATTTTTTTTCGGCATTTTCGCCTGCAGACGGTTCATATTCAATTGCTGTATCGGTGAGGCCGAAAGCAAAGGCTGTATCATTTCCGAACGATCATCGGAGTGCGAGTTGATCATGTTGACCAAGACTTTTGGGTATGAAAAATTCCTAAGAAGCAAACGATGGCAAGGGGAGACGGAAGGTGCAGCTCAAACTGGTCGAAGAACGGCAGCGCGAGCAAGATAATCAACAAAGCGGTGTAGAGGCGGCGAGTGTTTTGGGAAGCTGGCGGCTTATAAAGAGGACAATGGAGGGTACCTAAACCACTCTGGAGTTATTGGTCTGCTGCCGAGTCTTTTGTAGATGCAACGACACTGGGCAGCTTACACGACTCATCAAGCACCCAAATACCATGTAGAAGTGCAGATTCTAGGTTAGTTCTGAGAGTGCCAAATGAAACCCTAGTCTTTGCTATCAACGGGCCCTAACCGTGCAACACATCGTAGCCTCACTGCTTGCTTTGTCAGCCCTGATCCATGACTTATTTTTGGGCCTTCACTCACCTCTACGTCTTTGGTTCATCATCCTCAGGTGATTGGACTCGGGGCAGTCACAAGTACAGATGACGGGTCGCCCGGGAGAACTTGTTTTCAACGTCCTATGGTCGTATGTGAACGTATTGTTGGAATCAATCGTATATATCCTAAACCAAAATAGTGATTATGAGCGCATGTCGACCCTACCGCATCGGTTGCATGCCCAGTAGGAGTAGTGAGTCGCTGAGTACATCTTTGGGCAAGTGTAACGACCAGTCGATTTGATGTTGGTATGGCGTAACCGAGGACGGTAACAATTGCGTGCAAGACTAATTTCTCGTCTCTTTCCATTCTGCGGTCATTCAATGGTATCGTACTGTTGAACACAAGACGATACCTTGTCTGCGATTGATGATTCACATGAACGCGCGGAACGAGCTAGTTGCAGCACCAGGTATAGCGAAGATTGTGGGTGTGGTCGAAGGCACAGCGGGCATGTGCTTGTCCCAGACGTGTTTGATGAGAGCGTTCCCGTCACCACCGTACATCTGGCCGCAGCAGGAGTAGATAAGAGACGTTGCATCGATAGAATAGGTATGTTCTGATAGATGCTCTTTTCGGTAGTGGCCCTCAAAGTGCGCGTAGTACTTGTGAGCCTTGTTGCAGGTGCCTTGGGATCCGGTGCAGTGCCTTTGAATAAATGTGCTTGGCTTGCGTTTCTTGTGGACACCTGCGTAAGGTCTATTTGAAGCGATGGGCGTTGCACTCGACGTATTTCGGAGCGCGTGCTTGCTTATGGGAGGTGTCGGAGGTACTAAGAGGGATGTAGGGGTGCTGCAGTCTTTGTCCCGATCAAACCCCTGCGGGCCGTGTACAGAATCGTCAAATCCCGGGTGAGGAATAGCAGTGAAGGAAACTGGGGTAGGCATGCGATTGTTATTAGGGGATTTGTACGATGGTGTTGAGACTTGGGAATTGGCGAAGACATGTTTCAGGTCCGAGTCGAGCTGATCTGTGGTAACATTAGACCTATTGTGGGCATGCGGATATCGTCACATACCAACACTTTGGATGCACAATTCTAAAACCTCATCTGGGAGTGCAGCAAGCATGCTAAGGTAACCGGATATTCTATCGCCCTCCTCTTTGTAGGCTGTCACACAGTTCGAAAGACTTTTTGGGTCTAGATATCTCCGAAGCACTCTGATTGCGTCGAGGTGAGATGGCTGAGAGATTCCGAGCTGTGATATGCTAGCTGTCGTCATGAAATCCATGACAATGACTGATGGCGCAGAGACCTCCTTCTATGCGATAAAAATGTTGATTGCCGAGGGTATCCTGTGAACCAGCAGAGAGCTTGGTATGGCGGAGATGTTCGTTGAAAATGTATCTGATGTGTCAACCAGACATGGTGGTGGGTTGACGGCTGTCGAGATATATGGAATAACGTCATGGCACCGGCAATAGGCTTTCTTATACTCAAGTTAAACGTGGTTGCGAAAGTCCAATCTGCAGTTCGGTGAGTGCGTGTGGTGCTGCTTAACATCAAAGACTGAACTCTGCCTTGTGTCAGCCGGACACCCCATAGCCGCGCACTAATTAGCAGCCTTGCTTAATGATCCATAAAGAACAGTACCAATAGTCATGCATGCCTGACCTTCAAACCAATTCTTCACGATGGATCCGGATTGCAGCCTATGCTAGTCGGTAAAGTCCCTCCCTCAGCTGGGTTGGAAGTGTGGCTGGGGTCGAAGTTAAGGCATTCTTGAGCAGTGTGGTGATCGTAGAACATGCACCCGCCTACGCCGACAGGCCCGCGCAACGTCCACATGCTCACGCGCCTGCGCGCGATGCCGTGACGGAGCTGATCCATGCTATTGCTTGTGTGGAAAGAGGATTACAATGCTGGGGGATTTGGCTGGAGAGCGTACGCTAGTCGAATGCCGCCAACAGCCTGCAACATGTTAGTGTTCGCGGCCCGCGCTCACACACGCGACACCCCTGGTCGCATAGTCCTCCCGCCACCGATGCCAACTTGCGGAGCACGTTCCGCATCACGACCTTCTTCACTGTTCTGTCATCGCACTGGTGGCACAATGAGCTCAATTACAGGAGCATTTGTTTCGATGTTCGTACCTTTGAGCAAGCTTTGAAAATGGGTGCATCACCTGCGTTCCCAGCATGTGACCAGCTTCCTACATTGTAGGCAGTCCGCCTAGATGAAAGTGAGCGAGAGACTTTTCGGAAGTTCCATCAGTGTTGCCTTGATTCAAGCTACCAAGATGGTAACAGTAGTCAATTTCTCGACATTGCTAATTGTGAATCCATGTCTGTGACGACTTGTGCCGCTCGACACCGAATGTGGATCCACGTCACGAGTGACTATTGACTGTCCATACAGAGGGGAACAGTGCCAAGAAGTGGTTGCCCTTGCGAGATTGTTCTGCTGCTGCGCCTTCTTTAGACCGTCGCCCCTACAATCGAGGTACACAGCAGTCGTCTTGAAAGGGACATGAAATCCAAGAACATTTATTCAGGTCCCTGAGAGGAAGTTGGAATGCTGGAATTTTTTGAGAGTGTATTCGACAATCTTGCCATCGCGCATTGATGGGGCAACAAGAAGAGCAACTTGCGTACTTACTTCGATGAACTATAAGAGCCTTCATTGAAGTCTCGTTATGTGCAATACGATATCCAGCAGCCAAACAAGCTCGACGACCATCGTATAACGCATATACGCAAAACCCCTATACTAAGATGAACTGCACCGTCACAACACTCGCGGGCATCACTAGCCCGGCCAATCCGTGGCAGCCTGCCAACCTGATCGTGAACATCCTTCTCGGCACGCTCGGCATTACCATCGCGAGCATACAGCTCCTACTTCAGTACCAGACGTTCCGGGACTCTCGCTGTAAGTGTTCTATTGGCCTGAAGGACTGGATGTAGACTGATCAGACTATTCAGCGGCTAGCAAGGTTGCCGATGCGCGTCAAGTTGCGGGCTTCACCAATCCGTAGGCAACTCCTGTCGAATGAGTTTGCGGTCGCAGCAGAGGATGGATATATTGTGTTGGTGGATGGGATTGGCTAAGACATGGTGGTGCAGTGTTCGAAAGTTGGTGGAGGTAGCGAGTGGGGAAGGGGTCATCGATGCGCGCTAGTCTTGAGATAGCCTTCCAAGTAGCTTGCCTTCTTCTCTCCTTTTACGCATCTCCCATCTTGCGACCATGCTGAAATCCGAGCAACGCACTTTCAGCTTTTTCTTTTGTAGTCAGAGGCTATTGACACGAGGTCCTTTCGCAATCAAAGATGTTGTAGCTCGGTAATGCGTGCACCAAATCGCGCGCTGGACCTCGGTACAACTTGCGCTTTGCCTCGCCCTTGTTTCTTGCACTCTTGCGTTTACACCTCACAGGACATCGAATCAGTGCGCACGACCGGCGAACAGACATCGGCCTCTGCTTCGATGTCATATCTTTTGCACGGCAGCACTTCGCACACAGGAATGGGTTGGGTCGATCAGGTTCCGCGGGCTGGGAAGCTCTACATCGGCGGGCTTTATGCGCTGTACCAGACCGACTTGATACGTGCAGCTGGCATAACACACGTACTGTCTGTTATCGACTACGATCCACTGCTCCAGGACAAGTTCTCACACCTGAACCACTTACATATCCGGGCCGACGACCATCCCAACGAGAACTTACTTCAGCACTTCCCGGAAGCAGTAAAATACATCGACCAGGCGCTGAAAGAGGCCGAAGCGATTGATGAGAGGGAGGAGATCTCGAAGAAAAGCAAAGGTGAAGATGCAGGAGGCGTCTTTGTGCATTGCGCGATGGGTAAATCGCGCTCAGCTACTCTTGTAGTAGCCTATCTGATCTGGAAGTACCACCTCGATGCGGTGACAGCGCTAGACCAACTCTGCGAGGGTAGGCCCGTCTGCGATCCAAATCCTGGGTTCAAGGAGCAGCTCTTGGTATGGGAGAAAATGTGTAAGGGCAAGTCAGAAGAAGCAAGTAAAGCGATCTACGAAGAATGGGAAAGAACAAGGTTCAAGGGCGAATACTGGGAATGGGATAAGCGCGCAGAGGAGCTGAAGTCGAAGCTGTAAGCGTCGGCTCGGTTCCTACTGATCACCATCACTGTTGTTGCATTACGACCAACTGCGATCTCAACAACAGCGTACAGTCGTCAAACCTTCCAAAATCGGTACCGATGTGGTGCATATGAGGCGTCGCTCTTCGCGGAGCGGGAGTTTCCATGTGGTCGAGAAGGGCGTAAGTGTTTCAGCTCTTGATCAAAACCAAAAGTAGACGTCGGGGACAGCTCCGCAAAGTCTATTCAAATCTTGCTCACTTTCGGATTTCGAGCTTTTCATACACCATGCCCAAAGCTTGTTGGAAGCATAGGAACGGTGCATAACCGCCTCAGAAAAGTTGTGATCCAAGATCTGGATGCCCATATGTTTCAACCGACAAATTGGGGCGGAGTACTCCGGTGTGCTCACCAAGATGCTACTGCATAGCAGTCACCATCTGAGTTTCGACGGCCTTACCCTTCATGCACGAGCAGCTTACTTGTTTTGTCCATCACGCATTGCCTGGAATACGTATGCGAGCCATGATACCGGACGCCTTACAACGACTCTAATACAACATTCAAGTTTGGTCAGCATCCTTCAGACTCAATAACATTCTTCAAGCAGCTTCCACATCTTCCTTTTACGACCCCAGTATGGCACCTGCACGCGATAGCGAATTCCTGCCAGAAGTATGGGGCCTGTATTCTCTCGGCACCTTGTGGATCATGCTGAGGTTCGCGGTGCGACTTCGTACAGATGGAATCAGAGGACTACGACTAGACGATGGCTTCGCCTTCCTTGCGCTGTTCGCGTGGACATATACCTGTGCCATTATTCAGATCACATACTACACAGGCACGAATACAGACTTCACAGCAGCAGAGGTAGCACAGTTCGACCAGAAGAAGTATGACGAGGTCGTGTATGGCAGTAAACTATTCCTGGGGTCCTGGTACGCCTAGTAAGTACACACTACTCCATGCCCAGCACAGAACTGACCTAGGAAAGCTTTGTCCTCATCTTTTCGCTCAAAGCCCATCGTCTTGATCTTGTATCAAGGCATCTTCTTCCAATCTTGGCAGAGATGGGTGCTGCGCATCACCATCGCCCTTTGTGTGTTTGGATCCTGTGGCTTGACGGTGGCTTTCAGCCTCAGGTGCTTACCCTATCATCGGAGGTGGCAGCTCGTGCCACTGCCTCCAGTAATGTGTACCGCATCGCCCAAGATTCTCATCACTACGAGCTGTACCAACGCAGTGGCGGACGTCTTCGTATGTTGCTCCGTCGAACAAACGAGTTCTACAGCAACTGACAGTCTGCAGTTGCTTAGCGTCCCGATCTCGCTACTCTGGAATTTGAACAAGCCATTGCGAACGTACGTCCCACGCGCCCTCGACTTGTTCATCGTCGGCTAACTGTAGCAGCCGTCTTGCTGTTCTCCTACTTCTAGCCTCCGGCGTGTTCGTCCTCGCAGCGTGGTGAGTATCGTTTTATCTTGATCAGTTCCGTTGGTCTGACAGATTGCTCGAGTATCATTCGTGTGTCGCTTACCGTCGTGCCTAATATCTTCGTCCTCAACATCGCTCGCTGGGGTGTACGAGAGTTCTGCATCGCTATCGTTGCTGTGAATACTGCAAGTCTCCAGCCAAGTAAGTAACGGCCATGCAAGACTCTGCTCGACCCTGACATAGCGCACAAGTATGTTGGCAAAAGCACAGTGTTCCGCAAGTCATTTTGGATTAGCAGAAAGCCCGCACAACAAGTTCAGCAGAAGCGCAATAACTACATGTTCGCATCTGCACAACGAGCCCGCCAGCGCCTCAGCAGAGTGCGGAACGGCAACCAAGTCCTCAATTCCACCTCAGCTGGTCCATCAACAATCGACATCTATATTCAGCTGGAGCTTAGTGACGCGGGGTTCGTTTTCGAGGATCCGGACTACCAGATGACCTCCAACCTGCCGCCCCATGCCGCTCCACGAATCACATCGGGTGACATGGATCTGGAGAAAGGCGGTGCGTTCACGACTGAGATTATGAGGCAGGATAGTAGCTTTCCGAGAGTAGCTGATGAGAGTGACGAAGGAGATGCTGGTCGAAGCGGGAGTCGGCCTTCGCAGAGCAATCGATAGGGCCGCACTGCTGAGCCAACAAGTTTGTGGCATCGATTGTACCTCCAAAACGCATTGAATCGAGCCGATTTCCGGCTGAACGTGCACTGTCGCAATTCGAAAGCAGTGACGTTTGAGCCTGTTCTACAACCGTTCTGCCCCTGCAGAGCACACATCAAATGTGACGGCGTGGGGCCGCTGGTAGAATACCATGGAATACCGCGCCGAGCTGCTATCTAGCTAGGAGAAGACAATATATACCTGTCCCGAAACATGCTAGTCCAGAATAGTCTGAGCAGCAGCAATCAGGCCCTCGTAAGCGAATTGGTTCATTGTCTCGAAATAAGAAGCCGTGGACTTTATTTCGGATCTCCAAAGGCAGAGTGAGGGAAGAGGGCCTCGAGGGATCCGGCGACTGCGCTCCCAACTCCGATTGTAGCGGTAGGGCCTGGCATCATACCGGCCAAAGAGGTTGACTGTACCTCTCCGCTCTACAGTCGCGAGTCAGAACATTTCGGGATCTGCAGCACATACTGTACCGTGCGTGGGAGAAGCGACAGGCATGTCAACGTCAACTTGATCCGCCACATTGGCTCGTACTTGAGGTTGCGTATTTATGCACCAAAGCTTTCCAAAGTGAAGGTGGGTGCGGTCATCGCCCAGAATCTTCGCACAGTGCCGAGCACAACTCATTGCAACGACGAAGGCTTTCCTCCACGGCACCATCATCAATCATCGCACTTCCTCGACCCTCCTCTCACTCTCTTCAGTTGGCACAACATAGGGCGCCGACTGTCTAGGCAAATAACTCGGACAAATCCCATCCGCCTCCGGCCTCACCATCTTCAGCCTCAACGCCGCCGCCAACACCTTCGCCTGCATGATGCCAAACTCTCTCTCGAATCTGCCCAAACACCCGATGATGAACTCTTGCGTCGCGCGCTCAGCGGTGGGCATCGAGCCAGCTATGTACAGCGCCCAGAGCGTCGAGTGGCCGCCGGAGATTCGCACGACGGGGAGGCGATCGGTGATGTCGTCCGAGGAGACGAGAGAGGGGTCGGTGAAAATGTTCTCGTTGCGGAAGTTTTCGAAGAAGAGCTTGTGCGGTTTTGAGAAGGGGCCGGATGGCGGGTGAGGGGATGGGTCGGTCTCGAAAGGTGGGCCAGCGATAGAGTCTGGTGAGGAGAAAGAGGGGTGGTAAGACAAGATAGTGGATGGTGATGGCAGACGTGTTGGGTAGGCATCTGCAGGTGGGGCGATCTTGGGTGTATCGTGGAGGAACTGCGGTACACTCGCCAGAATGTCAGACTGTACTTTTTGCAACTGTTCGATGCTTCTGGCGAGATGCTGAAGATGATGAGCTCCAGTGAATACGGGAGGTGACGTGGCGAGGCCAGCCAGGATAGTATTGCGAATAATGTCGTGGATGTAGATCTTGGTATAGCGAACCCAATTCCAAGTCTGGGCCGTAGCATGGCTAGGGTAGATATGGTATGTATCACCAAAGACAAAAGGACTGAGGTTCGCAAGTGTGGCCTCTTCATAGCTCCATTCCGGACCTGCATCCCTGAAGACTCCCTCCGCCACAGCATCGAGCTCAAGTGCGCGATCAAGTATGCTCTGTAGGCTCATCGCCGGGTCTCCCAGGATGTCTGCACGAAGGTTGACCACATCCTGCTGAAAGAAGAAGAAGCGGTTCCTTGGATCTGTACCATCAGAATGCTTCATGATCTCTTCGTTCATCTTGTGTACGTATGCCGGCAAAGCTGTGCCCTCTCCCAAGCAGTTCATCGTGAGCAGACCGATCGCGTGCAGATACAAACGTCTGCCTGCTGGTGTTGCAAACTGGTCCATACCACGCATCTTGACAAGGGAAGCGGCGCCAGCAACGTGCTCGCTCCAAGCGTGAAAGGTGTACTCATTAGAAGTAGCCTCAAACATACCCAAGAGGGTGATGGCCAGCAACGTAGTGTCTGATGTGACCTCATTGGGATGCGTAATGGCGTTATTCGTCATTTTGATGGCATCAAGATACCATCTGGTAGCTCTGCCCTTCAGTGCGCTATCTTGGTAGATGTTGGCGACGCCTGCGAGTCCGAGGGCTGTCATCGAGGTTGCGACCAGAGGATGGAAGCCATTGGTCGCCAGATGCTTGTTGTAGGCTTCGGAGTAAATCGAAGGCTGATCCAAGCCGATAGCATAATGAGACATGAAATAGGCGATGCCTTGGTCGATCAAGGGTGCCAGGAGCATGATGCCGGGTGACTCTTTGCCAGGTGAAGCCTTGCCATACGGTCCTTGAGTAACAAAGGGAAATGGCACAAGCCCTTCCGAAGACGTCGACGAAGGCCTGCTACTAGCATACCGTGCGTCGCGCAGCGCAATAGCCTTCGCTTTGGCCTTCTTCGCCTTGACCTCCGTCCTAGCCGTCTCATCATGGAAAAACACATCAACATTTCGATCATACCCAGGACATGCAATCCTAGCTTTCGCACACTTGAGGCATCCTTCGGGGGTTTCGTCGCACTGACTTGATGTTAGCCTTGATCGGTAGTGGCTGGCGAAGTGGCATGCGTGGTTGCTGATTGCTGACCTTGATCTTGCGCTCACGGCAGTTCTTGCATCCCGTGGAGGGCCGGCCGCGATACACCATTGTAGAGGCAGTCGCAGTGGAGGCTCGAAAAGGACAGAACGAACATGGTTTCGGTTGGGAACGCTGAGATAAGAATGAGGGCGTTGAGCGTACTGTGGAGAAGGTGAGTGGCTGAGGGTTGACCAAGCAGGACGCCTGAAGCGAACTCATATCGCCCAATCAGGCCGTGCTTACTTGCGAGGAGTGCATGCAAGGGGCAAGGCACACATCAAGCAAAAACTTTTGAAATATACGTCTGCGATGTGCGTGCTGTTGCGTAAGAACATCCGCTCGATGGATGAATTGGTGTGTCGCTACGAAATCTTGAGCTTTGGAATGAATCCAGCCCGAAAGGTGTGCGGTGCAACCAAGGTCCACATACTTTCTGCAAACATGCCTGATCCTTTCTGCAAACATGCCTGATCCTTTCTGCAAGCATGCCTGATCCTGTTTCGCCGGTCAACATAGATGGTGTTTCTGGTAACTCTACACTATATACTCTCGACTCCCGCACAGAGTGCATTGTCCTCAAAACCATCCCGCGACACCCCCTACACCAACGTGTTCCGTCGGATCAACATTCACCGTCTCAGACCCTGCATCGCTTCTTGCTGGCTCTGGATCATTGAACAGCATGACAAACGGCCTCGGAATCCCATACATCTCCAGCTCCCCTCTAACCTTCTCCTTCCCCCTCTTCAAATGTTTCTGACTCACCCTAAACAACTGACTAACATCCGCCATCTCCTCGCCCTCATACCCCTTCAACTCCTCATGCCACGTCTCGACATCCGCCTTCATCTTATACAGCGCGATGCCCGTTCTCACATACACCAGCCCAACATCGTCGCCGCCGACGAGGTCGGCGAGGAAGTCTTCGAACTCGGTATCCATGGCCTCACTCATTATGCGCACGCTGCGCATGCCCCAGAATGCTGCTTCGACCCAGTTTTGCTGGACAAGATAGGTCGCTATGATGCGTGCAACGAGTTTAAGACGGAGGATTACGCGGACGGTCATGCCGGTTTGGCCCGCGTGTATACCGTTGTTGATCGTAGCGTGGAAGAATGTATCCGCCAGCACTCTTCTCGTACGGCCTTTGATGAGGATGTGTATCGCATGAAAGGCCTGCTTGTATGCTTCTCGTGCCTCCTCTGCGCCGTCTATGCCCTTTGCGAGGTGCGCGTCGCCTTCGTGTAGAAGCTTCGTGGCGGATTCACAGCTGTGTTGGAGGGTCGGTGGAGGAACGGCCATGGCGTCGCGAAGTTCGCGTTCGACGGTTTTGTTGAAGCCTTCGATTTCCATAGAGTACAGCCCTTTGACCTGACTGAACGGTAAGAGCAGCTTTCGCTGTAACGCCAGAGGAATGTCCTTCTCGTCACCTTCATCGACATCGTCCATGTCTGGATCTCTCAACACAAATGCTGTCGACAATCGATCGTTCAGCATTGGGTAGCTGAGAGCTGAGTAGTACCATGTCTGCGTGAAGAGGTGTAGGTCGTCGAGGAGCAAGACGACGGTGTGCTCGGGCACAGCTTGGGTAAACGGTGCGGTGATTTGGATAAGTGCATGGTGATCGTTGAAGCAGTCTGCTTCGCGATCGGTGCATATTATAGGCACAAGGCCTTCGGATGATATGTGGTTTACTAGCGCTCGTTGATTCAGTAAAGCTCTCGACATGCATGGGGTTCGTGGCCGAAATCCGAAGGCGGTAAACAGGAGTGATGAGATGCAGATGGCAAGCTCTGGGCCGTGAGCCTTTGAGGGCAAGGTGCCGCACCACTCACTGTATCCTTTGGTCGTAGAAGCTCCTCGTGGCCCAAGGTGTCACAATCGCTTCCCCTCTTTTCTCCACACGACTAAGAAACAGCATACATACCAGCACTAGGCCAAGGCGTCCCAATCTTAACCGTTTTGACCTCTCTCCTCCACACCTTCTTCGCCTCCTTTGCAATCTGCTTACACGTCTTATACAGCCCAAACTCAAAACCATACACTCCTCCATAGAATCCCTGACTCTCAAGGGTCGCAGACTTGTGCAGGCGATCCGCTGGTTTGAAGTACAACGAGTATATCTGCTCGCGCAATTCCAGCGGTAAATCAAGAAAGCGGAAGGGCTCTTTTGGTGTCGCTTGGGATCCGGTGAGTGGTGGGAAGGAGGTAAGGGACGGTGGGGAAGGATTGGAAGTTGACATGGCTCGGTACGGGCGTTGGGGTAGGCGGGTAAGGAGCGGGGTCGAGTAGACTGGGAACATGCGCTGCGGTGCAATGTTGCGCAGAAGGTGTGGGATTTGAGACGAGTGGGTAAGACAGCAGAAGATCGCCGGACGAACTGCGAGCGAACTGCGGGAACCGGAGTTAACACAGGATCGTCCGAGCCGAGGTTAGTCCTGTCGTGTCGTGGATTGATTGGTTCAACGTCCTTTATGTGAGTCTAAGACTATGGAAGACGAGGTCCTGTCGTGGAGACTGGCAAGATATTCGACGACGATAGCAACGCCAGATCATCTGCATCCTTGTGAATATCTGGAGCACACGTCATAGTCTGGTTCAGCATGAGGAGCTTTCCAGTTAGCTGTGAAGCTCCAGTAAGAAAATGGTGGGGCGGCATGCTTCACATTCGACAAGCCTGTTAGTGGGTTCAAGGTATGAGAGACGAGAAGAGGAAAAGGGAGAACGATGGTAGAGAAAAGAGCAAGCTTCAGGTAAGCGATGAGTGCAGGGAAGGCGCAGGTGTCGACGAAGATGGGGGAAGGAACATCCCAAAGGACCCTGCAGCTTCAAAGCACGTTTCGTCTTCGCGTGAGACTCTCAAACTCAGGTGTGGTGGTGGTGTCAGATTACTCGAGGCTATTTTGACATCTATGATACAGTTCTTTACACATGCCACTTCTTGTAGCGTCCAACGTATGCCCTGCCATGCGCCAATGACTGTAATCAAACAACTGAGAGCGGTTTTGGGACTCTCTTTTCCCTCTTGTACACCCTCCTTGCTCTTACTTTGTCTGCGACGGCGGCACTCCGGCATGCGCAGTAGCAGCCTCAGGCGCTGATGCTGCAGAAGGGACGGCGGCACTCTGGGGAGCAGCACCAAGCCAGCTGAAAGCGCCAGCCTTCATATCCTTCATAGCGGCCTCCTGCATCTTCTTCTCCTCTTCAGCCATCTCCTTCAGCCACTGGTCACCGTTCTCCCTGATCTGCTTGTCCAGGTGCTGGTAGTTTTGGATGTTGAAGTCGCGGTACATGTCGATCATCATCTTGCCCTCGCTCATGCCCTGGCTGATGTTCTGGTCGCCCAGCTGCATGCCTGGCGACTTTGCTGCATCGAGGCCGAGCGACTTCATGAACACGCCGCCGGCGCTGCCCTTGCTCTTCTTCTTCTGCTCGGCGAGGTCGCGCTGGAAGGCTTCGCGCAGCTTGGCCTCGCGGCGCGCGTACTCGGTGGGGATGTCCTTGCCCTTCATCGACTCGAGGACCTTGCGGACGTCCACGGGCTGGCCGGTCTGCGACATCATGGCAAGGTACTCGAGGAAGGGGATCATGGCAACCAGGCCCTTGTCGCCGGGCTCGCCCTTCCATTTAGGCAGGACGATGGCGTTCTCGGGCTGCAGCTTGACGTGCGACGGATCCGTGTCGATCACGATGACCTTGGAGGGGTCGCGGTTGAGGTAGGAGAGATCCTGCGACTGTTAGCGCCACGGGCCTTTGCTTTGCGCGCATGCCTCATACCTTGATGTACTCGCCGTTCTCGAAGCGAGTCGCCTCACGGAACAGCGGCCACATGACGAGACGGAAGGGGTCGAGCTTGCGGATGATGGGGTCGGCGTCCATGGACTTGACCGAGGTGAAGATGACGAGCTCGTACTGCGAGCTGAGGTAGCGCAGGAAGTAGTCGAGGCCAGGGCGCTTTGCCAGACGATAGCCGTGCTTGGTGCTCCATTCCGAGTGCAGCAGCAGGTCCTCGAGAGAGAGCACGAGGGTGAGCTCGGGCGCGCCGCCAGGGATCTTGTCCTTGTCGGGCAGCAGCTTCTGGAAGGTGGGTTCGGTGTAGTAGGCCTTCTGTCCGTTGATGCGTGCGGCGGCGCGGGCGTACATCAGGCCGGGGGTCCAGCCGTTGGCGATGTCGGGGTGGGCCTTTTCCTCCTCGTCGCTCTCCCACGGCCTGCCGGCGTAGGCGGCGCCCACTGTGCCGAAGAGCAGCGTGGCCAGGTATCCCCAGTTGGCGACGCGGTTTCGCCGCCTGTCGGTGCTGGTCTCGTAGGCCGACTTGGGCAGCTCGCGGCCGCCAGCGCCGCCAAACGAGGGATGCTCGGCCTCGTCGGCGGAGGCGTTGGGGCCGTTATGGGCGTTGGGGTCGTTGGGGTCGTTGGGGTCGCGCTTTGCCCTGCGGTCCGCCTCTTCAGCGAAGGTCGAGGGGATGCCGAAGCGCAGGTCGGGGAGCGGCTTCTGGGGCTCCTGCGGTTGCGCGTCGGCCGACTCGGTCGTCGGGTCTGTGTTCGCGGCGGGCGACTTGGGGCCGGACAGCTCCTCCTCCGCGCCCTGGGCCTGCTCGGAGGCCCTGTTCACTGTCGCATTGGCGCTCGCGGGGCGCGGCCGTGTGTGGGAGGTGGGCGTTGTGTTGGCTGCGGGAGCGCTCGACGTCTCTGTGAACTCTGGCTGCTGGGCGGGGTTGACGGGGTTTGGGCGCGTCTTGTCCGTCTCATCGGCCATCTGGGGGCTCTTCGGTTTCCCGACCTTGGCGTAGGAGCGCGTCCATTGCCGCGAGGAGGCGATGGGCGCGATGCGCGGAGCGGCCAGCGCAGGGCGGATGCGCAGCGCCGCGCGGAACGCTGCTCTTGGGAGCATCGCAGGCGAAGTGTGGGCGGTGGGACGACAGGCTCCGAAGACAATGCCTGTCTACAATACAGTGGAGAGAGAGGGAGAGAGAGAGAGAGAGAGGGAGAGGGAGACGGGCGTGCGGCGGGCGTGCGGCGGGCGTGCGGTGGGTGCTCTGTGAGCTCGGTGGCCAGCTCGCTGGTGAGCTGCGGCCGGCGTTCCGAAAGTTTTGATGCAGTGGCCGAGCCGCCAAGCTTGCCTGCCGTCATCTTCGAGATGGCGCCAGTAGATACCAGGTGGCTTCCAGCAAGCATGTCTCCACCCGCTCCGATGCATGGATAGCGTCCATGTCGCTGCGCAGCGATTTTCTTGGGCATGCGACTGACTGCGCGGCCAATGCAAGGCGGAGCCCTCGCAGCGCTGCCGCTATGCCTCCTGCTGTGGACTGCCTGCTGGGCTGCATGCGCGCGTGGCATGACAGATGAGACAATTGCCGACTTGAGGTAGACGGGCTTGCACACATACTTGCTTGCATGGTCGGTTGACATTCGTAGACAAGAGACACGCGACATCTTCTACCACGGGTTCGACAACTACATGAACCACGCCTTCCCGGAGGACGAGCTGCGCCCACTGACCTGCGGGCCCCTCACGCGCGACCGCCAGAACCCCGCCCACATCGAAGTCAACGATGTCCTGGGCAACTATTCCCTCACCCTGGTAGACAGCCTGTCCACGCTCGCCATCTTCGCATCCACGTCCCCGCCGCACAGCCGTGGCGGGAACAAGCACGCGGGCAGCAGGCTCGCGGGCAGCAAGCTCGCGGGCAACAAAGCGCTCGACGATTTTCAAGATGGAATCAAGGCACTGGTTGACCACTACGGAGACGGGACCCCAGGCCCGGGCGGGGCAGGGAAGAGGGCACGGGGGTTCGACCTGGACAGCAAGGTGCAAGTCTTCGAGACGACCATCCGCGGCGTCGGCGGCCTGCTGAGCGCGCACCAGTTTGCTGTCGGAGACCTGCCCATTCGAGGCTACCAGGCCAAAGTCGAGGTGCGCAAGGCCAGGCAGGGCATCTTCTGGCCCAACGGTCTCGTCTACGACGGGCAGCTGCTGCGACTGGCCACCGACCTCGCGAACCGGCTCTTGCCCGCCTTCCACACGCCCACCGGCCTCCCGTACCCGCGCGTGAATCTGCGGCATGGCGTGCCCTTCTATGCCGATTCGCCCCTCAACATGGACCCTGAGCACGGCCAGTGCAGCACACACCCAAACGACAAGCCCGCTGAGATCACCGAGACCTGCAGTGCTGGCGCTGGGAGTCTCGTCCTCGAGTTCACCACGCTCAGCAGACTGACAGGCGACCCCAAGTACGAGAAGGTCGCAAAGGATGCCTTCTGGGCTGTCTGGCACCGTCGCAGTAGCATTGGCTTGCTTGGCGCTGGCATCGACGCAGAGACCGGGCAGTGGGTGTCCCCGTACACGGGCATTGGGGCAGGCATCGACAGCTTCTTCGAGTACGCTCTGAAGACGCACATCCTCCTCTCAGGACTCCCATACGACCCTGCCAACGCCAGCGTGGACTCGCCAGATGCGTTTCTGCTGGCCTGGGAAGAAGCACATGATGGCATCAAGCGACAGATTTACCGTGGCGCCCAGCATCAGCATCCCCACTATGCCCAGGTCGACCTCTACACGGGAGCGTTACGGGCCTTCTGGATCGACAGCTTGAGCGCCTTCTACCAGGGCCTGCTCGCCATGGCTGGCTACATCGACGAGGCCGTCGAGACACACCTCTTGTACACGGCGCTTTGGACTCGGTACTCCGCTATGCCGGAAAGATGGTCGACCGCGACCGGCAACATCGAGCATGGCCTGCGCTGGTGGGGTGGCAGACCAGAGTTCATCGAGTCCACCTGGTACCTCTATCACACCACCAAGGACCCGTGGTACCTCCACGTTGGCGAGATGACTCTTCGCGATATCAAGAGGCGTTGCTGGACCAAGTGCGGATGGGCTGGCCTACAAGACATTCGCACCGGTGAACTGAGCGACCGGATGGAGAGCTTCTTCCTGGGCGAGACCGCAAAGTATCTCTTTTTGCTCTTCGATCCATCGCATCCGCTGAACACGTGGGACGCGCCGTACGTCTTCACCACTGAAGGACATCCACTCGTTATACCGAGGCGTCTGCGCCCAGCGGAACCGCAGCGACAACAAGGCCCCCAGTTCGAGTGGCAGCCAGCACCTGCAACATGTCCTCTACCGCCCGCCATCCTACCATTCAGCATTTCTGCCACAGCTGCACGACCAGACGTCTTCCACGCTGCCAGTCTTGCTCGTTTGCACCTCATGCCCACGGTCGAGACGGTCGAGTCAGCACTCATTGAGTTCAACTCCGCTCACCCAAGCATATCTATGGCTGACGTTCGGTCGCCTTCGAACTACACCTACTACCCCTGGACTTTGCCGTTGGAGTACATACCCAAGAACGCAATGAGCTCGCCCTTGGCCATGCGCACGACATTCGATCTATCCTTCCCCAACATGCCCAACAGCCCACAACTCGGCACCATGCAGCGCATGCCCGAAGGCATCCTAGTTAACTCCATGAGCGGTCTCCGCCTCGGCATGGTCCGCGAGCACGACCAGCTCATCGAGATGAACGAACACTTCCGCATCTATGCAATCTCGAACGTAGCTCTGGGTCGTGACGAGAAGGTCTTCATGTCTCGCGCCACGATTGAAAGCTTCAACCCACTCGATCCCTACTTCACTCGCACCCGCGATGCTCACACCCTCGACCTTGTCATCGACGTTCCCCCTGCCCCAGCAGCACCTTCATCAGACATGTTGTCTTCACTGCTCGACGTCGCACTCGGCGAAATCGGAAACCTCACAGGCCTCGACATCGTCGACGCCCTCGACGACATGGACGCCCACCCCGAAGCCCTCGAAGACGAGCCTTCCTATCTATCAAACCTCCTGTCGTCCCTGCAGAACCTGCTCACCGCTCCGTCTCCCACCGGCACATCTTACACACCCATCCAACAAACCACGACACGCCACGCCGTCGCCGGTACTTTACCTATCGGTGTCGGCGCAGCTCCGTTGCCGGATACGAAAGACCCAGACCTCGCATACAGCGCCGCGAATCCGCTCGTGTGGAGCAAGATATACGTCCACTCCACCAACCTCTGTGACGACCGTCTCCCGCTTGAAGTAGCGAAGGAGAATCAAGTCGTTGTCGTGCCAAGGGGGGGCTGTTCGTTCTCGCATAAGCTGCGAAACATCCCCACCTACCCGCCTGATGCTGGAAGCCTGCAGCTCGTCATCGTTGTCAGCTTTCCTGAGCAACAATCACCGCCGACGACTTCGTCCAGCAAACGGGAAAGGGACCGGAAGACGGGTGAGGGTGAGGGCGTGGGCCCGCTTGTTCAGCCGCTCTTGGATGAAGAGCAGTATACGCCGGGTGGGCTGTTGAGACCGCACCCTATCCCGCTTATCATGGTCGATGGAGGGCAAGAAACTATCGATATGCTCAAGCGTGCGAGTGGGGTTGGCGTGAGGAGGCGGTACTACTTCAGGACGCAGGGAGTGAGGATCGGGAACCTCATCGTCCTATAAAGTCGTGGAGAAAGAAAAAGAGAGAGATAGATAGATAGACTCACGTTAGCCCTGGGAGAGGCGATCTGTATGCAGTATACTTCCGTGTTGTTCGATACCAGATAGACTTGTATGCATATTCATCTGTCCTACGTTTCGATGCTCATTCTCAACACCTAGTCTCCAGACATCCTGAAGTCCGGCCCATTGTTTCATGAACATTAACTCGCATCATCGCATAAGACCCGATCAACCGTCCTGAGAGCCAACTGTCTCTGCTTGTACCAGCCCGTCGGTCGCTCAGCTGACTGCATTAGTTCAACGTCGTTTGGCGCAGTGCGATTGGTGTCCGATGGGTATGCAGGTTGAGCGTTGATGATGTGTTGAGGTATGATTGAAGTCTCGTCAGTTTTGTGACCGTTTCCGAGGACGTGCTTTCAGGGCTGAGGTTTTCTGGTTGGCTGGAGTCAAGTCAAGACGCGCGTGTCTCCTCGAGAATCATCCCCTCGTGTCTAAGAAGCGCTGATGTATCGACGCGCCCTAGGGCCGCGCGCAGTAGCTTGATGCAGTCAACTTCACAACCCTACTGTCCTGTCCACCGCATGCTCGATATCCGTTCATGTTTGACTTCGGTGAGAAGAAAGGTGCGAAGCCGACTGGCTGGCTTGTTTGCCCGAACGGAGGTGCAGTAGGGTGGACCACATGCACATGTACGTTTACGCAAGATATCGCAAGGTTGGATTTTGTGAAGTGGTTGGAGGGGATGGAGAGACGCGTAAGCTTTCTGCGTGCTGTCGTGTCTGTGTCTTAGGGAGGAGGAGATGTCGTAGATGTTGAATGCGGAAATACATCGTCATACACAGGAGCGAAAGAATGGTGTGGTGTGGCGTTGAGGAGTGTTGATGTTCAGACTTTGGTACATTGCGTCACGGACTGGAGATCGGCATGGTCGATCAGTGTTAGGCTACCACCATCGCACCGCGCTAGATGCGCGGGATGATGTTCTCCGAGGTAGAGGATGAAAGGAGGCACAGGCAGTAGGAGAGAAGGGGGGAGGCAGTATCAAAGTGTCGAATTAATGTAAGACATTACAAAGATAGCTGATACCAATATTGGCAGCAAGGACGTAGGTGTCGTGACCTACCAGAGGCTCAGTGCCTCAATAGACAAGGAAAGATGACACGCTTGCTGAACGCGTGAAACAGATCTGGTGACAGACTCTAAAAGAAAGAAGAACCAACGACGCATTGGCAGCTCCTCAGAACTCCTCACCCTCCAATTCGATGCCCAAAGCCTCCTTACAGCCCCCCCTAACAGTCCTCTTAGCCTGCTCCTCAACCATCCAACTCGTCTGCTCACCCCCATCCCACTTAATCCCTACAACCTTCCCGGCACCCTCCCCTTTCAGATCCATAACCACAAACAGCTCTGCGACCTTCAACCCTGTCCACGCACGATGGAAGTGTACTTTTAACTTGCCATTAACATCAGGTCCTTCCGAGAACACAAACCATTGGTCCGCAATGCTCTCAGGGTAGAAGCCAGTATATAGTGCATGGACCTGCGACGGTGGCAGGAATAGATCCCATGCTCCTATGCGTGTGTTGTGTGGGAAGGGAGATGTGGCGTGGGCATTGCGAGATACGCGGGAGTGCGTGGAGGATGTGGTGTCTGTGCTTGGTCGGCTTGAGTGGTTCGATCGAGCTGGTGATGTGGGTTGTGGTCGTGAATATTGTTGAAAGATTGGGAGGTCGGGGAAAGAGCCGGAGTCGACACGGATGTGTGTAACGAATGTCCTTGGTTTTTGGGCTGGCTTGGTGTTGAGGGGTCGGGGCGAGAGTGACGATGCTGGCAAGCGTTCAAGTTGTTGTTCTGTCGAGGGGCGTACGAGCTTTCGTGGAGAACGAGGTGATTGTGGTATCTGTGGTGATCGTGGTTCGTTTACTTCGGCGATGATAGGACTCGATATCTCAAGAGGTCTTTCGCGCCTTGTGAAGCGTCGGAAGATTGATGCCTTTCTGGACAGCGGCGGTGGCTGCGTGCTGTCGATAGCCAACATGATGTCGATGTGTAATGATCCAAACTTTGCTTTCTGGATAGTACCTTGGTTCAGGTACAAGCGAAGACGGTAGCGAACTGTCAGCCCTAGAAATGTCGAAGAAAGCAAAGAAGGTCAAGCTGAACGGCTGATGGGGTAACGCCGTATATCAGCACATCAGCATGCGGGGCCAAAATCTCGATTCAGCCCGCCCCAACCACGGTTTTCGTAGGCTGATTATGAGTACCGCTGACCTTGTCCTATTTTAGGTTCCTACATCCTTGTCTTGACCTGCCAAGTGCTGCACGCTCAGCCAAACCCCAGGGTCAGGAACTGTCCGCGCAGCAGGCGCTCTCATTGGCCAGCTCGTTACTCAGCGTCCGTGCCCTTGCACCGTAGATATGCGCCCTTCGATAACACACCAGTCGACAGTTCACATCTACACCCTCATCAGGAACCTCTCCAGTAGACGGGAACGGCACAGAACAAGCTCGATATTCGCGCTTGTTGAGGAGCTCTCCAGCATATGTTCTGGGCATGATGAAATGCGTTGCCTTCGCAGTTCGCCAACGTTCTGGGGTTTGCTGCATCCTGCAAACGTCACCATCTTTGGGGTTTTGGCGGGCACGCCACGACGGCAGCCAGCACGGACTCGCTTGTCCTTCAGCGAGGCTGCGACAGCTGTCGCACGGTCCAGAATCCGTATTGTAGGAATTCTGCTACGCCGCCTCGCGTGGACTGCTGGCCTTGGGATCTTTCGCTACACATCGTGAGCTGTATAAAGCCGAGATGGACCGCGCTGCATCGCGACCTCCGCTTCGCGAACCCACGCGTCGTGTCTTCAACTTGACTTTGTCAAAGCCCTTACCACTATCTCTTAGCTGTAGATCTGGGCTCACGGTATCGATATCGGCCCCGCACAGCCGAGAATCCCAGAGAGCTTTGCCGGACAATTCAAGCCTGGTGTTGAGCACCGATCAACGAGACTCTCTTGGTCGCTTGTGTAACTGAAGACAACGAATTCGGACTGGTCAAGCTGAACAAATGGCAGAAAGGCCATGGCTCTCATGCCTCAGCCACGGAAGTCGGAGTTGGGGATCGCGCAGAATCGTGTTCCAAAAGCGTCAGTAGCGTAGATTTAGAATTTGCAGGTCCCGTGGCTCTAGGGTCTTGGTCGATGACTTCATGCAACTGCCGATCTGTTCCTGTCGAAGGTTTCGGAGATTTTGAACCCGGTGGACCTCAACTCATTGTTATGAGGGAAGCCAATCATAGAATTGCAGCACAATGCTGCGCGTACATTATCGCAATTGCCGTTATGACAAGTCGGTACAGCTCTCCGTGAAACAGACAGATCATACCGCAGCGTTTGTGTCCTGCATTAGCTCCGCAAGGAAGACGCGACCGACATTGCGCTGCCTCGTTGTCATACGCAAACGTTTGAACTGGAAAGGCAATCAATCTGAGAGCTGTGATAAGGAAGTTGAGGTTAAGGAGGCTGACGGTATGTGATGGGTTGTATTTGTTGGGATCTGAGCTGACAAGGTGGCATTATGTTGTTGTTAGAAAGCCACCCTACTCCTGGTAGGTGATAGTCTTTGTTCTCAGAAATTCTTCGATACCCCAGTTGCCGTTGAAGCGACCGAATCCACTTGCCTTAGCTCCGCCGTGCGGCAGTGTCCATTCGTCGTGGACAGTCATCGAGTTGATGTGTACAGCACTGTTACTTGATCAGCTTGAAAACACTTCAACTGCGGAGTATCAACATACCCAGTCTCGATCTGCTTTGCGATGCGGAAACCACGACCAAGGTTCTCCGTGAAGACAGCACCGGAAAGACCGTAGTCAGTGTCGTTGGCGATTTCAATCGCTTCCTCTTCGGTCTCGAACTCAATGAGGGAGACAGAGGGCCCGAAAGACTCGGTGTAAAAGAGATCCATCTCCTTCTTCACGCCCTCAACAATGACAGGACGCATTCTTGTGTTGGAAGGCTCCTTGGTCTCTGGGTGTACCTCCTCCTTCTCGTGGTCGCCGTGCACGACCTTGGCGCCCTTGCTCACGGCGTCAGAGATCAGTTTCTTGTTCTTGTCAATTGCAGCAGGCATGACCGTTATGGGTGCCGGCTTGTCACCACCAAAGATACCTTCTACAGCACCCTTGAAAGCCTCAAGGAATTGCAGCTTGATGCTCTTGTGCACGAGCACTTTCTCGGAGCTCATGCAGATCTGGCCAGAGTTCAAGAACGCTCCAAGGGCACACTGTGTAGCAGCCTTCTGCAAGTCTGCATCAGCACAGACAATGGCACTCGCCTTACCGCCAAGCTCCATGAGAACGGGCTTGAGGTTCTTGCCGGCTTGCGAAGATATAATACGTCCAACAGCCGTGGAGCCAGTGAAGTTGATCTTCTTGATAGCAGGATCTTCAATCAAAGCCGATGTGACCTTAGCAGCGTCCTCAGGTCGGTGAAAGAGCACGTTAACAACACCTGCAGGAAGGCCAGCTTCAGTCAGGATGTTGCCAATGGCCCACCATGTGCGAGGGCAAAACTCCGATCTGGTGAAATCAGCATCAGGTCAATTCTTGCAACAACCGAAAACTCTTACCCCTTGAAAACGACGGTGTTACCTGCTGCGAGAGGATACAGGATCGAGCGCATACCAAGAACGTATGGGGCGTTCCTGTCAATTGTTTAGCACTTGTGACTGCCCTCCACCGAAAGCTTTGACTCACCAGGGCGCGATTGCAAGAACAACACCCCATGGCTCCTTGACGATCAGCGCAGCTGTTCCCTCCGCTTCACAAGTAGGAATGTGGCCCATGACCGTGCTCAGTCTGCCCGCAACATCTCGCAGCATGTCAGCGCACTTAGGGACATTGAAGCCACTGCTGAAGGCATCAGCAGCACCCATCTCGATCTTCATGTAGTCGGCAAGCTCGTCTTTCCGGGAGTCGATAATGTCGGCAGCCTTCATGAAGATGTCGCGCTTCGCAGCCGGCTTCATCTTGGCCCATGCTGGGAACGCAGCCTGTGCTGCTGAGGTGGCATTCTTAGCGTCCTCCAAGGATGCAGATGAGGATTGCCAGATCTCCTTGTGAGATGAGGGAGAAGTGATCGAGAACGTCGTCTTAGTGGTGACCTCCTTCCCGTTGATAAGGAGGGGCACGGTGTATGAAGTATCATTCGTCATCTTGCTGAAGGATCGCCTTTCGAACTGTTTGTGGGAGGGTTGACGAAGGATGCAAAAAAGAGCCTCAAGGTAAGTCGCAAGGCTGCATAAATCTATCGATGGGGTTAATTATGCCAAACTCCTTCTGCCGCATTGTGAAAACGGCAGTCGAGCCCATTCGGCAGATTGGACGGCCTGTGTGGCGAAGTGGAGGTTAGCGGAGCGTTTCGTGCAGAAGGGCCGCGGCCGATGACGAAGGACAAGTGGTCCCGACGCGGAGCAAAAACTCATGATGCGGGGAAGGCATCAACAACACCAACATCTAAGAGTGGAAATTGGCCGACAGGTATGATTGTGATGGAGTTTTACGAAGCCTATAACTTGACGAGCTTCGTGAGTGGCTTCTTGACATGTTCTATTGGTCTCTGCTTGCAGTTACCGTTTCCCATAGTGTCCAGTCTTTGTGCCCAGTCTTCAGGTCTCCTGACACCTCTCAAGAGCAGGGTGTCAGCGATTCCAACGGTGAGGATGTATTGTCGATATTTGTACTTCGTTGTGTGACATTTTGCAATCTCGGTAGGTTATGCAGAGTGTGGTCGTTGTAATGATTTTTTTGTAATGATTTTTTTGAACATGATGCTGGTTTCGAAAAACAAAACTATCCTCCACGAATTCCATCAAAATTGTCTCAAATAAGAGTCACCAAGATGCACTATTCATCAACATCACAAACGCGGTATCTGTTCTTTTGTCCCTGAATTTGAGGGAGAAGCGGTTCTCCCCTGTCGTCTGAGACCGTCAGATGCAAGACACGCAGTAATCATAGTAATATCTTGTTGAACGATTGAACCATGAACATCACAATATAACAATGTTACGGCCTTTCACATATGGAGTGTTCAGTCACGCAAACACCTATACCATGGTGACGAACGCCCTCTACCTCGGCAACAGCCCCAGTCACTCCGATGATCTACGACTGTTTGTAATCTTCCCCCAATCTGGGCAAAGAAGCAATAGCAGACCTCTGGCGTGCTTTTGGCAGAGGTGTATGTTACCAGCTATCCACGCCATACACTCCCCACAGAGATTGTATGACCAAGAATCGGATAGCATGGACTACATCAGCTACGACACAGAAGATGAGATGAAAGACTTGGATGAAAGCCTTGCCACATCCGCACTACATACACCAATCCAGCGCCACGGTAGCACTCAACTCTTCTCTCTAGATCAAGCTTGGGAAAGCATTGAGCGAACGGTTGCAAATGACCCAGACCTCCAAGATCTGACCAGCCCCCAAAATCTGACCAGCCCTCAACATCTGAACAGCCCTTATCATCCCTTGTATCTTCATTGAACTCAACCTCTTGTAACTAAATCTTTGCATTCCGAAAGGAGCTACAGCTCCTCTCGTCTTCCATAGTCTTAGATTCAGATAGGACATTAAACCAATCAATCAATCAATCCAAGATCTGACCGACATGTTCCTTGTTGTCTCGTGGGAGTCACCTGCAGTATCTTCAAGGCCATGGCAAACCTCGTCCTTCGAACAGTTTTTGAACCGGAGTGCACAATCAGTAGTGTGGGAAAGTGGTTTACGATAAGATGTAGGAAGAAAGGCCGGTGTTAAAGGCAGACATGCGGACTATATCGAGGAAAAGGTCAGCGACGTTGACCCAGTTGGAGGATTGGCCGGACACGAAGAGAACGCAGAGTATGATATGACATAGTAATGGCAGAAGACCATGTACAATGAGGGACCTGGTGATCAACAACTGGAGGCGGCAGAGCATTGAAGATACCTAGCGGTAGTTTACAACGCGCTCAAAAGTCGCGCGATTCCTCGTCGCTCAATGACATCATGCCGCGACGCTGGACAAACATTAGTAATTAATTGCACTGCCCCCTTCGGACCTTCCCACGATCATAACAAACCGAAATGCGCACGGAAGGCTACGAAATGACCTTACAAATCCTCTCAATTCCATCTCCATCGCACTCGCTACGTTCTGCATCTGCAGTAAGGTGTAATGCCAGATCCGGTGGATGGGCTGCGCAACCCGCGAGAAGCTAAGAACCACTTCCTCAAGTACCTGAAATATGAGTTATTCACGCTCAACTTCTACCGAGCGCATATGCTCTACTTTATCATTGTCATTGCGATTTCGTCCGTCATTGTGTATGGAGAGGGAGTTAAAAATGGGCCGAAGGAGTATAGAGACTCGCATTTGAGCTACATGGATGCGCTCTTTTTGACATGCAGTGCTATGACAACGACAGGTACATTCAATCTACAAGCTTAATTGCAAATGACGTGAGCTAAGTTTGAGTAGGTCTTAACTCAGTAAATCTAGGCGATCTCTCCAGCTTCCAGCAAGCAGTACTATGTATACTGCTTATCATCGGCAACATCCCCTTCGTCTCCATGGTCGTCGTTCTAATCCGTCAATCTATGTTTCGTAAGCGCATGTCAGAAGTCGTAAAGCACTCGCGCACCATGCAGCGCCTAGTTCAGGACATCGAAGACAACCGCCAAACCGAAAGCAGCGGCAATAGCAGCAACAACAACCTGCGCCAACGTCAGGTCGCTGGAGGCAGAAAGAGCAGGGTGAATGGAGAACAGAAGCCAGCCAAGACCCAGCCCTTGAACAAGAGGAAGACATTTCACCATCAGACAGGATTTGGGTTCGTGCCGACGCCTTGGGAGACGCAATTGGTGAAGAACTTCTTCAAGCGTGTGTTTGATAGTGTGACGAGCGAGTTGAAGCCCGAACAGCACGATTACGTATCTTTCAAACCGCGTCTGGATTCCAAAGGACGGTTCCTTAAGCTCAGCGAGCACGACCGACTGGAATTGGGCGGTGTGGAGTACCGCGCTTTGCAAGCTCTGCTGTATATCTTGATCGGCTATCAGCTGTTCTGGTATACTTTTGGTGTTGTGTTCTTAGTACCATACGCGTATTGTACTAAGACAAGAGACATATTGCGCGAAGCGCAGCCAGGAGGTCTGAATCCGGGGTGGTGGGCATTCTTCTCGACAGTTACCGAGTTCGCAAACGGTGGTCTGAACGTGCTGAACGCCAACTTCATACCATTCAGTGGTATGCCGTACATTCTGATCATTGCTGGCGCGCTTGCTTTGATCGGTCAGACACAGTTTCCAATCTTTCTAAGGTTGACAATCTGGATGATGAAGAAGTGTGTTCCAAAAGGGTCGCGTCTGCACAACACCTTGCAGTTCTTGCTGCAACATCCTAGACGATGCTTCATCTACTTGTTCCCGAGCAGGCAGACCTGGTACCTTCTGGCAATTCAAATCACCATCGATATCAATGCATGGCTCTGTTTCGAGATCTTGAACATTGGCATGCTGGACATTGAGACATTGCCTACCGGTACAAGGACCCTCGATGGTTTGTTCCAAGCAACCGGTCTCCGCACGTCTGGTGCTTATATCATCGCATTCAGTTCTCTTGCACCAGCATGTCTGGTAGCTTACCTTGTCATAATGTACATCTCCAGTTATCCCCTGGTGATGACCCTTCGCAAAACGAACACCTACGAAGAACGCTCCATCGGTCTAGACGAAGGCGACGACAGTGCTGCCGGCATTGCATCACACCTGCAGAAGCAGCTCGCATACGACATCTGGTTTCAGTTCCTTGCTTTCTTCCTTGTGTCAATCATAGAGCGAGGTCACATCTTGCGAGGAGATCCAGGCTTCGATTCCTTCGCTGTGCTCTTCGAAGTCACATCAGCATACGGTACGGTTGGACTGTCAACTGGTGTGCCAGGTGAAGACTACAGCCTTAGTGGCTCATTTGCGAGCCTCAGCAAAGTTGTGATGTTGTTTGTCATGGTACGAGGCCGACATCGTGGATTACCGCTTGCGATTGATAGGAGCATACTCCTGCCAGGAGAGGAGCTCATGCAGCGCCTAGATGCAGAGTACGGTGGTCGAGGTGGCGCTTCTGCAGAAGATCTGCAAGAGCTCATCACAAACATTGAAGAGAGTGGTGCTCAGACTGGAGGTTCGAAATCCGCCGCAGCGCAGCAAGATCCATAGGAGAGGCTCCCCTCTTGGTGAAAGTGCCACAAGCAGAAGAGCATTTGACTCACAGATGGAGCATCCGATCGGTGGAGTTATTCCTCAGGTCGGACTTTGATAATCGATCGGAATCCTCGGATAGCCTCCGGAAGAATAAAAGAAAAGGGGTATACTAATACAGAAGCCACCCCGTCTTTGCATCCGGCGAGCAAACCTGGGATCCTTCTGGAAGGCGCATAGAAGGCGAACACTCTTCCTTGTCGACCTTCTTGGATACGGAAGTACCCTCCGGCAATCCTCACTCAACCAAAAGTCCAGTGCTCTTCATCTTAATGCCCCGCGATCCTACCACGTCATCCCTTCCAAGCACCTGGGTGTTGTCTCTAGGCCACCACTCAGCCCTGCAAGGCGGTAAGGCAACGAACCCGTCGCCTGAATTTTCGGGCACGGAAGCGCCGATTCAAACAAGGGTAGAACTGCTCATTCATGCAGCGGGGACAACCAGGTGATGTCTAGGTAATAGGGCTCTCAAATCCTGAGACGAGGATGGCACCGACTCAATACCCGCACCTCGAGGCTGTTGGAAGCTTGTATGGCAAGGATTGATGGTCTTGCCCCGCAAGCATGAACGATGGGAAATGAGGTTTGCATGACAGGCCATAGCAGACAGCGACGTAGGATCTGTGTGGTACGGGCGGGAGATGCGAGACCAGGGAAGGCAGACTAGGTAGTGTATCTGGTCGACAGGTATCGGCATAGCGGTAGCCATATGATTTGAGTTTGTGGCCCCGTACAGAGCAGGGCTGACACTGTGCTTTTGGTGAACGTGTTCGTTGCCTGTGCACCAACGGTCTTGGTGGTTGCAAGCCTGGGCTGCGGGTCTGACGAAATTACTTCTTTCACCGGAAGCCTCTTCCGCACGTCCAAAGATGTGGAGACGAGAGGACTCTTGCATTCGCTTCGCCCAAGTCTCAAGGTGGATGTGAAGAGGCGCGATGTTGACAGATCTCCGAACCTGAGGCTGAAAGTGTTTCACGGGGTCAGGAACGAAACATCGTCCAGGCCTGAAGAGGCAGGTCGTAATTGGAAGGACCGCGCCCTTGAACGTGGCTTCTGGCTGGGCCGTGGTGCATCTTTGTGGCTGTCAGGATCTCTTGTGAAGGTGCTTCGGTGAGGTTGAGGTGTTTTGGTGGGGATGACGCATGTTGGTGAGGATGACGCATGTTGGTGAGGATTCGCGCTAAGCGAGCGCAACAGTGACGCGGAAGGATCAACATGACAGGCACGACGGTAAGCACGACACGGAAAGGACACTACGGAAAGCACGACATGGAAGCCATGACACAGAAGGCACAGACGGAGAGTATGACACAACACAGCAGTCATCGATGATAAGAACAATGACATAATCGCAAAGTGAAGTTGAATAATGGAGATGTATTGATTGTTTAGATACTCTGTAGCTATCTTGATTCGCCATGCCCTTACCATGCTCCCATTCAAACAATCATCAGCCGACAAATGAGATTCGTTAAACCTCCACTTTGACACGCCAGAATTTTTTGTAAAAGACCGACTAAACGACAAACACGCCGCAGAACTAAACTTGTAATAAGAGTGAACGAAAGTAAGAAGTCGTAAGCAGTTGTTGGTTCGCAACTCTAGTCTAGAACTGACGAGGGTTCTTGTCCTCGGTGAGGAGACTGGCGATGGGCATGTTATCCCTGGGTGCAGAGCTCCAGGTACCGGCACGGGCGCGTCCAGAGGAGGGAACGGGCATGGGGAGCATGTACGACATGCGTTCAGGGGCGGAGACAGCGCTTGTGTTCATGCGGCTGTAATGCTTCGGCTCGCTGTGAGCGGGTGATGGGTATGGGAAAGCAGAAGGCTTGAGGGCCGGGTTGTGCAAGATGCTGCCATCAGGAGATGCATCAGGAGTAGGTGGGCGAACAGCGCTGGAGCTGTTGCGCCAGATCTCTTCGAGCTGCGCTGGCGAAACATCAGCACCGTAATCGGCAGCTACGGTAGACCAAAACTGCTGGCGGCGAGCCTCGTAGATGGCGCGAAGTCGATCGGTGTCGACAATGCGTGGCTGGTAGGCAACCTCGGTATCGATGCGAAGTCCGTTGTGAGGCTCAGGCGAACCCTGAGGGGTGAGCGTGCGGGGCTTGGGAAGGAGGATCTTATGCTGGCTGCGACCAGGGGATGCAGTGGCCGAAGTCGACCTGATGTGGTGAGAGCCTCCAGTGTAGCTCATTGGCGAAGTGTGGCGAGAGGATTGAGAAAAGTCATCCTGATCGGTTCCCATCGAGTACACAGACTGGGCAACGGAACCGAAGGAGGCAGTTGATGAGACCGAAGAGTTGCGCCTGCGGCGGTGGCTGCCATGCGACAACTGATGGTAGTGAAGGCGGCAAGCGAGCTCAGTCTTCTTCAAGTGAGCAGCAATGTGCTTGTAGGGCATCTTCTGCATGCGAGTCTGAAGCAGATAGTTCTCCTAATGATTGTCAGATAAGTTATTAGTGGATCTTGTGTTGTTCTTACCTCTTCTTCGGACCACGAACGGTTTCCGGCAGTAGACATCTTACGAGCACGAAGACCAGATGCGTTTGGGTTCTGGGAAATCATCTCTGGGAGAGGAGAGAGGATCTGAGGCTGGTGGTGAAGCATTGTGGATATGTTGCGATGTTTTGTGATCGATCGAGTGGGTGATGAATATGCGTTGGTGTGATATGTATATCAAAGCCGTGAGTCGTGTTCGCTAGGGATGTCTGCTCTTCGTATTCGAGTCTGGCTTTGAAGGAATGTATTACTGGAAGATTGGTATACACGAATGTAATTGCTCAGCAATGTGGATTAAGGAATGTAGTGTAGCCCAACCGGTGGGAGTTAAAGAAAGTATTACAAGGCTGCTAAGAAAGAAACCAAAAGACTGATGCCGATTGAACAGATGCGGTTGAGGCCTCGAAACTTGGGGCATCCGACAACTGTTATAGAGTTTGAACAATGACAAGAAACGGGACGTTCCTTGGGCCGCGCACCATTGTGGATTGCAGTGGCTCGTCCTGATGTTGGCAACGTTTTCAAACTGTCAGTCATGCGGCTAAGTTCTTGATCGCCGGCACGGTTGACATCGGCGTTCGAAGCCAGAATGTTTAGAGCAACCCTGATGCGAGACAGGTTAAGCCAGAGACGGAGGGACAAACGCTCTTTGGCGATGCGTTCGCCTGGTATACTGACGTTCTAGAGCGGATTGCATAAAGCCAACGAACGCTTTGGGGTTGAACGGGGTCGGTTTCAAAACTGAGTATGTCAGAGAGCGGGTCGTGCAGCAAGTTTGTGAAGCGAAAGGTTTGATAATGTTTGGAAAGCCTGGAAACAAATCCACCCTGGACCTATATCTACAGCGGGCGCTAACTCAAAACGCGCGGTTACAGGTAGCGGAAAGAACAGTGCACCGTTTAGCTGCCTTAGCGCCTGAGGAACACCTTAATAGTGAATATCAGCGTTCGAACTAAAACATAACTTAAAATCGTCATGGACAAAACAACAATAGCAGAAGACGATTGAAAGTGAAGCTGAGAAAGGACGCGCAACCTGTATGCGCAACACAAATCTGCAAACCTGTGCAAGACCAGGTCGTTGCTGACGTCGTGAGACAGCCGAGACAAGAAAGAGCCCGGGAATGCCGTGTTCCGTTCTTGAGCATCATCTTGGTAAGGCGGTTCTCAGGCAATTCCGCTTGGCGCTTAATAGGGAGCATTATCACTGAGCGGTCAGTTGGAACGCTGTGGCAGAGCGGTTCTCCCAAACGTTTACGGCTTGGGCTGATACAGGCGCTGCATCAGGTGGCTGGTAGTCTTTAGCTTGGCAGAGAATAGCCAGCGGAGCCTACGCTGAAGTAGCATTACGCTCCGTTGCAAAGAACATCGTCATTCATCGTAAGGGTAAACAGGCGAGAAGCGAGTCAAATTACCTTCCCCGCGCCCAGCTGTCGAATGTCGCAAGAAGGAGGTTACCGCACCGTCATAAAGATGGCAGGGGCTGGCGAACGGCTCGAGGTGGTGGAGGGGCTGACCAGCTACGAAATATGACCAGGAGGGTCGTCATTGGTTGACACCGAAGGTATCTGTGAGATTGACGGGTGTATTCTCGACGTCGTCACGCGTTGTGCGACATTAGATTGGTGAATGTCGCTGCGACCTTTCATGATGTTGTTTGACCGATGATGTCGAAAGGCACAAGCAATGCGCAGAGGAAGGAGCGCCGGGTCAGCGCACGTACCAGCCCTGCCCCATCCGCTGTCAACCCATTCTCCGTCACCACCCACAGTCAACCACGCCTCACACCTGCATACGAGAACTACAAGAGAGCGGTTCCTTCTCATGATACGAAGTTATTGACAGATGGTAGTATGAATACGTCTAGCGCTTCCCCAAGATGACCGGCGGTATCTTGCTACTTGGTAAGAGGTACATAGTTCTGATCGATGTTCGTCACAGCTCGATCGGCAGCATTTTGCATCACTCACAGGAGCTGGAGATGCATGAAGATGTCACGCGCTGGCTGCACCTTCCCCGCCCTCTTCGGACTCGTCTGGTCGTGCCCGCAACTCTGAAGCCACCTACTCATCAGAGCCCGTCGAAAAGGCTGCTACCCCGCTTCTCGACTGCAGCTCATCTCCGTACCGATACTTCCACTCCTACATGTCTTTGACTACGATAGAAGTACTTCTACTCCAGCCCTACAAGTCCGACGGTTGCCCCCGCTGGTACTTGGCTGATTAACCTCACAGCATCCCAGTCGTCCTCTCGTCTGATGCCACTCTGCTGAGCCCATTCGTTCGTCTGCCTGCAAACCTGACCCTTCTTGTATCCCTTGTACTTGATCAACACTTGCACCGACGGGCGACCTGCCTACTTGGATATCATAATGATCTACCACGTCCACTCTCGCCGTTGTACTCTCTGAACGCAAACCTGAACTTGGCAGTATACGAGCATGACACCACGCTCTATAGACGCACCCCATCTGACCAGTAACGAAGCCTCGCGTCTTTATCTGACCGGCGGCGGACAAGACGCACCCGTGCGCCATCATGTCGTGAGTCGCTCTTACTTAGACTCAGGTCTTTCGTGGCCAAGCAGGATGCTCTGCTTCTCATATCCGTCTGTCGACTTCGAGTCTTTTTGTGGACGCGCTGACCTTGGGCGACTCCACACTACAGCTCCTCACCAGCTTCCAAACGTAATTTTAAACCCTCGCCGACTGCACCAGCTCAACCGCAAACCTCACAGTACACTACGGCACCCGAGCAACCTACCTTGCAGCCTGCAGTTCCTACTACTCAGGGGAACAACAAAGTCTCCATGAGTGCGCAACAACTGCAATCTCCATCATCTGGACACCGAAAACGCAAGTCTGTTAGCTTGGGCCAGCAGGTCAACAACATGGCAGACACAACTGGTGGTGGTGCAGAGGTACAGAATAGTGCGACGTCTGTTCAGGTAGATCAGGTCGATACTTCTGCGCAAGAGCCGAAAATCAAGAAGAGTCGAACAAACACACCTTGGACACCAGCAGAGGAGCTAAGGCTCAAACAAATGAGAGATGCAGGCAACAGCTGGAGCGAAATCGCAAAGGTAGGCGACGGTCGTCTACTGAAGACGACGAAGTGCTCAAGGTCATCAGCAAACCATTCATCACTGGTTCTGACACATCTTCACAGACTTTTCCACAACGGACAGAAGGAAGCGTGAAAAAGCATTGGTACAAAGTATGTAACATTATCCATCCGTTCCAGCAAGCAGTAACTGATCACTCTTAATCAGGATATGCACTACGCCGAGTTCGCAGAGGATGAAGTGAGTTTGTCTGAACAACCTGGATACCACGGCAGACCAATACTGATCTGGAAGCAGAGCGCAGCATTACTTGCCGCAATTAAGGAATATGATGCCAACAAGTGGAAAGCTATCGGCCAGAAGGTTGGCAAACCCGCAAAAGTAGGTCCTGATACTTTCCTATGTGTACCGTGTCTTTAGTGTATATCCACTGACTGTTTCAGGCCTGCGAGCAGTATGCGAAGGAGCATTTCGGTGGAAAGTATTGATAATGTTGAGCACAGTCTGCATCTTCCCGGTTTCAGCGCAACGATCCCACTTTAAGATACCAGTTTTCCTATTTCGGTCGAGCAGTGCACGCGCACAACTCTTTCCGATGTCCTTTCGTCCCTATTGGAGTCCTTGGTAACGGCTATCGGCAGCGGAGTACACATCGACTTTTTTTTCTCAACTCGGCATCTCTGTCGCTCTCACCCTGCCGATTCTTCTTACGCGCCGAGTTTGTATCGAGAAGCCTACCTACGTTGTTAAGCCATCGTCGATCACACGTAGCATAGTCTGGCCATCACCACGGGTCACATCGACTGTGTGTAGATGTGGAGATGTAGTCAATATCGATGTAAAGGTAATGCAATAATTATACAATAACCCATCTGTCACCGTTCAAGTCAAAAGCCGTTGTTTCGGGTATCTACAGCAGTTCGCAGCAATGTTTCAACTCCTTGCCGTTACCGAAGCGATGCTGTTTCTCCGTACGGCCGCTAACCGATCGCAACCTGGTCGAACAACTGGCTGTTCGTGGTACCTGCGTCTTTCCGCTTGTGTGGCGCGTCTCCAACCACAACACGGCCCTGTTGTCTATCTCGCGCAATCAGACCCTTCAACAGAAAGTCTGGACCGGTAGAGCGTTGTGGAACGGTGCAGCTAGGAGCAAATAACGTGTGGTCCGGACAAGGATTGGCCTGAGGCGGTTGAGGTAACATCATAGTCTTCCTGCAAGTGGAGGGCAGAATGACTGCAACAGGCAGCTCTTTTGTCGCATGAAGCGCATTGTTGCTCAAGGCCACTGCACCTGTACTCCCTCAGCATACGCGTCGCGTACCGGGAGCGCACAGGCAGCGGAGGACTCATTGCGAGCTTTCTGAGGTGTTGATTGAGTACAGTTGAACGCATGGGCTCCAGAAGTTGGCCGGTCTGACCGATGTGTGGTCTTACAATCAGCCTAAATGGCTAAGACTGGCAGGTGTCAAGTTGGCAGACTGCATCGACCAACTTTGAGGCCTCACAAGTCCTCAACCCGGCCATGTGAGGTCATAGTAACTATCGCCCTGGTAAGGAGAACCTGGCAGTCTCCGCTCGTGCGCATACGCGTAGTGATCACGTGTTAAAGGGGCTGTTGTTGTGTTCGGAGGATCCACAAACATGTCGGCGTCCGTCTGAACGACCGTCGCCTGGAGAAGCTGTGTGGCGCCATCCGCATTGCGACTTCATCTCCTGCCGCCTGCGTCTGTCGCGAGATGAGGAAATGTGAACCTCGGATCGCAGCCGCCCTAAACGACCCTGCGATGCCAAGCTGTCGCTATCGTGCCGTGAGGGTCTCCCGAACCTAGCGTTCAATCAATTCGCAAGTACACTGCCACTTTTCGCCGCCTCGCTTCCCTTAAGCCCCAGAACCCCAATATCGGATCGGCATCTATTGCAGTCGCAAATATAACAACAAACATCGTTCGCTGCGCATTTCGCCACTGCTTCTGCGCGTTTCCTTTCCGTACGTCCGTCAGTTCTGTCGTGCGCGCTCGTGCGTCAGTCGGTCGCAATGGGATCTCCTTGTGGCTCGGTCGATCCTCGCTCTGCGGGGGTGCTGAACCGCATATAGGGCCAGGCTCCTTCATATAACGTCAAAATGAGCCAATCCTCAGGCCGCCTTATGCCAATGCGACGAAAGCTATGACTGAGGCCAGCCAGTGCCCGGTCCACTGCTTACAGACGGGTGCTACGTCAAGACAGCTTTCCCTTACCGGCATGTGCGCTGCCCTGATCCGAGCACGGCGAGCATGATGGCCCACAGTGGCCCATCACGGGTAAGGCACTTCCAGGCATGAACCAGTCCGTTGTTGATGCACACGGCGTGGTATGCCTTGATATGCTCCGATAACGAACATTCGTGGTGTCAAGATACCCAGCACGCACAAGCTCTAGCATGTGCCAGGCTTCCCAGATCGCGGTCCTGGCTTCCACGTTCTCATCAAGTCCGTATCGTTCAATCTCGCATACAAATCGTCTTGCTATTGGCGTCACCGCTTTGGGTACTTCCCCTGTCATGTTGATGCGCCCATCCTAGCCCGTTGAGCACATCTTCAATGCGCATCTTCTGGCCACCATGCTGCACTGGGATACTGTGGATATGCATGAGAATGCTGCAACGGTGCTGGAGATCTTTCGTTTCTGGTCTTCTAGAAATAGAACAACGTTGGCTTGGACCACGTACGCTTTACCAACAACGTCGAATAGGACTGGGGCAAAGAAACTAATTTCTGCACTCATTTTGTATCAGCAGCCATTCAGCACACGAGCCAGCAGCATTACACTGGTGCAAATGACTTGGGATACCTTTCCAGATCTTGAACCAGGGACCCCTACCTTGTCATTGATCACCGCATTATGCTTGACGTAGGATTTGTTGTCGGGCCTACCCTACTCAGCTAATTCTGTACCATTCAGGAACAGACACCGTCTCGTGGGAATGACCCATAGCTTTTGGTACTTCGGCATTGTGTCCGTGTGGCAAGTGCACAGGACTAGGATTGTTGAAGGGACGAACTTCCCAAATGCCTTCATGCCTTCGCTCCTCCAGGCGCGAAATTCGATTTATAACACTGCAGTCCCAGCGGCATGTTATTGTTGTTCTGGTTTTCACAAGCTATATCCGGCTATCCCAATCCTTAACACACGCGATCAGGTTACGTCCAGGGCATTTTTCTCGAGGCTCTTCTTGCTCCAACATTTGTCAACGTAACAGCAATTGAGAAAATCGTAAACACATGCGATACAAGTACCTCGAGGCGACCCGGCAACGCAGACTAGGCATTCTTTTTCTGGCTCAGGTCTCACTGCGGCGGCCTGCCAGAGCAAGCTAGCTCTGGTAGTCTCCATGCGTAATCGCAGCCCTGGCGAGTCCCTACCGAGGCGCTTTATTCGACTACAGCGTGCCAGGCGATGCCGGAGACGACCACCATGTTCCGGGATCGAACGTCGAACATTCAAATGTACTCCATCCCCACGCCGGCCTTCCTCCAGAGTACCAGCACGCTTTTTTGCAGACACACCCGTCTCATGGACTTCAACATGCCGGCGCTGCCCCTCATCCCGCATATACAGACATCGAAACACACCCGTCGCTACATCAATCTCACCTCTTACGCCACCACCAGATGTCACATCAGCCACCAACCTCCTACGATGTGGGCTATTCTCCGAGTTATCAAACCGCCGGACGCAAGCGCAGCCATCAGGAACATCATCTGCAACCGGAATTACCTTCCTTAGAGCAACATTTGAATCCATATGGGCAAGCAACAGGAAGCGTCTCACTTGCTCATCCCTCGCAGCAGGGTTACTCCCTTCACCAATATCCACCTCCACAAGCCCCCCCACAACAACAACAACAACAACATACTTTACCTCCAACACATCACCACCATCTTCCCAACACTCACCGCAGCAAGAGACAGCAGATGGAGGGTGCGCCGCCCTCTCCCACTCCCCACCATGGACCTCCCAGTGTCGTAGGCGCGCAGGGTATGCCTGCACCCGCACCGCGACCTCGCGGCCCGAAACTCAAGTTTACGCCCGAAGACGACCAGCTACTAGTCGACCTGAAAGAGAAGAAGAACTTAACCTGGAAGCAAATCGCCGACTTCTTCCCGGGTCGCAGCTCCGGTACGCTGCAGGTGCGATATTGCACAAAGCTTAAAGCCAAGACAACAGTCTGGACAGATGAGATGGTAAGTGACATTCATGTATTTCAAACATCCAGACCCCATCCTGCAATGAAGTCGTTCGTTTTGCCCTGAAACGCGCGACGTCGTACTTGCAGCCCCAGCGCGGAAGCGAAAATGCTAACCACAACGGGATCGCAGGTCGCGAAACTGCGCACCTCGATGCAAGAGTACGAAAACGATCGTTGGCGCATCATCTCGTCGAAAGTCGGTGCTGGCTTTTCGCCGGTCGCGTGTAAAGACAAGGCGGAGGAGTTGAAAGCGATTGAAACGGAGCAGGAGGAGGAGCGCGAACGGCAGCAGCAGAACGCGTATGTCCAGAGTGAGATGCCCGGTGGCCATGGCGATCCGAGCGCAAGCTATCAGTGACTGGCCGACCATTTCGAAGGTCTCAGTGCGTGAGGCTTCAAGCATTTCAATAGGTGGATGTTGAAGTTGCGCTGGTCACAACGAGTTTATTTTTTCCGGGGAGTGCATTTGCCAAACTTCTTCAAAAACATCTTTAATCGCCCTTTATTCGCTTCACGACGTACACGATACCTACACAACAGTATACCCTTCGAATACACACAGTAGCGCATACTGCATTCTCGGATCGAAGCTCCTCGGAGCCATTGCGATACTTTCGGCACATCTTTCAGTTACACCATGACTTGCGGCGTTGATTGAGTCTGTCAGTTTGCGCTGCATAAGGTTTGGGCAGCCATCAGGTTTGGGCAGACATCAGGTTTGGGGCGGCATTGATGGCGATTTGGAAGCAGGATACACAAAGGCATTAAAGAGTCGGCATTGGTCTATGCGCTCACAACAACATTCATCACATGGCCTCGGCCAATGCTCAGCGGCTGTTGTGGACCATGAACGTTTGGTCGAGGAAAACACAAATTGGCGGAAAGATACCCAGGCTTCAACAGCAGAGATTTCGCGTTTCATTTTCGTTACACCCATACCCATACCTTTTCCCGTTGTTGTACACGTCAGCAGCAACATCACATTACAAATTTTCTTGTGTACCTATACCCCGGCAAGATGGTCAACTGATCACTTGCATCACACTCGCTAGAACCTTTTTTCTACTTATAGACTTCAAGTACTTTTGTAATACTCCGAATGTAATACTTTTACCTGGCAAACACATTGTTCCTGAATTATTGCACATATGCCATGAACAAAGTTGACTTACGGAATATAATACGCTGCTTTGATCGACTTCTCGACTTGCGTCGGATGCTGCACCCACCCAACCCCATGATTTGTCGTCACTTTATGCATATCTAGGCAACGTTCAGGCGCCGTTAGGACGCATGGCAACGGTTGCAGGGCTTGTCGGCAGGCTTGAAACGCGGACCGTTGCAAACCAGGGATCGCAGATCGGAATGTGGAGCTACTCGCACGAGCATGACTGCTTAGCTTGTACCGGCTGCCGCGTCTGGGATGCGAAGTCATGAAGGTATCGATAACTTGGGCGGTGAGCGGCGATGAGATAGGGGTTTGGAGATGCTTGGCTGATGAGACGTGGATGTGAAGGGTGTTGGAGCCTGCGATTGATAGATGCCAGAGGCTTGCAATGCTGTCAGGCTTGAACATGCCTCAGGCAGCATGCTATCAAGATCAGATATCCAGATATAGCTAGAGGTGTTATTGAGAATATAACTTGTCAAGACATTGGTATTCAAGCTTCAGACCCATGAAACGAAACAGGTCCACTGACCATTGCGCACCTGAGCTTTCCACATATCCTGACGGTCATGTTGCCATAATAACAGATTTGGATTCATTCTATACCTCTGCGTGATCATCCCCTGGAGATAACTGTGCAGACCTGCCACCTCAAAGTCTGAGTACTCTGCGTACCGCTGCCTCACCTAGACGAATGCTCGGTGTCATCGTACCGTTGCATATGCACATGCTAAACATCTACCCATATCATGGATGTGAGTCAAATCTCTCAGTGGAAATCTCTTTCAATGACCTATCAAAGTGAGCGCGTAGCATCTCTCTTTCGCTCCATGATCGGTCAGCACTTCATATACTGACCCTTGAGTATAGCACACACGGCTCCGCAAAAACTTGCCGCCAACGTGCCGCTGGCTTTATGCATCCCCGTTAGCGGGTCCACCGTTGATGAGAGCTTCCGTACTGATTTTCATCGTTTCGATATATTGATCAGCATCGCCACCAGGTCGGGTTCCGACACTCGTGCAGTGTCAACAAGTGACCGGCAACACTACCTCACAGGTGTTATAGAAGAGGCCGGCAGGCGTTACCTACCCGACAGTTGGGGGCTGGCGCCATGAAGCAGCTACGTTGACATTGCGCCATCCTCTCGTGGTGCATGTGGCGTCACGTTGCTCACTTGTGGTATGGCCCAGGCACCAGGGCAAGAGCAAATCGCCTCGGTGTGGAGATTCGGTACTTCTACGCATGGCGCAGTCGACCTGGCCGCAGGATGTATATGAGCCCCTGCATTTGCAATATAGGCTCGCTTGCATTTCATGATTTCTTGACCTATAGGCGACGTTTGCTGCGTAGTCTTACTTCAGTTTTTTCGTGTTGACCCAATGAACGAATCCTGCACTGACATGGCGACTCCGTAAAAAGAGACTAGGGATGTTTGAAGCGTGAATTTGGAAATCTCTGCCGGCGGCGACGTTTCTAGCCCACTTTGGAAGTATATTTTGTGGGCGAACAACAGGAAGGAAGGAAGGAAATGGTGTATTCCTAGCTAAGGAAGGACAAAAGCTTATGTAATAGGATACTTCACATACTAACCGTTTTGGCTAATATATTTGTAGTAGGCCACTGCAAACATCCTATTAAGGCGCAATACGAGCGGCATGAATTGACCAGGTGGCGTGCCTTGGAACAAAATTTTATTTGAGCGAAGCATCAGTCCGATTGTGACCGAAATCTCAAAGCCACTCATCAAGTAGGGATTGCAAATTTAGATTCTCGATAGACAGTGAAGGACATGGAGGGCTGAACATAGATATTGAAAGCATCAAGACTCCATAGCTGCACCTGATTAGAGCTTACTGTTGAGACCGCTCATCAACGTCGCTGCGCACTTACCGATCTCCATGTCCTGAGCGACAATATAACTCTCCGTCATCTCAGGAGCTTTGGAAGCGACTCAACGTCGTCGAAGTCCCCGAGCTTTCTGTAATCTCGCATGTGCAGAACTTCCTTCTCGAAAAGATGGAACACATCGAAGAGTGGATGTGTTTTCTCTTTCCATTCAGGTATCTTCTCGCCAATGTTTAGTCGCCAGTACTTTCCCTGAAGTTTGTGTGCGAAGGCGTTGATGAGACAGCGGAACAGGATGTGCATGACTTGTGTATTAGTAGCGATAGAAGAGGCCGTACTCGCGACAGACACGAGATTGAGCAGGTTGGTCTTCGGGTGGAGTGGCTGATTGGCAGGTGTGCCGGTGCCGATGCTCAAGAAGCAGTCGGTGGTACGAGCTGGGCAGAAAACAGGCAGAATTTCGGTCCATAACCTGTGCAAGCTCAGCTTATCGAAAGGTGATCTGACATCCAGCTTGACTCACCATCCCAAAAGGTTGTTTTCTTGGAGATCGCCGTCAACGAACGTATTCGTTTGAACCAGTCGACACTGAAAGTTTTCAACCCAGCAGCTTGTTAGTGTGCGAAGATGCTATTGAGATCCTCACAGGGGCCCTTGAGGGCGTAGCTCCTATGCTGGATGCGTATATGGAAACAAAGCATACACCTTGTGCCGTGAGATGAAGGTCAGATCAGCTGTCGCCTTTGCATCATACAGAGCCCTGACAAGGGAAGGCCTGCTGTGTTTGATGGTAACAATGCGGCACCTCACCCCGCAAACCAGTTTCTTGAACCGAACACCTTTGCTTCGGACCTCGAACACCTCGTAGCCCTCGGCTTCAAGGTATGACTGCAGTTTAGGTGTCCTTCCTCCGCAACTGCAATCCTGAGGCCGAGCTTGTGCGAGGATTCTCCAGCCAGGAACGAACGGGCGGATCCTCTAACGACGAGTGTGCATCGCAACTTTCCTGGACTGAGCGGAACTCCCGTGGATTTTGAGATTTTTTTTGTGAGCAAAGAGAGAGTATGCCCTATCCCAGGATATGACGTCCAAAGAAGCTTTGTTTGACGCAGCTGAAAAGATCTTGGCGATGGCTGCACGATCCCCGAACATGTCCAAGGAAACAACGACCTTCTGCCTGTCCGCACCCGACTTCTCGTAGTGGCCGTTGACCGTCACCCATGTGTAACCTTCTTCGAGCAGGTATTCTTCGAGAAGGTACGAGCAATTATCTTCGACTGCAGGTTGTAAAGCCTTTGTCCTTCCAAGGGCACGGCAGAAGAAGTTTTCGTGCGAAATCACCGTGAACAAGCGCGCCACAGTGGAACCGCACCACCTGGAACTTGAGCGGGTCTTTGAAGAATTTCTTGAGATGGTCATTGATGTTGTACGCAGTCACTTTGAGCACCGGTTGTAGCTGGCCAAAGCCTTTGCAGGTGCGAGACAGGGAAACGATATCTGCGACATCGAGATAAGGCAGCATCATCGTTTGTACCGGACGTGCGATGTGACCGGCCGATCCGGAGGGCTGCCGGTGCGAGGTGGACGTGGTGTAGGTTGATAGAGGGTCGATGATAGTGTGAAGGCTCTCCATGGACGATGACTGCTCGAAGATGGCCGATCTTGAAGTGGGGAATCTCTCGAGTGATTGTCGCTCAGGCCTGGAGGTTGTCGCTCCTGGCGTGGAAGAGTTGTAAGGTCGTAGTCGGCGAGAGATCTTTCGTCGTCCGCATCTTCGTGCTCGAAACCGAAGTCGAACGTTGCACGGTCGTCCGACATCTTCGAGGTATGTTGATGAGTCGTGTTACGGTGCAAGAAGTCGAGCGCGGGAGTGAGTGAAGACTGCAGGCTCTTGTTTGCTGTCAATCAATATTAGGAAGCTTGACAAACGGCAAATGTCAAAGAAAAGCCCCAGCGACACATGCCGGCTCTTTCAAGGTCTACTAGTATCTTTTTTGATGTACAGTATGCTATAGTTCCGTCCTCGAGACCGGCTGCCTCCATCAATCACTACTGACAATCCCACTCCCCTCCCTCCATCCCGTCGGTATCAGCGCCGCAGCAACCTGACCGACACCTCTCTCCGTAGCAAGCAAATTGAACTGCGCAGCCGCATTCCGCGTATCCTGGACTTCGAGCCGTATGCCCAGGCCGTTGAGGTATGTGCGGACGGCGGGCGCGAGAGGGAGAACGTGTGGGCCGGTGCCGATGATGAGGATATCTGTGAACATATCAATTGGTACTGCGCTTCGAGCTTCGGGTTGTGATGTGGTTTGGGGTTGTAGGAACATTGTGTTGTGTAGAGGAGGTTTTTGATGGAGTTGAAATGGGCGTGTGTACATGGGGGAAAACATACCAGGCTTCGGCCACACCAACTCCAGCACCCCCCAGCTACCCTCCTGGACCTCCCATTGCCCCTTTCTATTACTCAACCTGCCCGTCATCTGATCCTCCCCGAGACCGTCCTCAGCAACCGTGCCCTCCTTCCTCCCCTCTCGCAACCACGGCCGCCACCTAAACGCCTCGCCGCCGACTAACAGCAGCCCACAGCCACTAACTCTCATCTGATTATTCAGCGCAAACCCATCGCTCGTGGTCGCATCTATACTCGTCGCTGGCGCCGCGGTGTTGCGCAGCACATCCAGCGCGCCGAAGTCGGTTTGTGTGTCTTCGTCGCTCTTGGGGCCGCGGTCGCGCGATTTGGGAGGTTTGGATTGCATGAGCACCGGCGCTGTGGTGTGTAGACTGCGACGAGATGCTGGTCGCAAGCTGGCGGTGCATGATCGCTGAGAAGCTGTGGAGCAGGAGGATGCGACTGAGGCGGGACGGCGGGTGGAGGATTGGATTAGGCGGTGTGAGAGGGATCGCGTATGGTATATTATTTGGCGTTCCATTGTGCTGCGTGTGAGTAGTGGGATTGTGAGGTTCAAGTGGAGAATATGAGGTGTTGAAGTTGGGATATTTGATGAACGGCGTCATTGAACTGATGAATGGTCCAAGCTCGAAGCTAGCTGCAGGTACATCTCCGCTCCCATGTGCAGGACTTCTCAAACTCCTATACTCCATTAAGACACCTATGCAGATGCGTGGGTGTGGATGCTGATGATGAATGCTCAATGCTGCTAATGCCATATGCAAATGTCGTCTTCTGATCCTCCCTGGGACCGTCGCCGCCGCTGCCGCCGCATCATTGTTCAATACTCCCGCCCTTGATACTCCGCCCAACACCGCCTTTCTCGCCAGCCACCGGTTTCGCAGGCCTCAAATCCTCCATGTCGATCTCATCCTCATCCTCGGAATCAAACGCCGAAGGAAATCCCTCGCAATCCACAGCATTCAGGCCAAGCCTCGCGATCACGCCCAGCATTCCAGGAGGCTGTTCCTGGCCGCCCTTGGCAGGCGACGCCTTGAACGATTCCGTCAGCTGCGAGCTCGTGCTTGCGCGCTGGACGTCGCGGCGCCGGAAATCCATCGGCTCCGTTTGGCTGCTACTGCTGGTCATAGTGCTCGCTCTTGACGATAGGCTTGGACATGTGCCTGAGCTTTGCTGCGAGCTCTGCTGTGCGCTTTGCTGTCGGCGATGTCTGCTTCTTTGGACTTCGGGTTTTCCGCATCGCAATGGTTGCTCGGCACCTAGGTAGGTCCACTCGTTTGCGGGAGGGTTGTAGGTCGGGCTTGTGCCGTGGTTTGCGCAGAGTTTGGAGGCTTTCAGTTCGCCGGTTGATGTGCTGGATCCGGAGGTCGTGAATCGAGACCAGCGAGAGAAGCTCACTGAGCGGCAACTTGGTGGTGTTGCGGGCATCTCAGCCCACGGCGGAATGATATCGCGCATCGCTCTTGAGCTTTTGCGCTCTGGCAGATTTGGCCTGGCTGGTCGTGTGTTTCTGCGCTCGTCTGCAGACATTTCTGGATAGCATGAAAAGTAGTATTGTTGCGACATTGTAAGCGATTGCTGCTTGCGGCCGTAGGTGGAATTGGAACAAGGCAGGCAATCAGCCTGCTGGCGCGGCTGAGTTTGTATTATGAGGGTGAGTCAGTTTGCGCAGTTGCTGACTTGAAGTTACTGGGGACCGTCGAGGTGAGTGCCATGGTCGAGGTTGGTGAGTTCAGCAATGCAAGAGGCGGGGGTTCACTGTTCATTCCATTGTCCGTCTTCACCTTTAAGACCACACCGCACTTTGCAACACCAAGCTCGGGATTGGTGCGACCGTGTGGGGAGCGGCACTGAATATCGGAGAAAAGCCCCGCACCAAGGGCGCTGAGTGGACGACACCAGGGCGGGAGGTGTGACACTGAGGACAGCTGGACCTGAGGCTTACGGGCGTGGAGGGTTTGCGCGGTGTGGTTTGCGCGCCATGCGTATGTTGCGCATGATTGTGCCTCGCGCAATCGGTGGCGGATGACGTCGCTAGCTGGGGTTGGTGTAACATCAGGAACAGCGATCGGCATGGGGGCAAGTCATGATGGGTGCATGTGAAGATGCGACCCGTGGTCGATGCAGCAGGTGCAAGTGAGGCGAAAATAAGGGTACAAGGGTCCACAGATTCAGGGACAATATCCAGCGAGATCGCGCGATAGCCGCCACACGTGACCTGTGACTGACCATTATTTGACGTCCGATTCGTTTGTATCGATTGTCGAGTACACTCCCTTTCTTCTCTCAGTTCCTCTGCTACCATCATCACAAAGTACGACACCAGACAACTTATTGACGCGATGGGGGCACTTGTCGAGACTTTTTTCATTCCCGCTTCTCGGTACCATGGGTATCTACAATTCAGCTGAAGAGCCAACCATGGTACCGCTCATCAGTGACTGCGTACAGAACCAGATGTCCCTTTTGGCCCTCAAGTCTTCCACCTCTTTGTCATGTCTCTCATCTCAGCACTCCACACTCCACATCCTCTAGCCATGGGTAAACCAACCGTCTTCCAGCAATGGTCCGCCTTCATCCTATCGCGTCGTCCCTGGCAGATCAAACTCTCCAGCGACTCTCCATCCTACACGCTCCCCGCACACACCCTCATAAACACCGAACTCACACTGGACCCCTGCCCTCGTACCGCCCGTCGGCAATATTTGGGGCACCCGCATCAGCCCGCCGGAAACACGAGACCCCGCAAGTCTGGAGGAGCGCATGAGAAACCTCAAAATGATCATGGAGGGACTGAAGTAGCGGTTCGAAGTCTAGCAGAAAGTGGTGGTGGAGGTTAGTCAAGAAGGGGTTAGTGAGGAAAGAGGGCGTGGAGAAGCGGACTAGTTTGTTTCGTATTACTGGGAGGAGTTGCGAGCTCACTCATACGTTACTGCGCTTTAAAAACTAAGCTGCATGAAAGGATATCAGGGCGGTCGGGAAAGGTGGGAGGACGGGAGTTTGAGGGGGCAGTTTGAGGAGCCGGTGGCTTGGCTTGCTGTGTTAATCTTGAGGAGTGACGCGAGGACAGAAGGTGTTGAGAAGGTGGTGCAGTGGATCGAGGGGAACGGGGCTTATGGGACATTGGGCGAGGAAGAAGTCGAGGAGGAACGGAAGGATGTAGAGTCGGAGTATGGGTGGATCGATGAGGATGTAGAGGAGAAGACCGAGGAAATTGAAGATCTGACCAATTTGCTTGTGCCAGAAACGGGATTTAGTGGGAATTGCCGCTTCGGTATGATGGTGCCGCATGGGCAGGACTTACAAGAGTAGACAAAGACGACTTTGGTCAGGCTCGAGAGGTTCAGCAAAGCGTTTGAAGCGTTGTTTCAAGGAATACAAGTGGGAGTTAGAGCCTCGTTTTCGAACTCTTCTGGAGGCAGCGTTTCCAACGGGCAGTACTACGAACAGTAACCGTACAGGAGTACGGCTTAAGTAAGCAGTCAGTCCGTAGTGAGGGTACAGGGCAGTAGCTCAGTTGTACCGTAGTAGCAATAGCGACCATAGTACTGCCGTAGTTGGTGTAGCCCTGAGATGGTTATGGTGAAGTATCAAATTGGACGGTGAGGCCTTACAACTTCTCAAGAATTGGCTACGTCACCGGCTTACTGTGATCCACTACAGGCAGCTGGAGGATGAGATAATTGGGCAAGATGAGATGGGTACAGAGGCCTCCCGAAGCTCCAATTCACCGACTGACGTTGAAGAGTGGGGCGGCTAAACTATATTAGGCAACTACGGACCGTAGCTCAGGTCAATTGAACAGTTATCACTACTACCCGTACCATCCAGTTCCTTCACCGTAACCGTACAATAGTACTGACTGTTGGAAACGCTGTCTGGAGGATTGCCTTACCCAATAATTGGCGCCAGCCCCTCCGCGAATGCGACAGGGGAAATTTCCCCATCTGCACCGTCGTACCTCTCAGCTCATCGAACGTCTGTACCTGTCATCCGCTTCATCATCGTGTGATTCCTCCCTATTTGTGATTTCGTACCCATCGCTTTCGATTGCCGCTGGCTTGTCGTTTTCGTGAAACTCTTAAGTGGTCCCAAGCCTTTGATCTGCTATATCTGCAAGCCACTCAAATGACTCATCCAGGAAATTTGCAAGCCGTTCCGCAAAATCGAGAAACGATTCACTAGCGTTTGACACCAACTGCCGTCCTATTTGTCTCATTGGTTGTAGTACTGCCTTGTCCGAGGTCCCGGTAATGCCGTACTATATCGCCTGCTACTAGGATGTTCACAACATTGTACCATGAGCATTTTGCGTTCTTGTGAGGCACACACTTAATGAATCCATCTTCGTGCTGTGTATGTGCATGTGAAATCTCGAGATTCCGATCCACCCGGATTATCGGGCAGGGTTGTACATTACGACCAGGAACTTTCTCCAAGATAGAGTGAACAAAGAGCAGCAGGGCCCCCGCGATGAAGAGCAGATACATACCATCTGCCGTTTTCGGTTCGTCGTTGCCGGCGATCTTCGCGCGCACATACGTATATGGACACATCTGTTCTGCGGCCCATACCAGATGTACTGCTTGGAGGTAAGCATTCGTGTTATTGCTGCCGTCTCCCTGCGGTAAGCGCAGTATGATGCGAGTATTCTGATACAGGTCGTTCACAGTTTGGATCCTGGAACGTCCGCCCTGCACCCAGCCTCGCAGTCTTAGTAGATCGTCTGATATTGATGTCGTGACAGTGATTTGGGCACTGAGATAGCATGCACGGATTTCGCGGAGCATAAAACTGGCGTGAAAATAAGAAGGTATCTCGTTACTCATGATCTGGCTATCCAGTTCATAGTGCATCTTGATCTCTTCGTTGGGAACGACATGTCTGATGAATTGAAATTTAAACCTGCCATCGTCGGCTTCCATTACACCGGCAATCGTCTTTGGCTGCACAATCGCGAAGCGGCGTTTGCACTGCAGGAGCGACGAAGGCTCATTTTGGATTTGGCGACAGGCTGTCATAAGACCTAAGCGATCACTCATCGAGATGTAGCCACCGTTGCATCTGGCTAGTAGCTGCACTGCGGAGCGGCTTGTGGGGAAATGCATTTGTAGATCGTGTTTCGGATTTCCGGTGGCAGAGCGAAGAATGACGTCGCGGAAGATTGTGTACTGTGAGGTAGTGAGATGGCTTGGTGGAGGCGGTGGTGCTGCTTCCTTATCCGGTTCGCGGTAACTGTAAGCCCAGGACACTACATGTGTTACATGGTTACCCACTAACCAATCAGTCCTCTACTTTATGTGTTTAAGTTTACATCATGGACATCTCTGTCCAACACACACAAGAATACACAACAGAAAATACGTGCCAACTTCATCTCCAACTGTTTACAGCAACTGTGCAGGCGGGAATTGTTCGAGGCGCAGGAATCGTTTCGCTGTTTAGGATCGAGCGTATGTGCGGTTGGGAGGCCGGCAGAATAATCAGCAGCGGAAGGCTGGTGGTTGTGGAAAGGGCCCTGGCGGCGGACGCGGTTTCCAGAAGCAGAGTGGCACGTGCGCAAGCTTGAGATAAAGGTGAAGGTGCGACCGCGGAACCTTATCGTGATCATCACGAGAGTAGTGTGAGCATTCTTGAAGGCCAAGAAGACTAACTTTAGAAACAAAGCCGGGGCGTTGCGCTTACATTATGATCAGTTCTAGCTTTCTATTTCGATATGCAATGGCATTTTGCCACTGTGGGAGAGATGAGGAGAGGTTGCTCTATATAGTCCAAAGATATGTTATTGTTCTGTCTGTTGTGATGGCATTTTTTATGGCCATCAGGGGGATCTGTTTACATGATGTATCTATGATACAGATGGGTGTGGAAAGTGCTTGTCAAGGGGAGTAGGAACCACTACACTAACAGATGGTACATGGGACATCCATACCCCATGAACCGTCATACGTTTCCCATCCTGGTGCAAGATCTCATTCTCAGCACACTCAATGCAGTGCAACACGAGCTTCGCCGAGGCAGGGAAATATAACCAAATATCCAAGCACGGGGCCAGACGTTGCTTAGCAGGATGCAGACGTTCCGGTCAAGCTATGATGTGGATGCTCCCGTTGACTTGATGACTAGCTGGAAACCACATTGTGTTACCCACGTCACACAATGGCGCCGCCACTCACCCCACAAGCCTTGGATAATGCCTGAGGGGTAGTTGAGTGGCCGTTCGGGAGATATTCAGCCCTTTCACTGCTTGCCCATTGTTCGTGTTGGCGAGAGAAGATGTCTGCGGTGATCGGGAATTATCAGCCCTATGTGCGCGACTCATCCCATCATCGAGACCGACTGCTGTTCACACATGTTCCATAGCTGAGTGGAGGAAGTTGGATGAAGAAAGTTTGTTCTTGACAGTTTAGAGGTGTAAATTCGCTTGAGAACGCGCTATAGTCCCCTTCACGATCGCCAAGTTTAGGGTTAGTGTAATGCACAGTAGACCTCCTCTCTGCACCAGCACTCAGCCCTCCCTGCATGCTTCTAAGCATCGCAGAAAGTGGATGAATAGGAGCAAGGAAAGCAGATGAAGATAGGTAAGGCGTTGCTAAGGCGCAGCCAGAAGCTTAACATAAGTGCCTACGAACTACATCGATGAGTCCGGGAACTCTTACTGATGAATCCCCCACTTACTGATATTCTGGCCTGTACATGATTCAGTTCCGAACTCATGCCCTCCGACATTAAGATCAACTTCATGTAACATTAATCAAAAAGGGCGATTGTCAACTTGAAAGTCTGTTAGTTCGTGAACAAACCCAAACTGCAAAATCACGCTAGCGATTATAAGTGCTGTTTGATTTGCCTCTATAATTTGGTTGTGTTGTAGTGTAGCAATCTTGCCAAAAGTTGTGTGTTATTCTTCCTTAGTGCTGCTGCTAACGCCAACACTCCTGCTCTATCAACGCCCTACTTCTACTCATCACTACGCCTTCTTCTCTCTACCTCTCCTGCCCGAAACATATAGATTACGTGCGCAGAAAACTATAAGCTAACAGGAGCGAGTCCTGAGCAGCTAATCAGCAGTGGTGCTTTTCCCTAAGTTAGGCCTTCCAATGGTTGACAAACGCAAAGCTCGCCATCCGACTATTTCACAAATTTCCAGGGTTCCTCTTGAAAGTCCCAACTTTGTCCTCGACTCTTGTGCCACCCACGAGCCTGTCGATGGCATTAGTGCTGAACAATGTTAGGCCACGTACATACAATTCCGCTGAGGACATCTCCTTCACAACTGCCACGTGCAGTGAAGCGGGGCAAGAGCCCTTCGCTAAGTTTACTTCAAGATAGGCTTCTGTAGTGCGCCAAGTACGCCCCCTTCATACAGCATAATACAATGATGTTCAGAGAAAAGCAGAGAAGAAAGTGATGGGTACAAGGTCTGACTATGTCGGTAGCTGTTGGAGGGGTGAAGGTATCCACCGATCGCCATCTGTTTGCTAGCGGTCCGCTGCACTGAGTGTCCAGCTCATTTGGTTAGCTCGGTTTGCTTCCCCAACCCTTCACTGCTATCCCCTTCTACTATATAGTCCCGATCGATTCCAGCCAATAGCTAAAAGAATCAATCAACATCTCAACCCTTCCAAAGTAGCAGACTACCTAGTCCAGTGTGTTACAGGTTAGATATATAGTCGTTTTCTACTGGCTAGATCACAATTCAGAGCAGTATTCCATCATCTCGATAGTCCTACATTGTCGTTCACCGTAGCTATCAGTGTACTACAGCGGCCTACACCGCCACAAGTAAGGATCAACAAGGCTCCGCCCTAGCTCAGTCAAGAGGCTCCATCTACTAGAAGCGTTGAGTGAGTCCAGAATCCTCCACTGAACTGCGTGTTACTCGATGCTGCCCAGAGTCACTGGTTAGAAGTGATCGTCCCTGCAAGGGAGGAAGCTGCCCGGCTTTTCCACCGCTACTACGCATTCAAGAACGTGTGTCGCGCTGAAGAACTAGTAGCCCTTTGTCTGGAACGACCGAGATCTTGCTGCAGAGGGTCAGTAGGCCGTTCATGGTCTGCAGCTTGTCATACAATATTGCAACAAAGTCCGTGCCCCGAGAAGTAAGGACGTAGCAGGGACAGGTTCTCAAAGGCCCGTAAAGGTCCATCTAGACTGTGTGCAACGAAACCGTATGCATTCAAGCATGTACATTATCTAGGTGTCGGGCCATCGGGTCGTACAATCGCATTCGATGCGAGGAAGCAGCTTGGCAGAACCGACAAACCACATTTAAGATCTCTTCGCCCTCCAGAAAACTTCATTGTTATCTCCATAATCACATCAAATTCACGCTCATCAATCATGCACTATTCCATCTTCACCACCATCCTATCCCTATCACTCCTCCCAACCATCCTAGCAGAGTCCTGCCTCAACGGAGCAGGGACCTGTACCACGAAATCTGACTGCCTCAACAAAAGGTTCGGCAGCGTGTCTACCGGTCTTTGCTCTGGCGGATCGAATAATCTATGCTGCGATCTGAAGGGGGACTATCAGTGCGGTGCGAATGGAAAGGGTACGTTCGTTGTCAGGTTGGTGAATAATCAGGAGAACATGCTAACTGATGACATAGGGCGCTGCAAGTCTACGTCGCAGGGTTGTTCGAAATCTTGGAAGAGCGGATTTTGTCCGTACGGGAGTGATTTCAAATGTTGCATTTAGTTGCAAATGGAAAGGGCAATAACAATCGAATAGCTCCGCGCCGGAGGCATTACACCATGATTTGCCACTTTTGATATAGAAGTCAAAATGGATCTATGAAGACTTTTCGCATTGTTAATGGACACACGTTGGCTCTATGATGTGATAAGTCACTTGTATCTTTGCTAGCAACTTGCCGACAGCTGTCTAATTCCTCAAAACTATGACAAGCGTCGTCATTTGTCCGTCAATATAACCCACCAATACAATCCACCAGTGCGATCTGTTGCGGTATCAGCTGGTCTGTACAAGACCTGATTACTCTTGCTTAGAATGTTCTAGACTAATATGTTGCAGGGCCAGTATATATCGTCTTCTCCTAGCTAGATAGCAACTCAGCGCAGTATTACAACGACCCAATAGCCCTACGTTATTGTTTACCGTAGCTATCAGTATACTAAAACGGCCCACGCCGCTACACGATCGCAGCACCGAGCAATGACTTTTTATCTACCTCTCCGTATTCATACAAGTGCCAACCCGGCTGTCCCGGCTCTAGACCACCATCAGGTTGTCCTATATAGCATGCCATATTTCCGCGTGCAACCAGCTATCGATTACTGTCCATTTGTAGAGGTTGCTGGTGAGCAGCTTGACCTTTCCATCTGCCAATTGAAACTTTGCATATCGTATGTGGAAATAGCCATCAACCCATATCTTCGGGCACGGCTTGGGTCTGAGCTTTGGATACTTTACGATCAATTGACGCATAAAAGAACAGTACCCCTGCACACAAGTCGACCAGCTGTGTTTCGTTGGACGCAAAGCTATTGGGACATTCGATGCGCATCTGTACATTGTCTTCAATCGGATATCTCCTTAACTTTGGATTGGATGTAGCGCTCAGCAAGCTGCTCGCATCAAACGAATGGAGATGAGTTAGAAACGTTTATTAATCGTGAACTTCAATACGATCACTGTTTCGAAGTCCGCAAAAACGCTATACGGGGCTGGGATAGCGTGACCTTCAGCCAGGCACTCCTGCAGGGCTCGGAAGTCGTTGAACGTTGATATCCGGTCTAATGTACTCATCTCAGCGATGAGAGTTGCATTGGGTGCTCGATGCCGATGACGCGGAACCACTCGATGATTTACAGCAACACCGGTATGTTCCTGGCCAGGGTACGACGACCGAGATCGTACATGAGATAGAGGCCCCCTGAGGGAAGTATCTCATCAAGTATCCAGTTCTTGGAATTCACATCGCTGTCTATATCGTAGAGACATTCGCGGAATAGGCCGTCGGTGATCTGTGGCTGGATGATCGAGAATCGCCGCTGACCTCGCAAGAGACTTGTTGCTTCCTTCTGAACCTGTCGACATGTACTCAGCAGACCAAGACGATCAGACACGACGATGAAGCCCTACCCACTTCTACACGCCAGGAGCTGAACGGCTGACTTTTCTGCAGGAAAGAGGAAGCCATATATCGCATTCCAAATCTCCGCTGATAGGTGAAATTGGAGGTAGCACAGGCGGTCCTCAGAGACGCGACGGCTTTGTGCATCTCGTATGCAACGATTCGATGTGAGTGAGCACCAAAGAGACCGAGCGCAGGAAGACGTTAGTAAGAAGCAAGCGAATGTGCACTCATGGTGAAGGTAGGCGCGCCGACCTGACGGCACACGTCACCAGAAGAAGAATAGCACCTCTGCCACAAAGATTGAGATGGGTTACTTGATTATCGCTTCAGTGCAATACTCACAGAAGCTCGGCTAGGTAGCAAATCCACCGACCACATGTTGTCGTGTTCATATCTGGGTGAGTATTGTTCAATGAAAGCCTCAAAACGCTTCTGAATACCTTCATACTAGTGTTACTGGTTTTGCTTGTACGATAGATATTGATCGTAATAGACCTCCTCTTCAACATAACCATCGTGATTCTAGTAGTCAATTTTCCAGTAGTCGCTCTGCTCGTGATCGCAAGAGTCATGCTCCTGAGGCATGTTTTACTACCTCGTCGTAAACCTCTGTTGGCATCTCAGAAAACTTGTCGTCTCAATGTGAACTTGTCGGCAAATCGAAATCAACCCAAGTCGATCGCTCATCTGCATGTAGCCACCAGTCCTGCGCGCCAGGGTTTGAACTGCTGAACATCCTGCGGGGAAGATGAAGCCGTGGATGGCGTTCCTGTTTTCTGCCGGTAGGTCGAGGAAAGACAGGTGAGTGGTATCTGCTGATGGCAATCACTCCGCTGGGAGCGTTAATCTTGAGTGTGCGTCTGACATCGGTTCCGCGTTAGCTCCCTGGCTGCGCGAAAACGAGGAAGAGGGGTGAGGTGGAGAGATGTGCGAGAAAGGATAAAACCAAACAGGGCACGCCAAGTCGAAGTGAAACCAAGCACGCACTTGATGTCAGAAGGCCCGCAAACCAGCAGGAACGCTCCAAAAAAATGTGCAAAGAATAACGCTAGCAATACCTAGAGGTCGAAGTCATAAAAATTTTCAATCTCCCCATCTCTCCTCATCCTAGCAATGGCATCCGCATCCTACGCAGTCCACCTCTTACTGTAACCACCCCCGTAGCCTCCACCATACCCGCCCTTCGGCTTGTAGCACTTCAACCACTGCCCCAGCGCATCAATGAAGTACTTCCGGCTGATGGCTCCGCCTGCAAAGTACGTCCTGAAGTCGTAGCAGTGCTGTGCATCGGGCAAGGTGTAACCAAATAGCTCCCTCTTGCTCGTCTCAACCCCACATTTTGGCGCCTCAGTAAATGCATTAACCTTGGGCGCGAACGGCTCAGTGCTGAGCGGGCTCAGTGTGCGCCAGGGATCGAACTCACCACCAGACCAGTACACGTTACTGGGACGAATGTCCCAGCCGCCAAAGACCTTGTTGGTGCGATCGGTGTTGGGCCATTCGGGCAGCAAGCTGCGCGGTGCGTCGGGAAATTGACGGTGGCAGATGTCGTGCTGGTGCTGGAGAGAGTTGTACTTGGAGACGATCTGGTTGGGGCCGAGGTTTGCGGACTGGAAGTAGCCCCATTGCGTGCAGTATTGCCAGGTCCAGCTGATGGAGGAGGGCCCGCTGAAGCGCTTGTTAAGGTCACAGGTGCCGGTCACGTTCTGCTTGCCGGAACATTCGGTCTCCATATAGCTGTTGACGAGGGGCGCGAAGGTCTTCCAGGAAGCCCAGCGGTCGACCACAGATTTGGCGCCCTTGGACTTGGCCCATCCCTCGGCGGGAGCAGTTGTGTTAGTCTTGGGGTCGGTCTCGATGTAGTCGCAGAATGCGCGAAGACCGCCAGAGCCACCATCCACGCCGTATGATTGCCAGAGGTAATGGATAGTGGTGAGAGCATCAGCAAAGGTAGCGTGGGAGTTTGAGGCCGCGCCTTTCCCGAGGAACTGCTCTTTGAGCTTGGCAGCTGCAGAACGGTCGGTGTCGAGAATGTTGTCGATGTACTTGACTGCGGCCTTGATATCTTGAGTGCAGTTCCCGAAGCCATACTTGTTCATACCGCGGTAGATGGGCTCGAAGTAGAACGACTGGTCAACACTGGCTTGGACTGGGGCAGACGACGCGTAGCCGGCGTAGATAGTATCGGGGTACTTGTCCCGGATAAAAGCGGCGCGCATAGCCGGATATGAGCCACCAATAAAGATCCAGGGTGTCTTATCGGGGGTTAGAGTGGCATTAATGTTCTTCCTTTTAAACTGCTTGGCGAACTGGTCCACATCGGCAAGCGACTGCTCAGTGGTGAGGTACTTGAAGGTCTCAGCCGGAGTGTCGAGGTTGATAGGTGCGGGTGTTGAGTTGCCGTCTGTTGAGCAGGTCAGTATTACGTACCGCACTTGAACGAAGTGTAAGGCCCCCGGCAGGGAGGTAATGTACTCACAAAATCGGTGCTCCCAAGCAATTCCCACACCACCAAACTGGTCCACAATCTGCTTGAAGAAACTCGTCTCGTTCTGCAGCCTAAATTGCCAGCTCCCCGAAGCATCCGTCTCACCAACATCGTAGATGAAAACCGGACCACCGGCCTTATACCCAGACTCTGCAACCCAGAACCTATTGTTGAATGTATCCTTGCTCTTACCAAAGTGGTCCAGCTTCAAAGTCACGTACTCCGCGGTGATGGTCTCTGCGGCCTGTCTGGACTCGATGTCGACGGAGTCCTTCACAGTGGTGCCAATGCGAAGGCTCCTCGCGATGTTATCCGCAGTTGCTGTCTCGATTGCCGAGCCGTCGGCGTTGAGACCCATATCCGCGAGCAGATTAAAGTCGCGGGATTTGGCGGCGTTGAAGGCATCTGCGCCTTGCAGCAGCGCGAAGGCGAGCGCCGCGAGGGAGGGGGCGGTCCGCATGTTGACGGAGTGGGCGCTGGAGCGTAAGAAGAGGAAGCAATAAGAAGATAGGTAACGGACTTGGCCGTGAATACCTCTTGCCTTACTCTACCTTCGATCGGACGCGATGGCTCTTGTAGAAACAGGAGAGAGGCGCGATCAACCACATATTTGCGGTACAACGATGCATATATACCCCCGAGCAATTCACCACCTGATCCCAGCGGGCCGGATAGTCGTTCATCTCGAATTACGCCGCGGACTACACCCATACTATACCACGGCAATTAAGCCTAATTAGGAAGGTATGAGGCTGTCTTGGCAGGGACGATTGCACGAACGGAAGGCGCGAGCATGTTATCAAGCTTTCCTGCGCCACGATCCACTTTCTCTTAGTCTTACTTTCCGTAACGGACACAAGTTTGGCGATGCTTGACTGTGCAGAACGTTGCTGTTGGTCGAGCATGGCGCGCGTGCAGATCGTTTGCATCGTTAATTTGACGTCCGGTCAAATGAGCGGGTATAACAGGTAGTTCGGCCGAGAGTAAACATGCGGGTGTTTATTTCTTGTTGTTGCACGCGACGTTATTTGATTGGTGTCTTGCCACACCGTGACTGTCTCGTCAAGACCGATGCCATGCGCTCGTTCTCGTATATTATCGCCTGGCTACATACGCCTAGCGGTGCACTGCTGTACAGTCTACATTGCATATTAGTGGTTTCAAGGGTAATCCTATACGGCCATCCATAGTGCCGTTTCTTCCTCAAAATGCCTTCAAAGTTCCTCCTCTTACGCCCATCACTGGTGATGTGGCGCCCCATTAGTAGCCCCCGGAAATGCAACACCAGGCCAATGGAAATGCCCCAAATGCGCCTGATCAATGTGGGCCTGCGCATTCCCATCATGTCCATGTCCAGCATCTTGTTGTGCGCCATCCCGCCCACCAAGTGCCATGAGCGTAGTCGCGGTATTAAGATACTCGCCTTGCGGACCAACTGGCTGTTGCATATAAGTCTGCGCCCACTGCCGCCAGTCTTGCGGGCTGTAGTTGTTCGCGACATATGTCGGCTGGTGGCTGTTAGTGACTTGTGGCAGGCTCTGTGGGTAAACGTAGGTGTTGTTTGGCGCTTGAGAGGTAGTTCCCGTTGCTGTTGCTAGGGCGGCTGCATGGGAGGGGTTGATGCTGCTGTCTTCGTCGACTTTGATGTATGGTTGTTGGTCGTATGCGGTGTTTTGCTGAGTGACTGGCATTTGAGTGCCCATATTGTATGGCATGGCGACGTTACCGCCGTCCGTTAGGTTGGGATACCCAGAGCCTTGGGCGAGCGTGGGATCTGTCGGACTGGTAGTGTTGGCGGTGTATTGCTGCTCGTTGTAACCGCTTGTGTCGTATACGGCAGGGGGCGGATTTGGTTGCTGCTTCGTGTGCATGGCCACTCGTGCCAGGGATTCTGTTGCAGTCCGCTGGACGATGCTCTCGTTGATGTTGCCCAACGCTTGATCGACAATCTTGGATATTGCTTTCTTCATCTTGTCCTCTGTACCTGTGCATGGTGTTAGCGTGGTTCTGCTGTCCGTCCGGTAGCAAGACTCACCTGACAGTTGACTACACTCGTCAAGTACGTTGCTCCATGTAGCCATATCACCCTTCAATCTCGTCATATCGACAGGCGTAAGAAGATCCTTCCGCATCGATGAGATGAACAAGGTTGTGAAGACCGCAGCGATGTACACCACCGTGTTGATCCAGACAATGTCCAAGCTCTTCTTGTGCATCATTTCGGTGCAGTTGTGCAGCATCTTCTGCGACGCTTCCATGCACTTGTCAAGGTTCGAGGACAAGATCGCAGGGTCGATGGACCTGCACACGGCAGGATGATGTAGCAAAAGTTGGAACTCTTGGTACCAGTACTCGAGGTACAATGCGAAGATGTGATCGTCTTGTGAAGCTCGAGATGGATCTCGCAGCTCGTACGGCAGCTCGTCTTTCCACTGCTGGATACCAGCTTCGAGTCGCTTCAATGACTCTACATACAAGCGTGGCGTGTAGCGTACAGCATATATGGTCTTGTACAGGTCTAGCTCCCAGACGGTGTACTTTGCAATCTGTATGCCCACTTGAAAAGAGCACTGGTGGAAGGGGCTCAGACTGGCCTCTTCGCCAGGTAGACAGTCATTCATCGGCTCGGGGAACTCGACGTCAATGTCGTTGTTGCTGATTGGCATCGGTCTTCCCAGCTTGCCAGCCAGACTCACCTGCAGGGCGTTTATCGTCCAGAAGATGCGCTTCCGCATCTCGGTTTCCAGCTCGCTAAGCTCCGTGCCGGAATCAGACCAGTTCTTCACCGACCGATGCAGACCAATCTCTAGTGCATACAGATACGTAAGAGATGTCATGATCCACGCCGCGCCGGGTTTGGGGAAGTTGCGAAGGTGATGGCAGATCATGGCCAAGGCCTGGACATCGGCGAGTTCATGCTGTCCAAGGAGGAGAAGTTTGTAGAAGCTGCAGGCATACTGGTAGTGCGCATGTGACTCGTCCAGCAAAGAACTCTGCTGGCTGTTGCGGGCTGCGATCTGATACTTGATCGTCGCAAGCATCATGTGCACCATGACACTCTCAGGCGGGGTAGGCGTGAAGTTAGGGTCCTTGCCGAATCTCCAGACCAGATCCATGAACGCAGGCTTGTGGACTAGCATGGTGTACGGGTTCAGCGACCGCAGATACCAGGTCGCCCATTCCTTCAACGCCTCATACGGTGGCAACGGCGCAGGCTCGACGTGCTGGCCACCAACACAGATTTTGACCAGCGTCTGGTACGACATGGGCGAGTTATTATACTCGGTGCCCTCCTGCACAAAATCGGTGATGTCGATCTCAGTTCCAAAGACTGACAGCGAAGTGCCCCTTATGTGACTCAGTAGCGAGTCTCCAGATGCCACGCCCAGGTAGTTGTCGCCGATGGACCCGTACTTGAACTGGGGCAGGGAGCGGAGATCGGCCTTGTCGCCAGCAGGTGCATAGCCAGACATAGGCGATGCGCTGGGCTGCCGTTGCGCATTCGACCAGTCCTGCGTGTCGCCAGCTGGAGCTGTCGGTGGCCAGGACATGTTGCCATAGGCAGGCGGTGCGCGCGGCTCGACACCCATCTCCTGCAGCTGGGCCTGCAGGTCGGCGAGGTGGGCGCGCAGGTATGTGTTCTCGCTCTCCATGGCCTCAGCATGGCCTCGGACGGTGGCCTTGCCGGTGATGCGGTCGGTGGTGCGGCATTGCGTGCGGTTCTGCTCGCAGGGCGTGCATCCCTCGGGGCGGCCATCGCAGCGAATTTTGCGAATCTGCCGTCGTCAGCATGCTGTATATAGTGTTGCGATATAGTTCGCCGTGGTCGCGCGCATGCTTCGCCCGTCGCGGTGGGGCTGGGCCTCGGTCTGCGACGCGTGCGCAACAGGAGCCAGAATTGACTGCACAAAACGCTGCACGGCCCGACGTCGTGGTGTTGCGCACCAATGCGCCTCGCACAGCGCAATTGGGGCTGTCAAGCACTACAAGAGAGGATTGCACACACCTTACATCGATCACACGCCTGCCCCGTCCGCTTCGAGTCGGCGAGCTTTCTCTTGACGGAGCCCGAGAAGTCGTTGTTGCTGTGGTTCAGGCGCTGATGCGGGCTCACGCTCGTCTGGTGCCCCTGGGGGAGGCCATGGCTGCCGTGCTCGATGCGCTGGATCTTGTTGTTGTTAGCGAGGCTCGCGTCGTCGTCGGACATGCGCTTCGTTCCGGATGCCATGATAGATGCGAGTACGGTATCTTCCGAGTTGCGCCTCACGCGCGAACAACCCGGATGCTGACTGGCCCGTGTTTTGCTAGATGTCCAGAATCATGGCCCTGCAGCTCTGTGCCTCCTTTCTTTGCAACTGTATAGTAGATGAGAATCAACGTTATGGCGAACACTCCAGCCTGCTGCATCCAGGAAGAACATGAGGTGCTCGGCGAAGGGGACGCGGATCAATTCCCGTGATCGCAGTCTGCAGTCCATGCGCCACTCTCGACTGGCCGACCCTTCATGCTAACCATCCAAACTCTGAACCGCTAACCTGCTGTCACAACCAGCTCACGCTTCGCTCCTGACATGCCGACAAGCGCACATTAGCTTTGGGTCGCCGTGCTCCAGTTCCTTGATTCACTGCATGCACCTCCGGCTGCACTTTCCAATACCGTTTTGACCCTAATCCATTTGCCAAGCCCAAATCACATCGAACTACATTTGAAAGGGACCCCGCTACTGCCCAAAGCGGCGAGAGAGATGCACACTCACACCCCAACTCCAACAACTAGACTGGAGCGGAACATCAGCCCATATCTGCAGCCATGGCTGCGGTACGGACCTTCACGCTGCCGCACTACTCAGCCTACCCCGTGCAGGTCGCCCTATTCAGGGACGTCAAGAATGCCGAGTACCTGAGGAGTCAACTGCTGGCTGCGAATCCAGAGTTCGATTATGCGTTTCTTGATGCTGCGATGGTGAGTCTCCATCCATACCTTCACAACCCAATCCCAATCTTCAATCGAGATGAGTTGGGGTTTTACGAACGCGCGTCCCGTCACACGACCTTGTCGTATCTGTCCAGCGCTTCAAACTTTTCATATCTTCGACCCCAGTCTCTTGCCCCGTTTTCGAGTCGTGTTCAGCCTGGTTGTCAGACTTTAAACCTTATTGCCCTGACACGAGCCTTCAATCAACGTCGCCAGCTTCACGTTGGACGCCACAACGTGTCTGTGATCTGCACGATTGTCACGTTCAACCTGTTGCTGGTGTGGCTTTTGTTCTGGACCTTGCTGTTTTTGCTTGTTTATCAGATGGCTTCAGATGTCGTTTTCCTTGGCATGGGAGATGGTCCGGATGTATCCCTCCCGAGCGTTCGAGGATTGCGGTTGAGAACGGCTACATCGTGTCCATCTTGTTGCGTTGCGTCTTCAACTACTCTGATCCGTATGGAGTAGTCTCAACCAGCATCAGGATCGTCGTGAGCACCACGAGCAATCCTTCCTTTATACTCTACACCTTACGCATGCACAACTCGTTCTGCCTTACACATAACACATTACACACTCTACCCATTCGTTCGACCCATTCGTTCGGACTGTCTCTCTCCAAACAGATAGAGCCTCTTCTTTTTCGCCATACGCTGCACGAACTCTTCCGTCTTAGTCTGCGCATTGACTCCTGCAGACCGTGCTAACTTCATCTTCTAGATCCTCACACCCACACACCTCTCAGCCGCCTCCTTCCTCGCCCTGCACGCCTTCCTCAACTCAACACACAAGACAAGAACCCCGCACAGCGAACTCGTCTTCCGCCTCTCCCCAAACAACAACATCGGCGAGAGCTACAAGACCTTCGGCATCACGCAGAGCACCACCAGCTTAATCGCTGTAAAGCTGCCGATAAAGGCAGACGGCAGCATCGATTCCAGCATCTCGAACGAAAGTGTAAGTGCCCATCTTGGTGCGGTGGTTGAGGGCCAGAGTGTCGAGTTGAGCGAGGGGATCGAGGAGTTGGGGGATGCGGCGGAAGTGCATAGGATCAAAAAGGCCTACAAGATTACTTGTGCGAAGGGGGGGAAGAAAGGGGCGAAGGGGATCAATGGAGACGCGGGGAAGAAGGACGACAGGTCCGACATTGAGAGTGTGATCTTGGGAACTATCGCGCTGAAGGGATCGTGAAAGCTTGTGGGCAGTTGATGAGGAATGAGTCTGTATCTGACGAGCATTGACTCTGAATAAGCTGGAATACCGCCTACCTTGGACACATATCTTCACTTATCGTGACTCCCGCAACCTGGTGGCATAGGTTTTGAGTGGCCCCAGTTGCCGATGATACCTTATCGCAGCGTGGTGAGCATTGCAGGCATAGCAAACATGGGCCTGAAGTTGGGACTATCCGGGCGACCTTTGCCACCCCAGAGATCCGGGCACACCAAAGGCATCGTGCAGACCTATTAGGGTTGAGCTAAGCTGCATCGACAAGACAGCCTTTTACAGAATCGTTACCTCGGCGTTGCACTGCAAAGCGCAGGTCAAAAAGAGTAGTCTGAGGTTTGTCAGACTGCTGGCACCACAAAGGCAGACACGCTCAAGACAAAAGAGGTGTTCAGCGTCTAGAAATCTTAGGCTCCTTCCCACACCAACTATGCTACATGGACCGTATAGATACAAGACCAATTCTATCGGGATATCTCAAGCCTAGACGTGCAAATACTCGGGCTTGAGGAAGTCGACCATGTTCTTTGGCCTGGGGTAAGGGTTCTCTGTTTTCTCATTAGCAATTTCTTCAGTCTTTTTGGGTATGGCTGAACGCACCGTGGTGGTCGTGGCCGTGGTCGTGGGAGTGGGGGTCCTCCGCGGGGCCAACGTAGTGCATCTTGTAGGTGGATCCACACTCCATGCAGCGGGACTGGGGCTCGTCGCGGGAGAGCTGTAGCGTGTTAGCCGTCGAACAATGCAGTGATGTCTGGTCGTCATACGGTGATCCACAGGACGGTGTGCGAGTCAACGGGGTAGCCGGTGCAACCGACGTACTGCTCGTTACCGGCAGAGTTGACAACGATGGGGTCCTCCGGGGTGCCTGCATTCATCAGCCGCCGCACTGCGCCACAAGTGTACTTTGCGACATACCGAGACGGCTGGCGTCGAGGGGCCTCATGTCGAAGACGTCAACGCCCTGCATCTTTCCGAGGATTTCGAGACGCTCGAGACCGGTCGACTGCTCAGCATCGGTGGGCACGGTACCGGGCTTAGCACCAGGGGGGATGAGGTCTTCCATGGCCTTGATCTCTGCGTGCGCATCAGCAATTGACCCCGTTTGATAGGCCAGCCCGGCTTTGCTTCATGTCGGGAAAAGCTGGCGGCGTCACGTACGGTCGAGCTTCTTGAAGCCCTCGAGGACGCTGGGGGCGTTGGCGGAGTGGCCGGCCTCTTTCTCGTGGGTGGCCTCGGGCTTCGCGTCGCCTGCAATGGAGTCAATGGTGTGTCGTACGATAGCTCCCGGGGGGTCCCTTACGGCGCACAAAGGTGGTGGTGAAGGTGCGGCGAGCGACGGCGGCAGGGGCCGCGCGCCTGGCGGCGGCAATGGCAGAGCGCTGGAGGAACATGGCGCGAGCAATTGAGGTGGAGTGGAGAGGTGGGCGTGGGCGGTCGAGCTTGGGGTGCGATGAGTTGGACGTTCTGCATGATCGAACGAGCGAGCTTCGATTTCTTGGCATTGTGCTCTTACTCATCAAATCAGCCCTGTGCGACTGGCGGGCGCTGCATGCATGGATTCTTCCCTCAGCCCCGAGGTATCGCATATAGGCTACCATGGAACGAGGGCTTGCCGCCTTCACTTGACGCTGTATAGAAGTGCTGGTGCTTCTTGATGCTTGCTGACCATAAATTCTGTTGCCTGCGCACTCGCTACTTGATGCAGCTGTCGTAGACACCACCAAGACAGCACACTCACCCCTATAGCAATTACTACAACATGTCATTCAGGCCTGCACTCGTCGTCGTAGACGTGCAGGAAGACTTTTGCCCTCCGGTGAGTTCGTTTGCATTGCATCCGAGTGTTGTGCTGATTAGCAGAACGGCGCCCTGGCAGTCACAGGCGGGCGCGACATCGTGCCTACCATTAACGAGCTGCTGTCCCTTCCCTTCGCCCTGCGAGTCGCGACCAAAGACTTCCACCCGCAAGACCACATCTCGTTCGCCTCGAACCACCCTGCGCCCAACAACAAGCCGTTTGTCTCAACGGCGACCATCGAGAACCCGCTGAACCCAGCTGAGACACAGGAGACACAGCTGTGGCCTGACCACTGCGTGCAGGGCACCAAAGGCGCAGAGCTGCTCACGGAGCTTGACGTCAGCAAGGTGGACCGCATTGTAGAGAAGGGCCAGGACAAGCGCGTGGAGATGTACTCGGCCTTTGCAGACCCATTTCCTAGTCCATGCTCTCAGAGTGACCTGGCAGACACGCTGAAGAAGGCGGGTATCACGGATGTCTATGTTGCGGGTCTGGCTGCCGATTACTGCGTTAGGTTCACGGCGCTCGATGCGCAGAAGAATGGCTTCAAGACATGGGTCATCGGCGAGGCTACCAAGGCAGTCGATCCGTCATCGCTGGACGAAGTCTACAAAGGGTATGAGGAGGCTGGTGTCACGCTGATTGGAAAGGATGACAAGCAGATACAGAGGGTGATGGGGCTTGCATAGAGAAGTACTTCAGTAGATGCAGCATGCAAATGAATGTATGAATTTGTTCAAGACCATCTACAGTCAGCCTTGTCGGACCAGGAGCGTGCGTATTCCGAGTCTTGTCGTTGGGCAGCCGACGTATAGCGTATTGCTGTTTGTACGACCGGCACGGCGCGGGGCATGGCGAGGTCAAGAATCCTGACCGGTATCCGCGTGCACCGTCCCGTGACGATTGTTGATCGATAGCTGACCCTCGAGTACCGGAGATACCTCAGTGTCCTCGGAACCTGCTTCACGCTGTCTAGAGCCGTTGTCGATGTCGCCCTGACGTTGTTCGCCTGCATTGTTAGCAAACACCTTACTGCGGGGTCACTAGATTTTTGTCTATCAGCGCCATCGTCATCAGAGGCGCGCAGCTCACTCCCAACTCCTGGACCGCATCACAGCTGCAAGGCCTGTTTGTACCCACTGCCGGCTGCTCGGTCTGCTTCACAGTCCGAAATCTGCAGCAAATTGTTCTTTGTCTATAATCTCTCCTACCACTCTGCATCCAGCCTGCCGCCATGCCGCATTTACCTGGAGTCCACCGGCGCAAGAACTCGCTGACAGGTGCGTCACTGCGTTGAAACAGGCTATACGGATCTTCAGGGTCTGTTCACGGGAAGGAATGAGAGCTAACATGTGATGTTTGACACGTATACAGGCAGTGCGCGATCCTCCGTAGACGAATCTCGAGGCGATGAAGTCACAAAGGAGGATGAGACGGTCGTTGATGCAGAGCAAGGCAGCAGTACGTCAAGCAGACACCCGGGAAGAGCTGGACATGCGAGAAGAGCTGGCTGACTAGGACTGCAATACAGTGCTCTCGCACATCATATCACAGCTGCGCCCAGGAGCCGACCTGAGCCGCGTCACGCTGCCTACCTTTATCCTCGAGCCACGATCAATGCTGGAGCGCATCACCAAGTGAGACAGACCGTTCCGACGTATCCGCTGCGGTATGGATGCTGACAGGCAAACAGCTTCATGGCCCACCCCGAGACACTTCTGCCTCTGACCAAGATCGACGACCCTGTCCAGCGCTTTGTCGCAGTGACCAAGTTCTACCTCAGTGGATGGCACATTAAACCCCCGTATGCAATCCAAATACCTGAATAGCAAAGGACAGTGACTGATAGTATGGCAGAGGCGTCAAGAAGCCACTCAACCCGATCTTGGGTGAGATCTTCACTGGCTACTGGGACTACCCAGATGGCACCCAGGGCTACTACATCTCCGAGCAGACGTCGCACCACCCGCCAAAATCGAGCTACTTCTTCATGGCTCCCGAGCACCACATCCGGATCGACGGCACACTGAAGCCGAGGAGCAAATTCCTTGGCAACTCTGCTGCGAGTATGATGGAGGGCATTGCTGTCCTGAGGTTCTTGAACACTGGCGAGCGATTGTATGTGGAGCACAGTGACACGGGAGATAGCGACTAATGTTGCGCAGCTTCGTCACACAGCCAAACATTTACGTGCGCGGAATATTGTTCGGCACTATGAAGTACGAGCTCGGTGACCACGCCTACGTCCGATGCCCCGAGACCGGTATGGTGGCAGACATCGAGTTCAAGACCAAGGGCTACTTTAGCGGTGGCTACAACGCTATCGGCGGATTCATCAAGGACAAGAATGGCAAGGCTCTGTTCGAACTGTCAGGCTCGTGGAATGAGGATATGTACCTCAAGGACTTGACGGTAAGAAGTATTGTCGATTGGAGATATGTAAAGAACATGAATTAATGTCGTGCAGACTGGTAAGAAAGAGCTCTTCTTTGATGCATCAAAGACGCGGCACACTCCACCGAAGGCACGACCACTAGACGAGCAGGACGAGCGAGAGTCGCAGAGGCTTTGGCACGATGTCACAGAAGCCGTCAAGCGCAGAGATCAAGAGACAGCGACCACAGCGAAGGCTAGGATCGAGGACAGGCAAAGAGAGGAGACAGCGGCGAGAAACAACGATAACATCGATTGGCACCCCCAGCTGTTCCGAGCTATCAAGGGCGGACCCGGTGGTCCTGAAGAAGGCGAGGAAGACCTCGACTGGATCATCAATGCCAGAGTGTAAGTACTGACCACACACCTGTGTGTACAACATCAAACTGACGGACATAGTGACGGACAAACCCCGGAGGAACAAGTGAAGCAGATCCTTCAAATTCACGCCATACTGCCAGGCCAGAAGCCGGACAAGCAGTTCAGCATTCCTCACCGAAACAACAGCATTCAACAGACCCCATCCCAGCAGCAGCCTGCAGATCAACAACAACCCGCACAATCAGCAAACGGTGCGTCACTAGAACATCCAGAGCAGCAAAGAATACTTGCGCAGGAGGGAGCCCAACAGCAGCCTCCGGTTCAACTACACAAGCAGCAGCATGCTAAGCAGGAACCACAGGTGCAGCAGGTTCAGCAGCAGCTCGCTAGCGTAGAGCTCAATCAATCAACACTACAGGCCAAGCCAAACAACGGTTACGAGCCGATCAGTTTCAGTCCTTATCAGCCCGACTCAACGTATCCCCCGCCACCTGCGCAGAACCAGCCTGAGCAAAGTCAAACGACCGAGACCAACCCACCAAGCAAACTCTTGCACTCGAACCCAGCTCCCGAGCCAACACGAGACGACAAGCTGCGACGGAAAGATAGCGAGACGCAGGAGGAGGATGAGTTCCACGATGCGCATTCGTAGGTTACATTGACATGGGCTTATTGTTTCTTTCTTCTGCGGCATGTTGTCTTGAAGCGTTTCCTGGAGCTGCAGCTTACCTCAACAGTAGGCAAATCCCGAGCACTGAACATACATTGCGCCACGAGCGCAGCGACTATACACACACTTCTGATCGGTCTTGCCGTACGTGCTTCTCAACATGCACTGTGTCTTGATTACTTCATTTCCAAGCCCCTTCCACAGCGACCTTCCAAAAGCCCAAAGCGACACATACTCGAAGTTTACTAGATTTCTTTTCAACAAAAGGTTCCCGGATTAATTTGGTAGAAGGCCCAGTGGTAACTGGGTACAAACGCATCTCAACATACTTACTTTCATCTTCAAGCATATTGTATTCAATCCCAGAGTACCCACATGTATTGCAACATGGAGAAGAAAACAAATGACCTCAGTTAATGTGAGCAGGGGCCGATGACTCATTCAGCCACTGAATCGACAGACCTATGTTCGGAAATAACGACAATGTCTTCGTTGATGCCTACCCTCGATATAGGCGGCAACACGAAAACGGCATGGTGGCGCGCACATACCTTCAAATCGGTCGTAGCTGCTTGCCCGACATCTCGAACATCAACAGTTAAGCCTCGCTTCCCGTCTTTCCTGTTCTCTTCACAACTCTCGTAACTTCTTCTTTCGATTTTCTATTTACTCTCTTCTTCTTGTCTGACTCCACGATGGGTTCATGGGACTGCTACTGTGCACTATGCTCCGGCCCCCTGGGCATGCATGGGGTCAAAGTGGGGGATAGTACGATCAAAGCATTGGCGAGGAGGAAGCGAATCATCATGGAGAAGAGAGACGAGCTGGGAAAGCAGAGGCCTGAGACTAGCGCTTTCAAAGGCCCCGAGAAAGATTCTGACGAAGTGATGGATGGCGAAGACGAAGACATGGACGACGGATCCGCGCCTGCTGGGGAAACCTCCGGAATCGACGCAGCAGACTCGACTGCGTCGGGCACCGGTTCTCAGGTAGCTGTTGAGGATACAAACATGGAAGCCTGTGCTGCCACCAGTCATGACGGCGAGGATGACGAGAACGACAAGGATGACGACACAGACTCCGTAAGCTCTAATCTGAGCATCTCTTCTCGTTACAAAATGCATCATGGTACAGACCCAACCGATGACATGTACAGATACTACGAAGAAACATCTTATGATCCAAGACTGCTAGCCTTGAAAGACATCAAATGGCTCGACCGATGCCGAACTCTCGGCTACAATGCACAAGCCCCAGACGTCACGAAGGCCTTCATTTCCGGGCTCGGAAGATACGTCGACTACGGTAGTTTCGAGATTGTGAAGGCCGGGAATGATCCTAACGACATCGGGGCTGATGAGTACGACTGCTATACTGCCGGAGGCGGTGATGTTGATGACCCCACTTTCCCATTCCATGAAGCCTGCTACAGAGTGCTTGCCAAATATTTGGAATGCAGCGACTCGAAGGAGATTGACAAAGATGTTCTCTACGGCGTTGTGCGTCAGTGTGGCGAGGATTGGGGCGGCAATCTCAATCTGGACTATGGTGGCGTTCAAGCGGAGCAATTCTGGGATTGTCAACCAGGGGAAGAGGTACGTTCCTGGTAGACTAACAGCTTAGGTTGATCTTGCTGACTCCAGCAGTATCTTGTATGCAGTCCCGATCAAGACTCCGAACTGCAGCGCATTCTTCCCAGCCTGTTACCGGACGAACTCCTCTCAACATCAGCATCACCCGACCTCTCGCACAAAGTTCAACACGATCCACTTGGCGTTCTACACTTCGACATACTTTGCGGCATCTGTCAATGTCTGCCAATTGAAGATACTCTTAAGCTCATGCAAGCATCGTATCATGTTTCCAGCCTTACCCGCAACCGGACCTTCTGGAGACAAATGACGCGCTTGCACCTCGCACCATGGCTCTGGGAAACTAAGAACATTGCTTGTAATCGCGACCCGTACCCTGACTTCGACCACAAGGGCCTGTTTCTGTGGCTTGACAAGGTCACAAGACCTACGTTTGGCATGGAAGGACCGTTTATGGGCATCGCGAACCGTAGGCGCATCTGGAACGTTTGCGAACAGCTCGCTCCAGTGTATAACCTCAGAGTCAACCGCGCAAGGCGAGAAGAACCAGATGACGAGGACGCGCAAGTGGTGCTCGACACCGCAGTGAGCTTGCATATGCCAATGACTATGTACCCGCAGCCTGCAGATGCCCAAACCATCTCAGCTCAATTCGTCCGCTCTTGGGATGAGATCGAGAACCAGCCATCAGATGAAACCTAGTTCAACGAATCCTGCGCTTTGGTTGGCATCTCTATCAACTTTGGCGATCTGGAGAGAGCATTTGGTATCAATAAGGGCAAGAGGGGACAATCTTGTCACATACCTGCTCAAAAATTTGGATCAAAGAGATCGTCCCCATCCGTAGCAGACATACTTGGGAGAAAACAGAACAGCAGCGATGCCGAAAGGCTCCAAGATGTGGAGTCTGTACACGAATCTCCTATCGATGGACTTGATGTATTATTTTCAACTACAGAGGATCACCCTACTTTGCACGCTCTGGTACCCATCTTGCACCGTGATCTTATCGTTTGTTGAAGAGATGGGACCTCCGCTTCCTGAACAATTGAGGGGGACGACTGCGATGCTTGGTGCTTTGAGTATTGTGACGACGACTTTGAAGTGTTATGTTCGTCTGAGGATTATCAAGAAATGGGGCTGGGATGATAGCTTTACGCTGGCTGCATTCGTAAGAAACCCAATCTCACAATTGTACTCATACTGCCTAGATTACGGACATATAGTACACCATCACCCTCCTGACCGGCATCCACTACGGCACCTGCCAACGCGCAGCCGACACGCTGATTCACTCCATGCTATGCGCTGCTGGTGGCTCTGCTTTCTCGCCTGCGCCTCCACGATTACGTTAGCCAAACTCTCCCTTGGCTTCTTCTTCTTCTTCCGCCTGACCTCTATCATTACGCCGGGTCGTTACCCTCATCATCACCGCTTCCGCCGTCATCGGCGTTGTCTACTTATTCCTTTCCCTCTTCCAATGCGCCCCAACTGACCTCTTCGGACAAGGCTGCAGGGTGCGAAGGGGAAGTGCATCAGCATGGATGTCGTCATCGGTATGACATATCTCTACGGCGCCATTGCCGCAGCTACGGACATCGGTTTTCACATCCTCTTAAGAGCATCAGTATGGAGGTTGAACGTCGAACGGCGAACAAAAGTCCTCATTGCGCCCCTGTTGGGCATGGTGTATTGCGAGCTATGCTACGCTGGTTCCCATGCCGCATTTCCAAAACTTCAAGTCTGCAGACTTCTTGTACGGGACGGTTGATATTTCGCTCGGGTCGACCGTTGTGGTTGGCATTTCTGTCTTCGTTGCCAATTTAGCCACACTGCGACCGCTGATCCAGCATGTCGCCCACAGCGCACGCTCACTGTCATCACGCGTCCGCGGCCATACGGATGAGGAGGCACCGAGCAAAGAGAATAGTGCACATGAGCTAGGGCATTTCAGCGACGACAAGACGAAAGTCTCCACCAGGGTCGTTGAGCTGCCATCGGAAGCTATCGCAGGCAGACAGGCAGATGGGGAGAGTACAATTAGCCTTACGAGGGCGACACGGCATATCGAAGCATCATGGCGGCGGCAAAGAAAAAGTGGCGACGAAACGATGAGATTATACATTGTAATACATAGCGACTTCTCTGCAGTACGAACCAAAGCAACTACTGTTGGAAGGAGGTTCTGGCGGGTACCAACTACCACACTTACTAGCGTCTGTTTATTTGAGCAACTTCCATAGCTGAGATGAATCGATAACTCTTACATCCAACAACTACCAGGATACTCTAAGGGAACAACAAACCGTAAGACACCCAAAAATCTAGATCTTAGCAAACACTCCAATCTTCTACTCCATCCTCCGGCGTTTCTCACGCTCCACATCATCTCCATTAACATTCATACCCTCCCTATCGCCCTCATATTTCCGCTTCCCACCCACGCCATCTGCTAGCATCCCCTGTTGATACCCCGCTTCTTCCTCTTCCCAAACCACGCCGCGTCCTATCTTGATGTACCCCTGTCGCCGCGCGTTAGCGTCTTTGTTTATTACGCCATCTTTCAGCTTCTGACGCGGGGCCGCGACCGTCATTGCAAAGAATTCACCCTTCATCAACTTATCACAGCGTGTCTTGGAGAAACGAAGGAGGCCGCAAATCGCCTCCATGCGCTGCTCAAAGGTCAGTTCTTTGTCCATCTTGGTGGATGCGAGGGCGTTGGGGTCGTAGATTTGCAGCGAGGATGTGCCGCGGGTGTGCAGGGAGATGGTGAGATTCACGAGCTTCCAACATACTGCTTCCATCGCTTCAGGGTGATAGTATGCCGCGTTTCCCGGCCCAGTTATCCACCGCTTGCGGAAGGAGGACTGGTTGGTGTCTTCATTGCAAGCCGATATGTCTTCCATCGCATCAAGCAGCTCAGCAATCCAGAACACCTGTTCTGCTTGGGTTGTTGGAATGGAAAAGTCGGGTCGAGGGGTCCAGGAGTGCTTGAAGGGAAGCGAAGATGCGGCAGTTTCGGCTTGTGCGAGGCTGGTGAAGACGAGTTGGCGAGAAGGTTCTGGTGTCGCTTGTGGAACGTGTGGAGGGTGCTGGGGAAGAGGTGTTGACGGCTGAGGAAGGTCTTGCCTGATTTGAACGGGATGACCTTCGGGAAGCCACACTTGGTCGGGATGAAGGCCTACGTTACACATGTTGGCTGCGTACTGGACAGGTGGAATTTCCATGTACGGATACCCAATCTGCGGTGCAGTCGGCACAAACTGAGAATTTTGGTCTTGAACGTAGGAACACATCGGAAGAAAAGGAGACCTGAGACCTTTCAGTACACCAGCGACAGAGGCGTGCTGACTACCAGCCTGCACGTTGCCAGCATTAAGAAAGTTCAACGGTGTATGAGGTCGAGGCGGAGGATTAAATTGAAGGTGGTGTGGTATATCAGCCGAGTTCTTCTGCGCGTTATCCACGAGTGGGTCGGTCATGGCTTCGTCGTCGTTAAGAAGATGCGTGCTTTGATTCATTTCGTGGTAAATAATGGTTGAACGATAGTATTATTGACGGTGGTATGATGGTGAATTGTCTCGTCGTTGCTGGAACAGATTTAAATAATGTACTGGGTGCTGTAGTGAATGTAAGCATTGAGGCCGTGCATAAACGCATTCACTGCCGACAGATGTGGTGAAAAGTTTTTAGTGAAAATGTATGTCAAATCTCAACGGTCTGCAGCAAAATCATAGTCAGTCCATGTGGGCAGTCTGTTCCTGGGCTTCCAGCTGAACATATGTTGGAGACCGTGAGGGTGCGAGGAAGGCTTATGACAATCGTGATGGCTGTGAAATTGTTAAGGCTGCGGATGCAATAGGCTTGCGGCTTGATTGACTCTATAACAAGCATAGTGAATCACTGTGAAAGGATGTTTAAGTCGTTGAGGATGGGAAGAAATTACAAATTGAGCGATATGAGGGAAAATGAGAAATCCGACCAAGCACTGAACTAATTCTTCATGAAAACCGACTAGATACCTAACTATATATCTTTACGAATCAGTACTATATGCCTCATAGTCATTACAATCATAATAGTCGTCATATCTTTCGCCTGGCCTGACCGTGGTCTTCAGCGACATTATTGATTCATTGCGCAGCTCATCCTAGGTCACTCCGTCTGACTGTGGAGTCCTAACTTACAATGCCATTAATGAGGGCGGCGGGCAAAGGGCAAGCGTCAGCAAACAATCGTGTCTATGCATCATCGATGCTGGAGCTGCAATGCATTTGACAGCAGACAAGAAAGTTCATCCACGAACAAGGAGAGATGAGATTGCATCCGTCGGGACAGGCAGTGTCAGTAACCGTTTACTTTCGACCCACATCTTCGCCCTTTCGACATGCAACTCCAGTCAGGTCGGTGTTACGGCGAGCAATAGGTAGAACAGCTGCACGTGCAACGGCACAGGTAACACGTCTAGCAGGTGCTACAGGTTTGATGGATGCGGCAGGTGCTGCTACCTCGTGGCGAACGAAGCGACCTTGTGCATCCTGTTGAGGCTTATCCTTCTTCGCTATGAAATTCTTAGAAGCAGGAGCAGGTGTTGTGGACTTATGTGTAGGCTCATCGTTACCCTTCTTTGCGCGCTTTGCGAGAGGAGCGGCCTTGTCTTCTGACTCCTGGTCTTGATGTTCTGGCTTCTTCGACTTCTTGGAGCGATGTAGGTTCACTGCAACAAGAGGCCAAGTTGAAAAGGTGTTATGCCCGCTCTTGGACATATCGTTACGCTTGCGCTTGCGATTTGTGGAGGGAGGGCGAGTTGGGGAGGCGACCTCTGGTTGTTGAGATGCGCCCTCTTCATCTTGGTCTTCACCCTCAATATCTCCATCATCTTCGTTGGTGTCTTCATCGTTGTCTGATTCAGTTTCATTTGCTTGCTGATCAGATTTCTCGCCTTCATCTGCGTCTTGCTCGTCGGCATCTGCTGGTAAAAATTCTGCTCCGGGCTTGTCAGAAGCATCGGATTCATCGCCATCGTCAGATGAAAGAGGTGTCGCTTCACGTGCGGCAGAACTAAAAGCGTTCTTTCGCTGGCGCTTTGCCGGAGGATCTGGCTGTTCATCCTTCGACTCGGACTCTGACAGGCCAATCGCACGCTTGCCTGATTGTATCAGATTGATTAAATGATTGCATGACTGACCATTTGTCTTCATCTCTGCAGCTGCCCGAGCAAGCCGGCGAGCACGCAACTCTTCAAGATTCTTTGAAATTGGCTTCGGAGAGGCTCCTTCCGGCTCTGCGGCTCGAGCGCCTGCAGCTTCGATCTCAGCATGAGGTATACGGACCTGTGAAGAAGGCGCGTACGTTGACGGCATAGGCTTTAGGGAGGACTCAGGCGAAGCTGGTGATGCCGGTGCAGAAGGCAGACCTAAATAATTCGAAACTGTGGGTAATGGTACTGGAGCGGAAATCGGGGGCAATGGGAAGACAGGAGAAGCCACGGAAAAAGCCGAGAAAGCATTTTCAGAAGTCTTGCCTGGAGACGCAGAAGGCGTGCGTGGCGCTGGAGATGGCTTAGAAGAGATGAAGCGCTGAAGCTCGTCCGCCATTTCGAGATCAGACTCATCTACAACATTGTTGTCGAAAATTGATTGGCGACGTAAGAGTACAGGATGTTCATCCTCATCGTCAGAGTCTTCGCGTGTAGCTGTTCGTGAGCGAGCATTCGTCTTCGCACGAGGCGTCGTAGCTGGTGCAGAGCGCTTAGACTTTGGCTTGGTCTTGCACTGAGTTGGTTCGGAGACATTTGCCATGTTGACAATGACGTTCTGCTCATCGGGCTCCAGAATGCCATCCTCTCCAGGTGCGAGATGAAGCGGAGCCTCGTTGCGACCAAACGCGATCCACTTCTGACGCTTCTGGTTCTGCACCATCATCGTCTTCGCACCTGACATCTTCTGTTTGGGCGCACCAACCAGTGCTTCAATGCCCTCACCCTTCATCAAGTTGTCGCATAGGAACTTGGAGAGCTTAAGCATATCGCAGATAGCGACGATACGCTGCTCGAAAGTTAGGCCACGAGAAGCCTTTAGCTTTTTGAGTGCGTCCTGGCAATAGATATTTGTCGCGTAAGGACCGTGCGCGTGCAAGCGCTCTGCGATGTCGAGCATGTGCCAGCACACCTTCTCCATCTCTTGCACGTTGTAATAGCCAGGGCGCAGCCAGCGCTTGAGGAAAGAGAATCCTTCCTGGTTGTCCTTGCATTCTGAAGTATCTTGAAAGGCATTGAACATCATGACGACATATTTAGCGCGGTCTTGATGCGTGTTTGGGACAGTGTTGTCCGGTGAGGGGGCTTGCCAATCGGATTCCAGGTAGCGTGTAGTCATTGATGTTTCAGCTTGACGGAGGTTGGCGAATGTCAAACCAACATGTAGAGTTTGAGGCAACGATTCATCATGCCTATATTGCACGGGGGTCGCTATGCGGACATTCCGGGAGGTGCTCTTAGTGCAGGCTTTATGAGGACGTGGGATGTCTTCTGACCACTCCTCTTGATCATCTCCATGAGAAACAGCAGTTGGTGGGACAGTTGGGCAGGGAGTTGTTGATGTCGGTAAAACGGCGGCGTTGGGAGCATGACGTGGGGGCTCCTGAATTGCCAGATGCGCACACTCCGTATGCTCACCGTTTTGTAGAAGTGCGAGCTGTTCATCAGAAAGAATATTCTCCTGTTGCGGAGAGTCCCGTGCCTGCTGAGAGTTCTGGGTTGACTGCACATTCTGTGGTGACCGGCCGTTTGCAGGTGATTGGAACGATGATTGCAAGCTCAGAGCGGGCTGGTTCTCGACAATCTGCCACTGCTGAATAGCTTGCATGTATTGAACCTGTGCGGCATTTGGCTGAGGCTGGAAGAGCTGCGTCTGCTGGTTCGCGGACACCTGCCATGACTGTTGCTGATGAGTGTCCGACGCTTGAGGCAGATTGTCCATGCCAATTAGAGGCCACAATGGGACGCCGTTCGGGGCTGTGACAGAGGCTGGTACAATCTGTGGATACGGGAGGGTCTTGACAGACAGGGCAGCGGGCGCGACAGTAGGCGTTGGCATGAGCGGGACTGCGGGATGCGTTGGATCGAAGATGAGGCCAAGACGAACATCGTCAGACTGCTGAGCCATAGATTGTGGTGCAGATAGTGATGCGAAAACTGTATTATCGTTGCCGAAGTCGATTTTCTGGAATAGATCGAACGACTGGTCGAAGTATTCGCCACCAGAAGATAGGAGGGACGTGTGCTCATGAGATGTTTCATCAGCAAAGGGCTCGGTAAATCCGGCAGGACGCGGGCTAGCCATGGATTCGGTCAGCTCATCAGACAGCTCGTGACCGAACAGATCTGGTCCATTGCTGAAGAGGTGGTTGACGGCGACCAGGCTAACATCCTGGTCGTTGTTGTCGCAGGCTTCAAAATCGAACATCTCGTCGAATCGGTTCATGTTGACGTGTTCTAAAGATTTGGTTGATTGAGCTGCAGTTGATCCGTAAAGCTGTCTGGTAGATGTGTGGATCTATCCCGGAGTGGCTGGGAGATCTCTAATAGGACTGATGGCGACTAGCATGTAGGTAGCTCAAGCGTAGTGAAAGGCTGCGTGTCGGGCGCTGGGCTGGGGGGTTTGTCGATTGTAGCGTCGAATCGTTGTGCTGAATGTGAGGTTGACTAAGGAGCGTTAGTGGATGCTCGAAATCAAGTCAGGGTTAGCAATACAAAGGCTGTGAAAGTGAGTGAAGGTAATGTAGCGAATTAGAAAGCAATATCTAACACGGATAGCGTCGCTGATGATGCAATGCCTATAATAAGGGGCTGACCATGGTATAAGAGTGAGAAAGGATTCATCCATCTGTGACAAAGCCACAATGCATCCTTGTTAGACATACAAGACGTGCTTGCACTGTGATCTTGAACAAGGGGCTGACGCATATCAATCGTACACTGTGCGTGAAAATTGCACACTCGAACCTGGTTCCATAAGCTTCGCCGCAGAATAGTTCAAAAGAATGCAAATTGCACAACAATTGATGTGTTCACAGCAGGTTCTAGATCAGTGAGCAGCTTACCCAAGTTTCACGGACGCATCTTCAACATCAGAACATCTTCTGACAAGGGAAGGCGTATGAAAACACAGCCAAACGACTGGAACGAGCCATTGAGGGAACACTTATGAGATTAGAATGGCATTCGATACTACCTTTGCGAGTTACGGAGAGCGTACCTTCGTCCAATCTGTCAAGGGTTATACTACATAAAGAAAAGTAACCGGATTTCAACGGCCAAAGGTGCGGTGTACATAATATGCGTTCCTGTGGAATACAACGGTGCTACTCTAAAGTCAAGTTCTTAACCTGTACAAAGGTGTTAAGTGAAGAAGAAGAAGAAGAAGAAGAAGAAGAAGAAGAAGAGCTGGTTGTATTACAAGCTACGTACGATGGGAGCAATATATAGACGAGATTACTAATGACACTAACCTGAATAGGCTGACACAAGTCCAGGTCCGGTAATATGTAGGAATTGATCGAATAGATTTGTGGCCTGGCCCAAGATCCTGAGAGAACGATTAGTGTGTACAGAAAAGAGCACAGGAAAGTTTGTTGAGTGTAAGAGTTATCGATTGTGTCAGTTGGCTGAGCCAAGCTAAATAAGCAGCGCTAAGTACAGATACGGTAGTGCATACCAACAGAACAGGGTCAGTATCGGCTGCTGTAACGTGAGGAACAGAGTCCAAGACAAGATCGTATGATTCTGGGTAGCTCAAATCCTAGAAATCCATCAGTACCGTATGGTAGCGCCAATGGGTCAATATACGAGCCAAGAGCGTACAAGGCACGCATCTCGATGCTATGTCGCCCGTTTGGTTGCGCCATATCTGGGGCAGATGACTGGTTGTTGGGGCGGACGGTATTGCATGCTTGAGAATCGATAGGCAGGTGGCTGAGAACCGAACTCCTGCTGGGTGTAAGCGTTGCTAGGGAAGGCCGTAGGTGGAGCGACCGTGTTCGCTCGACCGAGCACCATGTTGTTGATGCTGGGGAGTGTTGGTGGAGCGTGCGTCCAGTTGAGGTTGATATCGATGTTCATGTCAGCTCCGTCCTCATTTACTTCTCTTTCGGTATAAGTAGGATCCATACAGACAGATACGCACCCGTAGTCCCGTCCGATCAATCTAACATCGTGGATCGCACGCATGAGGCAAGAAAGCTTTGTGAGAACAGTTGTTGTTAGTTTCGCTTTGTCAGGAAGCATCAGTCTTGCGCTTCGTCAAGGGAAAGCGCTCCCAACTTTCTTTCCATTAAACAGGATGTCTACTCTTCCAGTGTCTTAGCATGTCGCCTTTGTTAGAGTACGAAGAACTGCAGAGGTTGCGTTGAAGTCGTCTATCTGGTAGTTGGATGCTTCGCTGCTGAACGCTTATCACTCTCGGGCGCGTTATGTTCGTGAGTCTTCTCTGCTTTTGCTCATCATTCCTGCGCCCAACTAGGAGGCGTCCTTGCGGATTGCCAGCAATCTCGAGATTAGGGTTACCCAAGATCAAGTTATGGCAAGTACCTTTGAACTCACGCAAAACTGCAGCGATATGCCTTATGCATTCGGCGAAAGTGAGCTTTGACGACCGATGTGAGAGCACAAGCTGATGCGGGTCCCGACTCGTCAGGGCTGTGGGACTTTCACGATGAAGCCGCTCTGCTAGATTCTATAACGCATGATTATGGAACACTGCAATGGCAAATGTGTACTGGCCGACTTACCGCGAGTTCCCAGTCACCCACCTCTAGAGTTGCATCATTGTAATGCTTCTGGAGACCTGCCTGATATTGGGCCACATTGATTTGCCCTTGAGTTGCGCTGGCGTAATATCTTTCATGACATGCTTCAGAAGATGTACCACATTTCGCTGCTCTTCATCTGTCTGTGGGAGAGTGATGTCATCCTTTGGTGGCATCCAGTACGTTGCCGCTTTCTTAGTGCGAGCCTGAAAATACTCGGCAGCCGTAGTGTAAGAACCAAATTGCAGGGCAGCTTGTGAGCAGTCGGGAAGCGGGTTGATCTTGATATTTTCAACATTTTTGTACCAAAAGGGGTATTTGATTAGCTTAGGGCCTCGTTTTGTTACGAGAGAAATGCGATAACGCCTTTAGATAGACTATGGAAAGGATATTGAGCGATTTCAAAAATGTACTGCAGCAGTGCTACCAAGAGAGAAATTTTGTCTGAAGTGTGGAGTCCCTGCGGATAGGTTGAAGAGCTTTGGATTTGCAGCCTTGGACGCATGTCTGTACGGTGTGTGCACCTTGCTCGCTCTCCAGATGGGTTTGACACACGTGCTTGAAGTAACGTCCCGCAAAGCGAACTGCAGCATATTAGGAAACGGGATGGGTGAATTGTAGAATGGTGGCGGCAGGTTGCGAGCGGCGTAAAGACGTGGTGTTGAAGAGACGTGGTTGGATGGGGCATGGCGGAGACGCTCACGAGTAGTGCGTCGCGTCTTTTTGGCACAACACGTGACTATTGTATATCATCTTTGATTTTGATCAATTGCGCAGCACGCAGGTAAATATCGCAGTATCGATTACAAGTCTTTCATCAGATCGCCAATGGCATCCGTACCGTTGCCTCCACCCCTGAGTTCTCTATTCGTAACCTGAATCAACACGCGCCTGTAGCTCGTCAAGCTTGGAGTTCCATCGTCCGCAACTTCAAGAATCAAATGCAGCAGTTGCCCTTGCGGAACCGGCTTCCTGCTCATCAGCTCGACTGCACACTTGTCCGGTGGCGGCAACACGACTTCGACCCGCTTGCCTTCATCATCAAGCTCCTTGATTTGCAGCTCCGCAACTTCGGCGTCTACCCACCATTGTGTCGCTGTGGGTTCGCGGTAGTGCCACCACTTGTATGTCAACTTTCCACCATCGGGATCATAGGTACCACTGGCATCGAGGGTAACGGAGGAACCGGCTTCAGCATCGATGCGCACGGGCGTAAGATCCTTGGTGCCGTTGAGACGGATGACAGGATGGTGGTTCGCTCTGCTGAAGTCAGACTCCATGCTCCATTTAATCCTTGCTGCAAAGTCGTTCTGAAATGCATCGCGCCAGCGCCAGATAGTGGAATGATTAGAGGTGTGAGTCCTGCCGTCGAGACCTTTGACACGGTCTACTGCGTCGCTGTAGTGGTTGCTGTTCAAACCAGCACCACTGATGTCTGTTCGAGCGTAGCGACCACCCCAGGACCCGTAGTCGGGGTAATCCGGCACGCCGAGGCCGTTTTGAATGAGGTAGAGAAAGGTTGGCGTACCGCCCTCGGGGATGAAGAGGTAGTCAGGGTATGCACTTCCCAGTGGGCCGATCTGGATATTCTCCTTTATCCAGCTCTTCTCCATTTTGGAAAAATCTGGTCCACTCTGATCGAAGCCGTAGTATTTCTCCCCTGAGATACCAGTCCAGGCTGCCATGCCGTATTGATTCCATCCGTGCACTGAGGCAATGTAGAAAATATCAGGGAAGTTGTTGCGAATCCAGGCACCAGTGTCGTCCTGGTCAGATATTGCGTACACGCGAATACGCGATAGTAGGCGCTGAGAGTCTTCGGGAGAGTACTCGTCATCGATTTTGAGCAATGCCTGTGCGAGTGTGTTTGTGCCGCCCCAGCAGAGGATCCATAGCGGGTGTGTCGAAGGCGCAACGATGCGATCGTAGAGCAGCCGACCTCCGGCAGATAATGGGATGTCCTGCCCAACTGCTGACATACCATAGGTCTAAATGCCAATTAGTACTATTCAACACGTGATCCTCAATTACCTGCGCCGTCAGAACTCACCTCAGCACCCTTCTTAATCAGAACCTTCAACTGCTCTGCACTTGGATACGGCCAATCCGGATGGACGTGCTTGCTCAAGTTGTCGACGGCGCCCGCATACGCATCAATGATCTTCTCCATATCCTGCGGGTATACCTTGTTCTTCATCCGGATGCTTGTGCATGCCACCAACCCCTCGGTCTCGAACTGGTTGGCATACAACAAGTAACGGCATAGCGACTCAGCATCATCGGGTTCATTCGAGATATCCGACAGGATGAAGACGCGGGGTTTTTGAGGATACGTCTGGAGCTTTTCCGTAGCCATGATGTGCGGGGTTTGTGAGAGAAGTAGAATGTAAAGGAGGAAAGCTCAACTGAGATGGAACAGAGAACTACTACGTTTTTTCAAGGTGCTGCACTGTTGTGCGAGGCCAATGTCACACAAAAACATCCCGAAGAAGTGCCTCGCAGGTACAAAAGTGGGGCGTTGTCGCGTTATCCATGTCGATGGATCTGGGGGATTACGCACAACCTCGGGCCTCGTAACACGCAGGGTTTCCCAACGTTTCTGGCGATGCATCACGACCACTTTGACATCATCTACCTTCTCATCAAAAATGTGGACAGAATGCTCGTGGGCCTGAAAAACGTCCCGGAGAAAGCCAGAGGATCTTCCTCGGAACAGAGCCGAACACTCTTGTCTCGCTGCGCCAGCGCCACATCTATGCCCTTTCGGGACAGCTCAGCCCTGCTTAGCTGACGCTTATGACCGGTTCCATTGAAAACACTACAGAATCGACGATCGTCACCAAGGTAGACTGAGGTTTGCAACTTCAGGCGTCCAACGGTAAGGCTGTGTAAGGCGTGCCTACCAAACGTAGGCCAAGACCACAGTTGCATTGTGCAGCAGAACAAGTATATAGACTCCAGGCTTCACTGACCTCAGTCTCTCGAACAAGCATAGAAAAACCAACATTTTTGAATTTCCACACTAAGCACCATGATATCAATCCAGTCCAAGGTCCACAAGGCAGCTTCCCAGCATGCGCAGCTCCTTCAAGGTGTCGCAGAAACAGATCACGCGCCCTCTCAACTGCAGCAGCAAGATGCTTACCTTAAAGATCTGAAAGCACAAGAAACGAACACATCAAAGCGCGTTGAAGATCTCCGCAAAAAGACAGCCGTCGAACTGAAAGGTCACAAGAAGTACTCAGAATCCACGTTTCGCCGCTTCACCCATAAAGCATCTGGTCGCAAAGAGCGCTTCTGCGAGAAAGCAGCAAAAGAAGAGCGCAAATACTTTGATGCGATCCAAGAACAAAAGACTGCTGAAGATGAGCTCGCATATGTCAGACAGCTAAGGTCAGAAGCCGAAGTGCAAAGACAGAAGTTTGACAGGGATACAACTCGGCACAACCACCTCCAGCAGCAGCTCGACCAACTCTACAACTCTATCTTCGCCGGCCAGACCCCCGAATTCCCCGAGGAAGACCGCAAAGAGGAAGCATGCAACGCCGCGTGCCAACAAATGCAGTCCATCCATCAGGAGCTGGAAAAGGAGCGCCATGTACTATTCCTGTTCCGTCAAACGAGCACCAAGCTCAGCGAAGCGCGCAACTACCTTGACGATGCACATGGGATGTCGCAATGGGACATGTTCGGCGGCGGTGCTATGGCCTCGATGCAGAAGCGCAACCTGCTCGAACTCGCTGAGAGCAGTATCCAGCAAGTCCGCATGCTCCAGCAACAATTGCAACAGTTTGCACCTCACCTTCCCGATTTGGGCCAACTAAACATAGCATGTGGTAGTATATGGGGCGACGTGGTCTTCGACAACATCTTCAGCGATATGGAGATGCACGACAAGATCAAGGATTCGGAGGCGCAGGTTGATAGAGCGGGACACAAGTGTGGGAAGCTGGTTAGGGAGAGTGAACAGCGGGAGCAGAGACTGCTTGGGGATGCGAGAGATGCGAATGAGAGGTTGAAGGATGCGCGAATTGAGCTGCAGAGGGCAAGGGAAATGGCGTTCAAGGGCATACTGGAGGGTCATGGTAGAGTGCAGCAGCACACTTATCAGCCTCCCGTAGGTGCACCACCGGGTTACGATACTGCGCCACCGGCGTACTCGACCTAAGTTCGTCTATGATACCTATGCTATAATTGTTTTCATTCAATAGTACATTATACCCATCTGAGTGCGAGCACTGCTACTTCCTCATTCGTGATTGTCCCAATTTTGAGAAGGTGACCATGAAGGTACATTTGTTATCCTTACACCAGCAGCACCTCCACGAAGCCTCAGCGCACAAATGTCTTTCCACTACTCAGCACTAAAATTGCGCACAAATACACCTCAACGGCGGTCGTACTTGAGCACGCCGTCTGCGGCCTCTGGTGCGATCAAGAGATGTAGAAGATACGTTTAGTCCAACGATGTCCTTAACGCTCCATAGCACCAGCAATCAAACTTCCACCGGGCTTCACTACACTCCAACTTCAATATACCTCGAGCACGAGTGTGAGTCACGACATTGATAGCTTTACAACTTGCCTTCTGCAATGTGTTGTGCTCTCATGACGAAATCGAGGCATTCGTGTGAACTCACCAACTCCATCCTTCATCCCGTTGCTCATCAGCTCAGTACCGCCCTGGTGCCGTTTCAAAGTCAACGCGGACACATTTAGTTTCCCGACTAGAGACTACCTTTTGGACGAGACGGCTACCGGTCAAGCTCAATCACACTGGTCCATCACGCAAAGCAGGAGCCTAACTAAGAGTCCAAGACGCGCTAACAAACGCCATCGACTTGCAGCCACGCCCCTCTGTGTGGCCCTCCAGTCCCTCTCCGCTCCTCCAACATGGCTCGAGGAACTGCACGACTGATGACGACAAGCGTCGTGGTAGGGTTCAGAGCGGAGAAGCCACCACGATAACGAAACCATGGTGTTGCAGTCCGTGCTTGATGACCGCATCTTTGCTGACAGCATGCGTGTCCACGCAGCGGCCATGCACGCGCAACGGCCCCTCAAATGTTGGCAGACGCCCGTATATGGCCAGGAAAACGTCAATTGGTCATAACCAAACCTCCAGCATACAATTTCAGGCCATGGATCCCCTCCTATCTGTCGCAGACGATGCTATTGCGCATTCACAAATACCGTCCCCTCCACCGAACCCTCCTGGGCGCCTCTGGGCAATCAGCGATATCCACCTCTCCTTCAAGGGCAACCGCGAAGCTCTCGAGAAGTTACAGCCACAGCTGAACGATGGCCTCATCCTCTGCGGCGACGTAGGCGAGAGCGCAGATCACTGCAGACAAGCCTTCGAGAAAGCGATTTCGTGCTTCAGGCGAGTCTTCTGGGTTCCTGGCAACCACGAGCTTTACACCCTCCCCTCCCAGAAGGACCACGGTGCTCGCGGCGAGAAGAAGTACATGGAATGCGTGGACATCGCACGCGAGTATGGGATATGGACACCAGAAGATGAGTTCTCGCTATGGGAGGGCGAAGGTGGGCCGGCGCTGATTGCGCCCATCTTCACGCTGTATGACTATAGTTTTCGACCCAAAGAGGTGGAGCTGAAAGATGCACTCGACTGGGCGAGAGAGGAGGATATCGAGGCCACGGACGAGCATCTGCTGCATCCAGACCCATACGCCTCACGCATCGAATGGTGCAATGCGCTTCTTGAGAAGACCGAGAAGAAGCTCGAGGCTGCGTTGGCTGCGCACCCAGATACACCTCTGATCATCATCAACCACTGGCCGCTGCGTGAGGATCTGGTCAAGCTGTTCCGCGTACCACGCTTTTCGCTGTGGTGCGGTACGAAGAAAACGGAGGATTGGCATAACAAGTTCAACGCAAAGGTTGTTGTGAGTGGGCATCTACACATAAGAAGAACAGATTGGATCGACAACACACGGTTCGAAGAAGTCAGTCTGGGATATCCGAGGCAATGGCAGGAATGTCAAGAGCAGGGGCTGGACATCAACGATCTTCTGCGCGAGATCCTGCCTGGGCCTAAAATGCCTGATGGGGAGAGAGAGACAATGTGGAGGAGATACGGTTGAGGCTCACAGACCCCACGACCCTCAGTGAGCACGATTCAACCGCAGACGACGCAGTGTGGCATTGGTCCAATGTCAGTGCCATCCTGTGTCATCTCACCACCATCTCGCCCGTCACGATGCTCGCCGCACTTGCAGTACCCTCATCGAGACGACCGGGCATGATTCGCTGGCACCACGGCTGAGGCTGGATACCCGAATACGAGCTTGCAGGAACGCGTGTTGCTTGTCAGTCAGCCGGAAGATTTCCTCGACCGTGGTATCGCGAGATGGAATCAGCTTTCCAATCGCTGTCGCCGCACCTTTCACGTTCAGACGTCCTTCGTATCTGCCATGCGGGACCCCTACAGCATCTGTACACCTTCCCCATTGATTACAGACTAGCGTCGGTACGCGGGCCAATCCTTCGGCAGTCTGCTCGCACGCCGAGTGACAACCCTGGCTCCCATTCGATTATCACAACTTAGAGACGCATGACCTGTCAACCTCGATATTAAGAATGCCGATCTCCAAGGAGTGTTTCCTGGAGCAGGTGTTTGCCCCGGTTCAGACCTTGCAAATTAAGACCTGTTCCTCACACTCCTGGGTCAAAAGTCCACGCTACACCTATATAGCTGCAACCACTTAAATGCTTGTCCCTAGTCGCACAGCATTTGCGACCAATCAGTTCAGACCCTCATGACCATGTGTGGTGCTTACATGCACTTGCGTGCATACTGACAGCGTACTAAGATAGGAACCACTAGATACTGCCAGGAATGCCGCCGAAGAGCATATCGTCTCGCCAGCAAGACAACAACAAATCTGTAGAAGTATAAGAATTGTGGCGGCCCTCGTGAGATGCGAAGAAGCAGCCAGCCTCCTCCGAGCTCTTCGCCATTCGAGTCGTGATTGACTGCCAATCCACATTACCGCCGACGGCCTGCCTTTGACTGTTTAGCATATCGCCAGTGCAGAATTAACCCTCTTACACATCTTCCAAGATGCTTTTCAACCTCGAATCACTGGCTGTTCAGCTGCTCGCAGCTGCGACGTGCGTTTCTGCCTTGCCCACTGGTCTTGAGAAGCGAGCAGTCATCAACCACGATGCAGTCGTTGGCTTCGCTGAGACTGTCCCTTCTGGCACAGTAGGGACATTGATGTTGAAGTACAAGCCGTACCTCAAGGTCTTCAACGGCTGTGTTCCGTTCCCTGCCGTCGACGCTGCAGGAAACACTGGGTAGTTTTGCTGTTTCTCCTCGAACACACACAATCACTGACATATTTTCAGCGGCGGTCTTGCAAACACTGGTGGCTCGAACAGTGGATGCTCTTCGTCCACCGGCCAGGTCTACACTCGTGCAGGTACTTACAACGACAAGTACGGCATCATGTACAGCTGGTACATGCCTAAGGACTCCCCTTCTACTGGTCTCGGCCACCGCCACGACTGGGAGAACATCGTTGTCTGGCTTTCCGCTGAGTCCACTTCTGCTACTGTCACTGGCGTCGCCATTTCTGCCCACGGTGACTACCAGAAGGAGGCTTCCCCGCCGTTCCAGGGCACCAGCCCGAAGATCGGGTACATCAGCTACTACCCAGTCAATCATCAGCTGATTGCAACGGATGACTTAGGTGGGCAGCAGCCGCTCATTGCGTGGGAGAGCATGACTGCAGCGGCGAGAACGGCTATTGAGAACACCGTGAGTGTTCTATTCATCTTTCTGCGACAGCCCACTGACATATGCATAGGACTTCGGCTCTGCGACACCCAGCTTCAGGGACAGCAACTTCCAAAGCTACCTTGCGGATGCCTACTTCTGAACAGGAGGTTTCAAAGACCGATCAAATATTTGAAAGAGCAACGCCGACATGTCAACTGCAGAGCTACGAGACCATGAACATTGAACATTGTTACTCAACCCCTTTCTGTGCCTCCGTCTGCAACCCCCACACTCTTTATCCCAACATCTCGATTCTTTCATACCATCCGTTGTCCTCTCACGTCCTTCGAGTCTGCCATCTCACCAGAGATTATTACCACAACCTCACACGCAGCATGTTTGACACTCATCAAACCATTTGCTTCGAAATGTCACACCTGCTTGGTTCCGTTGTTGCTCACAGATTAGTTACTTACTGCGCTTGCGTCGTAGCCAGATTATTTGGCGCTGGTTGGGATGCAAGAAACTTGACCGAAAGCAGCTTGACAAGCAATCGAAGGATCAAATCCTCTAAAGGCAATGACCAGTGGTGCTGCTTAAGAAGGTTGTTGGGAGGAGTTCGAAAGGGGTTTCCGGGTGTACTTGTGAGTTTGTGTATGTATATACGCGTCTATAAGGTAAGTCGCCGTCATCTAGGCTTGAGTGTCGTATCGAACAAGTCTGATGCGCGGTAGAACGTTTTATGACATCCAGTATATCTCAGAGATGGATGGAGTGTCGCCTGCCTCTCAATTCGACTATAACATTAATTCCTCTCTGTCGTCTTCGCGAACTCGAAACGGTTTACTACTTTGCGTTTGATTTGCGAGGTATGTGACGTAATAAGCACACTAATTTGAGCTCTCCTCGAACGACCAATCCTCCAATCCACCTCACTCACGGGACGGACTTGCACAACATGCGATCCGCTGCGTCTCTCACCCCTTGTTTCGTGCTTCGAAACGCTAGACCAGGCTCTTTGTTTGCGGACTGGTGCTCATCCGGTATTGGAGAGCGAAGAAAGAGCTAGTGCAATGGGCGAAAGTCTTGAGAATGATCGATGACACACCAAAACGCAAATTTGATTGTGCTCGAGGAGCGAGTTGTGTGAACAAAACGCACAACGTCTTTGTCGGCTCCTTATATCCTCTCGAGTTCTGTACCTTTCTGAGAACGCCATTGAGCCCCTGTATCCTCTGATGTCTGCACATTGTAGTGTACGTCACATTTCTCGGCTCATAGTCTCACACTTGGAATGGATACCTGTGATCCCCACAGCGACTGGCGATGCAATCGACAACATGACCGAGCCATTAGTATTACATATCGACTCGGTCGCACGCACATGTAAGCAAAGTTGGAAAGAAGATATCCGCTGTCCCACGACCTGATGAAGGTCCGATCTGGATGGCATTACAGTGTTGGCTTGCTAATTGCAACAAGCGCTTGACAAGCACTCACAGATGTGCATGAAGATGATATATTCCCAGTTCTGAGGTACGATCCGTCTCCTTTTATCTCTTTCCCATCTACTCACCTTACATTCAGGTTGCAGTGACCCTGCAGATGCCGAGCACCGCGATGCATATACTTCTTCGAAACAACCTGAGCGAGACGATGTCCTAAAATGCGCTACGTTTCTAAGTACAGTGTCGCAACTTCATGGCGTCATTTTTGATTCGCGTATACGTCTCCCAAAAACCCACTTTGGACGACATTATCCTCGTATCCGTCGTCCCTGGCGTTGTGTCCAGGATGCAGAGACAGTGAAACGCCTCTCCCGTTGCGTCATGGCGCTATCTGCAATCTCGGCGTGTCGTCCACGTCCGACCCCGTTACCATCGAATCGGTTTGAGCCAGTCATACGTTCAATCTGCTCGCCTTTCAGGGTCGCTGTGCCAAAGTGGTATGTGCGTGGGTGCTCTCTGCGCTTACACATGCGAGGCGCGCATCGACGATACTATTCATTTACCATCATCGCCACAACGGCTCCGCGTGTACACACTCCACCAGCCTTTCGCCCATTTCCTTTCTGCCGTTCAAGCACCTCCAGTCTCTACACGTACATTCACTCTTTTGTCTCAATCAATTGCTTCCAATAGCAACCATCTTGCGCCAGTATCGACGCTACATATCAACATGGCGCCTCCATCAACAACCCCGGAACCGCCCACGGGCAAGTTCAAGGTCATACATTTCAGCGGTTGACAGAACGTTCAAGGGCCTCTAGACCATCCTGAAGTCGTGAACACCACAAGTGCAGGTTCTGGTCGTGCCGAGCAGCGCACCTCACCCGGACCTCGACGACAACAAGGTCTACAGGGTTCATACGCTGAAGACTTTAAGAGTCTTCCACCTGCATCCACCAAAGCACGACGTACGGACGGTAGTTAAATGCATCTTTGTCGACCGGCCGTAACGGCAATATATATGGGCGTCCCCAACCTCTTGGTAACTTTCTGGAACGCAACAACAATGCACGGGGAATGAAGCCCCACGATATCCTCATCACCGTACTGATATTAATGGGACTCCAACCCCAGCACCATCAACAACTAGCTCTTGTCACGGTCAAAACAAAGAGGGTACCATCGATCAACCCAACAATGGGACATTTAGAGCCCAGAACGCTGCAGACGCTCCGGTGAATGTGCCCGCGAATGCAACAGTACATTCTGACACTGCTAAGCCAGGCACAGCGAGAAAAACTAGTGGAAACCTACTGTCATCGACTACGAAAAATTCGCTAAACGCTCCCATCAGAAACCTGTAGACTAGTGCTCCAGCTCAGAAAGCAACAGCCGTTGTACTCCCAACAGCATGGGTCGGCCCATTGGGCGTGTTGCATTTGCAAGACAAAAGATCGGGAGATCTTACTCCCACGGATCTTTTACTTACATTGGACGACTTGCGTCATGATTAGCATGCACGTCGCATGCTCTCATGGGAGCCTCCGACGCCCGAGGAAGACCCCACGTTCCCTCTAGATGATGCGACTAGGAGATGTATGCATTTTGGTTGCTCAATGGCATGATCGACACCAGCTGTGCGCTAGACTCGTCGAGTATCAAGACACACCTCGTTGAGTACTGGAAGTAAGCTGCCAACGAAGGCATTTTATATTTCGACATTCACGATATGGGGCGTGGGGGCATGAAAATGCTGAAGATTTTGGAGAACCTTCACGAGAACGACCTCGACGTCATTCCTTGCTACGACGAGTCGCAGTTCGAACATGCAAATATTGGCAAGAACATGAGTTGCCAGACACTTGTCGATATCTCCAGCACGGGTGCGAAGAGTTGATAAAGGGGGTGGCTCCAGAACTGACTGTTCTCCACTGCAAGACCATGCGCCACTAAGCTATCGAAAACAACAAAACAATTCCAAGCGGTCCGTTATCTACAAGAAAGGCTTGTGGAAGGAAGGGCAAGAGAAGACAACTGAAGGCGATTGAGCTCGAGATGTAGCGACTGAAGAAAAGGCGGTCAAGGCGAAGGCTCAACACAAGGTAGAACAGAAGAAGGCACATGAAGCCACCGACATCAAAGCCGCACAGGAAATGAAGCCCGTGTCGAAGCCTCCAAGACCTCGGAAGCCAAGAGAGAAGACTGCCATCGCCGCAGCTACCGCTACACCTCCTGCAACCGATGCTGGGCTTGGCACACAGATATACAGTCTTGGTCACAGCAACTTGCAAATGGGCACTGGGTTGGCTCAGCCACTGCCTCATCACAGCAATAACATTGAAGCTATGACTGCTCCGTTATGCATCGCAGCAGTACTTTGATGCAATTTTCCACATCGGCATGGACAAGCAAGAGCAGTTGAACCAGTACGACTCCTTCGCATCATCACACGCGGGGCATAATTCCACGCCCAGTCATCATGAAATTATTACCGATAACATTGTGCCAAAGCCGTCTCACTATGGCTGGAACTCGATTGGGGACCCAATGCCTCCCGCACTCAAGGCTCAGCTTTTTGGAGGCTTCGATTGCCATAGAACCAACCGGGAGTTCACCCTGATTTTTTTCGAGCGATGATCTCCTTGGGGCCGGGCCATCGCCTCTGCCTGCCGAATATCGTTCAATGCATCTGATGGTACCAATTGAAGGCTGCAAAGGCAACTACCAGCTCAATCACGGAGAACTCACGCTCACCCAGGTTTCGGAGCAGATTGATCGATTGAAGGATAGCGAGGATGCCACCCAACTAGATGGTGAGGTTGCCTCAGCTCTGCCGCCTGCGCGGGCTTACACTCCGTTCACGCAAGGGTTGTTAGACTCTGAAGTCATCACACTGAAACAATCTTGCCTGCCTGACCTCCTGCTTCTCAAAACCCTCAACACCGATCGACACCAGTAGGACACATCCATCATTGCCCAAGCGCAAGCGAACGAGCGCTCCGAATGAGGAAGCTGCGGCGCCTTATCTCCCTCAAAACATTCCCGCTCATCGGAGCGCGCTGCTACCGTTGCGGACGATGACCTCTTCGATGTTTTAACACAACGCGTCGGTTTTGATAGCCACTCGACCGTCACAACTCAAATTTCGTTCACGGCTCAGTCTAGCTTCCTGGCTCAGTCCAGCTTCCGCGACTTGGACTTCATCTTGCATGTCATCTGACTCGACGCACCGATCTACCTCGCCCTCCAAGCCCAAGCGCTCAGCAGATGCTGAGATCGGAGAAGAGCTATCACCCTCGCCAGTGAACCGTGCTCGCGTTGACCCACTCCACAAGTGCACTCGTAGTCCTGCTCATAGGCGCACTGAATCTTCCGGCTGAGAGCTCTCAACTGTTTTGTTTTGTTAAGTCTTTTTGATTTTGAACTTCTCATCGAGCTTTCGATGCACGAGCGTCGTTGTTGTTTCTGCAAGCGTTCAACGTTCCGTTGAGATGGTTCTTTTACTAAACTATGTTGTACGATACCCCTGTTTATATGTTGTCTAGCGTTTTAGAGCAAATGGCATTTTTGGAACTGCGCGGCGTCGTACATCGGTTATTCTATAGAAGGATTCAGGATCCATGCTTCTTGTTGGACATGGGCGCAAGGATAGCGAAGGATATCATTCGGAGTGACTCACGCGATTTTGAGAAGCGACGCTTTGTTGAGTCTTGTACAGTATCCAGAGGATCTCAGGATATAGAGACCATGTATTGTAAGAGATAATGAGAACGCGCAATGCATAATAATGAACATGTGTCATGCTTCCCTAAGAGCTTGATGAATATGTTACTAGTTCGAGATTCGACTACTTGACCGAATCTCAATACACTCATCTTACACCACAAAGAGCATTGTAGCAAAGTTGATGAAGCTGGAGCTCGGTGATGGCTGTCCTGTCCTTTGTTGTCTTTGACAGACGGGTCTAGATCTGACAGGGGTGTCTCGCTAATCTACCATCGATCTTGAACCCGGCGATTCAGGAACCACTTGCGTCATCGATCGGATTGCGAACGCGACGCGCTGGAGCTTTCAACTCTTCCTGCTGCTTGTCTTTGTATCCTTCTCCTCCTCCCAAGATCAGAACAGTTTCTAAGGCCGAGCATTTAGCCTGAACCTTGTATGCACGGCGTCCTTCGTCTTACTCAATTACTCTCATTACGTACGAGTTCCACCATACTGCACGCCACTCGTACCCCCAGGCGCATTCATCCTACATCGACTACTCCTCTGCACAGAGCCTACGCGACGATGCCACCGAAGCGCAAAGTTGATATCTCACCCAATGCCGCCTCAGCAAACAATTACACCGACTCGGCCGGCGACCGCGCAAACAAGCGCTCCCGCCTGTCAAAGCCTATCACCAACAACTTCAAGAAAGAAGTGCCGCCAGAGCAATTGACCGCCAACAATGACGAAAATGGCGGACCTGCTGAGGCCGTAAAAGCCGAAAGTAACGATGCCGATCCTGAACCCACCTTCGATCATTCGCGCCCCGAGGAGCGCTCAGGAATCGTGGATAGAAGATATTATCCTGCTGAGATGAGCAACGAGCGCTGCGCACAATATAACAACAATGAGATACCGCGGCCAATAGAGCTGCTTTACAAAGCTATTGAGTCGACAGCTGCACAACGCAAGGTGATCCGAGATAAGAAGGAGGGTGATGCGGTGATACACTGGTTCAAGCGCGACCTAAGAATTCGCGACAACACAGGCTTGTCAAAGGCAAGTGCGCTAGCGAAGGAGATGGGCAAGGGCGTGATTGGGGTGTGGATCATGAGTCCGCAGGATTGGGAGGCGCATTTGGTGAGCCCGGCGAAATGCGACTTCGAATTGCGCTCAGTGAAGACGTTGAAGATGGAGTTGGCGGAGCTGGGTATACCACTGCACATCGAGGTCATCGAGAAGAGAAGGCATGTACCGAAACGCCTTGTCGAGATGGCGAAGGGGTGGGGTGTGAAGAACGTATTCTGTAATATCGAGTACGAGCCTGACGAGCTGCGCCGCGAGGAGAAGCTTGTCAAGCTCATGTTGGAGGAAGGTGTCAACTTCGACCCACAGCATGATGACTGCGTTGTCCCGCCGGGCACACTGAAGACGGGCGGTGGGAAACAGTATGCGGTATACAGCCCATGGTATCGCAACTGGGTCAGCTACTTGCATTCACGCCCGCATGTGCTTGATGAGCAACCGATGCCAAGTCAGAATCCGCCAGATTTCCGGCAGAAGTACAAGGAGCTGTTCGATGCGATGGTTCCTGAGGTACCAGAGAGCAAGAGACTGACAGATGAAGACAAAGAGCGCTTGCACCACCTTTATCCTGCTGGCGAGGCAGCGGCACTTGAGCGGTTAGAGCGATTCCTGAAGGAAAAGATTGGGAAGTATAAGGACACGCGAAACTTTCCGAGCAAGAACAGCACAGCAAGGCTCAGCGTACATCATGCGGCCGGTACCCTTGCAGCGAGGACGAGCGTAAGATTGGCCAGAGACGTCAACACGACGAAGAAACTCGACGGCGGGATCCAAGGCATACAAAGCTGGATCTCTGAAGTCGCGTGGCGCGACTTCTACCGTCACGTACTCTGCCACTGGCCCTACGTTTGGTAGGTCGCTCTCTTTGTCAATCATTCACGAGAACATACTGACTATGTAACAGCATGCACAAACCCTTCAAATTCGAGTACACAAACATCGCCTGGGAGTACTCTGATCCACACTTCGAAACCTGGAAAACCGGGCGCACCGGCTACCCCATCGTTGACGCCGCAATGCGCTGCATGAATAACACAGCCTACATGCACAACCGGCTCCGCATGGTCACCGCGTCCTTTCTCGCCAAACACCTACTTCTAGACTGGCGGCTGGGCGAGCAGTACTTCATGCTGAAATTCATTGACGGCGACTTCTCCGCCAACAATGGTGGATGGGGCTTTGCGAGCTCCACGGGTGTGGATCCGCAGCCGTATTTTAGGGTATTCAATCCATGGTTGCAGAGTGAGAAATTTGATGAGGAGGGCGAGTTTATTAGGCTGTGGGTGCCTGAGCTCAAGGACATTGAAGGGAAGGAGATTCATAATCCGTATGCTAAGTCTGGGACGAAGGCGGCGGCGATCGCTGAGAAGAATGGTTACCCTAAGCCCATTGTTGAGCACAAGTTTGCGAGGGAGAGGTGTTTGGCGAGGTACAAGGCTGGCATTGGGAGGGATACAGCGTGATTGGGTCGCAACTGCATGCCGTGTCAGCAGGCTGCTGCCAAGGCTGTCAGCACAACGGACACCCGAATGAGTCGAACTTCGCTTACGACTGCGACGACAAATAAATCATCCTCCACCAGGCAAGCCAGGAGTTCCTTCTGTTTCGGCTCAATTCCCTTCTCACAGACTAAATACCGCACCACGATACACGATACACGGCCGCCACATTGAGCAGAATCTACATCCTCGATCATACCAACATGGCGGTACTAAACGTTCGACGATATGAGCATAGCCCGCTGCAACATCGTTCGTCCATTCGGTTGCTGACGCTCCTACCCGGGAGCCCTAGCACGCCACTGAGGTGTCAGATAACCGAATTCCAGAAGTTTTCCAACCCATCCTACGAAGCCCTGTCTTACGCATGGGGTGATCCTGTGTTTCCAGAAGTTATTCAAGTGTGCGAGTCTGCCGATATCGAGCGGATCAGCTGGCATATTCCTATCACACAAAATCTGTCCGAAGCTTTGCGTCGTTTGCGTTCGGACGCACCTCGAACGCTTTGGATAGACGCGTTGTGTATCAATCAGGAGGACTTGGAGGAGAAAGGACATCAGGTCGCGCGCATGGGTCGGGTGTACCACGAAGCGAACCGTGTTATTGTTTGGCTTGGTGAAGACCAGGCCTATCCCAGGACCAGAGCGCTCCTTACGCAGGACGGGAGGAACCGATGGCCATTGACCCTGCCTGAGAGTGACCTCGGGGAACTTGCTACAATTCCCTGGTAAGCCTAACTCCGCTTCAGACCGTTGTGGTCTATAGAAACTAATCGACATTCATCGCTAGGTTTTCCCGTGTCTGGGCAGTTCAAGAATATGTGCTTGCACGACAGGTATTTTTTCAATTAGGGCCATTGTTGACATCAGCTCAAAAACTTGAAACGGTTGTTAAACGCACAGGTGTTTACATTGACGGAGACAAAAAACTATATGATCAGTGGAAATCTATACTACGCCTTTTCGAATACCGTAAGTTGGTGCAAGAGCGCGAATCAGACGATGCAAACTCCCAACTGACGCTGGTCCGAATCTTCCTGGACCTTACCCGTTCACGTTTGTGCAAGGACAGTCGCGATCGCATATACGGTATCCTTGGAATCTTTGAGGATGTCAATATTGTCCCATACTACACGCTCCCACCGAGGCAGGTCTACCAAGACTTCGTTTCGAAGAACCTGGTAGCTGGAGATTTCTCGATACTTCATGAATGTTGTATCGGTACTGCCCAGCCAGAAGAACAGTCCTACGTGCCGTTCTTTGGCCAGTCTCGGTCACAATCCACATACACATCGTTCGCAAGCCGATTAGCTACATATTGCGCCGGACTGCATCAGCCACCAGTAGTCAACATAGACGAAGACAATTACATCTCGGTACAAGGGTTCTTCATCGATACAGTGCAACAAAAGCTGGATTTTGCGGAAGACTGCGATATCGAACTAGAGTCCGGGGGCCCACTCACACATAACCCTGGATCGGGCTCAGAGACTGCGAAATTGCCGCTTCACGGAACCTGGGGAGCTATATATCAGACAGCCTTGGGTCATCTTGTCAACGAACCTGAAGATCAATCACGCTGGCGCAAGGATTTCGAAGTCAACCGTTTGTTTCCGCAGTTCTCAATGGCGCCGTATCCGCACAACAGCCTCTTCGACGTGCTTGTACGCGCAATCAGGACGGACCTGAATGGTGATTACGACTGGACCTCCAGCAATGGACGGATCAGAACAGATTCGCACTTGCATCGCTCTCGCCGGGAGAATTTGCAGGAACGATCACTTTTCTGGACCACAGCAGGCTTCATTGGGTTGGGTACCTGTTATCTACAGCCGGGGGATGAGGTGGTCGTCTTCAACGGCGATACTACACCGTTCCTCCTACGTAAGGAAGGATACTTGGAAGGCACGGAGACAGACGTATACAAGATTGTTAGTGACTGCTATGTGTACGGTTGGATGTATGGACCCTTTCCGGATAGGACTGTCGCAAGGGATCCTTCACGCCGGTTACGTATCACCAACAGGGTAAAGGGCCTCCTAACTCCGAGTGTCGACACTAGTGGCAAGCAGCAAAGTAGTCTGCCTACAAGGACGTTTATCATTAGCTAGTCTCATTTGTCCTGCTGTGGCCAAATCACAATGCTTACTTCAATGCTGTCCAAACAAGTTGCGGTCTCCGACTCGACATACGGACCCACCAAAATTGTGCACACCTCCAGTATTACCAAGCACTACGTTGTGATACACCCTACCTATGGTATGCAACGACTACTCTCATCCTTCATCTAGAGCTTCGACAACCTGCGCCACCGCGACACAATCCGCAACTACACTACACCGTTTCCACTGTCTCTCACCACGAAGCCGATGAATTCTTCGATTGGATGTTACCCAACGCTATTCGCTTGACAGCCCCCCGTATCTCATAACTATAATCCATGATGATTACGATATGGCTCCCTTCTCAGCATCTCAAATGGTACTCTACGACCGTACCCTCCTCGGGTCGATGCATGTTTGCTCAGGAAGTTCTCAGCTGTTCACATGAGAACGATCGTCTCGAAAGTCCGACCTGCTTCAACCCACCTCTTCAGGTATATCTCTCCAATTCCCAATCTTTCGTATACAATGGTACTTCCGTTCTGGATCGGATTTGGGGTGACGAGCATTACTTGCGATTTAAGCGGGCCATACCATTCGTCTATTAGATTGTCGTAACCGTCGAGATGACTGGTGTCCCAGATATGTTTGCCAAACGCTTGGAAGGTTGTCATGCTTCTTTCCTTTTCCGTGAATTTTCCGGTCCATGGACAATATGGCTTGACTCAGGCGGGTTTCAAGAATTCACCATGCCTTGGACACTCCGCAAGGTGTATCGTATCTCCATGGGCAATCTATCGGTGACAATAAGCGCAGCCGTAAAACCGACTTACCGAAAGATCATCCTTCATGTCAGAAATATAGCTCTTGATCACCTCTTTCCGGATCAGCAAATTTTTTGTTACCCACAGGGAGTGCGATAAACGTCATGACTGTACATCGTCCCTTTTCTCTGCTGATTAGCTGTCTGTCTAGTTTGACCACTCCTGCAATCCTATTCTCGTGACAGGTTCGGACAAAGTTCCCTTCAGTCAGCGAATCGTGATCATCATTATTCAAGACGAATGATGCTGTTTGTGTGTGCACAGCTATTTTGCCAGCGGCGGTATTCTGGCCAACGTCAATAGCGTCGAAGACCCCGGTATGGTCATCGAAAGCGTCACACCAGTATCCCTCAACGCATACCCATATATCTGTGAGCCTTTCGGCGTATTCATCCTCAGGGCGTTAGAGATGTAGCCATCGAAGGGATGACGTCAGGTTCTGGCGCGTCTCATCTGTCTACGCTTCGAGAGGCGGCGCGTCAACAACAACCATAGACACTCTGCACCACGACTTGAGACCTGCGCCTCATTTGTGCAATATGGTCCAACCTCACTGATTAACATCAGCTGCAATCATCAGCCAATGTGCGCAAAGCTTTCCCCTCGCGCAACGAGAGTAGCTTCCACCAGAACGACATCTAGACCCATGTTGCTTCAGCGACAGCAACATCGTTCTACAGATCGCTGCTCTTGAGATCAAGCTCATGCTCTGATGCATCTGATTGAGCCTCAACAGATCTAAGCATAGCTCCCGCGCGCGAGGCTGGTCGGGAGGTGGAGGTGGGACCGGGGAAGCACAGCGACAGTCGCGACAGCACCTCTCACCCACCCATTTTCGAAGCGAGCAATTCTCCATTCTGATCCAGGCACAGCGATGAAGACTTAGCTGTGAGTGGTTGCTGCCGAACTGATGTTCGCTATAACAGGTGTCGCTATGCTGTAGCCGCCGCCCTGCGTCAAAGCGGCAGCTCGGACATTTTCTGACGCACCGCGCTTCGAGCATCTCATTGGTACCACCAGCGACTACTCAAGATGCCCTGAAACAACACAGGTCCAGACTGTCCACACGCAAGAATAGCAACTTCGACAGCGAGACTCCGAACAACTTTGTGAAATGTATTGTTGAGGGTGAGTTGGTATATAAGCCACCTAGCTTTCGACCGTAAGAGAAGCATCAAACACATCACCAGCCAGCTCATCAATTCAGTCTCCTTTCCTCTTTTACTTTGCAATTTCCTTGTTTCCTTGGTCAAATCTCCTTCTCTCAGCTTTCTTCAATCTTCACGAAAAGCGTTGATCGCATTCAATCTTTCTCACGACTCCTTGGTCTTCACAACTTTCAGCAATCTTTCCACCATCCACAACCGCCAACATGCCTGTCCCCAGCTACGGTACCATGCCTCTAAGCAAGATGTTTCTCCTCGTCCGCATCCTCCAGGCCCTCTGCATGGTCATCATTATCGGCATCTGCAGCAACTTCGTTCAGATGATCGTCGTTACCGGCGCCGAGCCGCCCAAGGAGTTCGTCGGCACCCTCAGCGTCGTACGTATCTTTCTCCCTCTCTTCAACCAGACTATCGCTAACAACCCCAGACGTGCATCGCAACCCTCTACGTCATGGTCAGCATCGGCTACTACTGGTCCTTCGCCAACCTCGGACTGCTCGTCATGGCCTCCATCGACTCTCTCCTGCTCATTGCGTTCATCGTCTGCGCCGTTACGCTCGGCAAGCCCATGAGCTATCTCAACTGCTATGTCATCGGCAAGTCGAGCTATGAGGTTGACGCAGCCAACGCCTACGCGTTTGTCACCTCTGCGAGCCAGAATATAAAGGAGTGGAGTGGTTCAAGTGTTTGGAACTGGGCGGGTGCGACAAAGAACAACTGCTTCCAGGGCAAAACTGTCTGGGGTCTCAGCATCGCTCTCTGGTATGTGGACGTTCAGGTTCTAGGAGCGTCGCCATCACTGACTTTGACAGTATCCTCTTCACTACTTCTTGTGCCCTCCTGCCTACCCTCTGGTACAAGAACAAGAAGGCCACGCCTGCGCCCAAAGCCGTCGAGGAGGCTTAAGTGCTCAGCTGGATCGGCACCACCGCACTTCTTCAACTGTCACGGTCATCCAAGGCGACCCTGTCATCGTCATCGAGGGGAGTCTGGCTCTTGACTGATACTCTTATCTTCCAACGTGTTCTCCAAACTCATAAAATATGCGTTGCGCGGCGTTTGGATCTGTTTTCCTACTGTCGCTACCGATTTACACGATGCAAATACTGCAGGCCGATAGTCATAATGAATCAAAATCATTTGTTGAGTGAGAACATTTGGGACCGTGATCATGTCATTAACGAAACGTGATCGATGACATATTGGTGTTGTTGACGCGCCGAAACCTGACGTCATCAAGAGCAACATCCACCTAATGTCACCGCCGCAAGACTTGAAGCTGTGCTTTATCGATTCATCGGAAACTTAAGAGGGTGAGTCTCGGAGTGTCGATGGAGTATTACTGATAACTTCGGAGTTGAGGCTCGTGTCTCCCCACCTTTGCGGCATGCGGCACGCTCTAGACGCGGTTAAGGCAGGTACAACCGCTGAATGCCGAAAGCTGGGGAGATAACCATTCCTCACGAGAATGCCGACGATAAGTGTCACGAGACGTCCTTGGGGGTTCTTTTGAGGCCTTGAACCTCTCTTTCCTCGACCTCACCTTCCAGATTGACAAGATGGGTCTCTTGGAGTACAGGCAACATAAGGCCGACTGGTAGGTAGTCCAAGCTCAAGCTCTCCCCGCAAATCCATAGCTCTATCGTAACCGACACAACACAGCCAGCGCAAACAGCACGAGCGCGCGACCAAGATCGCAAACCTCCCAGCAACCTACAGCTACCCTCTAACACCGCAAGAGCGCACGATCCTCGGCAAACCCATCCAAGATCTTGTCCAAGATGTCCAGAAGAACGTCACGAACCCCATCGACATCCTCCGCGCCTACGGCAAAGTCACCCTCAAAGCCCACGAGAAGACCAACTGCGCGACGGAGATCCTCTTCCCCGAAGCCGAAGAATGGGCAACCAAGGAGTGCAACTTGAGAGGTCCGTTGGCAGGCATCCCCGTCTCGCTCAAAGACTCGGTGCAGGTGAAGGGCTTCGATATCACCGTCGGCTTCTCAACACACACCGGGAAACCGTATGCTGAAGACGGACCTATGGTCAGATTATTGAAGGATGCCGGTGCAGTCCCCTTCGTCAAAACCAATCTGCCCACCACCCTACTCTCTTTCGAATCCACAAACGACGTCTGGGGCCAGTGCACGAACCCGCACAACACGGCCTACTCGCCCGGTGGCTCGACCGGCGGCGAGTCAGCTCTGCTTGCGTTTGGAGGGAGCCGCATCGGTATTGGGAGCGACGTGGCAGGCAGCGTCCGCGTACCCGCGCACTTCAGCGGCTGCTACTCGATCCGGTGCAGCACAGGGCGCTGGCCAAAAATGGGCATGAACACCTCTATGCCGGGCCAGGAAGCCATCCCCTCGGTCTTCAGCCCCATGGCACGCACACTCAACGACCTCGCGTACTTCACCCGCTCGCTGATACAGTGCAGGCCCTGGGAGTACGACTACACGGTGCACCCGCTCGCGTGGCGGTCGTCCATCTCAGACTCGTACCGCGACAAGAAAGTGCTGCGCGTAGGCGTTCTCCGCACCGACGGCGTCGTCGACCCGAGCCCAGCATGCGCGCGCGCACTCTCGCTCGTCGCCGACGCCTTACGTGCCGAGGGTCACGATGTGTTCGACGTCTCGCCCCCGTCGCCCTACGAAGCACTGAAACTCGCGAGCCACCTGCTCCTCTCCGACGGCGGAGCGACATTCATGTCGTTCTTCCGAAGCGGCGAGTGGAATGACCTCGGCGCCGCCGCTATGATAAAATACATGCACTTGCCGCGGTTCGTCAAGAAGCTGCACTACTGGTGGGTCAAGTATGTGAGAAGAGATGAGATCTGGGCCGGGTTGATTAAGGACTGGCACCCCAAGAGCGCATACGAGTACTGGCAGCTGGCTGGCAAGCGGGAAGCGTATAAGGCAAGGTTCTACGACTGGTGGGACGAGCAAGGTAAGGACGCAGCAGCGATGGATGTTATGCTTGTCCCGCCGAATGCGACGCCGGCTGTGCCACATGGGGGTATGCATGATGCTGTTAGCAGTTGTGGGTATACGTTTTTGTTCAATCTTGTAAGTCTACACGCTACTTCCGCACTTTCTCCCACTTCCCACTCTTCCCATACTTCTCCCACTTCCCACTCTTCCCACACTCCTCCCACTTCTCCCACTTGCTCCCACTTTCTCCCACTTCCCACACTAACAACCATAGCTTGACTACTCCGCCGGCGTGATCCCAGTCACACACGTCGACCCCGCCAAAGACGCCCTGCCCTCAACTTTCAACTTCACGAAACTGAACGGCGTCGCGCAGGGCGCGTACAAGCACTACGACGCCGCCGCAATGTCCGGGCTTCCCGTTGGCGTACAAGTCGTAGGCCGACGGTTGCAGGAGGAGAAAGTCCTAGCCATCATGGAACGGTGTGAGGATGCGCTGGATAAGCACGGTGGGCGGTATGAGTTGTTGGAGATTGTCTAAGATGTGGTATGATTGTCGAATCTAGGCCGTCTTGAACACTTGTGGGGACCCTTCGTGACACGAAAAGCAAACAAACGCGGGTAGAGTCGTATACAACGGACAGGAACGCATGGCATGCCAAGCATGAGGTGTATGTGTCGTGCAGACATGGAGGCTGTGTGAGACCAATCTGGCACAGACCATTTTGACACATGGAGACATGGCGACAGCGCACTGGGCTTCAAGTTTGTGAACATCCGAAACCACGGGAGAGGGGTAGGAACACAGTTTGTTTGTGCATTCACTTTTCTCATTCTTTGCTCATTCGCTGCTTGTGTCTCCCTCTTACAAGAAATCGTGTCTACGAAGGAGGCATAACGTCAAAAGAGCTCGCAACCTCCTTCTCCCATGGCAGCCTATCCTTGCAGAAGATCTCCGCCGCCGGCTTGAACTCCTTGATCCCCTGGTCCAACAATCCTGTGCGGAGGACGATGTTGTCCGGGCCCAGCGCCTCCTGTGCGTGGTACACGTGCGTCGTGCAGTTCTTGCAGTAGTAGCAGTGGACGCTCTTGCCTTCAAACAATCAGCCCATATTCCTCGATCCTTGGAAAACCATTGGAGACAAACAGGACCCGACGATGCCAGATGGAGGCGAGATGGGTGGTTTGGTTGACTATGGGTTACAGAGGTTGATGGGGAAGCGAAGGGAAGGAGTTGGTAGGACGTACCAGAGTCGCCCTTGTATGTGTACTTTCCGAGGCTGTCGCCGCCCTTTGTTATGTTCAGGTTCTTGATGGGAATGATCTGGTTCAGGGTGTATGTGGCGCCGGAGAGCTGCTTGCAGGTATTGCAGTGGCTATCATAGGGTCAGCAAACCACACTCCATTCCAAAATGATCCAGCTTCAGGGTCAGCGTCAGCTTCAAGAACGTCTTGAAGCTGGCGCTAGCACAGAGGAGCCTACCAGAGAATGTGCGCCTGCTGGTCCTTCTCAAGATTGGCAGTCCACTGAGTGTTGCCGCAGTGGCAGTGTCCCTGGAAGTTCGACATGTTCGATATAGGTATATTTCTTTGACGTGTAATTGGCGTAGAGAGGTATGTAAAGACCAACAAGGTCCTCAGCGGCAGCTGAAGTACTTATATGGCCGTCCCCACTCTTCTCGCGCAAAGAGAGCCGTCGTCAAGCGTGGTCCCCTTCTCCATTCTTTCCTCCTGATCAAGCAACGAGTCGACCAGTGATTCCAAATAAAGCCGGCATCCGCAGCGCTTTAGCGGGCTACCCCACGATAACGATAGATGCGATTTGCTGATCGGGTGCGGTCGAGACGCTTTGGGTATGACGTTGACATACGAAGAGATGCGCTGGCTATGAGATTCCAAATCTTACAGCACTGAAGTATGAGCGGTTGCACGCCTTAATTGCTTTCAAGACGCCGCCATGAGGTTTATCCATGCAGTATCTGTCATGCTCTGGAATCAATAAAAAATAAAAAATAAAAAGTCAATTGGCACTCCTCAGGAGCTGTTGTGTTCATCTTGAAGCTGCGCTGAGGGGTCTGGGAGCTCGGGGCAGGGCGGGGTAGGAATGATGGCGGTGGGGCATCAAGCTCGAGCTCTTGCGGATCCGTTCGCGACGAGCGAAGGAGCGGGTTATCCCAGAGCGTAAGGCGGGAAGACCTCCTGCTCTCGGGTTTCGTGATGTGTGACGTGGCTCGAATTGGTGATTGGAGAAAGAGAACTCGTGTTTGTGTAGAACAGCGAGGGTGGATGGATGAAGTTAGTTGCTTATTACCACGTGCTCTTGGTTTTCTCCTTTTCGTCTAATCTCTAGGGAAGAGCAAGGCTGCAGGTTGTGCATATAACGCAAGGCGGGCAGACTTTCGATATTCTTCCAAAGACGAGATTTGATATCTGTATGAAGTCATCTGCCAACATCGAGCCCATTTATCACATAATCTTCACTCGAAGCAAGGTCATGCAAAGATTGCATGCAAGAGAGGAACGGGGAGGACGCCAACATCAGGTGAAATAACATGTTCATGCTCGCTAGCAATAATGTCTAATATCGGTCTCTCAAGCCCTCGCCTCCATAACATGTTCATGCGCAAAATGCACACTTAATGTCTATTCTCCCTTCGTTCAATCTCTTCGCCACCATACCCATCCACCTAACCGCTCACGACAGCGGAGGAAAGCTCCTCAAAAAGTGACTCGGACACTCATAACCGCCCGGGTTCACATCAAGATACTTCTGGTGGTACGCCTCAGCATCCCACCACTGCCCCGCGGGCAGGACCTCCGTTGTGACGCCACCCTTCCACCACTGCTCGTTAACCTTCCTGGTGATGTCCTTAGCGACCTTCTCCTGCTCATCGTCATGGAAGAAGATAGCGCTGCGGTACTGTGTGCCGACGTCCGGGCCCTGGCGGTTTTCGGTGGTTGGGTCGTGCATCTTGTAGAAGAATTCAAGGAGCGAGGAGTATTCGATTTTCGTTGGGTCGTAGACGACTTGCAGCGCTTCAGCGTCTGTCGGAGAGTCAGTATGAGGTTCTAAGTACTACGTACGCGTTTGTGCGTGATGCGCTGGTGTAGCAGTAACAACGCGCTGCGCGCAAAATGAGGATGAGTGAGTACTTACGACCTGTTCGCCCGCTACACACAGCGCGATATCCAGGGTTCTGTGTATCGCCGCCAATATACCCAACGCGCGCATCATACAACCCCTTCTTGCCAAACTCGCGTCTGTACATGTGCTCAACGCCCCAGAAACATCCAGCAGCGACCGTCACTGCCTTTGCGCCCTCAGGCACATTCATCGGTTGTGCGGGTGCGGAAGACATGCTTGTGAATGGGCGGAAGAACTTTGTGAGAAAGGACATAGAGAGGTAGAGGAGAAAAGGAAATTGTAAGGAGCTTCAGATTGGCGACTCGCGGCTCGGTGTGCTCGGTAATAGATTCGGGCGCGATAATGACTGAATGGTGTTGTTTTTATGGGTCTGACAGTTTCGCCCCACGAGGGTTCGATGATGCCATCGTTATCTGACAAATCGCGTGGCGCGGGCTAGGCTGAAACCTCAAGGTGCTGCTGTGGCGCATGAATGTCTCTTTCCGTCGTATTGTCATCGAAGTTGTTGCTGTTAGGACTTTCGCCCTATATCGTGCACATGTCGTGGAGTTGAGGTGTCTGCGCACTGTCTGAACCGCCACGAGGTACAAAGTGTCTTCTACTAGCCGCATGCATGTTCCTGTCTAGGTAGGTTTGAATCTACTGTGTACATCTGGCTTCGACAGCACCTAGATGAAAGGTGGTCGACGTATTGCTTGGAGTCCATCTTGCGCAAATCAACTCGAGAATCATCTTTCGAGCAAGTGATCCTGTGATTCGACCTTAGATAAAATGTCTCGGCCGTCTTCCTTGCTTGATACGTTGTCGCTCCTGCTTCGCAGAAGCGTCTCAGCCGAAAGAGAACCTCAAGATCACACGAAGCGCAACCTCTGATAGGCAGATCAGAGCTCATTGCTGATTGACTGTAGTCTATATGCATCATGGGAAGGGGGGGGCATGGCTCTTGATGGTATGGGCGTCGTGGCAGGAGCCAGATGGAAGGAGCAAGGTCGAAGACAGCGCTAGTTGTAAGAAAGCAGTGATTCAGGCGCTGCAGTAGCATTAGTTTCGTTTGTGATGCAGTATGAACAGGTGACAGGAGCGTGGGGGACGGAGCATGGTTAAATAATTGTGGTGAAAGGAGCATGGTAGAAGTAACAACCAGAGTGACGAACACTGACACTCGCAACAACAATGACGGGAAGAAGTGGGCAGAGCAAAAATAGCAGCACAACGGTGGCTACATACTACCAGGACTTAAGGCCAAGCCCGGCTGCACAAGCATCCTCAAGTACAAAGCCAGATCTTTCCCTGACAGATCTGTATTGCACGGAGTCGACGCCCTTGGTTAGAAAGCTCACCACCAACAGCTTAGACCTGCCCATCTGGCTCACCGCAATCCTTGCTATCCCGGCACATCACTCGCCTACTTCTGCACCTCTTCGAATGCCTCTATTAGCCCCATCGTAGGACTGTAAATTTCTGAGATGTATCAACCGGACAGAGGTGGAATATTTGTCCTACCCCGGAAGCCCAGCTCCATGATGGTGCGCAGTAGGTTTCTTCTGATTTCAGCACTTTCATCATTTCGTTGAAAGTCTCGGTAGGGTCCTTCATTTTCCAGCAATTCTATCATGGGAAGTGCCCGCGAACAGACCTGTCTAAAGACAACCGTGTACCCTTGTCAATGACGTTGAGGTCTGGCTCGAACCACAACTCTGCGAGGTACTCCTTTGGGCGAAAGATTTCGTCGAGGGATCTGCTGATCAGACGCGCAATGCTAGATACAGCATTGAGACGATCGCGGCGAAAAGTAAGCTTCTTACTGATGTACTTGCTGATGTCCCACAGGTAATCGCCGGTATGTGCTGTGTCTGGGACCCATCCGTATGACAGACCCCATGACCTGTTTTCGAGCTGTCGATGTTTGCGACACTGCAGTTGCAGCATAGTCTCCCCAAAAATGATCAATCTGCTAGCCAATCGTTTTTCTTGGTATACCTAGGCACGGCTGTGCCACCGCAATAGCTCAAGATCACGTTCCATTTCTCTGATATGTCGAGGCTAAGTATGGATGCTGTACTGGTCTTGTATGTCTGGTCGTAGGTCAGAACGAAATGGTACGTGTATAACAGGAAACACAGGGCGCTGAAGAAAGGAGTAGTCGCAGTCGGGACTAGCTGTAGCACATATCGTGACAAATGCGTAGGCGAAGATGTAGGGCGTTTGCACGAATTCCCTTTTCCAGTCTGCTAGATCATGGTGAACAATGCATACAGCGCCGATCCATAGATAAAAAATACTAAATCTTCGAGCTACCGTGATAGCCTCCCGAAAAACCACTGGAAGTCGAGCAAAGCGGATCTCGGACCTGTAAAGAGCCATCTCTTCGGACGTAGTCACAAAGGGTAGCGCTGCATCCCAACAGTAGCTTAAGGCCGCTTAGTGCATATTCTCGTCCGCGAGACTATACGCCTGATCGAGTTCGTGGAGAGCCAGACCATCTTGGGGGTGTTCGGCCTGGAGGTTGATAAGGCGCCTAGGAATGTAGATGGTTTGATAACGATCTATGACTGTCCTGCAGTTGGAGTGTGTGGTCTCGCAATCTTTCAACCACTTCTTAATCGCTCTAACGTTCTCATGGGATAGGGGACCGTGGTCATCCAGAAATTTTTCCTGAAATGCGTAACCATTCCTGACAGGGCTCCAATGAAGACCAGAAAGAATGTACAATCTGCTCCTGCTGCGAGATTGATGAAGCAACACTGTAGTGGTAGACCATCATTTAAGGGTTAAAGGACTGTTTTACGAAAGAGGAGCGTCGACTATGTTCGCTCGAAGGAGAAGAGAGAATTGCAAGTGAGAAAGGGGGCGCGCTGGCTTGTGGGGCCGTGCGGGGCAGCTGGCGATGCGCTTGACTGATCACCACAATGCCTTCTTCACAACTCCATCATCGCACTCTCTACATGAGACCATTTGCACTCAATGCGCAATGCATCACCTGTCACTCAAGAGAATACCACATGTTCTTCGATGTGGTAGTAGCGGTGCCGTTCGTCTCGTGCAGGCGCGCACACACGCCGCTGCTGCCCCAGGACTGTCGACAGTCTCTTCCTAGAAGCTGCAGTCGGTCGGTAGCTTGACTTTGAGTTAGAGGCGAGCTTCATGATCTCAAACATCCTGTTCACAACCAGACCGCGTTTCGGTCGGTCATTATTGGCCTATGTCTTCAGCTGACTTGTTGCTCAGTAACATCAGCTCTGCAGGACAAAGTCCTGTACTACTATCGTATTCTGTACATCTTCTTTCAACCAGTGTTGTTCGATTATCAATGTCGCATGATAACGACAGGTCGGTCGACTTCAGCTCGATGCTACACTCGCGGCTCGCTTCACCTTGCAGACCATTTGTTTCTATTACACAATGTGTGTAATGAACTTTCAATCTCTTTCGCTCGAACCTTGATGCCGGGTGAATGCGCTCTCCGTTTTGAGCGGCTGGGATTGGGGCCTGGACTTGGTCACATTCATCTGTAAATACACCTTCCTGGAACGCAAGGCTTGCCGAGAAGGTTCGAACACTACACGGCCAAAACGAGCAGTCTACTTGTGTCAACCTCTCGAGTTGAGCACACATTTTCCGTGCGGCTTGACCTTCGCCAAGTCATCCGTCTGGATGCTCTGGAGTGACAAGCATTAATTTGCGGTTAATATACCCGTCAATGACTGCATGCCCTACCAGGATCTACAACATGGGTCAGCCTTGTACATCAACCTCACCGTCCCTCAATTCTGTCTATACGGGCAACATACGGATCTTGTGCTACTAGGTGGTGGCATGATCTGTCTGCATCGTGCTCATTCTTGAAAGGTTGACAGACTAAGTTCACCGCTGCACTGGCTACGCTCCACTCGTTACAAGTCGCTATCGACCAGCATCTAGACTATTCATCTCGAACCAGCTCGGTACCAAAATAGTATCAACATGTCTAGCTCTGTTTCAATATATGTTTACCGTTCCAGCCATGCGTGCGTACTGCGAGTAAGACTCACAAAGTGCACCGTGGAGGCAGGAGGATCATATGCTGCAAGTGTATCGATTATGGGGGGAAGGCTTATTACAAACATGAGCTATTTGAGCACAGTCTTGGAAACGTGCATGGGGAAGAATACAGGACCGGCTGATTACATACTCCGCCACCCAGGTTCGAAGGACGGGAGATCATACTTGCAAATACCAGGAATGCATTCCAAACAGGAACTGGGCTGCGTTCTGACCTGTGAACACTACACGTATTCGCTTTACATGGTCTGTTCCAGCAAGTAGAGCGCGTGTGGGTATCGTTTTGTTTACTGAGGGCTGACTCTCTTGTGTACCCCAGAGTCTCACGGCACGCTTAGTCTAGTGCATTGACAACCATTCAGAGATAGGTGCATCTGCCTTCCTGTTTAAACGAGAACGCCTCCGCACTACAGACGGCTCTGGACTGCAGTCTGTGAGCGGACCGCCGGTCCACGAGCTTTCGATATTGCTGCTATCCTTGGCGACCCTCAGTAACCGCGGATGCACTATCGTGAGTTCGGCTCAGTTGGAGCGACTGTGGTCGTGACTAGCTCTGGGGAACAGTATATAACATGCCCCAGATCCCCCGGATGATCAGCCAGCGTCCTTCCAAACTCGACCACCTTCGCTCAGTCGGTTCAAGATCTTCACTCCGTATTCAACCATCATCACCATGAAGTGGCTTCTTGCTCTCGTTCCGCTCGTTGCTGCGGCACCAGCCCTTCCTTCATTCGAGTCTGACGATGCTCCTGACCCAGGACAGGTGCTTTTACGTCGAAAACTCGAAAATGTTCATTGTTGCTGACCAGTCTAGGTGAAAATCCTGAAGGTCGGCACTGGCGGTACTGGATGCCCCCAGGGCTCCGTCAGCACTATCATTTCTGACGATCGAAGTGTCGTTACTTTGGTCTACGATTCCTATGTCGCCTCCATTGGCCCCAGCATTGCCGTCACTGAACAGCGCAAAAATTGTCAGCTCACTCTTGAGCTCGAGTACCCGGGTGGCTTCCAGTACTCCATTCTGAGTGCTGACTATCGTGGATATGCAAACATCGAGAAGGGCGTCACCGGCACCCTGAAGTCGACCTACTACTTCGCAGGCAAAGCCCCTCAGGTATGTCGCTCTTCGCATTACACTTCAATGCCCCCACTGACACATCGCAGACTAGCACCGAGTACACCTTCAACGGTCCGGTCACTGGCGACTACCTCAAGCACGACGAAGCAGACAGCACCTCCGTTGTGATGTCGCCTTGCGGCAGCAAGGGCAACATGCTGAACATCAACTCTCAGGTCCGCCTGACCTCCACCAACTCGAAGGCTACCGGTCTGCTGACCACCGACTCTACCGACCTCAAATTCAAGCAGGTCGTTTACGTGCAGTGGAAGAAGTGCACTGGCAGTGGCTAAGTAGGGTCGTTTCCTTATTGGGGCGGTACAATTGACCGCTTGCCGATAAGAGAAAGAGGATTGGTTTGAGGTCGTTGGTAGCTAGTGAATTGATTGTGATTTGTTTGAAGTTCCACAGCCTGTCATCTTGCCTTTTTTTTAATGAGCCTTGCTTGCAACACTGGTTCGTGCCTGCAGATCTGAGAATTGAACGAATGGAGACTCATGCTTGTCGTACTCGCACCTGCCATGCGTGAGCCTCTTGCCTTACTGCGCTAGTCAGCGCACTTGCCAACACATTTCAAGAGCAGGAACGGTATATGCTAGCTTTCCTTCCTGGTGATTAGGTGCATCTGTCGGTCAGCTTTTACCTCTACTACAACCACATCCGCCATCGCTCACCGCCATCATTCTTCGCTTCTATCTTTCCATCGCTTGTCATTTGTCGACCGAAGCATCGTCATTTTGTCACTACCAATGGCACACGTGTATCTAAGCTCATCGCGAAGTGACTGTGATCGCGATTCAGGCTACGGCAGTGACGGTGCCTCGTATGACATTGCCTTGAGGTCTGCTACACCGCCTTCGTGGTTCCTTGAGCCACTTTCACCTACTGCATTCGTTGCAGCTGTCAAGTTAATCGACTGCACCGCCACTAGACAAGCAGTCGATACCGCACACGATGCGCTCCAACTGTTGGAATACGCTCCCACATATACCAACACGTGTCCTACGCTGCTGAAGCATCTCCACTCCACTATCTCAATGGCAGAGAAGCATAGGCCCAGTTGTGCCCGCGCGCTGGATCGCTCCAAGACTCATCGCGGAGAAGGTCACCCTCACGGTTCCAAAGGTACCAAGGGTCGTAAGCCTCAAGACTTCTACAAAGGCATAACAAGAACGGAAGCACAGAAGTTGAGGAGAAGTGGAGCGACGCCTGAGGCAGCAGCCGGAACCAGACAACGCCTAGCGGAGCAACATGATTCATGGCGCTACGCAACTGAGCAGCATGAAAGCGAGCAGACTGAATCTCCGCAGCAGAAACTTGGGCAACAACAATCGGAGGAGCCTGGTATCGAGCAGGTCGGGGACGAGCAAGTTGCTATTGGGCGAGGTGGCCTCGAGCGGCACGTCTCTATTCCTGCCGCGTTGCACACTGGAGATGCACCGACCGCCGACGCTTTCATTGAGTCCATTCGGACTTTACCAGAGAATGCAGTACCTGACCTCATCCAGCGAATTCAAGAGGATCCCAAGCAGGACGTTTCGGCAATTGCGAACTTATGGCACGACGCCATTACGTTATCACAACCACCCTTACTCTCTGATGCATCTTCGCCACTCTTGCCGGTAGAACAGAACAGTATACCAAGCCTTCAGTTCGACATGTCAGACGAAGGTTACGAGAGCCTGCCCATTCACTCGCCGTCCGACCTGTCCCGTCCTTTGGATGGTATGACTGTGACCAAAGACATAGTATGGAACAGCCCGGGTACTGAGTGGGATTGTTCCTCGGACGAGTCCGCATACGAACGCCCACCATAGGCGGTTGGGTTTTTCGAAGGAGACTCTGCATCAAGTCCTGTTACACCCAACAAAACATACAGTATTCGCAACCCGATGGTAGCACCTCCACAGGTTCCGTACGAGCTACCATATCACAAGGGTACTGCTTGCGTGAGCTGCAACAGTTGGACGCATGACAACGGTAAGCTGTATTTCCCTCGAGGTACAGCCATACAGCTCCCTGGCTGCGGACATACTGTATGTCAGTCATGTCTAACGGAGCGCTACGACTTCAAAGGAAGTGATGATCTCTGCATAGCCTGTCCTGTATGCAACAGCTTCGTCTGTTTTCTGGATGAACCGGGTCTCTTGCAACCAGCTCTCATCCTTGACTTGCTTTCGCAAGTCAGAACTCTACCACTTGATGGCTTTGCAAAACAATCCATTATTGTCGATGGACGAGAGGCTACTGAATTACTAGCCACAGTGTACGCTGTCGTCGCTCATGAATGTGGAGGCGATGAAGGACTTGGGACTGCACACATGTCACCACGCAAGCTGCTTCGACAACTGGAGGAGTACTTTAATGCACGACGATATCAGGACTTGACCACTCCTGAACAGTTGAAGATGTCCATGGAGGGTTGCATCGAAGACGCCGTATTTGACGAACTGCTACGGCGATCCGAGAACAAGTGGTTGAAAAAGCAGGCGACGCGCTTGCGACACAAACGGCTAACAAAGCTAGTGCCAGAGCTGGCAAGGAATGAGCGGGGGCTGGAGTATATATTGCCAACCTGGAGGGTTATCATCGGGTGGGTTGTCGGCATCATGACGTTGAGGTGGGAGCAAAGGTTCTGAGCTCGCTGTTGGGTCTAGACACTCTACGGACCAGTTTTGTCCAGCGTATGGGCGACAGCGTAATTAGACTGCTTATGACGAGGGGCTCTTTCGCGGTCATGTTTCTGTATCCTCTTCGTAGACTGCGCGCTGGATCAAGTAGTCACGATTCAGAGCAAATCACTTGTGTAGATGGAGAAGAAGCTTGAACAGCGCAGTTTATATTCGCCGCAGAACCAATTCTAGTCCCAAAAGGCGCTATGCTACAAAAAGGTGTAAGAGCTATACACAAGAAAGTGAAGATGTGGCCATCGTACAAAGATACAATCCACTCTCAAAGGAAGATCTTGGAGAAACATCAATCATGTCCGCCCCTCTAGACATCTAAAGCAGATATCTAGAAGAAGAGAGAGCGAGCGTGGCGGCGAGCCTTGGTGTTGCTGGAAGAACCAGCAGCCTCCTCGAGCCAAGCAATGAAGGTCTCGATGGTGAAGGTCTTTGGGAGCGAGCCGGACTCACCGGCGCCGCTGGAAGGAGCAGGTGAGGACGAGGCGACGGGGGTGGAGCTGGCGACGGGAGTAGCCTCAGCAGCGGCGGAGGTGGCAGCGGGAGCAGAGGCAGCAGCAGAGGAAGCAGCAGCGGAGGTAGCGGCAGGAGCGGTGGGGGTAGCGGTGGCAGTGCCGTTGCCAGCGCCGGTGGTGGGAGCGGGGGTGGAGGAGCCGGAGCCGCCGGTCCAGAGAGCGGGACCGGGGATGTTGTAGTTGATGGTGGCGGCGTAGGGGTTGAAGATGATGCCGTCCTCGTCGGCGGTGTAGAGGCTGGTGCCAACAACACCCTCGGGGGTCTCAGTTCCGGAACCGGTGACCTCTGTGACAAATTAGTTCTCTGAGTTAGACAAGTTCAATCACAAGGAAGGCATACCAATGTTCAAGCACTGTTTCGAGTTAGTTTGTACGTTCAATGTAGGGGAACAGGATAAAAACTCACCTGAGGGTAGTTCTGGGCACCGTTGGCGGAGCTAGCACCGTGAAGAGCGATGATCTCGTGGCGGAAGACGTACTTGCCAGCGGCAAGGGACTCAGGGACGGTGACGGGCCATGTGTTGTTCTGGCTGATCATCTTGACGGCAGCCCACTCGCCATCAGCGTAACCGTCGGCCTGGATCTTGGTCCACTTGAGCGAGGTCTTGTCAACAGACTCGACATCACCAGTGTATGGAGCGACGTAGGTGATGACGGGGCCCATGTGGGACTCGGGCCAGGTAGTCCAGTGGAACTCGACTGTGCCACCGGCAGCGACCTTGGCCATGGAGTCGGAGGAGAGCTTGGGGCTACCAGCCTTGTGGCAGATGATGTCGGCCTCGCCGAAGGAGTTGGGCTCGACAAAGCCGTTGTCGAGGTTCTCGGCGTACCAACCAATGTGCTCAGCGGGGGTCTGACCGTTCTGGTTGGCGTAGTAGTAATCGAGGAGGAAACCCTGCTCGAACTGACCGTTGATGGTGACACCATTGACAGTGCCGTGGGCAAGAGCACCAGCGGCGAAGGCGGCAACGGTAGCGATCTTGGAAAGCATGTTGATGAATTGATCTGGGATCTTCGAAAGGAGTTTGAGAGAGTTGTGAAGATTATCGTTGCAAACGATGGTGAGTTCTGAAAAGAATGTTGAGCCGGCTAGCGGACTTGAAATGAGTGAATGAGGGTGGGAAAAGAAGGTACTGAACTGTAGCAATGAGGTTCAAGTCTCGAGGTACCTTTGCATCCTTATATTCCAGCCGCTCGCACCCCCAAGTTGACTAAGATGAAAGCCCAGTACACAATGATTCATGCCGCGCGCAAAGCGATGTTCACCCACTGCGCGTTCCTGAAACTCCATCCTACAGTACCGCTTTAAGGTAGACAAGCGACATTGAGGGACCCGAGAGTGTCCCGTGTCTGTAGGCTGGGCGTCAAAACGAAACTTCGGAACACTCTCGTGAGGCATGATGAGGTGTACCTTGCACAGTACGGAGGTTACGCTGTGTTCCTGGCAGAAGGATTTCGCGTGGCGGGCATGATGTGGTTCTGGTCTTCGGAAACGGGTTTAGCGAGTGTGTGAAACATGCATCCCAATGCTCCTGCTTAATCTTGCCTCGGGAACGTTGACGCCGCCAAGATGATAGTGGTTTCTGTCAAATACGTGCCAAGAGCGCCGCATTACGTGGGGCAGCTGTCAAACATCTAGTTTTGATCGTGCAGGGCTGGTTGACATGAGTTGAACGGACGGACGGACTGAGTGTTCATGCATTGGTATTGATGCGTCGTCGTCCATCCGCATGCCACAGTGCTGTTCAAACCCTCGGCAGTAAGCATGGAGATGCCAGTCCAAAAGCCACGTCCTGCTGGCCCACCATCGACAGCGTGTTCCTTTGATGTTGTCGCCTCGCAGCCTTGTCTTGGTTGTCGATTCAGTGCCTGTCAGATTCAAGATCTCGAATCGCCTGTGGAACGGTCATGCACGCAAGCGAGGCTAGGCTGGGTGGGTCCACGGGATCGGAACGCTGACGGCTCTAGCCAGGGGTAAAACTCCAAGTTTTATACATGAAACAGGCAATTTTCCTCCAATAGCGCGCGGAACAACATCTTTAACCAGTCTGGCTTGCATGATGGAATCTGATGTAAATATTGGAACGACGGATACGCGGAGGACCAAGGCATGGCATCGGAAGGCGGCTGCGAAAGACGAATGTCGGTGAACTTCTCCTGATGACAGACTGTGACAGCGAGACCTCTGCACGATGTCCCTACCATCAACGATGTTCCGTCATACGTTGCGTTTCGCATATTTTGTTTCTCTTTTACTGCTTCTTGACAATATCGCCCGCTGTCAAACGAAGCAAATCTGAACGCTGTCAGACCCAAAGATTGAGAGTCAAGAGTGGGAAAAATTGGCCGCCCAGGATGAATGAACGAAGAACCAATCCCGAATCCGAGAGCCAAAAAACCTTAGGGGAACGTTACAACTTACCACGCGCGACACCTGCTCATGAACTGCTGTCTTGATCTCTATAAAGAAAGAGGTCAAATGCTGTCGTCTTATATTTCCTTTCGGTTGTAACACAATCCGCTGGTGTCCGCCTACGAGCAGGCGAGATTATCAGCTCAAAAATTGTGCTCAAAAGGCCGCATACCGACCGAATCACTGTTCATTAGACCAAAGACCTAGTGCATCTGCCAAACAGCGCAGCCTTGGACCCTCAGGTCCGAATCGACTGCCTCGCCCCATTCGTCGATGTCGCAGACTCCACGACGTGATCTGCCAGACCAGCAATGCCTCGAGATCGTCCCTCGATGAGGCGTGGGATGTCACGTTTACCCCCTCAGACCACTGAGAGATATTGCACTCGTTCTCACGGGTAACATCTTCATACCTCGCTACTCACCTGGGATCGCTCCGTGACATGGTGTTGTTCGATGGCTGGTAGGCCACAGTCATTTTCGTGGTCAACGCCAACGCTATATGGTATCGAGACAGTGATGCCAGTGAATGCGAGAAGACTATCGACCTGAGATGCATATGAGCGCTGCAGGATGGACTAAGGTACGTACTTGTAGACGGGCGGCTCCACCGCATGTAGCAAGTTTGTCCAAGGTACCAAGTCTTCTCAACATGATGCAGGCCTGGCTTAGCACACCCAACCTCAAAGGCTAGAAACATTCGATAAGTAAACAGTGTTGCCTCTGTTTTTCTGTTTGGTTGCTTTCCGGCGTCGTTCCAAGTACATTGGTGAGGTGAACCCAGAAATTGCTTTTGCTTGAGTTCGTGGTAAGGGGTACAACATGATGCGCCACCGTAGCTGCAGATGAACCGCTAGTCCAGCAGCTCTTCAAAAAAAACCTATCGAGCAAGACTGCGCAAGACGATATGTGCAAGTGCATCATCGTTAAAAGAGCGTGTCGAGCCTTCAAAAGCAGCTGCGCCGTGACTAACGCGTAGATTTCGTGTGTTCAGTGCTTCAACCGCTAGGAAAATATCGTCAACGGTCATCGAGGTCCGGCGGCATGGGAGGACGGTGCCGTTGCAGGTGGTCAGGTTGGTGGAAGGAAGCAACGCCAACGGTTGCCCAGAGGCTCCTTCCGTTGTTCGCGAGGTGGTGGCGTCATATTTCCGTGAGCTTCGCCAACACCTCCGACTTCAACCTTCGACCACCACATCACTCACATCACGACTTCAACAGCTCTCGGTGATTCTCCGATACTTACCTTGGCTTTTGTCTTATATCTGCGCATCACATGTCCTGATCACCGCAGCTATGCCTTGATTCAGTGTGGTACACCGCGCCTCGGCTGAATTGCGCGCGGGAAATCCTGGAGCAATCAAAGCTAACAACATGTTCGGCATATCGTTGCTGCCATTCCCCGCAACATCACCGTCGATGATCTCCACAATTTCTCCGGAGCCAGAATTCCCCGCAAATAACTGCTCGTGGAGTTGAGCGGAAACGGAGATTCCATGTGTGCTTCTGGTAAGCGTCAGGAACGGGCAGGTAGGTGACGTGATATTGGTCGTGAGGCTCGTGTTTCCTGGTAGATGGATTTTCTTTATATGATGGGCTGAGCGCCGATCAAACACTTTTTTTTCCAGCATCTCAGTTCAATCGTCAAGATGAGGCTCTCTACCTTCCTCCTCTCCTCGCTGCTTTCCCTGACCGTCTCGGCTGCCCCCCAGGGCTCGTCGAAGGTCCCTGAGTTCTTCTCTCAGCGCGTTGTCTTCACACCCCCGTCGAACTATACCGACCCTCGCACTCTGTACGCTCGTACTGCTCAGTTCGAGAACGGCAACCTTCTCGCGACATGGGAGAACTACAGCCCTGAGGGTAGCGACCCCAAGTCCAAGGTCTACTTCCCCATTTACAAGTCGACCGACGGCGGATACAACTGGAAGGAGATCTCGCGCGTTTACGACCAGGCGCAGCCTCAGAACGGTCTCCGCTACCAGCCATTCCTCTACATCCTTCCCAAGAAGTTTGGTCAATGGCCTGCTGGTACCGTTCTGCTTTCCGGAAGCTCTATCCCCACCGATCTCTCTACCACCCAGATTGAGCTGTACGCTTCTACCGACAAGGGTGTGACATGGAAGTTCGTCTCGCACATCGCTGCTGGTGGCGAGGCCATCCCTAATAACGGCCTCACTCCCGTCTGGGAGCCCTTTCTCATGCTCCACCAGAACAAGCTCATCTGCTACTACTCAGACCAGCGTGACAACGCCACCTACGGCCAGAAGATGGTTCACCAGACCACCACCGACGGCAAGAACTGGGGCCCTGTTGTCAACGATATCCGTCACTCCAGGTACACCGACCGCCCCGGCATGCCGACCGTCACCCTCCTGCCCAATGGCAAGTACCTCATGACCTATGAGTACGGCGGCGGCCCTACCAACAGCTCGAGTTACAAGTTCCCCCTCTTCTACCGTCTCTCTACCGACCCTGAGAAGTTCGACTCCGCTGAGGACCACCAGCTCATCACCACCGACGGTACCATCCCCGAAGGCTCTCCCTACAATGTCTGGACCCCCATTGGCGGCAAGAACGGCACCATCATTGTCAGCTCCGGCACCAGTGGTGACATCTACATCAACAGGGGTCTTGGAGAGGCAGGCACACCTTGGATTAGGGTTCCCACTCCTGAAAAGCAGCACTACACTCGCCACCTGCGCGTGCTGAAGGACCCTAAGAAGCTGCTCATTATGGGTGGCGGTGTTCTTCCTCCTAGCACTACCAACAAGGTGCAACTGTCTGTAATTGACATCACCCAGTTCCCCAAGGCTTAGGTAGAATGTTGTAGATAGTTATACCAATGTATAATGTTGAACAATGAACCAAGCACAGTGATTACCTATGCAGATGTCGTACCGCAGTGACCCCCAGGTTGTTTCAAAGTGACAAAATTGTCGTCCAAAGTTTGATGCTGCAGGGCCTTTGATGTCGGTTGCCTGCACTGAATTTCTGTGCGCAAAGGTAACATGTATATATCTGCAGGCTATGCCTCGGCTCTTACCGGATCGTGCAGACATGCAGCATTGCACAAGTGGATTTTTTTTTCAGCATAGAGCTGCTGGACTGCGAATGCAGCAAATGCAGCGATACATTTTAAGCGGTGAGAAAGATTGCGACAAAAGTGTGATGCGTAGCCTGTGATGGGTGGTCGAGATGCTGCAGGCTTCGTCAGCGCACCGACCCGCTTTTTCACCGGGCCGACTATTTCACCGCACTCAGCGCGGGCGTTAGCGAGCCACGAGCGAACGAAAATCGAAGTTCGATTTGGCCAACACCCTCGACGACGCACTCGACAAGACTCAACACCTCTCCAACTAACCCCTCTATTCCCAGCAATACCGACAAAATGGGTGGTGTTTCTGTTAAGGACGTCGAGGCGCGGAAGTTCATTACTTCTTACGCCGCCTTCTTGAAGAGGCAGGGAAAGCTCCCCATGTACGTACCAATCAATAGTATTGGAGATGCGACAGTGTACTGACTATGAGAAGCCCAGGTTCGTACTATTCCAGCGGGTGAAGGATAAAACCTGAATCCCGTCGCTGGGGGATAATTGTACGATCAGCTCGCTGACCGTCTTATCTACAGGTTGGGTTGATACCGTCAAGACATCGCGTAAGTCTCTCATCACTCGACATTGCGCGTGCATCGTTCTAATAGGGATGATAGACTCCAACGAACTGCCTCCCCAGGACATCGACTGGTTCTACGTCCGCGCTGCCGCCGTTGCCCGCCACGTCTACATGCGCAAGACCGTCGGTGTTGGCCGTCTCCGCAAGGTCCACGGGTACGCCTTCCCATAATTCATCTACACTCACCCACGAGGGACTAGAGAAGGGGAAAGATGCTAATTGGAATAGTTCCACCAAGAACCGCGGTTCCCGTCCCTCCCACCACGTTGACGCCTCCGGCTCCGTCGACCGCAAGGTCCTCCAGGCGCTCGAGAAGATCGGCGTCGTTGAGATTGACGAGGACAAGGGTGGCCGCCGCATCACACAGTCCGGCCAGCGTGATTTGGACCGCATTGCCCAGACCACTCTCGAGGCTGAGGAGGAGGAGGATGACGAGTAAACGAGTCGGACGAGTCAATGATGAGTCGGATGCGTCTACAAGTCCCTCCGGATGAACAGATCCCTCTGAAGTAACGTTCGGAAAGGAACGTCGCTTGCATTTAATGGAGCATCTACGGTTTACGGCTTATGGCGTTATGCTAGGGCAGAAATAGCCTAGGTTATCTTCCAATGGAGACAGGCACTGCCTGAAAAGCAACTTGATACCCCATTTCTTCAAATCTGGCGCCACTTTATTCGGATATGATCACTTTGCCAGCATTGACCTTTCCTCTCAACTACCGATGTCCAGTACTCATTCATACAGAGCAGAGAAGGATTCTTATAGTGAAAGGGAACCACCATTTGGTTATGCAGATTGCTTGCTCAAAAACTTGACATCTAAGATCACACGGTGAACGATCAGAGTTCTGTTGTCATGTACCTTTTCAGCTCCCCCTTCTCCATAATCCTCACCCTCATCCTCAGAACAGATCCGTCATCGCGCCATGAGATGCGTCTCCCACCAACCTTGCGTACTTAGCCAGTACACCTCTCGTGACCGGCATAGACGGCGCCTTCCAACTCTTCAACCTCTCCGCAATCTCCTCGTCATCAACATGCATATCAATCCGATGCTTCTCGGCATCAATTGTAATCATGTCGCCCGTCCTAACCACCGCAATCGGCCCACCAACAGCCGCCTCAGGACACATATGCCCCACGATAAACCCATGGGAGGCGCCAGAATACCTTCCATCCGTAATCAGCGCAACATTGGTGAGTTTTGCGCCCATAATCGCCGCGCTCGCTTTGAGCTGCTCGGGCATACCCGGCCCGCCCTTAGGCCCCTCGTACCTCACCACCACTACAACGTTCTCGCCGTGCGGAATCTCGCCCTTATTCAGTGCGGAATCCAACTCATGCTCTTTATTAAACACAATCGCCTTGCCCGTGAAGCTCAACCCTTCCTTTCCGGTGATCTTCGCCACAGCGCCAGCAGGCGCAAGATTACCCCTCAAGATCTCAATGTGACCCGTAGGCTTGATGGGGTTGTTGAGCGGACGGATGACTACCTGGTCCTGCGGCAGGGAAGGGTAGGGTTCTACGTTCTCCGCGAGCGTCTTTCCAGTCACAGTAGGAATGGAGCCGTCGAGCAAGCCCGCTGCGATAAGCAGCTTCATCACCGCCGGCATACCGCCAATATCAAATAGATCGGCGGCCATGAACTGCCCCGATGGAGCTAGGTTGGCGAGGAACGGAATCTTGTCGCTGACGCGCTGGAAGTCGTCGATTGTTAGCGGCACGTCTGCTGTGCCTGCCATGGCGAGCAAGTGCAGGACGGCGTTTGTCGAGCCGCCGAGGACCATCATCATGACGAGAGCGTTTTCGAACGACGCCCTTGTGAGGAGCTTGCGCGGCGTAATGTTTTTCTCCATGCAAACCCGGATTGCAGCGGCGGCTTTGGCGCATTCGCGCATTTTTGCGGGGGATTCGGCGGGGGTTGTGGAGGAGTTGGGGAGGGTGAGTCCCATGGCTTCAAGATATCAGTATGCGTTGTAGCTCGTGTGGACGTACTGCTTGCCTTCGATGGATGTGGACATGGTATTTGCAGTATACATGCCACCACAGGCCCCTGCTCCTGGACATGCGTGCTTCTCAATGTCTTCCATGATCTCATCTGGCGAGAACTTGCCCGGCTCTGCACTCTCGAGGTTCTTGTAGATGTATGCACCGTGCTTCTCGTAACATGTCGAGATGTTGATCGGTCTCCTCAGCGTCTCCGAGTAGCCGGGCATGATGGAGCCGCCGTAAACCATGATTGAGGGTCGGTTGTGACGGGCAAATGCCATGATCACACCAGGCATGTTCTTGTCGCATCCGGGCAGCGCAATGCAGGCGTCGTGGTGCTGGGCGCAGGTGACAGTCTCAATGCTGTCTGCTATTATCTCGCGGGTCTGGAGGGAGAATCGCATGCCTGGTGCTGTCAGTGCCATCCTTTATGCAATGTCAATCGCGCGTGTTGCATACCTTCTCCACCCATTGTGATACCGTCCGACACTCCCACGGTGTTGTACTGCCACGCGAGCATGTTGTCCTGCTCAATATGCTTCTTGATCTCCTTGCCCAATCCAAGTACTACCAGCAGTCAGCAAATTGCCCCCCACGCATCATTGAGGCTCTTTCGAGGGCGGCGGTGGTTGGGTGACGTGATTGGGTGTTTTCGTTCGGAAGCGTAGACCTACAGTGCTTGCTGCATAACGGTCAGTACCATGACGCCACTTCCGTGGGGTAAACTCACTTGCATGGGTTGCCCTCCCACCACACGCTTGCAATACCGACTTGGGGGTATGTCTTCATGGCTTCCTTGTTGGGAACTCCGGCTGCGTACAGCATAGCCTATGGTACGGTCAATGCTGGCTTCAATATAGGTTTACACACTTGCAGATTGACATACTTGAGCACCTGGGAAGTTGTGGCCTGTGGTGAGGGTGGACGACCATCTGTTCAGCGCAGGTGTGCCATCCTCCTTCTTTGTGCCTTCAGGCAGATGTGGAAAGCTGAGGAAGCGCGGCTCCTCTGGCTCACGCTGCTTGTCGAGGTTCTTGGGGTCCATTGTGGAAGTTCGATATTATCAGTTAGCTGCCAATGGGTGCTTGCTCAGTTCCAACCTATGCAACCACTAATGGAGGCCGTTCAAAGCAATACGGAAGGCACAGTTGATGAAGTCAGGCGAAAGTAGGAGTCCACAAAGGTGAAGCTGTGGAGCGTTCGATTAGATATAGACGACATGTGAGCAGATACCGACATCCAGCTAGCCGCACCCACAACCAGGGCGCGTCGGAAGCAGGTCGGAAAAGCATAGCCTAGCTTCATGAAGCATGCCGATAGATCAAAGAGCTCCCAAGTGGGGCTGTTCTGGTGTCGTCTTCGGCTCGGTGCTCACGAGAACGAGGGGTCGCAACTGCCACTTCACGAGCAACGCGCTACGTGGAGTCTAGTCTGTGGAGAAGAGCCAGTGCGAGATAACGTGTTGCAAGCCAAATTGTTGCGATTGGAGGTTGCGGAGACCTAGCGCGAGCTGTTGTATTGGCGTTGCGACGGCTGAAAATTATTTCGCGGGACCGCTGAGGCCTCCGATATGCAGGCGTCGGTGAGAAAACCGGGGTTTAACTGCATCGCGATAGCGTCAACGGCGCAAGGCGCAGGGCTTGCGTGACGACACATCAATTGCTGTAGACAGATGGAAAACCAGTATACAAAAGCATGCGGATGCAGCAGTTGTGATGGAAGTCTTTCTGCAAGCAGCACGTCGATGCTGCTGTTGGCGACTTGGCGCAGAGAGACGTTGATTCCACGGTCCATCAAGGTATCTGATCCACGAATGCTAACTTTCGTGAGCGTCTGATAACCAGATGCAGTAGCTTATCCGAGTGCTGGCATGCAGGGCTGACGTTCTGTAGATGGCTTCAGATCGTACGGTGGAGCACAGCTCTTGACTATTGCTGCCCAATCAATTCAACTGCAATACCAATTTTCGTGCAGCTTGTCCAATGGCAGTTCGGCCAATATTGTATAATCACCTCCTCGTTGATGCATAGTATACCTGTAAGGTTGATAGTGGGAGCTGTTACTGCGATGTTGTGGTGGTAGGAAGACAGTGACTGAGTTAACTGAGCCTAGAACGGCAGGACGAAAAGCAAATCGTCTCGGCATCCACGGTTAATCATCTGCTGATATTTAGGCACGTCGACATAATGCTGGGAGATATTCAGGGGAAGTGTTGGTGACTCCGGGTGTGGCTTCCATCGATTGTTCTTCAGCCCTGCTGTGTACGATGGCCCGCACGGGGCGCCCCTGCCGTCTTAACCACAAGAATGACGCAAACCTTCATTTTTATCAACACAATCTCGTCGCGCCATGTCGCGACTGACTCACGCGTGCTATCGCGATTCTTGACCGCACACCGTCTCTCCTCTCACGACATTGCGCGCATACTGTCACTATCCGCTGGCGTTCCAACTCGCTTTATTGTTTCTTCACGATGCGACCATTCCACGTTGCACTTATCGCCCGATTACAGATTAGATCTTCCCGCTCGTAGCAGCGCATTCGCTGTGACCACAACGTGCGCCATCCGCATAAAAGAGACGTTACCAGGTGCCTGGCCTCTTACCTGCGGGGAAGCGCATCGTGTTCGCACTTCCAGATTCCATTGGTTGCGCCTTGTGCGAGGATCCGCGCATCAACCTCCTGGAAGCTGGCACCTCCGCGCCCCGTTGAATACACAACCAGCCCTGGAGCACGCGAACAGCCATGGAGCCTCATTCGCGATCCCTTTCGTCTCAGAATGGCACGTTGCGTCTTCCACAGGCTCTCATCCTGCTGCTGAAGTTCGCTTTGGCTCAGTCAGCCAATGATCAGGGCACACAAAGTCTCGCCGACCTTCCCCTGTGGGACTCTATAAGACTTTCAACTTACCGTCTGATCCTTTTCATCAATCCCTTCGTGAACCGAGGCAACTTTGTCACTTCAATTATCGTGGGCATGGTCGGATTGACGGCTCTATGCGGCTCTGCTTACTGGGTATGGAATCGGCAAAGCAGGAAAGGAAAGATCGCTCCGTCCATCAACTCCCAGCATGTAGAAGACGCCACTGAGGGTAAGAAAAGCTCCGTATGATCTGCAACACATCTTCTCCCTACACGTGGCTGGCCTGTATCAGCTATCCTTAGGTTAGACTAGATTACTGACTATAGCAGACGATGCTGCCACTAACGATCCGGGACTCTTGAGGAAGCACTCCACCATCCAGTCATATACGGTTCTGTCTACCAACATCACCTATCCCGCCATTCGAACTTTCTACAGGCCACATCCACAGGAAAGCAAGTTTTCTAGGAAGCCTAATCCGGTACCTTTGTTGGTGTTTATTCACGGCCTTGGCGGATCGATTGCGCAGTTTCATCCTATCTTGCTAAGTCTGTCTAACCTCGCTTCTTGCTTAGCGATCGACCTTCCAGGATGCGGTCTATCTTCTTTCGATCCGAAGTCTGCTCAGGCGTACACCACGGATGCACTTGTCCAACTGCTAGCAGCCGTCATCGAGCAGCATCGTGCCAAAGATGAAGGTCAGACCGTTATCTTGATCGGGCACAGCATGGGGTGCTCTCTTGCTGCACTTTTGGCCTCACCAACATCACCTCATGCCAATCTGCTGTCAAGGCACGTTAGTGGTCTCATTGCTATCTGTCCCAAGGCAGACCCTCCGACCGAGCATCAGACGAAGCTTCTACATAGAGTGGCTTCAGTACCCGCGATGCTGTTTGATCTGTACAGAGGGTGGGACCGCAGGGGAGGGATCAACAGCGCAAGCGTGCTTCGTATGGCTGGGACAGATGCTGAGGAAGAGACCAAGAAGCTGCAATTACGGTTTAACAGACAAAGCCGTACGGCTGTATGGCAGCGCATGGCACGTGGGATGTGCCCAGACTATCAGACCAGCCCTACCACAGGCGGTCTTCCCGGACGTCGGACTTGGCAGGGCTTGCAGATGCCGGTTTTCCTTATTGCTGGCGAGGCCGACTCCGTTACACCGCCTGATAATGTCAAACGTATCGTGGAATTCCTTGGCCGCGACGTGGGGGCTATCGAGCCACCCAGCGAAAAAGCAAGCCTGCCGATAGCAGCAGCACCGTTCGACCCAGCGGTAGTGGATCCTGCTTTGGCAGAGCGCAAGCATCAGGACTCGGGTATCGATGCCAACGATATCCCAAAGCTTGACGACGATAGAAAAGCTTCCAGTACATCGGCCACCTCTACAATCGGTGACAGTCTAATAGAGACAGAGAGCCGCACCACGGAAGGCAGTATTGTCATCAAAGATCCGCTGCCAAACTCCGCTGCACCTACACCATCATCCAACAGTCCATCCCCACATCCTCGTCGACTCGTTGTCAAGACCGCGATCATGCCCAAGCCCGCAGCGCACTCCATGCTCTTCGCCCCCTCAACCTCACGCATCCTCTCCGGCCTAATCGGCAGCTTCCTCGCCGACCACATCGACCCGCGCCTCTCGCTCGCCTGGCAACTACAGTACCTCTCCACCGAAGGCAAATGGGACGTCAAAAACCTTGAGAAATGGCAAGCCATACAACCCGTCTCAGATCCCATCGCCAACACCTTCCGCGCCATGAAGACGCTGCGCGAGGTCGACGAGCGCCATGCCCCTAAGATCGTGGCAAAGGAGTGGAAAGGCAAGATCTGCGCTGTCATTGACATTTCGCATGATATCCCCGTTTACGACCCCAAAGGCCTTGAGGAGGGAGGAATTGAGTACTACAAATTCCCCACCGTGTCGAAACAGCCGCCCATGAAAGACGAGGTCAAGGCGTTCATCGAGCTCGTTGATCGCGTCAAGCTGCAGTGTCAAGAACAGGGCAAAGAGGGGCTGGTTGGTGTGCACTGCCATTATGGTTTCAATCGCACGGGGTTTTTCCTGGTTTGTTATCTTGTGGAGAGGTTGGGGTTCAGGTTGGAAGATGCGATTGAGGAGTTTAGGGTGGCGAGGAGTCCGGGGGTTAGACATAGTCATTTTATTGATGAGTTGCATGTGAGGTACTGCTCTGGGTTGAGAAGGGCGCCTACGCTGTAGGCCACGGAGGAAAGATGAAGTTCTGTAGATTATTTTCCTTTGATTTGGGTGGATTTAGCGCTGCGTTCGGCGTTGCATTGGGATTCTTAGGGCTCATATTGGGTACCACGGTGCACATCAGTCATTGGGGACTGCACAATTGATCTTCTTCATTCTTTCGCATTACGGAGTGCCCTTCTGGTGACGGTGTGCTTGTGAAGTAAGTGTTCTTATGCGGATTCTGCCAGGTCAACCTGTCGGCTCCACGCAGGATCACAGGTATTCAGACAGATTTTGGCTCTCTAGAAGAAAAAAAAAGAGCGTTCCAGACGTGGAGGCACAGCTTGAGCATTGCTGGGTCATCAAAATGTGGTGGTGTTGCGTTGTGAATTTTCGTGTAATTTGAGATGTTGAGTAAAGGGTGGGATTGTGTGCCCCATCACGAAATGCAGTACACACACTTCTCCCCAGACCGCATACATGTCACCTTACTGAAAATACATTGAACGAAACACCGAGGGCACGGGATGCTGGGTGTGGGAGTGAAGGGTAAATTAGATGGTGGTTGAGAGGATGACTTGCGGAGGAGAGGTTGTATGGAATCGAAAATAGTGTATATTTAAATGTGCTATTGGACCAAAACGCCTCGCTATGCCTCGTGGGTATCGTAAAATACATATCATAAGAGAAAGCAAGCAAGCTCAAAACCACGCCAAACTCCACAGCGCAGGCATTTGCGGCCACCTCTCCTGCCAACTCGCTAGTATCTCCGGAACCTTCTCATCGAACCCGTCTCTCGCCGCCCCGCCTCCAGCAGCCCACCCGCTCTCGCCGTGCACCTCGCGCTCTTTCCCCGCGGCTTCGTTCAGTGACAGTGCGAGGTCGAGAATCGCTTTTCCACCCACCAGCGCTTCTTCGTGGTTATCGCGTATGTCGACGTTAAAGACGTGAACCGGGCGATTCAGCTTCCCGCCCTTATTGTGTAGATCTTCCAATACCGCGTCGAAGCATCGTTCTTCGCATGTGATGACCACATCCGCAACCCCGCTCTCCGTCCCCGCATACCCCTTATCGCCCTCATGCTCCAGCCGCGGTTTGCCGGGCACCCAGTCCTGGAAGCGCTCCGGGAACCCCTTTATGTTGAGATTGCGCCCGAGCATGTTGAGCAGGCCGTTGTGCGTGTATAGGGCGGTGTTTTGCGCGGCCAGCTCGTCGTGGATCGACCGGTAGGTTGTGCTGTTGAAGTGGTAGACGTTGGGTTGCGTTATTGTGGGCCCGGGGAGGCGCACGAGTGAGCCGGTACCAAAGGATATCGTGGGGAGGTTGGCGGAGGCGAGTTGGAGGTGCGCTTCCATTGAGCTGAGGGGATTTAGATGGGGTTCTTGGGCAATTTGGGAAGGCTTTGGGGAGATGAGGGACTGGACATACCGGTTCTGGTTGCTGGCGCATACGGTGCAGAACTTCAGCTTGAATTTGTCGTCGGGGACTGAAGCTGGGTTTGCGGGCGCGGGCGCGGGCGCAGGCGCAGGCGCGTCGCTTGCGCCGTCCATGCTCATGGGTTGAGGCTCCATTGGCGGCGGTGGGGGTGGTGGAGGCACGGGTGCAGCCTGCGGTGCGGCCTGCTGCTGCTGTTGACGAGCCCGTAGGCGTGGATCGGCGGACATGGTGAGTAAATAGGATGGCACGTGAATGGGTGGTGAAGGAGGCACGTGAATGGATGGGTGAAAGAGGCACGTGAGCTGTGGTGAACGGATACGCGACGGTCGTACGGTGGGTCTCAAGCTCGAGTCTGCAAATTTCTTCACGCTGTTAGCAATACTCTCGCAACGTTAATGCAGCGAAGATAGCTTTAAGAGCGTGTGTATCAGAATTTTCAGTGTGCGTAATTATTTGAGTCCTCAAAGGCTATTGCCTAGGACAGCTCCAATAATAGTATTCATCATCACAGGCAGGAAGCTATATACGCAAAGTGGTACTTACAATGCGAGGCTCGGCGCTGCTGACGATGCATTAATCGATAGCTGACGCGGCGGTGGTGCTGGTGTGTGGATGTCGAAGAGGCTCGTGGATGGGTGAGGTTAGTTTTGATCTCGCTAAGCCTTGCTGACTAAGGACCATGAGCATCCACAACGCTGCTCGATGAGGGGCACAAACCGATCGTCTCGGACGCTGCGGCAGTACTCCTGCGACCGAGGTCAAATTGGTTGCCATGGCATTGCGTACTGCAGTTCTTTTCGACCAGCGGAAGAGATTGCAATCCTCTTATGGAAGTGGAATGCTCGATGAGGGCAAGACGCGGCTCGTCACCTCTGCAGTCTGCGAACCCTGGACCGGCGGGCTTAGTCCATGCCTAGGAACTGCGGTCGAGTTGGGTGACGGACAGCCCGACCATGCGTACCTCTGCCATAACGCGCGACTTGACATTATGCACTCGGGCCTCGTGATGGGCAATTCGCAGATGTAAGCAGGGAACGCCCTCGATCACAGCGGATGAGCCCTTCACCTCATTCAGCTAGCCTTCACTGTTCTGAAACAGACACGTGAGAACTAATCCAAAGCAGTTCAGGCCTTACGACCAAGCGGTTTGTTGTCGAGGGCAGAGCCGCCGGTTCAGACGTAGCCCCTCGTCCCTGCCAGCCGAGTCTCTTTTACGGGCCCGTCTTCTGTTATATCGGTTTTAGAGCACCTGCTGGCGAACCTCACGCTGCATCTTGTGTGCAGTTCTCTGTGACCCAGCGACTGACAGACGCCGATTCCACCGTTTCAAGACCCCCGCCGCACTCTATTTTTGGCCCAGCGTGCATCCAGTCCACATCCAACACCACAGGCTTCAACAACCCGCAACACAATCTGCTGTTGCTCCTTCAAAACACCACCGCAATTGCACCCGCCCGCCCCAGCGCCATAGCCGTCGCCCTCTGCCACTGCGCCCGCCTGGCCTGGAAAGCGGTCTCGCACACTGCGCCGTCCTTTGGCTGTTCACTGGGTAAGTCTTAGCGCCAGGCCTTCACCCCCACAACCCCCAGCGAAGGCGCTTCCCCAGCCGCCGGCTCGCTGCAAATACCCTCACTGCCGCCTGCCTGCTGCCTCCTTCCCAATCGCTGGGCGCAGTCGTTCCCTTGCGAGGTTTTTCCAGAAGCCCGTCAGGCGCTGCCCGGCGACCCATTGGTCAGCAGCTTGCTCGAAACATTGGACCAAACATTGAATCGTTGCGCCATCCACCGTATCCGCCCTGCAAGAGCCGCCTCTCAGGTACCCGTCTGCTGTGATTCGAGCGAGTGTTGTGCGCCGTGTGCGCTGGCGACATCGAGGTTGTGCTCTTTGCTGCGGTGGGGCACCCGCTCACGCACACGCTTCACCTGCATTGCGCGCCGTCGTCCATACCCACCACCTGCCACCAGCCTGCACTCCGCCGCGTTTCAGGTGATGACATAGGAGCACCGCTGACTTCGCAGACCCTCTCATATAAGGCACGCTACCGCGCATGACCGATACCGCTCCCACCACATCACACGCGCCCGCCGACTCGCAACGGCTTGACGACATCACCGAGGGCTTCGTCGTTCGAGGGCGCCAGAGCGACGCTGACATGGCGGCCGACGTCATGTCTCACCGCGGAGGGGACGCAGCGTCGGCAGGCTACATGGGGCCCAACCGCACCTCGCTGCCCCCGCTCGTCACTTCCCCGCCATCGCACGCAAAGCTGGAGCGGGCGAGCTCGTACGCCAGCAAGCGCATGTCCACCTTCTCCACCACATCCAACACACACCAGCCCGGTCCTCGCTCACGTCCGCAGTCGGTCGCCTTTCCCGCCTTCCACTCAAGTCTGCCATACGCGCTGGTACGAGACTTCGCATACGAGCCTGAGCACCCCCTCTACTATGGCCCTCTCCCGCAGGAACACAGGTCAGGCGCCTCAACGCCGGCCAGCGAAGCCAACCGAAGGCTCTCGGACCCTCCGCCAGTTGCATGGCGCACCGACCGTGGGTCGAGGGCATCTGGCCCGCAACACCTGGGCCTGGGCGAGCAGCTGCCCATGACGTCGTTCGGCGATGGCCCGCCATACAGCGAAGACGAAGACCTCGCCAGCCCCGTAGTCACGAGCCATCACAGCGCACGGCACAAGAAGCAAAAGTCGAACCAGGTGGACTTTGACCAGACGCGTGGGCGGCGGGCTCCGGAGGAGCACAGGAGGAGCTCAGTCACCGGTGTGAACGGCGAAGGAAGCTACTATCCCAGCCATGTCAACGATGCTGCCAACGGAATCGGCGGCGAGTACATCACATACCCCCCCAGCTCATCATCGAACCTCGATGTACCAGAAGGTGCGTCTCGACGAGACTCCCACTTTGCCGCAATACTCCCACAGCGCTCGTACGACAACGAAGAAGGGCCACCGTACGACTCGGACGAGGGGATGTCTGAGCCCGGCGACTACATTCGTGACGACAACCGCTTCTCCCGCGACTACCAATTTACGATTGCCTCGCCGGACGAAGAAATGCACGGGAAAGCGGTGGCGCTGTTCGACTTCGCGCGCGAGAACGACAACGAGCTGCCTCTTGTCGAGGGCCAGGTCATATTGGTATCCTACAGACACGGACAGGGCTGGCTGGTAGCGCAAGACCCAAAGACAGGGGAGAGCGGGCTGGTGCCCGAGGAATACGTGCGTTTGCTGCGCGACATTGAAGGAGGTTGGAACGGTCTTATGAACGGTGCGGTACAAGCACAGGAAGCGAACCCAGGATTGGACAGCTTGCTCAGCCCTATCTCGGCTGGTCCAGAAGCTAAGACGCCTACGCAGGCTGACCACTCCTCGTACACGCCCGTCATCTCTACCTTCTCAACGAGTCACAAGGACCTGGAGCCCTACCCGAAAGACCGGCTCGCCACACCAACGAACGCTGAGGGAGGAAGCTTCGGCAAAGGGAAAGAAGGCGGTCCTATGGAGGGCGTCGAGACTACGCCTGAGCCTCAGTCCAAGCGCCAGAGTTCATGACCTGGAAGGCGCGGATCAATCTACCCCTTCACGACATTCGCTTCGCCACCATGTCTTAACCAGCCACTTTTTGCGTCTGCCTTGCATTTACTTGGCGTCAACCTTGGGTTAGCATGTTGTTCTCTCTACACAGTACGCTGTCGCTACAGAGACTCCTTTCTCGTGAGCTCTTCCACCGAGCTCGTGCGTGTTCTGCATCTTTGCGAGCACGACATAACTTTTTGTAGTTGCATTGCTTTTCTTCTCTTCTTTCGATTTACAATTACCTTTTGGCTTATGACACTCACCGGCGCTTGGATAGCCGGAGCGATGATGATGATGGATACCTCGAGTGGGAAAGGGAAACGGTCTAAGATCGAAGCGACTTACATCTTTACGGGTGCAGAGATCGTGAGGATCGACGTTAATATATCATGTTCACAAACTGGCCTTCTTCTATCGAACGTCAACATGGAATTCGTCACGTCTAACACAGAAACGCGTGCGCACGTAAATCTCAGCAACTCACCGGAATGACGTCTCTGCAAGACATTTTCATCCACCTACTCCTGCAGAAACAGGAAATCAACAGCAGCTTCCAGCACGCGACTCTACCTGCGGAAGAAACGCTTCACGTCGCTGCTCCGTGGACCGTTTCCACCCAAAACCGGGTTCAAGCACGCTTCACCTGCCTGTGCCTCCCACTGTAGCAGCTTTGTCGACGACCTTGGAGCCATTTCCCTGCAACAATCGGCATCAACCTGCAACCATACCACGTTCGAGCACACCGCAATCTCCCTTGCGTTGACGACGGTGTCACCACATGTGGAGTTGCACGAACGCGTCGTGATAAGTAAAGATGAGCATCCCTTATCGACCCCGCCTTTGGCCGCCTCCTTCCGTCGCAGATCATCGACTTTTTGTTCGAGCAGCGCGCGAAGGGTAAGCGGCTACAAGCTGTCGAGCCAATTGTTATCCTCAAGTTCGTCTTTCTCTCCGGACGCGCATCCGAAATACACTAGAAGGTTTGGTGACAGATGGCAGTGGAGGCGCGAAACTGTCGCCGTTCGGTTCTGACTTGGCCGGACGTAGGTTAGTAGGCAGCACCAGAAATGTGAGCCCTTAAATGTAGCATGACGCAGGACCGTTGCTGGCGTCAAAAAGCTGCGCTCCCCGCCATATCGCAGAACTGTGATCGACTTCCATGGTATGGCTCCAGGGTACAGATTGGGCGTTGATGTTGGAGGGTAAGTGCCACCTTCCTGCGGTACTAAGCTTCTCCAAACAGGGTCGCAGATGTCCGAGCTGTCATCCCTTCGTAGTTTGCACTGACAGGCAAATAGCACCTTCACTGATGTCTGCGTTATCACCCCCGATGGCGAAGCGATACGCGCCAAAGTCCCCACGAATACAACTGATCAGTCCATTGGCGTGCAGGAAGGCGTAGACCAAGTGCGCCGCATTCTGCAAGACAAGTACAGCTGGAACGGCAAATTCGAGTACATCCACCATGGCACAACAACGGGCACAAATGCCGTGCTTGAGGGCAAGGGCGCTAAGGCTGGCCTCATTGTCACCAAAGGGCACAAGGACATCTTGACAGTGCGGAGGAGTCAGATTCCCGGCGGTCTTGGAGCATGGATCAACTATGTCCAACCTGAGCCACTTGTGCCGCTGGAACGGACTGTTGAGGCCAAAGAGCGCATACGGATCAATGGTGATGTCTTCCACGAGCTTGACGAGGCAGACTTTCGCGAAAGTCTGCAAGACCTGAAGCGTCAACAACCTCAAGCAATCGCCGTGTCTCTGTTGAACTCGTTCAGCAACAAGCTCCACGAGGAGAAGATTCGCAGCATACTCATCGACGAATTTGGTCCAGCTGTTGAGATCGTCACATCAACTGATGTGTTACCTGAGATCCAAGAGTACGAGCGAACAGTTACGACGGCAGCCAACGCCATCGTCAAGCCTGTGGTGAAGAAGTACATGAAGAATCTCCAGAAAAAGCTTGCAAAGGACACAGACACCCTCCGTATACTTAAGTCAGACGGCGATCTGACATCGGTTGACCTCGCAGGCGAGACGCCGGTACACATCCTCATGAGCGGCCCAGCTGGCGGTGTCAAGGCCGTCTCACATCTGGTCGCGAGAGAAACACCTTACAAGAACCTCATCACATTCGATATGGGAGGTACAAGCACGGATTGCGCGCTGTTATCGGGTAGCGAAGCCGTCATTCGTCGTGAAACTGAAGTTGGGCCTCTAACAGTACGGGCTCCATCTGTGGACGTGAAGACAGTCGGTGCTGGTGGAGGCTCAATCGCCATTTACAATGAGTTCTCGAAGAACTTTCGCGTAGGTCCTGAGTCTAGTGGCGCCACTCCTGGGCCAGCAGCGTACGGCAAAGGAGGAACACAAGCGACAGTGACGGACGCGAACCTCACACTGGGTTACCTGCCCTCGAAGCTGCTTGGTGGCAAGGTTGAACTCGACGTCGTCGCATCGGCGGCTGCTGTCGAGTCGATTGCAAAGCAGATGGGCATGGATGTGACGTCCGCAGCCGAGGGCATCATTGACCTGGTCAACGAGTCCATGTATGGTGCTCTGCGACTTGTTTCTGTCGAGCAGGGCTACGACCCTCGCGACTTCGCACTTGTAGCGCTTGGTGGAGCAGGGCCTATGCATGCAAATTCACTGGGCAAGCTACTTGGTTCCTGGCCTGTAATTGTGCCGCCTAGCCCAGGTGTACTGTGCGCTCAAGGAGACGCTATCACAAAGATGTCTCATGAGTCGAGCTGCACATACATCAAGGTTTTCTCTGAGATCGAACCTCAAGACCTCACAAGAGCATTAGGCGATCTGAGGAGCAGCTGTGTACAAACGATGAAAGAGTCGCTTGCAGATGAACATGCTGCTCTGAGGGTTGTATACCAATCTGACATGCGATACAAGGGTCAAGCTATGACGCTTACAGTGGACTTCAGCGAAGACGATGTAAACGATACCCCTCACCTTCTGGCACACCTACGCACCAGGTTCAACGAGGCGCACGAGCAGCAATTCTCCTTCTCGCATGCTAGCGTTGAGCTTGAAGTCATGCGACTCCGCGTCAGGGTTATCGACGCATCTGAGGAAGTTGCTATTAAGCCAATTGAGAAAGCTAACACGTCGACAACGCCCAAGGATGCTACGATGACCAAGCAGACCATCGTTTACGAGGGCAAGAAGGTCGAGGCTACATTTTGGGATCGATCGAAGATCACAAAAGCTGGCTTCAGGATCGAAGGACCTGCTGTCGTTACGGAGATGGACTCAAATACTTTGATCTTGCCCGGACACATTGGCGAGATTGACTCTATTGGCAACATCCTGATTTGGCCCAAGACCAAGAGAACACCAGAGAAGAAGACGCATACGAAAGAGTCGGCGGCAACACTTGTACAGGAGCAATCCTTTTTGCCCGCTCTCGTGGGTTCAGCACTGGCTTCCATTCGACGCGAAATGGACACTCTCATGCTGCGGTGTGCGATGAGTCCGGCTATTCGTGAGCAGCAAGATGAGTTCAATGTGATCACCAATACCCGTGGACAGATGCTCGCTGGTCAGTTCGGTAGTTTCATCCAGCAGTTCTTGAATGGCTGGACAGGCACGGTCGAGGAAGGAGATATTTTCGTCACGAACGACGTGTATCAGATCGATGGAGCTGTATCACATCTGAACGATGTTATCATCTTGCTACCCATTCACTACGAACACCGCCTCGTAGGCTGGGCTGCTAACTTCGGCCACCTGACTGATGTGCAGGGCAAAGTGCCTGGGTCGATGAGCATCAATGCGAGCACGATCTACGAAGACGGCTTACAGATACCTATCGTCAAACTCTACGAAAAGGGCGTATACAACGAAGCCCTAGCAACAGTACTCTTCCGCAACTCGCGCATGCCAAACTGGTTTCAGAGCGATCTGATAGCACTTGTCACCGCCTGCAGAACAGCAGCCACGCGCGTCAACGAGCTTTGCGAGCGATACGGTGTCGAAGTCTACGAAGCCGCGACCGACTACCTCCTCGAGCAGAATAAAGCCGCCATCAAAACTATCATCGACACCAAAATCGGCCTCGAGAAATCCAGTTTCACAGACTTCATCGACGACGACGGGCAAGGCGTCGGTCCCTACGGAATTTCCTGCTCGATGCAAAAATCCGGCGACAAACTCGTCTTCGACTGGGCCGGCACATCCCCGCAATCACCCACGTCAATGAACTTCTACCTCAGCAAAACCATGTTCAAGATCTTCATCGGCTACTACCTCCTCGCCATCTACGACCCTCACGTCGTCGTCAACGACGGCTTCCACGACCTCCTCGACATCCGCATCCCCGACGGCACGATCCTGCGGCCCGTCCGCCCCGCTGCAGTGTCGTGCCGCACGCATCTGCTGGGCAGGGTGATGGATGTTATGCAAGCGTTGTTCGGCCAGCGAAACCCAGCGTATCGCTGCGCAGCTGGCTTCTCCGATAGCCCGCACTTGTTCTACTCCGGCTTCAAGCCCTCGGGCGACTTTTATCTTCTCTACCAGATCGGGTTCGGCGGTGTGCCGGCGCGTCCCATCGGTGACGGTCCGGATTGTCATTGTCTTTTCCCTGCAATTAAGAGCATTCCGGCGGAGAATATCGAGCTGTACTTCCCCGTTATTATCGAGGCGAATGAAGCGCTGGCGGATTCTGGGGGCGCGGGGTACTTTAGGGGTGGGAATGCGCAGAGGACGCTCTATCGCTGGTTGTGTGAGGGCGATGTGAGCATTCATGATGATCGGTGGATGGTGAAACCGTGGGGGGTCAACGGCGGTAAGCCTGGAAGTCGAAGTCGGAAAATCATATATCGGAAGAATTCTTACGGCACGGACAAGGAGAGAGAGAATATGGAGTTGGTACAGAGTAAGATGGATTATCTGCATGTTTATCCTGGTAAGTCTCCCATAACACCTCCCCTTCCTCCTCCTCTCTCTTTTGGGGGGGGGGGGGGGGCGGATTAAAATACGGATTGGAGCTGACATTCACAGGCGACGTGCTCGAATGGATCACCTGGGGCGGCGGCGGTCTCGGCGACCCTCTTACACGACCTCCCGATATCGTGGCGAAGGAAGTACACCGCCGCCTCGTCTCTTTCGATGGCGCAAAGAATAACTACGGTGTCATCGTGAACGCTGATTTCTCTGTCAACGAGGTTGCGACTGCGGACTTGAGGAAGAGCAGGTCTAAGCAACGCAAGACCGAGGAAGATAAAAAGAGGAGATTGGTGAACGGTGGTGAAGGTGGACAGGGTGGCGACGATGTCGGCTACGATAGAGGAGGCACGATGAGCGAGTTAGTGCAGAGGTGTAAGGACGAGACGGGACTTGAGCCGCCGCGGCCGCAGTGGGAGAGGGATCCGTATGGACCGCATACGGGGCTGCCGTATGTTAAGGAGTGGTACAAGAAGATGAGGGAGGAGGGGTTTGCAGTTTGGGATCGTGTGTGAGGGCAATGTGCATCTTCGGTTTGTTAAGCGTAGGTGGGTTCTTGGATACTTGAATAAGTGAAAATGGATAGAGTTGTGTTTCTAGCCCGTTGCACTTTCTCAGAGGATGTTTCCGCTTTACGTTGCGTCCTGGCAAAAATATCTTGCAGTGATTAAGCCTCTGGGCTACCCAGAGCTTACTTCTCCCCATTTAATGGTGGGTTTGTTGCTGCACAATCGATCCCTCAAGCCCTGACCTCCCTCTAAACAACTCTCAAATCAGACTGCTGCTGTCAACCACCGTATCTGCCTCACGTCAGCAATCCCGCTTTATCGATTTCAGTCTGGGTGCTACTCACAAGTCGTCCCCGGCGGATCCAACAACATCAGACTGTTCTGCTGTCCCTGCTGTTCCATAGCCAGCTGCGCAGCATTAGCATCGACCGCCGTCTGCGCATCCATGGCACTCGCGACATCTCCCCCTTCGCTCCAGTCACCCCCACCCCCAAAGTCACCACCACCAGCGGCCGCCGCACCATCAAACACCCCGCCATCCATAGCATCAACACCCAACGCCAGCGCGCCAACGGCTGCTACGCCTATTGCCGCGCGTTTGGTCCATTTCTTCCAGTCGCCCCCTGAATTCGCATTCTTCACGTTCGCGTTCGGCTGAGCATGTGAAGGCATCTGAGCATTTGAAGGCATGCCGAAGCGGGATGTTGTCGTGGATGTCGACGAAGGAGTGCTGGGCTTTTGCTGGAATTGAGTGAGTTTGGAGGACCATTTACTTAGTGTAGGGTTGGATGACAGGGTGGACAGGGTGGACGAGCGTTTGGATTGCTGAGTCTGGGTTGGGGGTGGTGGAGGTTGGTATCGCTGTTGCACTTGGCTTGAACAGCCATTTTGTTGCGGTACCTGGGCGAAGGTGGTGGCTTGTTGAGGGTTATGGCCCGGTGGTGGAGGGGCGTAATAGGTGTGCGGAGTGTGAGGCGGCGTGGTATAGTTCGGTCGCTGCTGTTCGATTGGGAGAGTTGAAAGGTTGGGTTGCTGCTGGTTGTAGAACCCGGGTTTGGAGGGTTGTGCGAAGGTTTGCTGCTGCTGCTGTTGTTGCTGCTGGGAGTATTGGGGAGCGGGAGGAGCAAAGTTGCGTTGCTGCTCCTGACAAGTGCCTGGGGTTGGAGGAGGCGAGAACTGCTGGTACCCTTGTGTTGGCATAGTGTATAGTGGTGACTGCGCGACAGGCTGTGCGGGGAATGCATATTGATGTTGTGATTGTTGCTGCTGCAGTTGTAGGATTGAAACCTGACTACCCGTGGTGAAGCCAGACTGCGACTGTTGTTGAGGCGCAGGTGGGAAGTACCCTGAAGACGATTGTGGTACTGGGTTGGAAGCCAGCGCCTGTGGAGGCGGGCTTGTGACGGGAACTGGCTTTCTCTGAACCAGAGGCTGCGAAACCTGAGCAGGCGGCGGTGGTGGTGACGTAGGTAAGGTCCAGACGCTCTCGTTGGTAGTCAAGTTGATATAGAAGCTAAGGATGTACATTTTTAGTGTGCTATTTGATGTGATATTCATCCCGAACCGCAAAGATAATCAGGACTTACTATCTTGCGTACTGTGCACTCCATTCAGCCTTCCAACCAGGAGGCATTGCTGGGAGGAACTGAGGTCCAGGTACTGATGGAGTTGGCTGGAAACTCATTTCGATCGATGGGGGAGAGTGCAGAAGCTAAGCGTCGTTGCTTTGACGATGTGCGACTGTACCTTTGTACCACCGGAAGTGGCACCTAGAAGCCTTCATGTATCCTCTAAGCTTCCCCACCATGCCGCACCCACGAGCTTGTCGCCATAAGCACAGATCCGAGATATCGAAACGAGTAAGATTTAGTGTTGTAATTGGTGCGGCTAAAGCCTTGATGCCTTAAGGCCCAAAGCAGAGCGAATAGGCGAGAGCTGAACTTCGCACATCTGAATCAGGAAAAGTCGCGTATTCAACCCAGTTGGGGCTAGAATACATGCACTTTACATCGTCGCGTGGTGGTGAAGGTCTAGGCCTTGCAGCCGCACTTCGTCCGTAGGGACATTTCATGGCTGGGGGCCGATGCAGCTGCAGTACCCGTACCTCGAGTCGAGAGTGTACCTGTAAGCGCACCTCGTAGCTTTGGTATTTAACTCTATGCCCAGATCTCAGACGGGTTTCCTGAATGGAAAGTGATCCTCTGCTGACTTAGTCTCAATGCTACAGCTGCTGCACCTTGCAATGTCAGATGTAGGCGTCGTCGAATACGCCCAGCCGACATTACAATTGGTGTAGTCTTTCTTGACAGCACCCAGCTCACAATGCTTTAAGTGGTTATCTTCGCTCATAGTTGTCCTGTTTGCACGCCCCGGCCCTTACCTCAGCCATCGTCCTTTCCTGACTGTAACAGATCGACATTCAACCACGCGGTGGCTGTGAGGCATCCTCTAATTCTCGTGTGGGATCCAGGAAATCCCAGTCATCGGAAGCATCTCCCAACGCAATTCAGGCTCATATCGTAGACCAAATCGGTTGTTGAGCTCTGTTTCGAGCAACAGGCTGAACGGCCCGCTTTCTCTATAGCAGAATATGATGCATTGAACAACAAAATCGACGTTGATGTCGTACAGTGGTGTTTCGACAATTGAGCATATCTCTGACTGTGCCCAGTAGTTGACAATGTCTTGTGGCCCAGACCACGTCGATATACGGAACTTCGGCCAATACACGAGCGATGGCAACAGACCGCCGATATACATAGGACTAAGCAGTGCTTCGACATGGTGCTCGTGTGATGGTTTGTCGCTAACGTTATGTTCGCACATAGCGCCAGATACTTTCCAGAATTACATCAGAGCAAGTCGTTCGCGTTGCTCAACGGTATGTACGCGATCGTACGGAGCCCACAGACATGCTGAGCGAACCGGTGGCCTCCAATTAGGCATACTCTTGACAAGCCCAGGTTGGGCATATAGCCAGTCAAAAACTATCTCGAAGACGGCGTACTCTGATGCGTCAGTAGACCGGCGCTTGATTGGGCATCAGAGAGGGAAGCGAGAGACCTCGTAAAAACGATCTTGTCCATTCCTTCAAACTCACACTCTCCTCCACTCCCGAAAGCCTCGCACATCGTCCATGACCGGTGCCGCGAACACACGTGGCCCAAAGAGTGCGGAGAAGATGCACACACGATAGAAGCTGCGCATGTACGCTTCAAGGAACGTCTTTGCCTGTTCTTGCATGAGTTCAGGGAGGTCCACTCCGGCGGTGAAATGATGGGCGTAATTCACACCTCCATCACCAACCTCCACGCTGTAGGGAGGGTCGTCAGAAAGGAGGGTTTCCGAAATGTGTGATGTCGTTGAAGTCCAAGCGAGTGACAGCAAGTAAAGATCCATGACTGCCTCTATCTCTTTGATCCAGGGCACCGAGGGCATCAAAGGGCAGTCTGGACGTAGGCACTTGTTGTTTATCACAGCCTCAAAGAACTCTCTTGGCGGCTTTAACGAGTAGGCTTTCAAAGTAGTATCGTTGTAGCAGGAAGCTTCGTGAGGTATGCGTCTGAGGCGGACAGCAAGATGTGCATCATCAAACGCGTGACATTGAGCTCTGGCTGGACTGAAGGCATGATCTCTGCAAGATTTGTCTGCCAGGATGCGAAATTGACGCGAGACGTTTCGGAGGGTTCACAGATATTGGAGAGACTCTACACCCTCGAAGATGTGTAGCAAGACTTCGGGTGGTAAGGTCTACATGTTATGCAATGCATGTCATACAAGAGACATGTATCGTGAAAAGGGGGTGGAAGAGGGGCAACGAACGCTGGTGGGGAAACGCGAAATGACGCGCTAGTGCTGCTTATGTCATAAGTCCGCATCATCACCCTGCGACCACTTGTGAGCATCCTGTCTCTCTGGTACAAACGCGAGATCTATCTTGATGCGTAAATGCAGCACTTCTTAAGGCTTGCTGAAAACATTAGGGCCGTCACGTGAGTTGCAGGCGTGAATGCGTTTGTGTGGTGGACCTGCTTTTTTTTTCGGATTTACTTCTTCAGCTCAAACCCGCTCCTCCGAAGCTCGATCCTTACAGCCCCCCATGTCAGCTCTTACGACTCCGAACGGCAGCGCTCGTAACGGAACAGATACCGGTAAGCTTGGTGCTCAGTCCGCATATGTATCGTGTGTATATAGCTGACGTCCACCCCAGTCGTCTCAGGTAGAGTCTCGAAGAACCCAAAAGCATGCGAGGGTACGTAATATCACGTTTCCAATGAGACAGATGTAACGCGTTACAGAGTGTCGACGCAGAAAGCAGAAGTGTGATGGCAAAACGCCATGCAATCTGTGCAGTAAGCGGAACAGCCAATGCACTTATCGATCCTACATTCGACAGCGTGCCGGGCGGGCGTCTTCAACATACCAAAACTCATCGGTGACACCTAGCAAAGAAATTCCCTCAAACAGTCTACCTCGAGAGACCATTGCGGCACCAATCAACAATGACAACGATGAACCCTCAGACGGCCTGCCTCGGTCAATGCCGCCCCGTTTAGCAATCTTCAATAACATTCGAGCAACACAGGATACATCACGAGGAAGAACCGAATTGTTCTACGGAGCTTCATCGCCATTCTCTGTCTTGCAGCATCTCGATGCTCACCTTCCTATGCAAGGAGCGCGTGCTGTCTATCCTAGTCTTGGTGCGGAAGCGGTTCAGAACGGTGACAGGAGTATCAGGAGCTACAACTACCAGAACATTATTTTCGACCATCTACCAGATCCTATTCCGTACCTTAATGGCTTCGACGCTACCAGCTATGCCTCAGCAAAGATTGCATTACGTAACTTCTTGGTGACAGCGTGCCCTCGATTGCCGTTCCTAGACTCAAACACTCTGTGCGCCAATTTCGAAAAGTTGTACAGTCTGAATGGTGGTACTATCCTGTCCACTGCCTGTAGAGCTCTGGTTATCGCCGCACTGGGGTTGGGTGCATTGCCGCTCACTGACCTTCCATACAGGCAGCTTTTTCTTGCGCAAGCTCGAACAGAAGCAGTAACCATAATGTACGATATCAATACAAAGACGGTGCAAGCGAGTCTGATGTTGGCGCAATTCGAATTCGAGGCTGGTAGTCCAAACATCTGCTACCTGCACCTTGGCGGCGCTATTCGCAAAGCATTTGCGGCTGGAGTGCATAGGAGCAACACCCACGAATCGGAACAAACAATGTGGACTTTGTATTGCAATGAAAGCTTGATATGCTTCATATTGGGTAAACAACCCGGCTTGGCTGATGAAGACATCGCCTTCCCACGGCCTGAGGATACATCTTATATGGCCTACTTCGTTCGGCTGTGTGCTATTGTTCGCTCTGCCTATCGAATCTATCATCTTGACGATACGGTTATGGCGGATCTAACTGCCGCTCAAGCTGTATATCAACAGCTGTACGGGTTTTCGACACTACTCAAAGAGAACACTCGGCTCGAGATTGGTGGCCAACTCTACGCGCTAGCAGGAGAGGATCTAGCGTGGCACATCACCTTCTCATACGGTAAGTTAGGACCACACCAAGCGCTGACAGCTAGCTGACACTTCAGTAGTGTTCTATGTGACGAAGTTGCTGCTCTTCAGACCGTTCCTGCTATTGTGTCTGGAGTTGAAACGCCGTGGAGTGATAGACATTCTTAAGGAGCGCAACGGCGGTGTCGAGATGACAGTGCTGTATGAGACTGCCGAGCGCTCCGTTGGCTCTGCAAGAGACATTATTAATTTCAGCGACTCCTTGTTTTTGTTGCAGATCGGGACCGAGGTACGCACCTGCATAGCTTACTGACGACCCAGAAAGCTAAGAAGAACAGGGCCTGTACAATCATGGGTTTTATCTCGAGAGTGCATGTTTCATACTTGCGCTTGCAGCTGTTCACCACAGCAGCCATCTTTCTTCTGACTGCTTCGAGAAGCTTCACATCGGTTTTAAACTACTACGACAATTGGGATCTCACGAGCCTGTGCGAAGCACTAGCGCAGCAGTAGAGCAAATGATCAACAGGATTCGTGAGTTACCAGGAAGACCCGGGTCAGGTGTTGGGCAAACTGTCGATGATGGCCAGTTATCGACTGCCATGAGCAGCCCGTCGAATCCCACAACCCAGCCAGCCGTCTCGCTTGAGGCCACATCCGCCCTCGACCCTATGCAAGATGCTTTGAATACCGTTGGGTGGGATCATGACCTTTCTTTGGACGACTTGTGGTCCATGATGGACTGGAATGTTGGATTTTCATCGATGGATCCCATCTCAACGACCATGGCAGAACTGTGAAGTACATGGTGGTTTTTGTACTTCTACCTTGTGCTACGAAACACATTATGTTTAGCAGAAACTTTCTTGGAACTCACGACTGATTGAGTTCGTGGACCTGTCCATTTCCCACGAATACCCGAACCTGTCATTCGTGCTTCCCAAATCATCGAACACCGCTTTGTGAAGCTTAGTGATTTCAAGAGCTAGTCATTTATGGGCCTCCAAATTCCCGCTATGATTTCGGAACACTAACACAGGACCCAAATCTGAGACAGATTTCATCGCAATGAAGTTCCCGACCGTGTACTGCTTCACAGCTCTGCTATTGGTAAGGCTCACAACCTGCACACCTACCTCTGGACACGCCGTGGTAATATCCTGCACTTATGGCATATTAATAGTCAATGCTGATACGCGCAAGAGTCGATCAACAACGATGTACCGACAACACCTTCATCGGATGGCACAGACACAATCTTGCTTAAGAGAAAATGTTACGATTGCAAAGCCCAGTGCTCGTTCGGCTTGCGCCAATGCTTATATAGTGGTTGCTGGCGCCAGGATGGAGTATATGTCTTGTACTGCTTGCTGTAGACATGACTTAATCTAAGCTAAGGATAGAAGACGAAGAATAACAGTTGTAACCCTTGAGCCAGAAGGTTACCACGCACGTGAGAAGATTTCGGAGCGAAATCCGTCTATTTCTCAGTCAATCAGGTCTCAAAATGGGGCCGACTATATGTAAAATGTCGTGTAGTACAACGGTTGGAATTAGTATCTGCTTATCCAAGTTCTCCATTCTTCGGATCATGTCACAACGGTGTGTTTGAATGCAAGGTAGAAAAGCCCAACTTCTCAAAATGTGCTCTTTGATTGCACAGCAAGAGAATAAGCTTTACCTAAGCACCAAGAACTCTTTCTATAACTTACTCAACTGTAACGGTTTTGATACTCTACAAGTCAGGCCAACAGCACCAACTCACCGTTCTATGCTCACTGTGCTTAGACGCTCGCTTATTGCTCGCTTATATAGCTATCGTGGAGGTCTTCTGCCTCCTTGAATCAATACAGTACATTCCTACAATTCAAACCTCAAGATCAATCGACTAGTCGGTGATGCTTCTTGTCGTATACATGAGTTTCAAGCTTGTGGTCGAGTTCCAGTGAAGCGGTGTTCATAGGCCACAGGTAAGAGGAATGTTTGGCATGTGACTAGGAGTTCTTGTGGTTGTGACTACAGTCTGTTTTAGAGATCTGTTTTCGAGTGAGCAATGACTGAAGTCGCTCATTGTAATGTGAATTACAAGACGACGAAGACTTCTTTGTGGAGAATCTCTTCTAAGTCTCTTGATTTGGGTTGTTGCTAGCCTCGCTATTTGCTGGCGCCTTCCAATGTGCTGCCCAGGTGTGGAAGATGTTTGATGAAAGATTCAATTTGTTGCACCGCGTGACATGCAGGCAGATCTTTCCATTTTCACTATCGATTTGATCTGTCCTCCTCAGAGTGCAGATGTTGGTTCGGATCGCTCGAATTGTCCAATTGACTATCAACAGATGAAAAAGGTCTGCTTGAAAAGAGATTGGTTTTCCTTGGTGGATTCTCTTCTAGATCTAAGAACTTTCGCTGTCCCAGGTTCTGTTCGGCAGTCTCGTAGACTTGGATTCTAGGCCTTGTTTGTTCTCCTTGCAGTATTACGTTGAAGACCGAGACCAGGGAGTAACTTGCGGAAGGTCTTGTCTGATGAAACATTTTCCTTGGATTTCTTGTTGTCTTTTGCGCTCGAACTGTGCCACTTCACGGGCATGTTAGATGGAGGCATAGTCGATAGTTCTGGTATCTCATTCGCTTCAGTGGAATCCGAGTACATGTTCCCTGGCTGTGTTTCCTGGCTCGTTTTGCGACAGCTGTTGCAATGATCGTTGTGATCCATTCGGTCCTCGAGTTTCTACATCATCCACCACCGTGTGATCGAAGAAATTCTCATAAATCCAGCCAAGTAAGGCTCAGGAAGATGACCTGCGGTGATCTCTCTGTCGGACCGTAGATGTAATCGGTACCTTGTCTCCGTTGGGTACTGGTCTCTGAAGACGATCAAATTTTTAACGAAGCTGATTAGACTTGAATACTCAAGGGTCTCAGGCCTGACGAATGATGATGCCTGTCCCCACTGACTCAAATTCACGTCGCTAAAAGCGAGGTCGATGATGGCCAAAACATGCTTAAGAGTACGAGTCTCAAAGCTGTATGATCCAAGGTGAAAGCATACATGCTTTCCGAGAACAAACTCTTACACTGTCCAGACACGCGTGAACTTACATAGCAGACTTCAGCGCTATACTGTGCTGACACTTGCTTCTATAGGTCCATGTCACAACAGTGGGCTGCAGCACTCACCAAGACAATGCCAGTAACTGCGTATTGTTGAACGCTGTTATATGTCCCTCAAGATTGATGAAGCTAACGTCACGAAACTGTTTGATTTTGTCTAGTACCTGCACCAAATCTCCTTATTCGTAGGGAAAGGTGACACGGAATGGTTCAGCCGCACTTTCGAGTTGATGTTCAGCTGCTGCTTGTAGACACAGCCCTGCACTAGTGCGTACCTCGCACACTGTGGCATTTAGTAGATTCTGTTGCGGTGTATATAACCTTTATGACCCCAGGGTCAGAAGGTTGACGCGACAGATTCGACCATGCCGATAGAATAGGATGTTGAAGTCCGAACAGTCAAGATTTCAGGGCTATTGGAATGTTTCGTACTGTATCATTACGTCGTTACATCGCCATCGGTCCACGGAAGGCACCATCAAGCGTCTCGACTCTACCTAGCAATCATTATAGCTCAAACCGTGCCCAAACCTAAACACAGGATTCTCCGTATCAAAAGGCACATCCTCCTTACTCGCCTCAACCGCCTCCATACTCCTCGGCAAATCAAACGGCAACTTTCCTTGCGGCTTATACCCGTCGAAGCCAAACACAACGTCCAAAAACGCCTCACCCGCCGCACCATAATTAGCCATCAACGCCTTCGCCTGCTCCGCAATCTCAGGAATAGCAGCCGGGCGGTCAAGATAAATATCAACGATAGTAGGCACAGCGGCGTAGATAGCAGCTTGGCGCGCGCGCTCAGTGGCGTTGTACTCGAGACTGCCGGCGTGGTAGTTTGCTTCGAAGCCGCCGGGGCGCGGCTCGTATGGGGCTTGGAGGCGGAGGAGGGCGAAGTCTGCTTGCTCTGGCATAGCAACAACAGTAATCTCCCTTTGAGCGAGGAGAGTCTTGTTCAAGCCCTCAATGTAGAACTTGACATTCTTGTCGTGCTTGAGGGGCAGGACGGTGTCGTTGTTAGTCAGCAGGGTGAAGGACTTGCGCTGTGTGTCTTTGCCCGCAGCGACGAATTCCGCTGTACCGACGAGTTTGTCTGCTGCGTCGACGTCGACAAACGGGTTTTCGAAGAGCCCGAGGAGGAACTTCTCGCGCAGCAGACGGCGGACGGAGAGGTCGATGCGGTCCTCGCTGATGGTGTTATTGCCGACGAGTTGGAGGATGAGGTCGAAGCGCTGTTCACCGCCGAATTGGTCAGCTCCAGCATTTAGGATCTTCTCGGCGCGCTCGATCTCAGTTAGGTTCTCGGCGCCCCAGGCACGAGCTGGCATGTCTTGTCCACGGATGACGACGTCGGTGATCAGACCCCAGTCAGTGACTACGATACCTTCAAAGCCGAGCTCGTGGCGGAGAAGGTCGGTGATGATGCCCTTGTTCATGCCAGAAGCGACTTCCTCGTACTTGGTGCCGATGGGGCGAGAGTAATAAGGCATGATTTGGCGGGCGCCAGCAGCAATGGCGGCCTTGAAGGGAATGAGGTGCTGTTCAAAGTTGTTGCCAGGGTATGTGGCATTCTTCCCATATGTGAAGTGGCTGTCCTCGCCATCCTGGACTGGTCCACTACCGGGGAAGTGCTTGGTCACAGTGGTGACTGATTGATTGCCGAATTCGTCACCGGTGAAGCCTTCAATATACGCAACAACAAGTTCGGCAGTGAGCTCCGCATCCTCGCCCATGGTACCTCCGATTCTGGCCCAACGAGGTTCAGTAGCAAGATCAACTTGTGGGTGCAGGGCCGATCGAAGACCAATGGCCAGGTACTCTTGGCGAGCAATGTTTGCGAACTTGTGGACCAGTTCCGCATCCCTCAGAGCTGCAAGGCCAAGACTCTCCGGCCATTGCGAAAAAGCAGTCGCGGCAATTTGAGATCCAAGTGCGTCTGTGTATGAGTGTCGGGGATCCGAAGACATGGTCACAGGTATGCCAAGTCGAGTGTTCAGAGCACTCTGTTGCAGGTTGTTGTACCATTGTGCTGCCACGCGAGGGCTGTTGACTGTTCCCCCCAGGTTGAAGTGTGTTTGGAACTTGCCTTCAACAGCAAGAACTGTGGTGTTGGCAAGAGCGCTGCTGCCGTTGGCCGGTAGGTTTAAGATGCTCTGGAACAGCTGTCCAGCCTTCTCTTCTAAGGTCATGCGTTGGATCAGGTCATCAACGCGTTCATCCACGGGAAGCGATGCATCCCGGTATGGCAGCGCCTCTGTGTTGCTTCGTAGTGTGAAAGCATTGTGTTGGAAGCTTTTGGGAGCAGGAACAGCCTTGGACATTGCTGTAGCTGCGAAGAAAAAACCAAGAAAGGCCTGCTTCTTGCAATTGCTGCGAGTTCCGATACTCATATTGAGTGATGATTGGCGTAAAGTATCCAGCGATACCTCCACAGTACAGTGACATCCCAACTATTTATACTCCTCGTCTTGCTTGTACGGCACGAGTCGACGTCGTCCAGCAGCAAGCCATATCCGAAGAACAGCCATAGCGGAGGCTCTAGCCGTCGAATTTTCCGCGATGGTGTTGTGCAACGAAGGATGTTCTCCGCTCTCCAGTGCTTTCCGAGGTGCCATCGTTGACTGCCGATGATGCTGCCAAGCCGCTAAAGTGTGGGGATCGTGAAGTGGGGAGGCAAGTCTGGGGTGCGTGCATCCTTTCCGCCCCGGCAACTACTCGATCCTTGTTGTATGATTGGGCAGCCGGGACTTTGTTGGCTTTGAAGGAATTGCCAAACGGCCCCTCCACACAAAAGAGGATAGCATACGCACCGTCATGTGAGGTTCAAGGTTGTGATTCCGGTATAAGATGATCCACTCGCCAGGTGGTAGACCTGTTTGTTGACGTGCATGTTGACATGCTTGGCATCTTGGCATGTACGATGCGCTAGAGGCTTGTGGTGCGGCCGATGACGGACAACATCTCGCGATGGTGAGGTGACGAGTTCACACTTTTCGTAGGGTTCTTAGTGTCGAGTCGAGTCTCGTAAGAGGAGATTCGATATTGGTGTGCGCAGGGGACCGCGGCTGTTGTTATCAGTTCCTTGCTCTTCGATTGTGCACACTCATGCTAAATCGTAACGTCGTCATATGCAGATCTGCCTCCATGGGCGTCTGGGTATCTTCCTCATTACACATTTCCCCTCATCATGCACCCCCATGGAACTAGTAGAATACCTTCCTCGCACTTCCTCGGCCTCGACTCTCCTTTGCATGGATGCAGCAGATGCTCATCTCCTGACACCAGTCCCTCACCATGTGCACCTCCAGCTCTTTCTCAATTGCCAGCACTTGATCATTTCTCTCCACACCCAAGATTGCACTGCCTTTAATCTTCAGCTCGTTGTTGTAGGCTTTAATCTGCTTCTGTGTCGCTCGTTTGTACGTGCGAAGCTTGGTATTGCTATTGAGGTAGGCGGTGAAGTCTTCGAGGATAATGGGGTCATACATGAGGATCTTCTCGTGCCAGCTCGGTTTCTTGGGATCTGTGGTCGGTGGTATGGAGCGGATGTGTGCGGTTATGGCCGTGCAGATAGAGGGTTTAATGTTGGCCCATTCGAGATGAGATGTGAAGATGCGAAAGATTGGCGTGATCCCGGGCTCGTCTACTTGAACCTTATTGGGCGCCGAAGGTTCCTGATCGAAAGCCAACGGTAACGGAGGTGAGTCTTGTAGCTTGCGCACTCGAGGCGGTGTAGGCGAGAACGCTTCGAGAGCCTCATCTTCCGAATCCAAAATTTCCTCGATATCGATGAAGCGGCCTGACCCCTTCGGCGGGGTTGATGGCAGACGCTGTAGAATCTGCTGTGCCGGTGATGGATTGCGCAATGGAGGCGGTGCTGCTGCTGGGACAGTTGGTATCGCGCTCTTTGCTTTAGGAGGTCGACCTCGACGTTTCTTGGGTGAGCCCGTAGCTGTAGCCATTGCTGGGGCTGATGCTGGCGGTCTTGCCATGCTATGGGGCGAGCGATGTGCTGCAGCTGAAGGAGCAGGCTGGAAATCATCGATATCTGCGAAGCTATTTTGTGACTCGGCGTTTTGGTTGGATGGAGGAAGGCCGCTATCAAAGTCATCGATATCGTCGAATACCTTGTCAAGCGCCGTTTCTGTAGGCACAGGCTCCACGATCTGTTTCTGCGACTGAGATCCTGGTGGTGTCGGCAGGTCTGACGAGATCGCAATGGGTGCAGGAGGCTCGATGTCATCGTTGTCCACAAACTCAGCGGGTAGGCTTGGCTTTTCGTGAGCAACGTCCATGAGAAGAGGCAAGTCCTGCGTCCGGTCTGGCTCTGGAACGTAGACGGTCTCCATGTTCTCGAGCAGACAGCCATCGCCGTCTCTTGTGCTCTCTCGCCATAAGCCTCGCTTTCCTTCAATTCGCTGAAGATTCGGCCATCGTGGTGGGGCTTCCAGCAGGAAGTGAGACGTGGTCCCTGCTTCTTGCTCTGATTCTGTAATAGCTCGCTGTATCTGTCGCACAGTCGTGGGTGATTCTTCCAGCGCAAGCTGACTTGAAGTGCCGAACAACACCTCTTGCCGGTTCATGCGCATCACTGCAGAAGCAGGACTGAGTAACTTCTCAGCGACTAACTTTGGTTTAGCAGCCGGCTTTGTTGATGCCTTCCTCGCACGAGGCTTCGCCTTTGTTGTCGCTCCCTCTGAGCTGTCTTTCGACTTCGACCGCTTGCTAGGTGGCTTCTTTTGCGACGCCTCAGCATTGGGCGCTGTGACGTCGTTTAAAGGCACTTTCGTCATGCTGGTTTGTGGCGAGAAAAAGTCACTTGTGACAGTCTGCGCATCCGCGTTCGTGTCCTTCGGTGCATACTGGCCAGTCACCAAATCTGTGATGGTGCGTGGCTTCTTCTTGGGTGCTTTTCCCTTTTCTGGAGATGATGCTCGAGCGGTGGTCTGAACACCGGGGAGCTCAACAAGTTCGACTCGGCGGCGCTTTGTTATGCCCGAAGTTGCTGTAATTGGCATCGTGGTAATGCTCGTGAGTTTGACGGTTGGCGATTCGTATGTAAAGTTGGAAATGAGATTAGTGAAGGTGCCGGTCATGACGTCGTGCGCCGATGGGCTGTTTTCCTTTCCGGTCGATACCGTTGAAGGGCTTTGAGCGACAGTATCCCTGGGAGGCGTCCAATCTCGTCTTCTCGACACTGCCTCGTCAAGATCGAGTCCTTCTGCTAAAGGATCTGGTGGCCGCTGCTTCGATGCCTTCTGTTTCGATCCCGGACTTTGTGGCACATCCCATATCGATGGATCTTGAACTTGCCTATCACTTGTTGGATTAGTCCCCCCTGTGGTGTTGCTGATCTGCTCCTTGTCAACCGGGCGGTGTGCAGATACAACCTTTGCAGCTCCCCGCTGCGCATTGCCCGTCTTAGCAGCCGCGGCTTTGGGTTTCGTAACCCTCGTCTTCTTTGGCTTCGGCTCCGTATCACCATTTTCAGGCTTCTCCTTCGTCACTCGTGGTTTTCGTGGCTTGCCCGACTTCGTCAACTTCGGCGCATGTGCTGCAGGTTCGGTAGGGCTCTTGACTGTCGTTTGCGCTTCTGCATTTTCAAAGAAGGGTGATCTCGTAGTACGTCGAAGCCCGAGTTCAGGGTCGAGGGTAGTATTGTTGTTGTCGAGCTCTTTGTCTGCTTTTGGTTTCCTGCCTCTTGGCTTCGGTTCCGGCTTCTCACCGTCGACAGCCGTCGCATTCTTGGTAGATCGCTTCCTGGGCTTCTTCGCAGCCGCAACTCCTTCCCCTATGCCTTTGAGTGACCCTCTCCGTGATTTTGTTCTTGTTACACCTACGAACTCGTCGTCTAGCTGCTGTGCGAAGTGCTCTGAGTGAACGAGGCTGCTCATGGTGGCGAATCCTCTTGTAGCCTTTTCAGGGATTGGAACGGCTCGAGAACCGGACATCAATGCGCCGGGTGTGTTCTTCCCTGGGCTAGAGGGCGGAGATAGAGCGAACGGCGAGGATGGGGACATTGCGACGCGTCTCGTGGGCGCCGCATAGCGCGGAGCATTGTATGCATCGGGGGCGGGTGGGGATGAGGAGAGTACAACGATTGTGTACTCCTTCCCAGCCATCTGCAGCAACTGTGCCTGTCACCTGAAAGCCAGCGTTCGATTGGGCAGGTACAACCTATGCGCCAGGAAGGTGCATGGTGTCGTAGGGAAGGAGGAGAAGGCGAGCCTCAAAGCGCGCCTGGACCCGCAACGCCTCGCGAAACCACATGCTTTCGCGTTCAGCCTCAAGATCTGAGCGCCACACCCCTCTTGCTCCCATATCTTCACACACACCTTTCCCCAAACACCACATCAAGACTTCCTGAGAGTATCATAGTAGTTTCATTGTGATCACTCAGTCTGGTTTTGTGACATCTGAGGCACTGCATGCACTTCCCGCGTCGACTGATATGGCGGACGCCGTGCAGTTCGTGCTAAAAGCATGCCCAGTCGCCAAATTTGCTACCTGTGGCGACAGCACGGGCAAGGCATGCTTTGCAATGATGTGACAAGACAACGTTGGTTTACTGCTAACCACTATCTCACTAACGAATGCTGTGTGACTGAAGTCCGGAACAAGGTTGTGCTGATCGAGATTGCCTGCTCGTAGTACTGAGCCCGGTGCGATCCTTACACTCCTGGCCTTCGATCATCTTGCTTACTTCGTCGTGCTTCTCGCGTGTCGCTCCTTCCCAATGAGTGCCCCACTTCCAACGTTCCCCTACCTTTGCCCCTTTCTTGTCCCGAGTTCCACAGTGCATTTCTCTCTGCCAAACCTCTTTCCTTCGATGTTCTCTCGCACATCCTTCCCATGACGTTTATCTAGACTTTACATTTTCCCTCCTGACCACCTCTCTCCAGCCGCCCATGGTGCGCTGTGTATCTCCGTTTTATGTTCGACCATCCTCAGCCATGCTGTTGCTTGTTTCCCCCGGGATTCTTGCATCTTCTCCTGCTTCTCCTTACTGCACTCGACTACGCCATCTCCTCGACACTCCCATCCATCTCCACACACCCTCATAACCAAGCTCCCAGCAAACAAGCCACTCCGTAGACAGAAAAGGGTTCAGATCCACGCCAAGTCTTGAACGGAGCCTCCAGAACTCAGGGGTATCCGCCGAACAGCCACACTTTCCTATCCCTGCGCGGGCCCTGGGAGCGATGTGGTTGTGAGGCAGGGGCTTGTTTATGCTGGGTCCGCATCGTTTATGTCTGCGTTGTGTGCGCCGGGTGGCGAAGCGAGGGCGTGTGGAATAGGTTGGGGTGGTCGTTCGAGGTGTAGAGAGCGCAGTCTTGGGAGCAGGTGTACGGCAAGAACATGCAGCAATTTGCTCCAAGTATCTTGACAGTATTCTAATATCCTTAGTCTTTTTCTCGCCTTTTCTCTTTCCGTGTTATTCCTTACCATCGTCCTCAATGCTTCGTCCTACAGTCTGCCGCCTGCAACTTGCAAACTCCTTCAGAATCCCACCCTGGAGGACACGAAGCGTTACTCTCACGCCTTTGGTATATTGTTTCATGAATTTCTGACCCTCTTCGACATTTTGGGCTGCCCCTGCCCATGGCAGCCGTCAAGTTCTTCTCTGCGCCATTCGGCCTAAATACTCCACACTCCCTCTCAACACTTCCCATACATATGGGTAATTCTTTTCCAGTCTTTTGTTTTTTCCTCTTCCTTTTGTCGCGTCTCAACCTCCCTTGGTCCATAGTTCCTTGTCGCGCGCCTCTGGCTTGCTTGTAGCAATCGCGCCATATACGTAGAGCATGGTCGTCGATGGCGAGGTCCGCAGCATTTCGGGCGAGGTAGGTCCCCTAAAGATTGCTCCGTCCTCAGAAGGTCTTCGTAATATCTGAGCAGAAGTTGTGTCTCGCTCGTGGTCTGCTTGAAGGGCTGTTGTGTTGCCGCCGCCGGCGTTCCTGCGATTTAGTAGGGCGGGCTCCTTTCTCGAGAACATAGATGGAGTTTCTACAAAGTCCTCCAGAGCTGGTTATCTTCGGATGTGTATGTGGACTTCTGAGGTTGTCGTTGTCGCCAAAAGTCTTGGAATCTTGGAATCTGCAGAAGTGGGTTTCGTGATAGGTAACCTGGATCGTAGGTGTTTGCTCGGTCGGACAAAGAGTGATACCGGGCTACGAGCTGCGGGCTATTCTATCGAGTAAAAACAGATGGCTCGACGTTTTTAGCATATGCAAGTGTTCAGATGGTGGGGAGAGGGCAGTGCAGGGGTCGATTTGGTGTAGGCTTGGCGCTATGAGAGCTGTTGTCGAGCTCGAAGCTGCCGCCGCACAACACCAAGCTGCCACTGGTCAGGCCTCCGCACAGTGGCTTCTTTCGAGTTGGGCCCTCTTCTCTTCTTGCGGTATCAGCCCGCACGCCCTCATTCCCACTCAGTTTGGTGCTCGCTGCCGGGTCTGCAGGGTTCTCTACAACGGTACCAACATGTACCTACGAGTCGGTGGAAGCTTCTGCGATGGGGAATTCTGCGCCGGTCACAGACCAGCCGATCACAGATTCTCTGCGTTCGTTAGTATCTGCTGCTGGCTGCAGAACGTCTTCAATCAGTATTGCAAGCACAGGCCGCCGGTCCAGCCGTGGAAGTCTCTGCTTGGCATGACAGCTTCTGAGCTCTGGTGTTGGGAAATCGTAAACGCCTTCCAGCAAAAATGTAAGAACGGCTTGGTCGTTCTCGCTGGCCATTGGCAGGCGCTGCTTCAGCAGGGCTGGTGTAACAGTAAGTGTCGGCTTGTAAGACAGAGACTAATCTGCTAACGGATCCTTCAGTGAATTGAGGCCCAATCATCAAGATCTGGGAAATCAAGGTCGTCCTGCCTGCCTACTACTGCTTCAGGCACTGCGCCTTTGCGATCCACCTGGTCGGAAACGGCTGGTGGATCTTCGATCCGACTAGAGTCCAGTTCGACCCGGACTGGCCTCTGCTCTCCCCCCTCAACGACTTCCCCGCGCGCACGAGGTCGAATATACCCTGGCGATAGGCCTTCGTGCGGTCCTGGATCTTTAGAGGAAGCCGCTGTTACGTGCAGCTTGGACGATCACCGTGGTAACCTCGCTCCCGGATTGATTGGCAGACAGTACCCTTCGTGGTTCAGCCTTCGTATCCACCCAGTGTGGTAGTAGACACCCATGTGCAGAGCAGCACTGGTGTTGGTGAGGGGCTGCTCTGTAAGATGCTGTCTGTCAGGAGGCCTGGGGGTACAGCCGAGAAGAGAGCCCCCTTGACGACGAATCGGCTACTCACCTATACCTACATTGACAGGTATCAAGAGCCCTGACAGTTTTTAGCAGTGCTACAGCTATCACGGACCATGCGTCTCGAACTTTCATGGCCTTCGTTTCGATCAGCAAACATCTCGACAAGCACAATCTCCTACATCTGCGACATGCAAACACCTGCGTCTCGATGCCAACGAATATCATATCATACTGCCATCTTGCCGTCAACGCCGCAAATTCCTCCAAGCTTGCAATGAGAGACGCAATGGATATGATGGGGGAGGGTTCGTGGTTGGCAGTGTCTGGAACGATGCTGGTCTGAGGTGTGACGGAATCACCACACGGTTGCACATTCCTCCGCACGCATCGCCTCGCCATTGAAGTCTATGTTTGCTCCCTTCAATCGATGAGCGCAGTCACAACAGTAAGAATTACAATCCGATTTCGAGAGACTCCCGCTAATCCAGCCGTTACCAATCGAATAAAGCTATCGAAAAGCCCGAATGACGAACTCGCATTCTGTGTTCTTTCTGCGACGGATACGGACATACCACCCAAGCCCGCGATGCTTCGAACGTGACCGCCTCGCAACTGCACATTTCTCCTCTCACAATGGCACCCACACAAACCACAATGAGAGCTCAATTTCTGGTGTGCGCATATTGCGGTCTCGACGCAATTTGCGGAAGATGTTTCAAGAATTCATATAATGAGGAGTACTACAACGGGCAGCGATGGGATGTGCATAAGGTTTGGCTCATGTCCTAGCACGCAGATGAGTCCTGGCGACACAGCGAAATCTCGGATTTCGACTATAGTAGATGAGGTGAGACTAGGCGCAAGGGATTAGAAGGGGCTGGAGGATACAAGACGGTTGCGCCGGAGAATCGGATACTTGTTGGAAGCCTTCCAGAGCTCCGTCGACCATCTAGAGCAGATAGCTGTGGTCACAATGCGGTACAACGGATGTAAACATCTGGCAGGCAGTCACTAGAAGCAAAATGAAGCATTATTTTGGAATTATAATCATTTGATATTCATACATCTTGTCATACACTCTACTCCACGTCATCCTCAATTTCATCATCCTTGGCGGCAGCTTCATCCTTGAGTACAGGAGCATACTCCTTCAAGTAATCCACCGAGGAGTTTCTGCGCTGGCAATGCAGCCACCAAGAGCGGCGCTCGTCCTCGTCCAGGCGACTACAAGTAATCAGCACACATCCAAACACCTCCTCGCAGCACCTTTTCGCGCCTACAAGATGTTTCACTTACCTCATAGCTTCTTCAAGCCCCTTCGTGGCGGCTTCAACACCTGCCTCCTTGTCCTTGATGTCTGCCTCAAGCTTCTTGAGGACTTCGGCAGCATCGAGGGGTATCCCCTCTTCGAGGATAGCCCAGTCAACGACACGGAAGTTGTTGGACTCGGCCAGCTTCTTGACATTGGCGTGGGCGGCGTGGGCTTGTGCGAGCTGGTCGTCGTTAATGTTCGAATTGTGAACTGTGAATCTTTATGTGTGCTTACGGATTGGTGGAGATCTTCGACCTCACGCGCGAAAGTAATCGCGTCTTCGTAGGCGGATGTAGAGGTCATTGTGGTGCTTTGTGTGAGAGTGGTGGTTTGAGTACGGGACCTGGAGAATACAAAGTTGAGATACGTACGAGCTTTAGATGAGTGAATTGGTGAGGGTGCTACAACGAGCGTAGGAGTTTTACTTGACCTGTTCCCGCACTGACCTCCCGGCTTCACGCTCACTTCGAGTTCCCAGATTTTCAGTGTAACTTGATGGCTACAATCGATCTGAGAGTGAGGCACAGTTACCGACCAGAGGGTATGGAGGCTACAATTACTTTGGGAGAAGCCACATGGAGTAATGAAGACGCAGGGATGAAGATATAATTGTGATATGTTGTTACAAAATATTTATACAAATCATTTTGGAAAGGCCATGGGGTTATGGCTCATCCCCTACAGCCACGCGAGGATGCGGGCTTGGAGACGGCGGCCGCTGTGGCGGCTGTGTATCTTATCAGTATAGACCCATAAGGTGTTTGAATGTAGAGAGCTTACCGCCGGCGGTACTTCATCTCCTCCTCGAGGAGGTGGATTGCGAAGAGGCGCGGCTTGAGCGCCTCTTCGTCGAGGGCCACGCCCAGCAGCGGGTCTGCTTTGCGGCGGAACTGTCTACATTCAACTGGCTGTTTCGAGACTACAAACATGATTGGCTTACGAGGATATGCTCGAAGAGCAGGTCGAAGGGCAACTCGGTGGTTGCCAGGCGGGCGAAGCGGTTGGCCGGAGCCGTGTTGGAAGTAGACATATTGTTTGATTGAGATTCTCTACGCGTCAAAATGGGCTTCAGCGGCTACAATACTAAGGTTACTTACGAAGATGGGAGCTTGGTGTTGCTGGAGAGCAACCAGTACATAGCAAGGTCAAACATACGACCAGCCCATCCACGCACAGACCGTGCATCGTCACCGTCACTGATCATGCTCAAGGCCAGAATCTAAGATCAGGCAGCAAATGCAGCCAGTCAACATGTTCTTGAGGTCGAGTCGGTCAACACCGCGTGGTTCAACATTCACTACAATTCGACGCTGCGAGCGTGCGGAATACGGGCGACACGGAGGGCTTGAGAGCTCATCAAAAGTTACTTCTGGATGCATTGAGTACTTGTGGTAGCACGACTGGAAAGCACAGAAAAAAAAATAGTGACGGAGTTATGACCATGATGTATCCGTACAGCTATAACTACAAACAATGGGTGCGGTGGTCATCCTCGTCCTTGAGTCCCCACTTGTTCTCGATCAGCCTCTTTATTGAGTGGCCGAAGTGGTGCTCGTCCGCGCTGCGTCAGATTGTAACATACATCGAAGGCATTCAGGTGGTGAATAAGTTTCAATCTTACCGGTACACAAGCTCATGGTGCACCAGTTCTATATACCACTGGAGCTCGTAGAACTTCCAGGCAAGCTTGACGAAGGCATCTTCGTCGCGGCTGCTCTCAGCAGCGGCAACCAGACGTTCTTGATGGTATATCTGCTCGAAATAAGAAGGTGATTAAGCAAGCTGCGACAACTTCACGTACAAGGGACCTAGGGAGCAGCAGCTCGTGGAGCAGGAGGCCGGTCCTCAGGCTGCAGGCTTAGGCAATGGCTACAATGGCAGGATGGCTTATATGTGGAGTTGAGCATTGCTGAGGAGGAGCTACAAGTGACGCGGGCCAAAACATCACCTGGAGCTGCGCACTGACCCGCGCCGTCACCGTCACTGATCGTTTGCAACCCAAAATTAGGAGGTTAGGCTACCAACCTTGAATAATTGCCCTCGGAAAAATCAAATCATGTTGCGGAAGTCCGGGGTATACGATGTTGTTATATCACGTCACTGAAACACGACACTGCATGCTGATGGATGCAATTATGGAAGCTTCTTCTTTGAGTGCTCGACAAGTCTAGCAACTCAATAAAGAAGTTCACGACAGCCGGAAATAGTGCAATACAAGCGTCACTGTGCACAATGAGTATTAGCAAACTCAATAGCCCAAAGGCAGGTTACAAAAATTGAGGCAAATCTACTAAAGACAGTCACCCCTTCCACTCCGTAATACTTGGGTCAGTAGTGGTGCTCCCGGGCGCCCCCAGGTGCGTGCGGATTGAAGAAGAAAATATATAAAGTAATGGGAAGCGTTATTCATAAAGCTTGTGCTAACAAACCTCAGTTTATCGATGATGGCGAAATGGGATGCGAAGACCAGTGCCATTTCTCCTGATGATCATCTGGTTTCTAGTCCGTGTCTTTATGCTCACCGCGCTTGATCAGTGGGAGAAAAGGGTGTCACGGTTTGGGGTGCTCCTGCCTGTCGAACCCCACCTGCCATGAGAGTGACTGCCACGTCACACTAGCGTTGTTTACAGCTACTCGCCTATAAACACTGTTTGTAGCTTCACCCATATACAACCTCAGTTCAGTCCTTCAATATCTCTTCACATGCGTACTGTCCACGCTCCCCACAGTTTTGAGCCCGGCTATACTATAGGATTGTTCTTACCTGTTACTGCGTTCACTCACGACGCACCTGCTACTGCCTTCACCCACGATGCACCTGTTACAGCGTTTACCTACGACACACCCTGCCTGGATCCAATCAAACACGACTACAGCCTCTGCAATGGCTACTAAGTCTGATCCCGCTGTGACACGTGTCACTGTCATACTGAACACGCCTGGCACCTGGTTTACTTGGTTATTCATTTGCCAAGACATTGCAAATCGCCACGGTCTCTCTGGCAATACATCAATCCTTTAGCAAAGGAGAATCTGCCTGAGTTGATGGAGTCTCCTGAGCCTCAACTCATCGACTACAAGGCTGGAGCCACTAGGCTCTCCGACCTGACAGCAGACAATCGAGAATCCTACCAATGGGAATGCGATTAGTGGGAGCACCACTGCTCCAAGTACTGTGCCCAGAAGAAGGTTTTGGCAGACCTCAGCACAGACATCAGCAAGACAATTGCTGTCTGTCACATCCATCTGTGAGGTCACTGTAGGCAGGCAATCGGACACAGGATGGATTGGTGCCGTCTGAGGCCAAATGGGATGAGATTAGACAAATCCTTGATGGCTGAGCCTCAAGGTTTGTGGGGAATATATCGAGTTCGCCCTTGGTACTTTGCGCTGCGCGCGCAGTATTGTGCTGCACTCTCTCGCGAAGTTGGTCGTAAGTAACATAAGCACCCCTCGATATAAATGCAGGGCAAAGACGTCTTGAAGTGCGCCAGTGCTTGAGATTAGGTCTCCAAACTTGTCTGCTATGATACTGTGATCTTCAGGCTGTCTCGTCGACGGAGATGGAGAGCTGCTGCAGGCGTTGAATTCCTCGAGGCCTACTATTCCGGACTGATACTAACACTCTGATAGACCGAGTGCCTCCGTCGTGCGACAGCACGCCCACAAGACGACCGCCGAGAAGAGCAGGAGGACGACGACAACGATGACGATGAAGAATACGATGCAGGAGGCTTTTGGGCATGTAATATATCCGTAATAGTAGAACATCGACTTCCTCCTCACCTATATCTACCATAACATTTTGTGGCATGTGATGTGCTGAAGACCTCCATGCTGCTCGTTGATCAGTACAGTCAGTCTTCGAGATACTGCGAAGCCATCAGAACACATCCTACCCATCTCCACGCGCAATCCATAATATGTTGCAGTGTCGTATCGCCATATCGCTGAATGCCTATCATGCAATTTCTACATAGTGACCCTCCACAATCGAATCCTAATCCTACTCTTTCTCCAAAAAGTCCGCAGCGCCATCAATAATCTTCGCCGCAATGCCCACCCATTTCCTCACTTTCACATCATCCTCCTCGTCTACACCTTCGACGATGCCAGGGAAAGTGGCACCAGCATACCCCGTCCACTTTCCGGGTGCGAAGACGACGTGCTTGAACCATGGTCTATCGTCCAGACCCTCAGCATGCAAGAACTGCCTTTCCAACAGCTTGTATTTCGTGTTGGCATTGCGAATAGCGAGGAGAAGACGGACGCGCAGCCACGGCTTCCACCACGGGATATCAGCGTGATAATAATCGTCGAGAAGTTGTGCGGCGATGCCGTCGTGGATTGTGGATGCGAACTTGAAGTGGGCGGCTGCGTGGTCCAGCGGCGCAAAAACATTCTCATCCAAAACAAAGTCAGAAGTTTTGGCTTTCTGCTTGACAGAGTCAATATACTTGTCCAACCCCGTCGCATAATCCGTAGTGCTTAATTGCAGAACAGGCGTCTCGACGAGCTTCGCAGCGACGAGCGCCCACACGCGTGCGATGGTGGCGTGGTAGTGAAACCCGGGGTCGCCAAAGCGGTCCATCCAGTCAAAAGAGTCGTAGTTGCTGTGGTAGTGGTACACGGGATCTTTCGGTCCTTCGCCGAATCCCATATCGACGGAGGGAATGCCGGCGAAGTCCTGGAAGGCAGTGAAGTCGGAACCGGAACCCATGGTGGAGATGTGCTTGTCCCAGACGTCAAAGACGGACTGGCCTGCGATGGTTTGGTTGGGGGATTTGACGAGGAGCAGGACGTCTTGGACGACTTTGCTGAGGAGAGGCGCGGCGGAGAGCTTGTAGGAGGGGCCGCGGGCGCCGACGTCGACGTTGAGGTAGGCGACTGCAGAGTTGGCGAGCCAGGGGAGGTATTCTTCGACCCATTCGGTGCTGCCGACGAGGCCGTATTCTTCGCCGTCCCAGCTGGCGAAGACGATAGTTCTGAGCGGCTTCCATCCTGCTTGGAGGGCGAGACCGAAGCTTCGGATGACTTCGTTGAAGGCTGCTGAACCGCTGTTGGGGTCTCCTGCACCGCCGGCAATCCAGGCATCGCGGTGGTTGCCGAGCACGATGACTTCGTCGGGAATGGTGCCGTTGATGACGCCGACCACGTTCCATAGAGGTGTCGTTACATACTCCTGTTCGTTAACGAGATTCAGCGTAAGTCCTTCTGGAGAGGGACCGATGTTGTATTCGACGCCCTTGTAGTCGAGACCACCACCGTGCCAAGACTTGCTGAAGGATGACGCCTTCGGGCCGTGTCCGTTCAGAGCTTTGAGCAGCGGAAGAGCATCTTCGTATGATATGGGTAGGGAGGGGATCGAGGGGATGGCGTGGTCCACAGGCAGACGGGGAACGCCTGGCTTGGATGGGTAGCCTGGAGTCGTAGGGTCACCAGGAGCGAAGCCTTGATTCTGTTAGCACAGTAGACGCAGAGTATTGAGATTGTGGACTTGCTCAAGAACTGCACGCTGCCCCTCTGGACGCTGCTGGGTTCCCTTGCTGGGCCGTCTGGATAAGTCTTGTTGCCGTTCTTTTCGGTAACCTCACCGTCATCACCAGGATCAGTGTACATGACGACACCGACCATGCCAAGCTCCTGCGCACGCTTGACCTTCAGGCCACGGAAAACACCACCGTACTTGGCCAGCGCTATCTTGCCCTTCAAGTCCACCTTCGCGGCCTTCAGGTCCTCAAAGTCCTGATATGTGCCGTAGTTGACGAAGACGTAGCCTCCGGTGACATTGCCCGACGCGCTGTAGCCGTGAAAGGTCGGTATCCTGTCCGCAGCTTGGCTCGCCTTGTCCTCGTTCAGCACATTCTCCTCCAGCCGGGCCTCGAACTTGACACTGTCCTTCTCGAGCAGTGCCAGGCGATGGCTCTTGGGGTAGTTGATGTACACGTCGTAATCGACGATGGTGCTCTCAATGCCAAACTCCTGCCACCGCTCCTTCGTCCACAGCGCCTGCGTCAGGTTCTTCCCCGCCAGATGCGGCCCACTCGTGTAGTATTCGCTCCATTCGCGCGCCTTGCCTGCGTCGGGTGTCTCGAGCAGGATGGTCTGCAGGTCTTGGTAGTCCAAGCTCGTGCGACGCGACCAGGCCTCAGCAATCTTCTGTGAGTGCGCGCGTTCGAGGACGGCCGGCACGTGGCTGTCTGACTTCCAGTCGAAGCTGAAGAGGACAACGGCGACGAAGCCTCCGACCAGGACTATCGTGGACAGGACCGAGGTGCACCAGAAGCGCAGGCGGTGGTGGGGATAGCGGTCGCGCACGTAAGGCCGGACTTGGACTGTCTGGATCAGCGGCGTGTGCTCGTTGGCCATGGCGCCGGTGGGCTTCTCATTGCCTGCGTCAAACGTCATATACGGCAAAGGAAAGGGACAGCAACACCGTTCCCGCGCGTCTTGTGCGAGAGACAGGCTGGGCGAGGTTGACAGCTTATCGCCGGAGAGCTGGTGGAGCTATGAGCTGTGGTTAGTGGCTATGGCGTCACTGGTCCTTGCAGGTACAACCGCCCTACTCTAAACCACACCTGTCACCTTTCATTGCACCATCGCATCGACGCCATCAGTCATTGCGTACATGCACATCGATTGAGCTCGTGCCAATACGGTGTGGTGACGAGAAAATCCGCGCACAGTGCAAATAGTAGGTTAGGGGTCGAGTGACAGGTGCCATCCAACTAGGCACTCTAGATGCCATTATGTCCGCCAGCTCGCGTCTCCAATACAGCAGCCACAATGGATACATCGACCTCCGCAGCAGCTTTGTGATTCTTCACTCTTATTTGTCTCCTTCTCGGCCGCGCAGTCACTGCACCTGCACCTGTTGTAAATGTCGAACATGTTCTACGCTTCTGTCACCGCCTGTCTGCTACTCTTCTCGTCTTTCCTTGCTGAGGAGCGAATCATCAGTACAGAATTGATTCCTTTCCATTTCAAAGTCAATGCTTCTCCCTAGCAGACGATAGCAAACGTCATGCTCTCCTATGTTCGCAGCCTCGCCTTAGCGTCCAATGCATGACTCGCGCTGCGGCTGTGGCACAGCACCGCTCGGGCCGCCCCTGAGCCTGTCGACGGCGTCACGAAACATCTGGAGTATGGGCACGGCGCCAACAGATGACGAGGGATGTCACCAAACACGCGTGATTGCTCGACTACGCCGCATCAGCCTTGCTGCTTGCATCTTTTGCATGATTTTTGGTGCTGAAGAGCATTGATTCCGGCGGCATGGGTAGGCAGAAGCGAGCGTGGTTCCCGTCAACCTGTTTTCAGGTGTTTCTATACTGTGTCATGCTACGTTGTGTGTCCTGAGGCAGTCGTAAGTTCTCGTGCACAGCCTCTGCGCATATGCCTTTGGTTCCTCTGGAATCGTGGCTATGGCTAAGATGTCTGAGACAGCGTGGGGTGTGGGATCTGAAGGTACGAGCAACATGTATATCTTCGCGAGGCTGGTCCGCAGAAGCGACACCATCAGCACACTGCTCCACACTCACGATGTCTTTTGTATCTTCTCGTAATTTTAGTTACGCCTCTACCAACACGTTGGACCATCAGTGGGATCCCAGGCAAGTGCTTGGTCTACATGTTTGGGGTCGGTGCGTCGGCCAGGCTTCATCTACTAGAGATGGCACATGCCGCAACCCCATCAACAAGAGCAACATGCGCCTCTTTGAACGCATCGTCACTGAGCTTTCTTCGCAACCCCTTGACGCCACTCTCTTGCGCCCCAAGCTTGAACATCTCGCCTATCGAGGACTCTGTCTTCAAAATCACCAGGACCAGATAGAGGACATGGTGAAAGAGTGGACGAGAAATATCAATGACCATGTTTGCTACTTGACAGCGCTCGGCGTAGTGTCAAGACAAAGCAGAGCAGATACACGAAGCTCCACCGCGTCATTTGCGACTGCTCAGTCCTTCCGCACCCCCGTGTCGCGTAGTGCGCAACCGCCATCATCGACTGCGTCCTCGATTACCCTTCCTCTAACTGCACAGTCTGAAGCAGAGAGCTTCCAGAGACGTATCGCACTCATACAGGAAATGGTCCGAACAACTGAGCGCTGTCTCGAACGACTGCAAACTCCTCAAACGCCACGCACAGAGCCTAGTCGTCATGTTGCTCGCATACCGACTGCAGATATCTCCTCCCTCAATTTGTCGAATACCTCCAGCGCGACGTTGAGCGCCGCCTCAACACGCAGCAGATCCTCGACTACCTCCACACGTTCCCCATCACCTGCCCGAAGCACATCCTCACGACCCTCTGCGTCCTCCTCCTCCTCCTCCTCATCATCATCATCGGACTCCTCTGCGCCATCGAGCCCACCCGCACAACCTACCCACCGGCCACAGTCTAACTCCTCGCGCTCAGCCTCTCCCTGTACGCGCGCACACGTCCGCCGTATGTCCATCTCCGACGAATGCCCCATTTGCTACTCCGGCGAGCCTTTATCCACACACCCAGCGTCCGAGCTCACATGGTGTACATCCTCCTGCGGCCGCACAGTGCACAAAGCGTGCTTCGATAATTGGGCAGCACAGTGTCGTATTACGAAGCGAGCGTTGAGTTGTCCGGTATGCAGAGCTGAGTGGGCCCAGTCCTGCGCTTGTGGCGGACTGTCGAGTTGTGGTGTTGTGCATGCTGCGAGAAAGGATTTGCGAATGAGGGTGCCGTGCCCGATTTGCATGGAGGAGATGCAAGAGGGGGATGGGTTGGAGTGGTGTAAAGACGGATGTGGGCAGAATGTGCATGGGGAGTGTATGGATGCTTGGAAGGCGCACTGCGTCGGGAGTGAGAGGGCGGCGAGCTGTACGATGTGTAGAGCTGAGTGGAGGAGGGCGTGCGATTGTTAAGACTATACCACGCATGCTCGAAGTTGTATCGGTAGGGTTGGGCATTTTGGGAGCTTTTTGGGCAAGGCTGGAGGGGTACAGGTGTAGGACTATGGCGCTGGAGGTCGAGAATGGGTTACGAGTCTTTTGTACTGTCTCTGGGTAAGAGGGGTAGATGCACGTTTGATTGATTGAGACTGGCGAGGTGAGCATCACTGCTGGCGCTCGGATCTTCTTTGTGGGTTTCCTTCTTTCTCCTTTTCTATATGTTGGTTTCGAACATGTTTATCCTACTCTGCAATTCAAACGCTCTTTAAACTGAGGCTGGCATATCTACTTTGATCACACACGATAATCCAATACAAGGGTTATAGAGCAGATCTTGCGTCTTTTCTCGCGAGATCCTCGGGTAAACCGAAAGATCTCGAGGTTGGATCATAACGCAAGATGGTAGCAGAACAGCTTCCGCCAAAACATCCTTGGTTGTTTGTAACGGATTTGGGCTGAAGTGCGGACCGTTGTCATCTCATAGAATCAGTAGACAGCGTCTTATTTGTTCGCAATATCGGTCTTTGGCTGTACCATTCCAAGAAGTAATCATGAGCTCACCTCGCTATCCCCACAATCTTCCAATGCCGAGAAGCGTAGTGATAGCGCGGCACTAGTACCCACGTGCACACTAACCAAACAAGTCTTCACCAAAAGTAGCAGCCTGTATTCCGTTTGAAGAGTGACCTGCGGTCTTCACCATAGCAAATGACTCTTTGCAGTCATCGTAATCATCGAGCCTTCACCAAGGTATTGACTCTTCCCAAGACGCTGCTCTGCGCCACCTGGTATATAAACAATGCTTCTGGGCTCGACCTTTTCACCTACCTCGAACGCTTTTCCATAATTCAACTTTGCAGAAATTCGACCTCGAGTCAATCTTGTAAGCATCGCTCCATACGGCTGCTTGACTGTCTGTTGATCCTTCCGGTAAGCACGCATACCAACGGTTTATACGGTGCATTCACTGACATCGTACTACACAGACTGCGCCTTCGTCACCAGGAACAGCGCGTCAACATGACAAAGCGCAAGGGATCCGTCACGTCGTCTCCTGACACCGACAAATAAGAGAAGCCATCGAAGAAATACCCCATACGCAATCCTCTCCCCCGTCCTCGCGACATGGAAGCCCACGAAGTGCTCGACGTGTCCCCCAACAGGTCACGCTCCCCGACAAAGAGCACATGTTCTTCCGCAACCATTCGGACTCTCTTATCTCCATGTCGACTACACAGTGGGACGACCCCACCCAAGACCCGTCCATCCCTACCACCGGAGCCGAAGAGCGAGGCTACGTGCCCCAACTCATCAAATCACTCTGCTGCATTGACCGTGGAAACGACAGTAAGGGCTTCAAGTACATCAAGTGCTTCGTCCCTGGCGCCACCGTTTACCCACCCGAGGCATTCGAAGCATGCGCCTGGCGCATCGTGCACGAAGCGAAGAAGATCCACATCCCCAGTTTCTTATCGATCGTAATCTCAGACAGGGGTATTATTAAAGCAATAGAAGAGACGAAGAACCCCTACTTGGATGAGCACACCTACCTCCTCTGTCGTATGATCGAAGTAGGTATCCACCATTCCGGCCTTGTTTGGAACGTCTTCACTGATCTTTTTTTAAAACTTAAACTTCGTAGCCGTCAACCGGTGCAAGGATGAGAAATTCACCACCACTATTGCGGCACCTTTGAAGCCTTATGCGAGCTCGCTGACAATCTTCGTATTCAACAAGACAAAGGCCGATCACATCAAATTGGGCAAGGCTGCTGCACCCAAGAACTATGCCCTTGAGGAGACTGGAGTAGGATCTCCAGCCCAGTTTGAGGATGAAGACATAGCAGCGCGATATCTTCTGGTGCTCTGCAGTAGTATCAATCTGGATGCGGTTAACAGGCGTAAGTAGTTTGAAGGACCCCAGGGTGACACATCCGGATATGAAAGGCACTCAAATTGGGTGTTTGGTGGCTACGATCTTCCAGGAGATGTAAGAAAAACCAATCAATGAATAAACACGATGACAATTCCTAATCAATAACCGGTCCCATCACACGCTTCATCATCATTCCCTTCATTTTCCTCCTTATCTTAGGATCAGAAACATGGAACATCCGCTTCTCCTGCACCTCGAACTCCCTTTCAAGAATCTCCTGCAAAACGTACCTCTCTACCAGTATTAAATACTCCGTCCAATTATCCGGGCCCAGCGCACGTTCAATACTGTCCAGCTCGGATGTGATCTCGTAGTCAAAGCGGGGCTGAGGCCGCTGAGCTTGCGTGCTGGTGTGGACGTGTCTGCGCAATATTATTGCATGCGCGTCTTTTTTTTTCTCTGACCCGTGAGGTGGGCTCTCGATACACGTGGCCGAGCTGTTCTTATCGTCTTCAACCAGGTTTGCTTCGCGGCTCAGCGGAGCCGTGCAATCGATCGCGCCATTCCCGCATTCTAAAGCGATGGCTTTCTTCGAACTAGCCGGCAGGGGTGTGGTAGACGCAGTTTGCTTCAATCGGGGTGGAACGTCTTTTGGAGATTTCCGAGCTGTTGTAGGCGACGCGGGTGCACGGCTTGGGGTACTGGAGTGGTGGCGCAGCTTTGTGTTCTTGGGTTTCGATTTGAATACCTTTGGTGAGCCCTGCACCAGTTGAGCGGGTGTAACTCTTGTCTTTCGGGGCGCCTTACGGGCCACTGTGTTGGGAGGAAGACGGCTTTGTGTTTGCGCGGCCGGGAGCGAGGCAAAGGGTAACGCGTCTAGAAATGAGCCTTCGGACCTGGTTCGCGTGTTGGATGGCGAATAGAAGTTGCCGCATGCCGGTGTCGCTGTGTTGTGGGCACTGTCATGTCTTTTGCGCGGGGAGTTGATTGCGGCACTGGGAGGCGGTTCATGATGGTTTTGCGCGAACGCAGGGGTCAAGATGTATGGAGACGAGCCATGAGGATTGCTTTGCATAAACACTGAGTGGGGAGAGCTGTTAGAGTTTACGCCGTGAGCGCTGTTGGGATTCCCGCCCGGGTTGTTGCCGTGAGGTGGCATGACTGGATGTGGACTACCTGATATAGGCAGGTTGTAGCCGTATATTTGACGGTGGACAGATTGAGAGTTCGATGAATGATGTGGCGAGAAGATTTGCGCAGCCTGAAGCGCAGAGTCTGCAGGTACCGTGTCGACCGTGATTGATGGTAAGTGAAGTGTGATGTACGGTGGAGGTTGCCCAGCGGTTCGACCTCGCACTTGCGTCGCTGCGTTGAGCGGTCGTTGCTGGATGATGGGATCATGCTGCATGTCTAGAGCTAGAGGCAAGATCAATGGCGAAGCTGAGTGCGGAAGGTGAGGTTATGGTTATTGATGGATGAGGGGCTCCTGCCTCCCGGACCATTTGCGCCGCCAAAGTGCGCCTTCCATGATCATCGATGCGTGTACGCTCTACTGAAAATTTCCCCAATAACTACATGACCTGCACAGCTTATGCACTCAAGTTGCTTGAACGTTGTCTGCGCCACGCTCGCGCCGCATGATACTGCTGTCTCTGTTACTGAAGATGACTGTAGTCGAAGTAGTCCCAGCAAGATAACCGGAAGTGCTATCGGAACAAAGACTTGAACTGAAAGAGATCAGCTTCATCTTTAAAGTGCAGAGCCTAAATGCAGCTTACCCAGAAAGACCGCCTCAGCAACCATACCAGATACTTGCCCCACGGTGAGATCTTGAAGTTCAACCACAGTGACGGTCTGACAGATTGCAGGCTCTAGCAGACCGAAAGGGTGTGAGTGACAACGTCGCTGGAATAAGCCTTGTTAGGGCTGTCATTGTGCTCATATTTTGATCTGCGCGAAACTTGTGTAAGGGTAAGCGAAGGCATGCAGGGGCCGCAAAGAAGTATGAAGTTTGGCAAGCAATGCCGACTGGTGATTGGTGAGATCAAACCTTACAATTTCGAGACGCAGGAACTGCTAGTTACACATACTGAATACGAGAATGCGAGGCCGTTTATTGAAAGCCTGGAACAATTCTTGCTCTCCTTTGCTCGCATGTGTGGTAGCTTGTGCAAGTAAATATGCGATTGGCATTGCGATCAGCGCGTTGGAAAACCCTCGGATACTTAGCTTCCAGTCGATAAAAAATGGTAGTGCTTGTTGGAAGTTCATTGAGCGTGTAGAGAAGACGACTTTGGGGGCTGAAACAACGCGGGTCTTAGCAACCTTCAGCTCTGGCGTATTGAGCGAACGAACCGGCTCTCCAGGAATAGGTCCCACCAAAGCTGCAGGGACGATGAACTTGCGGTACCGCGTGACGGCCACGACATGGTCGATGGTAGCATGGAGCAAAAGACAGCGCGCAGCGTACTCGAAATAGTCTTTCGTACTTTGAGATTGGGTATATCGCTACAAGTCGTCTAAAAGAGAAGGTACAAGTACAGTACGGTACAGATCGGAAAACGTAAGATGAGTATGGCACATGGCATTGTGCTAAATGTCCAACAAAAGCATTGGCGCTCAAACACCTTTTAAGTCGTAATCTCGTTCAGCGTGACAAGCATGGATCAGCGCATGCTGAAGAACCCTTTTCGGTAGTCGCTAGGCTCAGTCGGTTTGCCCTTCAGCGATGCCCACTTCGACGAAATACTGCGAATGCCCTTGCGATGGCGCTGAGGATCGTTAGTGACTTCGGCGACCGGAGGTAGGCCTGGCAGTGCTGTGATCTCTTCAACGCTCAAGATTGAGGCGGTCCTGCCGCTGAGCTGTGGGTGAAGCAATAATGGAGGTAGTGCGGTGGGCTTCTTGAACTCCACAATTTGTTCAATAATGTTGTCTATCTCTTCACAGGTATCCATGGTCAGGCCAGAGGTTCGAGGTGCCCCTTCAGAGAAGATGCTTGGAGGCCTTGACTCTGCGTCTTCAGACGATTGACGTTCTGACCGAGGCGAGAGAGCAAGGGTTTTCTCGATGTCGAGCTCTGCGTCTTCAGGTGGTTGAGATTCTGACTCAGGCGAGGAATCAGGGGTTTCGTCGATCACAATCTCAACTGGTGATTCTGGTTGTACCCCTTCACTTGTGGCAAGGCCACCAAAGTGGAAGTCGAAATCTTCGAAGCGGCTAGGAGTCTTCAAGAACACCTGTGCGTTGAAGGGCGTATCGCAGTTCTCAGCAAAGTTCTGGCATGCCTGCCACCAACTCTGGCTTTCTCTTCCTGGCGGGATGAGGGAGCTTGCGCGTCTCGGTGGTGGCGGAGGTGGCCTCTGCGGAGGTTTAAGCTCGTCTGTTGCTGGTGACAATACTTCGGGTGCGCCATCTTCGATCATCGTTGGTGCGTCTTGCTCGATGAACGACAATCGCGACTGTATATCGAGCATAATAGCGCGATGTGTGGCAAGCTCGGTTTGCAGGTTCTGGAGCATCTCGAAAAGTTGCTGATTGGACTGCCGAAGCTCTGACTTTGTGGTCGATGCGTACGAAGCGCGCCTCGTACTCGTGGTGATGTCTGAGAACCTGTTCAAGGTGGTGGTTCCGGTCGGTAGGTATACGACTGGCTCTTCAATGGAGATAAGCTCTTTCTTCGAGACTGGCTCTTTAGCGGGTACACCAGGCTCTTTAGCCTGGATGACTGGCTCCTTAAGATTTGCCTTGTCCATGGTCGTGCCAGACAGATGCTTCCAAGCTGGGTGGTCATGTATTGGCAGTATGGATCCTGGATATGAGGGCAGCGGCGCGCTCGTTGAAGAAGACATGATGGAGCAGTATGAGATATCAAGACCAGCTTGATGGTGGAACCGTTGGACTAATGGTGGAAATGTCACAAGTCGCGGAACGAGGGGGCAAACCTTCCTTATGATGCGTCGCCATGTTTCATCGGCTTCCACGCTTCTTACAGATGCGCGACTCTAGAAGCGCTAGTTTTGGTTTTGACGTATGACAGAGACTAGGTTCGTTTGCCATCCAGAGAGTAAGAGCGCAGGGATATGCCAGCCTTACGAGGGGTAGTTTTGGACTCCCATAAGCGACGCGCAATTCGCGGCCAAGGATGATCGCGACTGTATTAGCATGAGAAACTAGTGCATAAGACTGTGTCAAGACGCTGAATGTCGTCGTTCGTTTCAGGCGAGGACTGGTGTTTCGCGAAGAAAGGGAGGCGGAGCGGTCAGAAAGGGATGACCTGGCAACGCTAAGCCCTATCGCTAGAGCGACCAATTGGGTATGGTTTGTTTCAGGTTTGGCTTGCATTTCATCTGCTCCTACATCGGTAGAGCATAAATTCATCAAATCTCCATTAAATTTCCATCATTCATCATGATGGTCACTATCCTTGCGACGATCAAAAGCGCTGCTCAGACACCCATTTCTACACATGTGCTGTGTCGATACCCCCAATAGCCTTCACGCTTCCGTCAATGGCTCAACAGGCTGCCGTCTCAAGCTCGAACATACGGCATGATCTTGCTACAACTTAGCAATGGAGAGCGTGCTAGCAGGCCGCTCAGTGTTGTTAGCAGTCTTGAAGGTCGCGTAGGCAAGGTAAGTTAAAGCTGCTACCCTAACGCGCGGAGTATTTTACGCTTCTGTCGGCGGTGTACCTACCCATGGGCGTGAGGCTGTTGGAGTTCGTGGATAGTGCGCATATAGAGGAAATTGAAGGATTGCACTGGGGTTGTCTTGCAGGAAGCTATGGACAGTTATCTAGATGAGTGACAGTAAACAATGCTAGTGCGAAGAGGCAGTCACCCTCACGGCAGGTCAGGTACGACAGGCAGGACACACTCTAAACCATGACAGAGGCAGATGCCTTTGTGGTATCGTCGTAAGTTGGTAGACCTTCTGAGCGGAGTTCTCCATCACAGCTCAGGGCAGTGGGAAGCCACTGGCGTTGGCGTGTGTCTCGGCAAATATTTTGTAGCAAACGATAGACCACAATTCTGACGGCTGGATGTTTGGCAGAAAGACAGTGGCTAAAAGCTCAGATGAGGTACATCCAGTCCCCGTAATTCGCGGGCGTCACGCAACGCGTTATCGGAATAACGACACAAAAAGTCGAAACACCACACCACTGATCCCAAGTCACTTTGAGGTTATTCGGACCTTGTCTAGATGGTAGATAGAGGATGGGACTAGGCTGTTGATGCTTTCAAGATGGAGCCCTGGAGGTTACATGCTGTGCCTGTCAGCCAAATTGGATTAGTGCAAACTAACCACACTGAGCCGAGGCGTTTTGTAGGGTCACTGAGAGGCAGATTTGGCAACAAACAACAAATCAAATCTTTCGAACGGCCCTACTGTTGGGATGTGCACGCTGACACAGAGCAGATGGTGCTCCGTGCAGAGGCCTTGATTTGACTTGATTTGTTTGTTGCCAATTCTGCTGAGAGGTCTTGTCGCAGTCACGTTCTGTTGCCTAACCGCATAATGCCCTTCATTGACTCGTACAGTATTAGCCATAGCGGTGTTGCTGAGCTGGTTGGAAATGTTTCCTTTACTGGTATTGTCGCTATGTCGGGATAAAGCTTTCCACAATGTAAACCTCCCTGATTGCCCACCGTCTCCCTTTTAACTATCTCCCAGCCAAACTCCTTTGCAAGAGCTTATTACTTACATAACAACATTAATAGGGAAAACATAGCAATATGGTTGTATCTAACATACAGTATTTCTCACGCAAGATTACAGGACAACCGCCAAACATCGTTGTACCGCCTGGCGAATTGCTGTACGCAGTCAACCACTGCATCCATCTTACAGCAAGAGAGATTCACCAACAATCAAATCCTGTTCTGGGAACGCCACAATATAACCATGTTTACCCATCGCGTTCACTACACAGGCAATTGCGTCTCAGGATGGTTCGGCAGCTCTCCTTCAATCCTTGAGACTCTGCAAGAACTGGCAGTGCGTGGCGATCGCGAGAGTGGCCGGTGATACAAGCACCGTATCTCAGGAAATTGTCAAACTCAAATCCAGCTGCTGGTGCAAGACTTCGATGGGCATGATCCGGCGAGGATCACCAGGCCCGCAATCCAGAAGCTCGTAGCCAACGGCACATGCAACTACCACAGGCGCCAGAGGTGGTCAGGATTCGAAGAGCCACACGTCGGCTCACGGGATGCCTCCGTACGATCGCCAACGCAGCCAACGAGCCTGATGCGGTCTCTGAAGTAGGGGTAAAGTGTGGAGTAGTGTCCATTCAGAACTTCGACTGATGTCAACAGACCTCGAATTCCAGTATCGACCCGTTGGAGGAATCCGAGCGCAGGCACGGAGACGATTGTCGGCCCAGTTGCCGCCCTTGCGTACAACATCCGGCACGAGGGCAACGGGGACATACACATCCCTCCGCCGACGAGGCCATCAGCTCAGCCAGCTACTTACAACATAGAGCATCACGGCAGCAGGAACATTATCGACGGTAGACAATGTATCGCAGAGCACGTACACTAACCGCGTGGCTTTGCATACCTGATAGCATCTCGATTGCAGGTATGTCTCTACCTGAGGCGCGGGATGACAGTGGCATGGAATCAATGGGTTTGAAGATCTTTGGCGTTTGGAGATCTGGTGGTTCTGGCTACAAGGCGTTGCTTGTATAGGGAAAACGTACGTGGCGCCCGATCAGCAACCACAGCATAGTCCACATCTTCACACGTCACTTGTCCGCCTTGCACCTTCTCCGAACTTTTGCTCCCACTCCTTAGTTCGCTCCCTTGCCGGTGCCGAGAACTGCGTGCTCAGTCCACCTCTGCTCTTGACCTGCATCTTCTTCTCTGCTTCTTCTAGCTGCTTCAGCTGATCTTCGGCGCTCTGAACCTTCCGTTCGAGCGTGACTTCGAACATATCTCGCCCTTTCCTTCGACCTTTGAGACCGTTGTCTTCCAGATCAAAGTACAAAGCCCAGCGCAAACCTTCTCTTCCCCAGGGTGTCGATTCGTCCTCGTCAGCACCGTCCCACTCATCAACCGCAACGAAGCCCTCCCAGCCGTCGAAGAGCATCATGCGTTCATCTTGAGTCCAATCCCATTCTCCGACAATGTGATTGATGGATCCACTGCGGTTGTTGTACTTCAACTCATAGGTGTCCTTGTCGCAATAGACCCAATTTAGCATCGGTGGGTCATCACTGATCGTGCTGACCAGACCTCTCTCCGGCGGACATCTTGCTTCATCTGGATACTGGATGTAGAAGCCAGCAAAAGCATGCATGGGTGGATTCATCTCCTTGCTGTCGTCCGGAGGCAAGGGTTTTCCCTCGTCGTCGCGCGGTACGACCCAGGCTTTGTCGTGGCGCAGAATTACAGTACCGTAGTCGACTTCATCTTTCGCGATGGGGTCTTTGGAGTCGCAGTTGACGAGCAGATTGAACTTGATCATACGCGTCTCATTGGCAGCCTCTTCGTTCTGCTTCTTCTGGTACTCAACGCCCTCTGCGACCCCTGTCACGACCGGAATCGCGACGACACAGCCACCGAGGAAGATTCCTAGAGGTAGTGCCATGGTTGATGTGTGTTGTGATTCGAAGATGGTGCACTCTGTGCGCTTCAACAGCTGTTGTTTGATGTTGGTACGCGGGACGCTAGTTACGTCATAAGTTAGCGTCGTCCACCAGCGCCCTTTCCACCAGCTCGCATTCTTCAACACTCATACTTCACATCCAGAATCATCGCTTTCTGAGAACACCAGAACCTTGGCAAGGCTTACATTCCACAGGATGCGGGTGTTGCCATTGCTTGATCTTAGATCATCCCGGCCTCGCCAGCAGTACGTTATTTTCTGATCTCGTTCGATCATGCAGAAGATGAGAACCGACAAGGCCTCACGGTCTTCACGCCATGTCCCTGTCCGTCACAAAAATTCCGCTGCCTGAAAGAACGCAGCTACACCATTTCATTTTCAGAGCGCACTGCTCTCGCTCATGGACTGAGGGGGTCTGGCTTGTCTACGTACTCTACCTGCGTCAACCATGGAACCCAAGACCCTCAAGCCAAGCAACCCCATCACAAACACTGAATGAGACCTGAATCTGATCTGTGCAGCCCTCTCGTAGTTTAATAGTACTCGGTTATCAATAAGGTAGAGTTCCACTCCTGTTTGCTACACCTTTGGAGTGGCAAAGACAAAGGTATGCTCTTCCTCGTCACACAGATGAATCCGTATCTCGTTCACAAAAATCCCGTGGATAGCGCGAGACCACACAGCGCACCTGCGACTCTCGAGCGTTGGGAAGAGCACGACTTTGCCTGGAGCGATGCTGCATCATACGACTATACAACTTCTTCAGAAACCGACGAAGAGTGCCAACCCGATGAGATCAACAGCGAACAAGCGAACCCGCAACACGGTCACGAACTCTGGTCTGATGTCTCTCTCGAAGATGTGACACATTGCTTCATCGCCTGCTCGCATGAAGTCTGCAAAGCGCTGATAGAACGCCGCTTGTACGACAAGGTCGTCAAGAACCATAAGTGCGCTGAGTGCAAGTCAAAGCTGCCATTGAAGCTAAGTCGACATGCAATCACTGTGCCGACAACTACCGATCATGTGCGCCTTGCACAGTACGCCCGAGACCTTCGCGGCATGATGAAAGAAGCTATGGATAGATTCGTGGCTTGCCAAGGAACGGAACCTTTCCCGACATACACCGAAAAGGATTACGTCGAGGGCGTGGATCGTGAATCACCAAGGAATGGTCACGTTGCCTCAGCAGTACATGAGGACGATAAGTCCAACGTACATACCTCATCAGATCATCAAAAACTGAACGGCGACGGCTCCTCATCGTTTGAAACCGGGGCTTCGTCCATAGATCAACACGCCAGTTTTTCTACACTGTCTTCGTCCACCAATCAACATGAATCAGAAGGCCCGGACAGGATCTGTCACAAAAACAGGAGAATACATCGGAAGGAGGCATGCTATTTCGGCGTGTCTGAGGATTTGGACACAGAAGGCAGGCCTTTGGTAACGAGAAGAGCACGAGTACGTAGGGATATCTAGAGGGAACGAGGCCTCTGTACTCCTTCACATCCTTCTCGTACCACGTATGGCATCTTCAAGGGACCGTACAGTGGTGAAGATAGCACTAGGTGAATACACCAGCCCTCTACGATTACCTTCACAACCGTGAATGCTGGTCTTGGAGAACGAAGGCATTATTCCACTGGTCTGTAGGGTCACAAAGCCTTTCATGCCCAATACAATTTATCTCCAACGACACGTTCCCCTGGTCTCAACAATTGTCGACACTCCATCGTCCATCCATCACCGCAAATATGGTCAAATACACCTTCGCTGACCTTCCTTGTCCTCACGCACTTAAACCTATCAGGCAAAAATCTGCTCATCAACATATTATTTCCATTCCTGATCCTACAGTCCGCCTCCCGGTCGCTCCTCCTTGCCCAAATGATTCCGAAGACATGGTTACAGCCATTCCCTGCGTTCATTGACGAACTGCCTACATGTGACAAGGAAGAACAACACTGCACCCGTCACTTCAAGCATGGCGCCTGCCGATACATGAGACGACGTAATCGAAAGCATCCACAGCCGTCCCAATGCACATGCGCAAAAACAATTTTCTCACACTCTTCAGCAGCTCCTGCAAGCCCAGCACCTCAGATCAAGATGGACCCAATGAACGCCACTACCAACCGCCCTTACCACACGCCAACAAATCACACCATCACCTTCCACCACCTCGAGCGCCAAACCTACCACATGACCCCGCGCACCATGACCCTCGCGCTAGCGTTCGCCCCGTACTACCACACAGAAGCAGCAAAACGACACAAATCATCATCGGCATGTTTTTCTCAACTGTGCACACGCACACTCTCCCCACACTCTTTGTAACCGGTCAACGAACCGTCACTATCGGTGATTCAAGGAAAGAGTTGGATGTGTATATCTGGACGATGTTGAGGGAGGTTGTTGCTGAGCACGCGCCGAATGCGAGGGTGAGGAAGGAGTGGAAGGGGAGGATTGGGAGTCCGCGAAGTGTGTGGGTTGCATAACACAGAGCTGCTGGGTGCTACCAGGACATTTCAGGGAGACCTTGTGGAGGGGTATTTGGATCTAGCGTCTGCGAAGAGTGAGGAGGTGCGAGTGTGCGAGACAGAGCAGAAGGGAAAGGAAAGTCGGGAGAGGTCAACAAGAACTGTGTTTTGGCTAGGCATGGATGTGGCGGCTCAGGTTGTTAGATTTGGTTTGAAGTGGGCTGGAGTAGGAAATAGTTCAGGTTGTTTGATATTCTGCTGTGGTAATGGTTCGGCATGTGGCAGCTCATATACGCCGTTACATCTACATGCTGTTGCCACCGACGCCAACGGTTCTGAGAGCATGTCTCACTGCAAGTGTTCGTTGTTCAAGGTCGATCTCATGATGTGGTGAAGCATGGGTGAAGACGGGAATATCGGCGTTTGAGCTAGCCCCACCGTTCGCCAGCCTCAGCTCCACTCCTTAGCGCGGCTGACTAAACACTTCCCATCAAAACTTCATCGATCGCCGCCGCCACTTCCTTTTCTCTATATAGAAAGTTGCACCCAAGCAATTTGACATCAAACTTCCTATCTTATGAATTTGGCGTTGATATAGCTTTGGGGAGATCGAATCTTTGCTCCCAAGAACCCCTGCGCACACTCAATGCGCTGATGGTCCCGTAGCTCCGAGACATACCTTAATTCTGCGCACACGCTGCGTTCGCTTGAACGATACATTCGATAGTTTCCGACGACACCACTGGCGCGATGTATGCATGAACGACCGCTATACAACTGGAAACGTTGTTTGAGCGCGTGAATTGCTACGATGGCACGTCGCAAGGAGGCTCCGATGGTCCGCCGCAGGACGAAGGAGATCGATGCGCTCGTTGCGCAAATGAATGCGATCCATATCGAAGACGAGTACGCCGATGTTGCTGCGATCACAGAAGACCTTGACCGCAAGCCATTCCGCTTCTTCGACCTACCATACGAACTGCGCCTGCGCGTCTACGAGCTATTGCTTGTCTTCCCCAAAACGATGGATCTCGATCCCACGAACCACCGCACCGTCGCGCCATCCCTCCGAATGTTCTACACGTGCCACCGCATGCATGACGAAGCCTCGCACGTCTTCTACGGCCGCAACACATTCCGCCTCTTCCCCATACACGGCCGCTACATCAATGCGAAATACCCGCTGTTCGCGCGCCTGCCGCGCAAGTACCGCGCGCTTATAACGAGGCTGGAACTGCGGCTAGGACCAGGCTTTACGCGCCCGCCGAAAGGATGGGTTGTGGATAGCCGGCTGGGGCTTACGGCGGTGGCGAAGGCGTACAAGCTGAGGATCTTTGTGGAAGTTGACCCAGCGTCGAGTGAGATCTTCGAGGGATTCAGGACTGGCGAGGAGACGTTTTATACCGAGTATTGTGTTGGGCTGCTGAGGGCTTTGCTGGCACAGATTCCGGTGGTAAGTGAGGTTGAGTTTGATGCGTATCCCAGTGTGAGTAAGAACAGTCCGCTGCTGAAGGGCTTGCTGGACGAGGCGAAGCTCAATCAGAAGAGGATTGCGTGGGGGCCGGAGAGGGGGTGGGATAAGATCGTGGATAAAGATTTGGTGGGTATACTGGAGAAGATGGGCTTGGGTGGCCTTTGGTCGTAGCATCTACAAATGAGATGAGTTATGACACTTGCTCTTCTTTCCCATTGATTCCTCTTTTCCGTTGTTGACTTTGCATAAGCGGGAACTAGCTAATGTCGCATAGTAAGTTTTATGATCATAAGGTAACATCGTGCATTCACAGTACGTAGGTCCGCCGTCATGCAGTATCGTGGATTCAAACCTTGCAGATCCAATTGGGGCGTTAGGAAAGGCTGACTTGTCTTTCGGCTGCGTACTATCGCTCGCAGCTACTTGGATGACACGCGGATTTGGCGGGCTCCAGGAATATGAAAGTTATCGTCGATCAGCGTAGCAGCTTCTATTACAAGGGGCAAGCGCAGCTTTCTACGATGGCAACTCGCTTCTTCCCGAAGTCATGAATTAGCACAGATATCTGAAGCGATCAATGTGTCCAGCAGACGAGGTTACCCATACCCTTCTCGACGCCATCGAGCAGCATTTGCTTGACCCAGATCCTGTGCGTCTCAGGGCGAGCTGTACCATGTATTGGTGCGGATCTTACAAGAGGCGGAAGAAAACCAGCATGAGACGTCTGAACCGACCAGGCTGGCATCTGAGTCGATGTAGTACCGTGAACTCAATTTTGGTTTCATCTCTACACAATAGCGGCACCGCCACCACCGGGATTCGCGGCTGAGATGTCCCTCCTCTCACATAGTTCTGCCCGTCATGGCCTTGCTACTGCGTGGTCATGCGCAATAGTATCTCAGCGACCTGAGCGAGCTCCATTGGTACAGTACACCAACTTGATCTGGGCAATGACGCGCTACTTTACGGGCGTAAGTGAACAATCTTGCTCGCGCGCGTTGTTTGCGCACCACGATGTCACAACTACTCCATCCTGACGATACAGGAATACTACCAGATCTACTCAACCTGCTAGTCAAGGCTATTGGCTACAGCGGAGAGGACGTCGCTGAGAAGCGTCCCTGCAGTGGTAACAAGAGACGGGATGCATGGTATCAGGGTGTTTGGGTGCGACGCGCACTGCGCCCCTGGGCAAACTGGCGGCAAAGGACAGAGGACTTTGTATCTGGGCGCGAGAGCTTTTTGGGACATCGAAGGGTTCGATTTGGACGGACATATTGTTGCGTTGGGCGCTTGCTTGGTGATGGTCTAGGAGAGATGCTCTGAGACCGAGCGGTAGACAATGCTCTTCGTGGTTCAGTCTTCGTAGTCACTCAGTGTGGTCGCAGACGCCTATGTGTCGAGCAGCACTGGGTTGGTGAGGGGCTGTTCTGGAAGATGTTGTTTGTTCATGGAAGGCAGCGGACGACCTTAGTACTTGTTTCAGACGTCAGTTCGACATATCAAAACCTTTTCGTTCACTCGTGTTATATACATCACTTTGCTTGTTGACCACACAACGCGATTCGAAAGCAACGATGAAGGACTCACTCACCTGATTTCGCGCTTGCCAAGCCATTAGCGCAAAACACGCCACCGTATCTCCGCGCACGAGCTTCACGACACATCACCCCTGCACCCATCCCACGATGCGTCGCCATGCCGCCGAACCGCACCGCGCAGACGTCCACCGAAGTCAAGAAGGCCTATAAGAAGAATGGCCCAGCAATATCCGAGCGCACACATAAGCAGTTCGAGCGCGGCTATGAACTCGAACAGCGCGCGGCGCGCGAGCGCGAGATCGAGAAGAGGCGCAAGCTAGCGAAAGAGAAGCGTGAGGAGAGAGAGCGTAAAGAGAAGTCTGTGAGACAGCAGCTTGGTGTGGGGTTGGCGACACAATTGATTGGATACAGCCACACACAGGCGAACCTGAAGAAGGGAATGGAGGCATTTTTGGGAGTGAGCAAGAAGAAGCAGGAGGAAGAGCGGCACCGAAGGAAAGAGGAAAGGAGAAGGGAAGAAGAGTTTGCCAAGAAGTTGGAGATCATTGCGCAGGATATCGAGAAGGAGCCTTTTGACGATGATGAGGATATGGAGGACGCAATGTTGGACTTGCCAGTGTTGAATGTGCAAGACGGAGGAAGCTGGGTGGATGATGAGCTGGACGATGATACGCTTCTGGAGGCACATGATTTGGTCATGTCAGATCCTGTCGAAGAGCCAGCGAACGATTCGATAGCTGTTCCACCGCGTCCGGCTACCGCACCACCCACGCCCCACAAACAGACGCCGAATAAGAGTCAACACCCGCCGAGCGAAGTACCTGCGCAAGCTCTCCTGCCCATGACCCCGAAAGTGGACGTCGTGAAGGGGGACATCGAGTTCACACGCACACATGGACCGGTGAACAGGACGATAGAGTCTGCCCTAGAGAAGCTGCCCGGCGAGATCATCGAGACGCTGTCGCAAGATGTAGCTACAAATGCAGACTGGAAGCCAGCGCATGGTCTGCTTTACAAGCTCAATCCAGTTGGGCTGCCCCCACATCGACTGCGGATCAAGATAGGATGCGTAGTGGTATGCCTGAGGGACCTAAACACAAGCAGCCAGCTGTCTAAGAGTCAGCATGTACGAATCCTGCGGGTGGAGAACGAGCGATTGGAATGCCTCACACTGGATGGCCAGCTTGCAGGCACAAAGACCGTCATCACGCGCGTTCCCTTCTCCGCGAAGTACCGCAACGACGAAAAGTTCCCTTTCACAAGGACCCAGTATCCCGTGCGCGTCGCGACCGACTTTACATTAAGGGATCCTCCACGAGAGACTGCACAGTCCGGCTTCAAACCACCCTCGATCAACGGTAAAGCACGCCTGCCAGCCCTGGTGAAGAGACCAACTCCACCTGCGAGCAAACCAAAATCACAAGCAAGCTCGAACCCTAGCTTCAAGCTGCCAGGACTCCCAGCCTCGAAAGCACAAGCACCAATCTCGGCAAAACCTTCTGCGCCCGTGCAGAACGCCACACCAACTCTGTTCGCAGTAGATGGCTGGGATGACTTCCTCGAGAGTGGTACACAAATTGCGCGTGAACTCTCGGCAGAGACCATACCGAAGACCAACCTATCGATTACTATCGCTCAGCCATCACCAATCACTGAATCGATGCCTCCACTTTCGACACAAGATCTCGACTTCTCGTTGGACGATCTGGATGATGAGCCACAAAATCAGCCGGTGAACGCACAAACAACAATACCTGCAACAGGCACAAAACCCGCCACAGAGGATCCACATCCACCTGTGAAAGCTACTGTGTCCACTCGGAAAATCAGATCACCACCTTCAGTGAGACCCGGACCGCTATCAAGGACTGCAAACATACGCAGAATCGATCCGGAGCCGGACTGTATGCCGCCTCCTTCAATACGGCCTCAGAAGTCAATACAACCAAAGTCGAAAAGGCCAATGGCACCGCCGTCGAAACCCGCGACCCCTGCAAAGAAGCCTTGCGTGCCGTCACCACGTCTCGCACCGCCTCCTCTACCCACGACCACGACTACGACCGCAAAACGATTCAGCGACTTCGGCATGTCTACACAAGAGGCAAATTCTTTCTTTGACGACGATGACGACTTTGTGTTTGGCTCACCGCCCATTGCTGTATGAACTTATGATTGCGCTTGAATACGCTCGTTTAGGTACGGTTTTGAATCTTGGATATACCCTTCATCGCAATGGCGTTCGCTTTTTGAATGAACACACGTTATTTTGTTTATTATGTCGCTCTGGTCTTACTTCTCAAGTGCCCAAAGATGTGGCGCATTCTTTCATGCCCATTGGCGAGACCACGCTCACCCCCAGATACACGCTGATGAACGTCACCTCCTAGACCGTACGACCACTCGAACCAACTTATGCACTGGACGTACCGTGGTTGATGGTCTACTTCGTCTCCGTAGGTGTCATGTTCTTTACTGCAGTGGCATCACTAGCGCTTCATGCAAAGTGCCATGCATCTCCCATCCTGGGTTATGTGAGCAGTTTGATCAGCGATAGTGGTGTGCAAGGAAACAGCACCGAGAGCGGTGCGACCAAAGCCCGCAGACTCGAGAAGATGGAAGTCACGATCGCAGACGTATGGAGTGAGGAGGGCATGGGCAGAGTCGCTTTTGCGCCTGCGCAAGGTAGAGGCATGGCGAAGAAGAGGAGGTGGTATGAGTAAGCACTCATGCAGGGAGCTGCACCAAGACGTATCGTGAACTCCTAGAAGCGGTTGTAGCTGCGATACTAAGTATGCGAAGCTCACTCTTGTGCAGTCTCGTTCGAAGACACTCGCGGTCAGCCGTATGCGAGTGCGAAAGTGTATTGTACGCTTCTGCCAAGTTTGTCGAACTTTTCAGGGGCTTCTTCAATCTCTGGATAACAGGCGGCTCCGCGGTGTCAAACTGTTTGAAGTGGAGTATCGTGAGCTTCTCGAATCAGGCGAAAATAGAGTTCATTGCCTGATTCTGCTCGCGAAATCGCGTAACACCGCCCAGGTGTCCAAGCGAGCTTCAAACGCACAAGAAACCTGCCCGAGAGATGTGCTCAGCACCTGTTCCCCTGTGTTGGTGATAGTGAGATGGACAAGATATCCTTGGTAGGAGATGTAACTGCAGGGCTGCATATTGATCTTCACACTAGCGTGTTGATCTAGCGCCATTCGGCTCCCCAAATCCGCTTGCCGCCATGAAACATCCGGCCAGCGAAACGAAACCACGAACACTTCGCATCAACACTTCCGCGCACCACCAATCCCAGGCTTCTGGATATCGACTCCGTGCCGACATGTATGTCAGCATCTTGACATGACCGCATCTGCGGTCCCTGTGAATTCGTCTTGACGCAGTCAACAACGTCGGTGAAGTTGACAATGCGCTGACAGTAACGCGCAATTGTGCGGCCACAGTCAGCTCTGCCGCTGTCGCGTCGTCTTGCTTGTCACAGTTTGAGAGTGACAGTCAGCCCACATAGACGTCTCAAGTGGCAATATTTTTGGCACAACGGAGATGTCTTCCCAGAGCCACAGTTCACGACAAAGTGGTCCGGCTAGCCGATCGGCGCGCCTCGTAGCACCAAACCGGCTACTATCAGAACTCAGGGTCTCGCTATCGCACTACGCACGACTACCGCGCACTGACGTTTCTTACTCGCGGGAACAACACGGTGCGTTTCGATGGCTGCTATTTACGACTTGGCTGCCATTTGGCGGTCGGATGAGTGTCGGCGTCATACCAATGTGTAAGAAACAGGGTGTGTCTGGTGTATTTGCGGTTAGGCGAGTAGGACTAAGATGGATTATGCAGGGCAGCGTGTTTGAGGGGACGTTCAATTGGGTTTGAGTGTATTACCTTGTGATGAGGGCAGGTATGTATATATAAGATGGGCGCCTCATCAGCTAAAGATAATCATCACACCAGCTCATCTCAGCAACACTACAACATCACAACATCTCAAAGCCTTTTCAACAACTCTTCAATTCTACAATTTCAACTTCGAACTTTCGACTCAACAAACACCAACCTCAAAATGTCTACCTCCCACATCGAGACTCCCATCGGCAGCACCGACGCCTCTGTCGTCATCGCCGCCCTCCACAACCACGAACTCATGATCAAGACCCTCTGCCCCGCACTCGTCAGTTACTCCTTTGAGTCCGGCGATAAGGACACATCCGCAACCTACACCGTTACGGACAAGAAGCCCATTGGCCAGGTACGTCCTCTCCCACCTTCCATTCACAGCACTCAAATATTGACCAATCATAGACAACATACAAGCTCACCCTCACCAACACCCCCGATGGCGTCGACTCCCTCGTCAACGCAAAGCCTCCCGTTGGTATCCTGACTATTGCTGGCAAGTGGCGCGTTGTGGGCGGCAATTTGACTGAGGATGTTGTTATTGATGGAAACTTTATGATGAAGAAGGTTGCTAAGGGCAATGTTGAGAAGACTCACCCTGAGCAGCACACCAAACTGCTCGAGGCTGCTAAGGCTTAGATGGTCTTGCGGAGGGGATGTGGGGATGTTGAAAGCGATTCAGCGAGCATCTTGTTTGAAGCGAGCATTTGGAAGCGTGTAAGCATAGCATAGTCTGGAGTTCATCAATTGATTCATACAATTCAAAATCTATTGCGCTTTGTCTACTAGCTATCCAAAGTGAAGAGGCAACAAATTTGATCAGAAGAAGTGGTGTGGAAATTATTGTAAGTTCGGGGGATATTCAGCCTCAGAACCGTACCTGCGCTTCGTAAATATTAGCTAGAGTGCCAGCACTCAAGCTGTACAGTATGCACATGGTTCCGACAATTCTCAAGAGGTTGTTGTTCGCCTGCTATTAATGTCGCTCGGGCTGAAACACGACGTATCCAGAGCACATTTGACTGAAGCTGTAAAACCTTGCCAACTAAAGCCTTCTTGAGGATGCACCTTGGCTACAGCCCAATCCGGGGTCTCATCCAACTGAATCTCCACAGTCACTATCTCAGCCGTGCCCCAAGCCCACCCACGAATGCTAACAACCAGGCCTTCCAGACATGCTCCAGGTGCAGGGTGGACGATCATTGAATTTGGCTTAATAGCCCAAATGGGCGACATTATCGTTGCGACAATATTCTCTTTTCAGATGTAACATAATGACTTGTAGTAGTTGCTGAACCCCCCCCCCCCCCTTTGTGCACAGACTACATGCTGAAGGGAGAAGAGTGGTATGGCGATGCAAGAGTCTGAGACTGCCGGAAGCATATTCTTAGGTACTAGACCCTTGCCCATACCATCATCACCACTCACAGCCTCTGCTTCTGCCAAGCCTGTTATCATAAATAGCATCACCGTCATGAACCCGCTACCCTTTCTTCACTACCACCATTCTAACATAGTATTGAGCAACGCTGTCGCCAGTAGGAAGACCGTTATCATCCCTATTAGAACCTGCTTGTCTGCGCGGTAAGTGTGATGCCCATATCACCCAGATCCCAAGTCAAACATTTGGTGGCGTCTTACATTCTCAAAAAGAGGAGGGGGTCAGCAAATACCACAAGTCACCAATAATGGCTCGCGAAGATTCCTGGCGCGTGTTCGGCCTGTACTAAAATGCGACGCAGCCGTTTCGGCAAGTATGTACCGAACCAGCCTGGAACAACCAATCGAACGGGACCACCGCGTTCCGGACGGGGGTGACTTGTAGTTCATTTTGTAGGCAACGATGACTTCTTCGCTCATGACTTTCTCGATGGGGAGATCTTTCTGGTAGCATTCCACATTTTTTTTCCTGCGATTGTTCCGTGGTCTGATCCCTCAGACCAGATAGAAGATGCAGTAGGTAAGGGCCTCGCCGATTTCAGGAGTATAGGAAGTCGTACCCCGGTCCAAGTCACGTTTCCGACTTTCCATAGGTTTGTCTTCGATGGATGTAGTGCACTCACGTAGCATTCGTGAACTGCGGCGATAAACGATTCGGGGGAGAGCACTAAAGGTTTCTCTACTAGTCCATCTATTACCAGTTTCCAGCGAGTAGGATCAACTACGGCAATGCCCGTGTGGTACTCCTCGAATTGCATGTCATCTTGTGTGATATACTGTGCCTGTTTGTGTGGTTCGGGTGCTTTTATCGATCGAATTGGACGACGAACTTCTACGCATGTGACGTTCCCTGATGTACGATCCTCTTTCCATGGTGACTGAGCGAAGGGGAAGTGGATAAGCGAGTATAAATCGGCACGAGACTGACAATAACAACTTTCTTGACAAAGTTACCAACTTGGGATGGGTCATAGATGACCTTGGCCTTTCACGAAGATGGCTTCTGATAATGAGCACTGCGTTTTAGACAAAGTTCCGCCCAGACCCGTCTTAAGAAAACGGGAGTACATTGCGAGCCATCACTCCATAAATAAAGTGCATAGCTCAATAAGCAAACCACCCAACCAACAAGTGGTACTTCCCAATCAAGCTGACCTATCGGTGCATTAATATATTTCTTGCTTTTCATTCGAAGTTCGAATTCCACTGCAATTCCCCCCTGGAGGCATTCAAAGCGTCAAAATCAGGTGCATTGCAACTGGGTTTCGCGATGTTACGAGAAGGAGATGTTGAGCCTGTGTACATATTATAACGTTGGAGTTTAGCAATCGGTTTGATCTACTGAAAAGCAAAGCACACCCTGCAGGCCGTCGACCCTATTTTAAGACCCTATATCTTCACACTCTTACAACTTCAGCACTCTCGGGCTTACAGTTCGGGAGGATTGGGTTACATCTATACCGAGGTGGGAGCGGACTGCCGGCTGCAGATGCATGTACGGGCTCAGTGTCCCTGGAGGTAGTCGCCGTGTCATATGCCGTGACAGTTATTGGGACTTGCACTGTAATCGTTGTTGGTGCGTACTTTATCACTGTCTCTTTGCGCCACCCAGTCGCGTATTCGGTGACTGTGGATATAGAAGCATCTTGAGTGACAGTCTTGGGTCCGTAAGCCACTCAGTTGCATGGACGGTGGCAGTAGTGGTATGTACACGTGTGGAAGTGGTGGTGTGTACTCCTGTTGTTATAAACACAGAGGTGTGTTCTTTCCCCTTGCAGTGGGAATGGCCGAGGCAAAGACGGTCGAGCGTATTTAGAAGATCAGACAAAAGCTTTCCTTTCTTCTTGAGGGCATCCTTAGCGACATTGCTGAGACCAGGTTCAGGGGGATATGAAGCCATATCCGCTGCAGCTTGAGAGACACCATCGCGAAGGGTGTTGGCTGCAAATTGAGCTAACGATGCAGATCCGGAGACACCAGGGAGAGAGCCAGCTAAACCGAGAACATGTGAGAGTTAGCTAGTGATAGCTTCCAGGTTGCCAATAGCAGGTGCCCCTGCGACGAGGGAAGGTGCCACCGGCGGAAGTCCCAAAGTGGCAGCATTAAGGGCGCCGAATCCAGCAAGAGCACTGGTTGCAGGCTAAATCAGTGGCGTGGAACCCTCAGCAAGCGAATCTGCCAGCTGCGAAGCTTCTTGTGCAAGCTCCCTTGTCGAATACTCAACTCCGTCTGCAGGGCCCGGAGGTGTACAAACCGAAATGCCTGCTGCATTTGAGCAGAGAACCTTGTAGCCCGCGCGGCATCAACTCCAAGAGTATCGAGAGTGGCGTCCAGTATCTGGACAAATGACTGTCTAATGATCCGTTCTACGCCAGCCAGACCGAGATTTTCGAGGTCTTCAAGAAGGGCTTTGAAGCCAGGTACACTGATTTCGCAGAGGCTCCTTTACAGTTGGGTACCAAGAGCACCACTAACCACGCCTCCGACAAATGTGCCAGGAACAAGACCTTCTTCAAAATCGGGGGCAGTACAGTTAGTGCCATAGATCTGCTTTCTCTGCTTCTTGCCCAACGAAAGCGGCAGCCATGCCCGTAGTACCGGCGACAAGGGTTTAGCAAATGCCCTTCAACATGCTATTTGAATCTTGAATTTTGATGGAAGCGAGAAGCGCGGCGCCTATGAAGGCTCCCATGACTGCGCCATTTTCTTTGTCGCAATTGACAAGCGCAGTGAAGGTAGATGTAATCAGAAGTTAATGAGACCAAGAGAAGGAAAGCAAGCAACCACCGTCGTGAGATCACGCCTTTTAGCTGAAGCCGTGTACCTGATCGGTCTTGTGCATAGCCTAGTAGCACTGTTCCGCGACGGGAATACCAAACACTCTAATGATTATGCAGTATCGCTCCCCTGACTCCTTTGGAGGTGGCGGGGGCTTGGGCTTTGGAGTCGGGACCGGAGGAACGCCGACAATGACTGTCGGAGGTTGCTCACCAGGGTTCGTAGGAACCTCACTCGGGTGCTCCCTATCGGGATGCTGATCGCCGGGGGCCTCAGCGGGATCTTGAGATTCGTACTGTTTCAATTGGTCTTTGATATGGTCCCGGAGAGCCTTCAGTTCCGGACGCAGACCCTCTGTTGGAGTTCGGTGAACTGTACGCAAAGGGAAGAAGTCGAAGATTGTACTGAGGTTGTATTGGGTGAAGGTACGAACAGTATATGTATGTGGGTAGCTATAAACAAGCTGATGGAGTGAAACACAGGCCTGATGTTTCGGTCGAGAGGTGACGAAGTTCAGACTTTGGCAAGAGAAGCAGTCACCAAGCCGAGAAATTGGAGAGGAAAGAGCTACAAATTCGTGCACGTGACCGTCAAGAGTTGATTCTTAAGAGAACAGTACTGTTTCCCTAGATACAGTGCATGTCTGCGATATGGTCCTTCATCGATGCAGGTGGTCTGGGGCTCGTTGTCGACCGGGCAGTGCCGTGATGCCTGCTGAGCTGACATGTTCGAGAGCGCGGTCATGCCGGCGACGCCTTCAGGCTGCGATAACTCTCCATGCCAGCTGCCTGGCCCCTGGTCGTCAAGGTGAATGCCTGCCATTTGGGGGAGGCACTCGGCTCTCGTTGCACGGCCAGTGGGGTTGCTCCTTGCAGCGGTGGGTGGCTTGCGGGCAGCGCGGCGCATGCACGACGATGGCGATCCAGCCCAGCACAGCCCGGCAGCCCAGTCACCGTGTGCCACGCTGAGGCACGCTGAGTCGCAAAGCCACAGCTGTTGCAGTTCTCGAGCTGGCCCACAGAAACTTCGACTGCGCGCTAGAGGTCACGCCGATTGGAGGCGTGACGCAACTGTCATGTGAGATTGAGGCTTAGAAAACCAGAGTCCTGCTATTACTATCAACTTTCGCCTGGCACCTAACAACATTCTTAACAACATATTGCAAACATGGGAAGACGTGACGATTCTCCACCACAGCGACGTCGTGAGTATGCCGTCCAATGCTAACAGGTCAACATCGCTGACGATTCCCAGCTGAGCCCAGCTACCGCTTCGATAGCTACGAAGACGGCAAGGCGAAATGGGCGCCGCGAACACCAGCAGAAGATGCCCAAGATAACCGCGACTACCACGACAACCGACGAGACTCGCGGCGGCACAAAGAGCACTATGATGCCGATGCGCCGCTCCCACCAAAAGGTAGGCATTCGAACCCTGTTGGCGCATGATGTAATGCTCACCGCCACTCAGAGAGTCGACCACGCCCGCGCAGAAGAAGATCATACTCCTCATCTGAGTCTGAGTCCGACGTACCACCGGCCAAACCACCGCGACGAAGCAACACACAGCGTGACCACCGCCCTCGTGACCGCGACACGTACAATTCGTACGATGAGCAATCGCGCCGAGACAACCGCCGGCGCGACAATCGCGGCTATGTGAGCGACGACAGGCACGACAGACCCCGCAGAGACGAGTATGACGACCGAGATCGCAGAAATCACCGCCGTGGCGACAGGGACAGGAGCAGAGACCGGAGTAGAGATCGATATGACGATAGGGACCGCGACAGACGTCGGGACGATCGAGACCGAAGGGACCGCTACCGTGACGACCGTCGAGATGACCGCTACCGCGGCGACCGCAAAGAATCTGGAACTCCTTATGATGCCCTCTTCAAGATGTTTGCAGACTCTCGCAGCGGCTCAAAGCGCGACGACAGGGACCGACGAGACCGCTATGACGACCGCGATTATGATCGCAGAGGGGACAGGGACGCTGGCAGACCCGGTCAGCCCGAGTGGCAGAAGCAGGCTATGAGCATGTTCACGGCATACGCATTGCCCATCATCAAGAAGGAAGGCACGAAGTACTTGCATAAGCAAGCTGGTAATCTCATGGGAGGGAAAAAGCGCTAGGAGCGCAGGAGTCGAACTTTGTGATTGCATGGCGTGCGGCATTCTCAGCTTTTTGGCGCGCATCAGGATGAATTAATGATTTGATGGACCACATTTAACGAATGCATCAATAACTTCCAGCTTCCTTCTTTCGGCCTTTCCGTTCACAGTGGCCACCTCATCAGTGAATGGCACGTGCGCGTGATGCTATTCATGACGGTCGCCTCGGACGCAGCACCATCAGAGCTCGTAACGTTTGCAGAATCCATACAATTTGAAGCGTACTCCTGACCTCAGATCCATTCTGAGTTGATTCAATCATGGTTTCGACACGCAGCAAGTCGGCGCAAACCCATCTCGAGGTCTTCGCCAGCGTCGCGCTGAAAGAGAAGAAGCCCGCATCACCAGAAAAGGCAACACTCAAGGCCAACACCTCTCGAAAACGCAAATCAGTCGATTTTTCCACCACTTTAGGAAATCCAATACCAAAGCGGATCAAACCCTCAGCCAAAGCATCAACAAAACCAAAGAACGAACCTGCAGCGGACAAGGGCAGCAAACCCATAATCATCAACCGCGCCCCCGTCCTGTACCTCTAAAGCGCTTGCGTCGCACACATCACCTATCCCCAACTCTTATGGGAAACACATCTCAGCGCTGGGTCGGCGGTGAGTTCGATATGCGCTGTTGCTAAAGGCCGGCCCGTAGGCACTATCCCGGAGAAAGACGAGGAAGCAAACCAGAAAGCAAACCAGGAAGGACGTGAGAGAGCGAAGAAGCAAGAGGATCTTGATGAGATCGACGTCATGCGATTTAAGTTGAGGGTGAAGGATGGATTTGCGGTTGTCTAAAGCAGCATGGAAACCTTTCAGGATCAACTTTGATGCGCACGTCATCGCATCGCGAAAACATAGGTAATATATTGAAGAAGCCCGCCTTGCGCATAGGATCGAAGCAGCTTGCATGTACGAAGTGCAGCTAGCCAGCCGTGCACTCCAGGTTCGGAATGAAAAACTGCAAAAGCGTCACAGGATTCTCTCCATGCTACTCACTGTGGAACACGTCAGTAAATATCTTAGACTTTGCCGTCAAAGACATCCCGGCACCACTGAATGGACCAAAAGCACCGCCCAATACTCTAATCTGTTGTCCAACAAGATTCTGGCTGTCTTTACGTTTGTGGAATGCCGGGTTCTGGGAAATCAGTTCTCTCAGCGAGTATTGTGGAGTCACTCAATGCCTCATATGGCGCCAGTGCCTGCGTTATATGCCATTTACTATTGCGATTTCGCGGACACAGCATCGTTGGACTCCTATTTTTCTGTTGCGGTAGTTCAAACAGCTGAGGAAGAGGAGACCGAAAGTTAGCCATCAAGAAGGGTGATTTAAGGGCAATCGATCGGCGATGCACTGTTGCGTTCATAAGTCTGTCAAATGACTAAACTATTGAGCCAGAGTTCAGACGACCGCAGAAGGCGAAACTACGATCTGGATGGCCATGGGTGTGCTGCCTGTTCCTCGCGTTCACGAGTCGAACGAAAGAAGAGACGTGTAGTAATTGAAACTTGAATTCATAACACATGCATCATGCTTCTGGTATCATAATCCCACTAATCCTCATCTTTCACATATCCTCCAGTCGTAGCTCGGCGACCTGGGCTGCCAGGGCGAGTTCTCGACATCCCTTCTAAGCCCTAGTCTCCTTGTTTTCGACGATCTCAACAGCGCGAGCACCATCCTTCTCATCAATGCTGCCAGTCTCGATATCCTTGACAGGCTCAACGTTGGCACCGATAGGACCAGCCTGCTCGAATTGGCGACCCTTCTTCTCAGGACCAAGCGCAGTAGTGATCGCAATACCCATAGCGATGATGGCAGTAGCAACACCCATGACGGGTCCGTAAGCGGGGGAGCGCTTGCCACCGTGGGTGGTGATCATGAGCGACTCAGCGGCGGCGTTGACGATCTGGGCAGACGGCGAGGAGATCATGTTTCCGAGCTGGTATGTGAGACCGACGAAGGAAGAACGGAAAGCAGGGGGCGACAGCTCGTTAAGGTGGATGGGAATGACACCCCAGGCACCCTGGACGAAGAACTGGATCATAAAACCAGAGGCAGACAGACCGCGCTCAGTGGTGGGCAGGATCCAGGCCGGGATAAGGAGAGCGGACATGATAGCAGCGCAAACGATAGTGCGACGACGGCCGAACCACTGCGATACGTAACCGAGGATGGTGCCACCAACACAAGCACCGGTCTTCATGAGAATGGAAGCGCGGGTAGAGCCAGCGGCGCTGAGGTGTTTCTGCTGCTTCATGAAAGTGGTATAGGAGTCCTGGCTGGTGTGGGAGTAGAAGTTGAACCAGGTCATGAGGAAGATGCAGTAGACAACCATGCGCCACTCAGCCTTGAGCATAACCTTAGTCTCGGCCCAGAAAGCGCCAGGATCCTTGTTCTGCTTGCCCTCCTTCTTTGCGGCAATAAACTGCTGGGACTCGGGGAAGCAGATGCGGACAAGACCGACGAGGATGGAGAAACCGGCGCCGACCCAGAAAACGATCTTCCAGGTGTTGGTCTCACCGCCTACACCGAGGTTGGCGCAAGCTGCGAGAACGTAACCGAATGAGTAACCCTGCTGAAGGATACCGGACATAAGACCACGGGCGTTGACACTGGGGATATTAGTACGAGTGTTGGGCAGAGGGTGTCAGGAGAAACTTACGGGCAGTTCTCAAGAGCCATGGCGATGGCGTTACCGTATACACCACCCATAAACAGACCGAAGAGAGATCGGACAGCCAAGAACTGGTTGAAGGTACCACAATATATGGTGGCGATCTGAAGAAGACCAAGAATGATCATGTTGAGAACCATGGGCCACTTGCGACCAAACTTGTCACCAGCCAGGCCGAAGAATGCAGCACCAACGGATCGGAGGAGCAGTGTCAATGTGATGGCGGTGGTGATCGATGTGTTGCTTCTGTGGTAGTATGCAGCCAGCTTGGTGGTCTGAATAGAAAGGGCGTGGAAGTCGAATGCATCGGCAGTCCAGGCGAAGAAACCGACGAGGAAGTAGGCCCAGTCCTTCAGACGCAGCTGAGCAAGCAGACTGATAGGGTTCTTAAGTGGTTCTGGCTTCTGCCACTCGCAGGTGTCCTCGCCATACTCGTTCCTGACGACCACACGTTGCTCCCACTTGAAAAGGTCGCTCCAAGCTTGCTTCGCCGTTGCGAAAGTGCCCTTAGCCAAGGGATCGGCCGGTCTGTTGCCAGAGACTGTTGCCATTGTGTCGAGTAGGCTTGATCGTGGAGAAAGCAATCGAAAGAGAAGCTGCTCGTTGAGGATAGACAGCTGAGCCTGATCAAGATGCTGGATCCCAAACGGAGGGCAGGGCCTGCCTAATATATGTCCTTTCACGGCATCTCTTTAGCGGGGATTCTTGCCTCATAGCGATCCTATCGACTCCCCTTGAAACCATCTGTACGACAACACTTCGTGGTGCATCTGATGGCTTACAGCCAAGAAAATACCAAGACTGCCCAGCTTTTTGATTCTGGTGAATGTAACCCCTCTAAGCTTGATCGAGCCAAGTGCGCCTATCATCCGCGGTGCCTTCGACGTATTGCGGACGGCCGATATGCTGGGGTCGAAATGCCGCATGCGCTGATCTCAAAACCCCACGGGGTAAGAAAAACGGTGCCTACGGTTTTCCCCAGAGTATGGTTGAGTGTTTATCTGTGCAGGCACTCTGAACGTGCGTAACAGTTGATCTACCCAGGTTATACACAACGGTTTCCCTGCGTCCCTATACCAAGCTGCGAGGCGCTGCTCAAGCATTTGTTCGCGCTACCTTTCTTCTGAAGAAGCCTGCGCCGAGAGTGTGCGCCACCAAAATTGGCAATGACCCCGCTTAGGTTTGCAGCGTCGTCCAGTGTGCCGAAGCTCATGACTTACGACAGCCAAGGAGGACGAAGCCTTTCGTGGCTTGCAAGCCGAGATGGCAAGTTGTCACCGAGCGGCCTTGGGCAGGCTTCTTCCAACGCCCGTCGTTCGCTTTGGCGAATCGCAGTTTTTGCTAAACTTTATCGCAACCTCGTGAGGGTTTTGCGACCGGTGAGAGACCTTCAGGTCATTACCCCAGTGTTCTGGATGCGTGCGCCCTAAGGCAGGAGGACCGAGTAGAGGAATGGGCCCATTTTTCTCGTGTTTGGTAACTGGTTTTGGCGCAGGTTGCTGTTCCCAACGTGCGCGCAATATGGGTCCTTTCAAGCGTGCGGCGCACGAGAAACAACCGGCCCACAAATTGTGCGATGTGGGACGGCGCCTGGGTCTACGAATGCAGACACAGTAGAGTCTTGGCAGTTTCTAGGGGTGTAAAAGGATACGGGCTGACTCTTGCCGCTCAGCTGACGCGAAGAGAGGCGGAAAACATGGTGTGGAGGAGCGGTAATGGAGTTGTTGTGGGGGTGACACACTGCCGCTAGAGCGAGGAAACTGCAAGCGGCCAACCAGCCTTGCCTCGAACACGCACACGATCCATCACGACTTGCATCCCAGACCGGTCACGATGACTAGTATTGACTTCTTTCGTTTGCCAAGCTTGATGCTATGCTGTTAGAAAGCTCAACAGTAGTCCAAGAATCGCCCAAGAGATTCTCTGCTTGGCGCACGCTCTTGCAGAAACATCAAGATAACAGACCGGGGCAAGCACATGGCATCGAAAGACTATCCAGCGCACGTTTCTTCTAGCGCCCACGTACTAGATGTCCGTCGATATTGGTCGTTGGACGCGGGGACCCCGTGAAGTTTGAAATCGTCGAGTCTGGGGTTATGGAGAATCTCCCGACTACGACTTCCTCCGACCCAAATACGAGACTCGGAGTCCGATGTTCTTGCTAAGGAACGCCTCGCCGCGTTTTATGCCGACCGTGCATCGCATCGTATGTTCAAAGACTTGGCCAGGCCTTGGTTCTCCACACAGCAAACCCGAACCAGGCTACATTTACCAATAGCGCCTTCATAAGCTCATCGGCATTTGAACCATCCAGATTGTAAAGCCTGCGCCTTGCATTGCGGCTTATGCGGCACCATGTAAGTTCGGTAGAAGGAAGCATGGTGGCGTGCCGCCGTCTGGATTCTTACTACTCTGGGAGTAGAGCTTGCCCATCTGGGCAGCTCATAAGTGCGATGCTTGTTCACACCGCGGCCGGGTTTGCATCGGATCTTTATCTCCAGCTGTCTCGTCTCGTGAACCTCCGATTCTTCACCTTCCGGCGGAGCCTCAATTCTTCAGGCAACCAATGATCATCACTGGAACTCTGGGCGTACGTTCGGGTGCAGAACACATCACGATTACCAGTTATACGATGGCCTTAAACGTGGCATGTTGACTGCTGATATTTGTGAAAGTATGGAGCCCCACGATCTGGAGAAATTACAGGGAAGAGAGGATGCCCAAGGCACTCCATGTCAAGCAATTCCAACAGCATCTCTTTGTTGCAACCTACATCCCAGCATTGCATGCCGTTGGAACACATTGTCAATAGTGCGGTATTTGTCTTTTCTCGCGATAAAGTACCTGCTACGCTCATCAACCATTGGGTTTGCACTGTATCCCCTGACATCTTTGGGAAGTGTTGAGTCAACGCGACGTTTACCCACGCTCATCGCGTTGATGTTATGACTTACGGCATCTATATGTACCCCTGAGAATAGCTTGTGATTCCTTTCGTAATTCTCAGTTGGCTATGTTCGGCGATCTAGGTTACACTGTCACGGTTCAGGGTGCTCCTGCCTGTCGAACCTCACCTGCCATGAGAGTGACTGCCACGTCACACTAGCGTTGTTTACAGCTACTCACCTATACGTACTGTCCGTAGCTTCACCCAATACAACCTCAGTTCAATCCTTCAATATTTCCGCACATGCGTACTGATCACTCACAATCCACACCCCGACATACACACACGCAGCTGCGAAGTTCGAGGAAAGACACGTGTAACAACAAAGGCAGATATTCAATCAGCACATGACGCATCGTTTCCACATCTCTATCATTGTCACAGTGGATTGGCAAGGTTGCATGAGCCCTGTCTGCGCTGCGAATTCATTGTCGTGTCGTGCGTCAGGTTGCCAACCTCACCTTCATCACACACAACTATACTTATCTCATTTGACCGTCGCGCTCAACAATTTGGTTTTCTCCACTCTCTCGGCCTGTACATTATTGTATCTCTCGCCTTTCTCTTGATGTAGTACCATAGGTAATCCTAAAATTCAAATACAACTTTCTGACCAAAATTGCAGCACCTAGGGCGTTGGCGACTACAATAGCGGCGTGCTCCCAGTACAGGCCACCGTGTCCTCCAGCAAAAACGTCAAACCTAAACACACCAACATACGGTTGAGAAGATCCATGTCATATACGAATGCACCCGCTGTCAGGACAGACTACTGTTATTGGCTATGAATATTGCCTTTGGCAGTATATCTTTCGCACAATTCGTAGAATACAATTGGTCAGCGAAAGCGTTCAGCCGAACAAGTTCCAGGAAATCTTACTCTACCAACCCCAGCAGCCAAGAAGACAAGATGGCGCAATACAGTTTTAACCACAGCTTCAACTGCGCTGCAGCAACTAAGCATAATCCCAGCACCAGGCATAACTGCAGCAACAGTCACGATGACAGCAGCCAATGAGATCACTGCAGAGATTGTCTCGCAAATTGAAAGTAGGATCCAGCGCATAAAGGTGCGGCGCCAAGAGACCCTGGGCGCTGTTCGAGAGATAAGAGAGGGTCTTGGTTGCGACTGAAGGGTATGAAATCTCACAATGGTTCTGCACTACAAGAAGAGAATCCAACCCTCGTGTAATGTTCTCAGGAAAGTCTAAATTTGTTGCGGAATCGACCGGTCCATACAAGGTCTGATTATGCCCGAAGCAGACTACCTAGTCTAGTTTGTTACAGGTCAGGTATATAGTCGTCTTCTCCTGGTCAGATAGCAATTCAGCGCAGTATTCCACTAACTCGATAGTCCTACATTGTCATTCACCGTTGGTATCAGTGTACTACAGCGGCCTACGCCGCCACAAAATTAAGTTGTCAATTATGCTAATGACTATTGGCAAGCGGATGGCTCCTGGAGATAATAAAGAAGAATCTGTAGTACTGTGGTAGCTCTGTAGAAGCTGCCTGTCAGCATTATCCATTATACCAAAGGCTCCACTGTTTTTCCTTGCCCTTCTGATGCCTAGTGCATTCACCATCGAATCCTTGACACAGTTTGAATCACTTGTACCCAGATACCTTAAAGAAACCAATATGTCTTAAACAATATTCAATCAATGCACACATCTGTTTACATGGACACTGTGGGATGACAATGTTTGAACCCAGTTCATGGGTGGATCGAAGAAGATTTGGGACATTGAAGTACATTGATAGTACGTTACCATCACACTTGGAGATCACTGTCAAATCCTACTCGCGGCCCTTGATAATCAAATTATGAGTACGCTGCTCTCTCCTTAGCCAGATCTGGTAGATGATTCGTATACGTCTCAAACTCAAGCTCTTCGTCAACATCTTCACTGGAATCATCTTCGTCCATATCATCATCCGTGTCCATCAACTCGTCAAGGAAAACAACCTTATTCATGTCAGTGGACGTCATCAGAATTTCAGTTTCAACACTCCCGAAATTGATGATGTTTACGCCCCTTCTTCGCAAACTCTGCACAAAACTTGGAGAATGTTGTCATCTTTGATCTGCACTGTTTCATTGCCCCAGGGAGGAGCCAGACGGGCGATACACCACGTGTGTCCTGTGACATTCGAGTTTGCACGCTACTCGATTTGTGCGCGCAATTTTACGAAATTGGGATTGTCAACATCAGTATCGCCCTTGACTTGGCGGTGATCTTGAGCGTTTTGCCTCAGAGCAAGCTTCATGCTGAACTCGACATGATCTGACGCTCCTTCCTGACCATGCACGAGACCGGAACTGAAGATGCTCTCAGCTAACCTGCACCAGATTCCAGATGTCAAGCGCTTCTCAGAGGACGGCTCAAACTGGCACCTGATATCGAGGGATGCTTGTCCAGGTACAAGTCGTACAATCCTTTGCTGATATACTTGTGCATCTCTTGCGCAATTCTCTGTACGTACAAATCTGGGGACCATGTTTGTCTTCCAGTAATGTGGTGGCTTGTAGTGTGACATATGCTCGGTAGTCTCTTACGTTCCCGTTAGTATGGTATGCATGAAATCCCAAGGACCGCTTCTGCATACTAGCTTCCTCTATCTCTGCGTATCACACACGTTCTTCACATGGAAGAAAACTAGCGATCGGCGCTTCCATGGCGGTTCTCTGCCCAAAGCCCCACCCAAGTTTTGGTCTTATCGGACGATCCTGAAACCTTATCCCTCAACGCCCGTTCCCTAGCTTACAAAACTACTTTTGTGGTGTTCGCAGCGCGTTACACACAATTCGCACATCAGCACTTGCTTCAAATACTCAAGTCGTTGGGTTCCAGGCATCATGGTTGCAAATCCGGAAGGGAAGGAAGGTGGGGCAGGAGGGGCCGCGGCAAGAACGACAAACAGCGGAGCGGAGAGGAAGAGCACGCAGAACACGCAGTATGATCAGATTGGGACGAAGTATTTGAAGATCAAGGAGTTGCCTGCAGCGGAGTCGGAGGTGCCGAGTATACTTGCTGCATTGGGCGAAGATGGGGTGAAGGGGAAGAGATGTCTTGGTATGTTTAGCCCTTCATAAGTCGCATGCATCTTTTTTCACATCTGGCTGTGGTCTCATAACTTGGTATCCCTCTCATCAAGCATCTCCCCATGCTCAACCTGAAGGTCTGCATATGTTCCGCAGTGCGACTGTAAAACCCATGACTATACACGCGAGATTGCATTGAAATCTCGAAGAACATTTGAAGTCCACAGACCATTGAACCTTCACCAATACCCTTTTCGATTACACAGCATCTTCAATCCTCCATGTGCACTCACTCACTAAATTACAGATCTTGCCTGCGGTACAGGAAAATACACGCATCTCCTCCACACCCTCGGCGCCTCCAGCTGCACCGGGTACGACATCTCCAGCACCATGATCTCCAGCGCGCTCGCCACCTACACACGCTCGCAATACCCCACCATGCACTTCGGTGTCGCAGACTGCAGCATTCCCGAATCACTCCCAACTCTTGCCTCCGACGACACCTCTGGCACCGGTGGCTTCGATCTCGTCTTCTCAGCCTGGTTCCTGAACTACGCCGGCACAGAGACAGAATTAACGAACATGTTCCGTGTCATCGAAAGCCAGATGAAGGTCGGTGGGAGATTCGTGGGTCTCACGACTAATGCACACGATCCTAACATGCATATTCCGAAGCTCGACTTCTACGGCCTAGACGTTCTGGTCCTGGATCCTGCATACACTGACCCAGAATCGCAACAAGTATTGGGCATAAAGGCGCGTGTGGTCGTTGGCGGTGGGCAAGGGTTCAGCTTCGATGTTTATCAATTCCGACAGGATGTGTATGAGCGATGTGCGAGGGAGGCGGGGTTGGAGATAGAGTGGAAGGAGGTGGTTGTGCCGGATGATGAGAGGAGGGGAGGTGGGTATTGGGCTGGGTACTTGGAAAAGCCGACGTTTTCTATGCTGGAAGCGAGAAGGGTACTATAGACTTGCGATAGCATGGCGAGTATGGGTTCTAGGCATCGATGGCAGACCCTGACGGACCAAATGTGCTTGAATATTGCACTCTCGTACCCATAGTCTCGACCACCAGGGCCTCGAGACAGAATCTGCAAATAGCTCGAACATTTGCTGGTAGGCCGGGTTATCCTTAAACATTCACTCTTCGGTTTCTTCTGAGATGGAGAAACTAGAATACTGGAGAAGTTGCTTATCTTCCGCCATATGCATCACCATCTTAAATGGATTGTATGATTGAAACGAAGGATTGGGTACATCAAGCCATATGAACATGGAGAAGCATCTCCAATAGATAGCACCCATATTGCTGACTTGGTGAGCTCTCTCCGCCATGTCCGTCTGATCGATACATATAGCGTCCGCCCACAAATCTATCAGCACGCTTCCAGAACTGCGCAGATGTCTAAGACATGACTCGAGGCTGCTGGGAATCGTGAGCTCTGTACATCCACAATGATCGGTGCTGTGTCTCGAGAATCTCCCCACGCGTAAGATATCGTTCGATAGTGAGGAGCATTAACCAGAGAGTGCACATTGAGCTGACAGTGGATAAGTCTGACTATTCGCCGGGTAAAAGGGTGACCGTTCGAAATTGGGCCACGCCTGCATTGAGCTGGGTGTAGCAAAGCCACACTGCGCACCGCTGGATCTCTGTCCGGCATGCCGGCTTCTCGAGGTCGCATTGTATCAAGGCTCATATGACATCGACATCCTGCTCTTTGCCAAGTGTGGAAGGTCGTGCAGGCCGCTGCATGGTCATGTCATGACGTTGAGGCTATAGAAGAAGTAACAACGATCAGCAAGAGGGAGACCTGAGCAAAGACTTCAGTATGGATACTCGATGTATTCGTGAGCAGTTTGGTGTGAGTTCTGGTAAACAGCTGCACAAGAGAAGACGAGGTGAATTGTGGCTGCTACGCCCAATTTAGCTTAGTCTTGACGTCTACTCTGGAGAAAGGAAGGAACACACCGACGAAGTGCGTATCACTACGTTGTAAATTTGAATGAATTTGAGTATTGTACATTCTGCGCTTGTAACTACAAGCCGCTGAAACTATTGACTAAAGTGTGTGCACTTACGGATGCATCATGAGCAGCCTGAAATGATGTCGATGTATCCTACAATCTTCCGGACCGGGTTCTGGCGACTACAGCAAACCGCTTACTTCCTCCTGTTCTGGCTCATGGCCAAGATCTGGACCATCCTGACGAAGATGTTGATGAAGTCCAACTCAAGGTGGATAGACTCGTTGACTGGGTCCTTGGCCATCAAGCCCTGCTCAGCCATGCGGGCATGGTGCAGCACCTTCTGGACATCGTACAGGGTGAAGCCACCGAAGACAGCAAGACCACCATAGAGCCAGATGTTCTCAGTCCACATCAGTGTGCGTGCAGCGGTAGCGGGGATGACCATGGGTGCGAGACCGGACAGAGCGACAATGGCGACACCAGCGAGGAGGGGTCCACCGAGGTACATGTACTTGTCTGTCTTTGCGGTGGCGCCGACGAAAGCGAGCGAGCCCATCAGACCAGCAGTGTAGAGACCGGCGCGTGCGAGGATGGCGGGGTGCATGAAGAAGAGGGGTGCGAGGAGGGCGGCCTGAGTGACGTTGAAGGCGGACCACAGGGCGTACTTTTGCAGGTAGCTGGTGCTCTTAGTACTTGAGACAACTGAAAATGTAGATATGATGTACTTACTTCTGAGGGTTGGTAGCCATAGTGCCGTACATGGTTCCAATGCTAGCAACAAGACCGACACCCATGACCAGCCATGGGTTAGCAGCCATGAGCCTGAAAGACCAGCCGTTCATGTGCATAGCGCGCGCAGCGACACCGATCATACCGACGCCGAGACCAGTGTGCATGAATGTGTCGTTGAGGTAGGCGCGCTCGAAGGGCGGCATGCCGCCATCCTCTCGTGTCTCGCGGTTGAAGATCAGGTTGATGCCTAGCAGGGTCGCGCCGAAGATACCAGCACCATAGAGGAGACGTTGTCGCGCATCGCCCTGCGCGAGAGGGTTGTTGTATGCAGCCTGCTGGTACGAGCGGCGGAAGGTCGACTGGAACTTGGAGACATTTGTGGCGGTGGTGAGAGTGGGTGCTTTCGACTTGAAGAAGTGCGGATGCTGCTTCAGTGGCGTATTGTGGAAGGCGCGCACTGAGAGCTGTGAAGTCCGTGTTACGGACTGCTTGATGGTCGCTGGAATGGCGAAGGGCCGCCGTAAGAGGAACGCCATGGTTGTGGATGTGATGTGTGATGGATGGCACTCAGAGGCGGAGGTTCGAGGGTATTTGATGATGACGTCCCGGATCGTGGAAAGCGCCAGAAATTGTCAAAGCTTCTTAACGCCGAGGGCAAGAACGGACGAATCGCCAATACTATCAATCTCAGCACGTCTCATGCAGTGCATCAATGACTCGACGACTCTTTTGGAAAGTACGGGATAAGACGGATGCATTTGATCCTCGCGACTCTGAGGCTATGTTTTGGATCGCAGTGGCAAAATTCATCTTACCCTTAACTTCCTGGCAACAATCATCAGACGCTGCGTCGTGCATGCTACAATTGGGATTGGAGTAGACAAGGTTGAAGTCCACATGGAAGTGCGGGAGTCTTGAGAATTTTGTTGTTGAGCATCGAACGGTTCTTCCTAAGTCGCCCCTCGAAGATATTCAACAATATTCGCACGAGAGGAGTGCGAAGCCCTTAGCTCCTCCATTTATTACTGTTCATGGACTACTGCGCTTCTCAGTGTGTTGTGACAATGAATGGTTCTCAATGCGATGCAGATGCTCGTAGTATGCGCAGATTTGGGGGTACATGTCGAAATGATCCTTAGAAGAAGGGTGGTTGTCGCTCTTGTTGCAGTCACCCGATAGCACAAATGCAGTTCCTCCAAGTCACGGAGGTAGTCAATACAACATTGCGCAAGTCTCAAAGGCATGCAAGTAGGCAAAGGATTACAGAGCGCTTTGCACATGAGAGAGAGCCGCCCAAGACTTGTTGAGAGCCTCCAGGCTTCGTCGAGACAACAGAGGTTCAGCAGCTGCTGTCTGTGGTCGTGCGACGATTGGCAACAAAATCACTGTTAGTACTAGTACAAGTCCTTGAGGCTTCTTCAATCATTCCAGAAGAGCACCTACTATGGTACGTTTGCGGCAGTCGGCAATGGCAGGCATGTAGGGCCTGTCACGTGGAGATGCATGCAGACGTTGAGGATCAGCAGTGTGGGGCTGGCATGTCTCACAACGGCGCTGCTGTGGCGGGCGAGATGTTGTGGATGCGAACGCAAACAATGACGACAAAGGGTCCATCAGAATCAGGGTCCAGACCGACTCACTCCACACAATCAATAACAGGGACAAACATGACTAGGGAGTGCGGCAGGGGAGAAGACATTCAATCATATACAGTGCAGATGTTATTGACTATCTACACAACCCAGCCACCATGGGTCGAAGATGGAAACCAGACAAAAGCGGTATATACCCTAATAAACACCAGGAGTATCTTAGAAAAGAAAGCAAACCGAACGCAGCATCATGACGTTATTGACATCCCAATTAGCTCCAATGCAATTTTTGAAAGCACAAACACTAAAAGGGAGTAATTTAGAGCATGAGCGCAGCAAGGGCGGCGGCACCGACAAGGCTGAGACCAGCCTTGATGGAGCCGGCAGCGCCGGTGGACTCGGGGAGCAACGCGGAGTTGGTGCCGTTGGCCGCGCCGGTGGCAGAGGGGCGGAGTGAGCTGGGGACGGTCAACGAGCCGGTGGGCTGGATGATGGTGGAGTTGTAGCCAGGGGCGACGGTGCCGACGGTCTTGACGGTGGTGGGGTAGGGAGCAACGGGGGTGGACTTGACGACTGAGGACGAAGCAACGGGGTAGCCAGCAGAGCTGGAGGACTTGACGGGGTATCCAGCGGGGGTGGAGGAAGAGGCGACGGGGTAGCCAGCGGGGGTGGAGCTAGCGACAGGGGCAGCAGAGCTGGAGGAGACAACAACGGAGCAGTCGTCCTTGGAGATACCGAACTGAGTGGAGTACTGGTACTGTCCGGTAACGTCGTCGATCAGCTGGAGTCCGTAGTGGGTGGTGTCAGCCTCGAGGGAGGAGGCAGGGGTCCAGGCGAAGGAACCAGAGTTGTTGATGCCCTCGGCAAGAGTCTGAATGGGAACAACGTTGGTGGAGGGGCCGCGGAGCAGGAGGAGCGAGACCGTGTTGGTGGTGGTTGGCTGCCAGGTGATGGTGAAGGCTTTGCAAGCAGGGACAACCTGAGGAGTTAGTGATTGTCGTGAATGTCGATCTCGTTGGTTTCAATGTTTACCTCGTTCAAGGGACGGGTGATGGGGTTGCCAGAGGGCTCGCCAACAGCGGCGTGGAGCTGCGCAGCGGCAATGCTGGCGAAGAAAGCAACGACGGAGGCTTTGGTGAACATGTTGACGGTATTATTTGATTAACGTGCGTAAAGCGACGATTAAGGTAGTGAATGTACTGGTTGGGGTTTTCAAAGAATGACGGTGTGCTTTAAAGAGCGGCAGGGAACAAATTCCTCAAGGTGAGAGTTGGCGATAAAGCTGAAAGAGACGAAAGCGTTCGACGGGCGCAGCGAGGTTATATTGGCACTTCACCGGTGTTCGCAGGGGTGGTAGGGCCTTAGGCTTAGCGCAATCCCAGCGAAATTTAATTTGTTGGACCCGCATGATGGTGGGTCGGTTCCTGGCTAAAGCCTAACTGCACGCGCTCTTGTTCATTCACCTAAGCTCAAATCAATACTGGCGTCAGGGGTTTCGAGTTGATGATTGGCTCCATGGCTTCGCTCGATTCACGGCCGCCTCGAGAACAGCCATTTCGGCTGGGTGTCTATTCTTGTAGGAAATTGCGTGTCGCAGGAGAAGGACGCCTGAACTATCGAGGCCCGTTGTTGAAAGCGGCGTTGTGTGAGCATCGTGGTCTTCGCGCGCTGAGAGCGGCTGAGAAAAAATGCGCACTGAAGGTCATGAACAGCTTTGAGCTCGTGAACTTCGAGGATGAACGTGGTTGTCAAATTGCGATGTAACAGGATACGACATCTTCTCCAGATTCGCGTCACGGTGGGACATGATCGATGCCGTGCTGCCTAGCTCCTGAGCTCAGACACAGGCCTGAGCGCAGAGTCAGTGATTGTTTCCAGGCAGCCAGGCGTGCCGCACAAAAGGGGACCCTTTGTGTCGCTCACCAAGTGTTACAGCCGCGGATAACAACAAGGATTAGCATCCTCCAAATTCTAGACGCTGCCGGCACGATGTTTGCCATCGCATTTTTTGCTGTAAGTTGAATGCAATCTCGGGCCGGTCAGCAGCAGGGCATTGCGGAGATGAACAGTGGTGCGACCAAATCTCAAGGCGCCTGGGAGAAATCACCGTTGGTCGCGACAAGCCTTTTTCCAAGCTCATCTCACCGACGTTATCACGACAACAAGCTCGATTGCACTCATCACGATTTACATCGCATTTTGGACGAATGTTAGGTTTATTGCTTTTATTGCACCTTATGACTGCGTACGTCACCGCATCTGCAGCCGACGACCGTCCGACCTTCATCCTACACAGCCCTGACACCTGACAACCTCCCGGACTTCTTCAAAAAGCCATTTCTAGCGAGCGAACGCAACTGGGTATCTTCGAAACAAATTCGTGAGATCATTACTCAAGATGAGAATAGTAGGTGGAGGTGGAGTTAGAGTGCGGAGCGAGTGTGAAACAATCAACCAGCAAGAGCAGGAGGCATCTTGGATTAGAGCTCAATGGACAAGCATCGTTGTGTTCAACCGCACTGGCCAGGGTCTGTGAAACATCAGTACCATGTTCAAGAGCACTATCTGCCTGAGGCAACATCTGGGGAAGGGTACTTACACTTCCTGGCGGTCAACGGCTGTGGGAAGATGCCGTTGGCAAGCAGGTCCTTCATGTCCCACTCAGGCGCGCCCTCAGTCTTCCAGGTCCAAAAGATCCACTATCACTGTCAGTGAGATGGTTGGGGGCTTACTGGTTGTCAACTTACCCCAGCAGCCTTCTCGTAGGCATCAAGCTGAGCTTCGATGAAGCGCCCAACGTTCGACTTGTCAGCTTCGGACAGACCGGCGACGCTGCCAGTCGACTTGCCCGTGCAGTTGCCAATCTTGCTGCCGCCACCAAAGGAACCGTCGTAGCGTGCGCCCTTGTCTTTGCCATTCAGCCACTTGGCGCAGTCGGTGATACCACCAGTCCACTCGCCGCTAATCGTCCACTTGCCGGTGCTGGCCATCTGGTTGCCGAAGTCGCAAGCTGTCTTGATATGGTCATCGATGCTCATGGTGACAGCATCGGTGGTGAAGATCTCATAGTGATGAGTGTCAAGGAGCAAGTTCCACATGCCAGCACCCCAGTTACCCCAGGATGTCACACCCTGGAAGGCATCGTGGAAGGCAACAGCAACGTTGGAGTCCTTCAGGTTACCCCAGCCATCCATGTAGAACTGGCGGACTGTGTTCATGTCGAGGTTCGGGCCGAGTGGCTCGTTTAAGAGCTGGATCGACGAGACGGCCGGGTGTGAAGCATGGTCGTCGCGGATCTTGTTCAAGACTTTGATGGTGTGTTCGATAGAGTCGCCTTGTGTCCAGCCAACATTGCCGTATTTGCCTGAGTTGTCGAAGCCGTTCTGCGATTCGGGTGCTACAGGTTGTCAGCCGAAAAGGTATGGATATCAGGACAGTTGAACACTCACCACCGTGCAGGTCAATCATGACCTTCAAACCAGCATTGTTCGCCCAATCAAGAGCTTCGCCGAGCTTGTCATACGCTCCCTCAACGTACGGCTCACCTTCACGGGCGATCACGCTCCAGTACCCAATTGGGATACGCACGTGATTTAACCCTGCCTTCGCCATCTGGTTGAAGTCGTCATGTGTGATCCAGGAGTCCCAGTGATCCTGCAACCTCGACTTTGCAGCATCCTTGCCCAACAGCTCGGTGAGCGTCCACTCGTCCTTCGCTGAATTGCCCTCGAAGATGCTTGGCGTAATCCAAGGCTCAAGAACGAACCAGCCACCTGTGTTTACGCCGCGAACCTTCTGGCCGTTGTAGTTAAATGGCGGTGCGCGCTTCGCGAGCTTCTCTGTTTCTCTGTGCGATAATAAGCATCTATCACTTCAAGGATCATTGGAAATACTTACAATGGGGAGGCATCTGAGCTCAGGGCCAGCAGGCAAACGGTCAAAGCTGTACTCCAATGTCCGACCATGATGTCGTTTCCGGTATGTTACTGCTCAAAGGACTATTGTGGTAATGACACCCAACTTCGTGGATCGAGGTATGCAAACAGGGTAAGGTGTTACTTGAGTAACTCAAGAATGTACATCCACGTTTTGCGCACCACCAACCTGGGGACATGCACAACTTTAAACCCCAACCCTCTCAAACCCACATGCAGCCCGAAGATCCACCCGGTCTGCGGAACTGGGATCTTGTTCCCGTCACCCGCCGCGACAACAAACACATTATCTCGCGGGCATGGGAATTGAGATCGTCAGAAGCTCAGAGTTCTACCGGCAAAGCTACGCCAGGGATGGAGCTCCAAAACCCGACCTATCAAACACTCGCTCGGGTTACTTTCCTCGGAGGTGACGTAGCGGCGGGAAACGCTGCACAAGCTATAACCCAAAAGTCACAGCTCTCCGGACTATGATCGGCTCTCCTAGGTTTGCGGAAGGTTTAGTTGTGGTGTTACACCGGCATGAGATGACTAAGGTGAGGGCATAGTCAGGTACGTAGAGCTGATTGGTGAGGCGTTTCAGGCGATGATGGTGTGATCGGCGGCGTGTGGCTCAAGGAGGTAGTGGAGATGAGAAGGTGACGAATCAGGATGATGGGTGCTGCTCACGCGGCCGAATGTGGAGAGGTGGATGATGTTGTTCTGGAAGCTCTGAGAGCTATGCGTCAACATTGAGAGCTTCCAGAGTGTGAGCTTCGTCAATGAGAGAACATCGCAATCTTTCAACCTCGTGAACTACATGAAGACGGCGTGTACTCTCTTCTGCAAGCGATGACATCAGTTGCAGCCTCGATGTACTTGTAAACACAGCATCTTCAATTTTTCGGAGTTCTTCTCTCAACCCTGCCAAACCCCTGACCTCATCAGCAAGGCTTCCATGAGCTTGCATGAAGTCAGACTTGGGATTGCGGGGGAACTTGCCATAGCTCCCCATTTCTGATCATCAAGACATTCCCACAAATATCATCAAGCGCAGCGAAATGCATGTTGATCCTCATCTCCTGTCCAAGCCACTGCAAGCCAGCGCAAGTTTTCCAGTCACCAGGCAAAAGCACCCAATCACCACCGGTAACCTGGTAGGCGAACAACAAGGAACATCTGCCGGCCCATCAATTCTGCCGGTGAGCACAGTCAGCCAGCCTTACACCCAAGCCTTAAGATCAGCTGTGGTGGCAAATGTACAGGCTCGTTGCTGATCGTTGCCTTTCGTTGTCCCTTCCGGAAGGTTTTGAGGTTTGGCAGCTTTCGGGAGTTGTACCCCGCCATCGCTGTAGGCCAAGCTTCACGATCGAGTGGCTCGCAAAGCCGGAGACCGTTATTCCCGCAATACGAGCGAATTGTCGGGCTTGGAATAGTGGGAGGCAAATCTCATGAACGCCGAGTGCAGAGCTTCATGCGACGAGTATGTTGTACTGCTGGTGGTTGGGTCATGTACCACAGGGTACGGTCAGAGGGGTAAGTAACTTCCGGGTACATGGCAGGTATGACGAGTGGGCATCACTGAGCTTCTATGGCGCCTTTGTCTTGAGCATCACAAGGCAGCTCGTTCGTTTGGCGTTGGCGATGATGATGTTGTTGGTGCAACAGGGTCTCAGTGCGCCGGCTGAGGCTTGCTTTGCCCACAGCCCCGAGTGTAACATGAGTCGGGTATACCACGCGCCTTGCAGACAGTTACTCAAGACGGTGTGTAACTGCGAGCTGGATTCGGAAGACTTTGCATCGTGAGTTTGTTTTCGTTGGTGCGTTATGTAGCTTGGCGCCAGCAGCTTCAAGTTGCCTTGTTTGGTGAAGTCAGAGGTCACAAGCACATGGTGATCTACTGGATCATCATTTTGGTGGTTTGTGGGGTAGACTTTGGGGAAGTCGAGGAGAACTGCAAGGTGCTGCATGGAGAGAGATCGTCATCGTCAACTTGAGAAAATTATGCCGAGGCTGCAAATCGGGTGGTGTAGGTGGACAGAGCCGGGGGTGAGGTTTTGGTACATCAGATGATGGAAGGGGGTGATGCAGAGAAGTGACGACATCTACGGAATGCTTCCGTAGAGTGGAAGAGCACAAGCTGTTACCTCAACATATCAAGGCGAACGTCAAGCTGCTCTTGATCGTGTATGTGCTCCTTTGAGAAAGCCCTGAGTGAATTTGTACAAGTTGTACGCTGACGAAAGTCGCGATCTGGGAGCAGCTCAATTCACATAGTCCAAGCGCATCGGTGTGGGAAGTGCGAAGATGAGAATATGCATCGATAAGTATGTGGCCGACCTGTGTACTGAGTTCGACCAGGTAACTATGAAAAGAAGAGCAGGTCCAGAAAGAGGAGGGCGGGGGATGCTTGCACACAAGGAACGTGGGAAGCGTCGAGCTGAGCTTCGTTGAAAATAATCAGAACCTTCAGAGCAACACTGGAACGACCAGAACATTCCTATACCTTGTATTTGAGCCTGCAGCGAAGCGAAGTCCTGGCATGAAAGAGCGTGTACGTTCTGTTGATTCGGTAGTGGTGCTGATGGAAGATGTACATATATTACCGCCGAATCTTGGTGGCCAGGAAACATTTCAGACCCCTGCCAGTTTCGGTGTTTTTGCTTATCGAACAGAACGCGGTTTCTAAACCCTCACTGAGCCTGAGTTTTTCTATTTTGTGTCAAAGCTCAGCATGTACGATCGATAGCCGTATCATTTCATAGATGGATGGCTAACACTGCGTCAACAAGCTCCGCGCAGGTAGCGTGCCCGTTGATGTTTTCGAAGATGCAGTTGCGCTCTGGCCGTTGTTTTCGATGGTGCGAACTAGGAAAGGCGTCGGCTTAGTCACGAAAAATGCGGACAAGAACGCCGGGCGGCATCCCAACTTGCCTCCGGACGATACAGTACGATACACGGCTATCAAGACAGCTTACCCAAGGTGAGGCCCACTCTACCACCGCCCCTTCACGTATTACCCTCATTGCGACTACAATGACAGGCTAGAATACCTTCCATGCGCTCCAGTATGCTGACAGCAATGACAGTGTCTCATCGCGACCTCAGCGCCGGCCGCAATGGGTCGACACGCGAATCCTGACATTCGTCGTGCCTTCGTAGAATTCCAGGATGCGGACACACCATCCAAATGCAACAAAGTCAGATGCCAGTACTGTGGCTTCGTGCGAGCGAAGAACACGACGAGGCAGATTGAGCATCTACAGGAGTGCCAGGCCTACATCAATTCGCCTGACGCGCAAGCACACATGATTGCGAACCAGGGCAGCCAGTCCATGGTCGAGCCCAACATGTCGCAGGGACCGAGTGCTATACTCAACGGCCAGCAGCCAAACCCGAACCTTCAGGTACATCGTCGCGGTCCCAACACGAAGCGCGCTCGTGATGGCCAGCCAATTGCGCCCAATCCTATGCAGCAACATCAGGCGCCCTCTTTGACGAACCACCTCCTCGCAACGTGCTCCGGGCCATTTGCGCAGGCAACACAGCAACCGTTCCTCTCACATGCTGGTTGTGGGTCACTTGCTGCAGGACCATTGTCGCAATGGCTGGTGCAGGATGGACACTACTCGAGAGGGTACATACGCTTCGTAGGCCAATTGTTGGCGAAGATCAGATTACCGCAGACGCAGAACTCGCAGTTTCACCCTATGTATAGGACCATGGATCTGCTAATCTCAGCGCTGAACAACATGCGCCGCGAAATGCAGTTCTTCGAGATCACTGCGACCAAATATGGCCTTGCACTGGGCAACGAGCCACCTTCACCCATCACACGCGCCCTACTGGATCTGTTTGTGAGCGCTAGCAGCTCCTGTGCCTCTCTACTCGAGGGCATGGTCGTTCTGTGGGGCACTGAGCATGTATGTTCAGGTCCACCCTTCAGCTAAAGTCTTACGCTGACAATGTAGTGTTATCGCTCTGCCTGGCAATATGCCGCATCCTTCAGCAACTCCCTCTCGACGCCCAGTAACGATAACCACATTGTCGCCCTCCACCAGGCTCTCATTCCAAACTGGACATCGCCGGCATTCAACAAGTTTGTCGACGCCACACGTGCGCTTGTCGATGAACTTGCCAACACCACCACGGCTCGCGACGGCAAGGAAGAGATGCAACGCTGCGACGAGATCTTCCGTCAAATATGCTGGCTGGAACAGCGTTTCTGGCCGGAGGTTGATGGTATGGGCGAAGAGGATGACGGTGCACAGCTTGGTGGTCCTTCCCACATGGGCACAATGGGCACTGGCCTCGATAACGGGATGAACAACAGTGCAATCAGCAGCGGACACATCGGTAACCAGAACATGGACAATGGATCCATGAACGGCGGTCGCATGAATAGCAATGCTATGAATAGCAACATGGGAAACAACAATATGAACGGACCCATGGGGTCGCAGATGAACAGATCAAGCATGAACGGGCCCATAATGGGTGGACAAGGCATGAACAACCAGAACATGAGCGGGCAAGGAGTGAATGGTTCTGTGATGAGCGGCGATGATGGCACGCCTGGCAACGATGATGGTAGGAACAACTCCATGTTTTCCAACAGCGGGCTCGAAGGTCAAGGTCCGTGATCTGATACTCGACAGAGTCCTCATCGGAAAACGAGGCAACACCTCAACTGTCGAACGCGCGATCGATGAACGCCCAGTCTAACCTACCTGAAATTCCACAGAGCACATCATTTTGCCGATTCGGGAATCAGCCCTGCAATCACGTCCATTGTGCCGAGCTCGAGCGTCTCCATCAAGCGCAGCTGAGCATCCGGCAGAACGGCCTGCACCGTCAGCAACCCGCATCCTGACACGATTGATGGACTTGAATGATAATGATCAGACAACAAGGATAGCTGCCACAAGGCAGGTGGCACTGCCTCGTAGTAGAAGGAGTCTGCGGCGTAAATTGACCGCCTCCCGAAGATGGGTAAGAGCATTTGCCTGACGAGCAGCCTCAGTTGTGGGCGTTCCTTCCTACGGGAAGAGTTGTAGCAGCAATATGTTGAGATACCCGGGTATAGTAGCTACTACACCGCTTCAGCCCCAAATCGGTTGTCTGAACAGTGCTCAAATCACATATATTCTTCCATGCGACATCTTTGTGTTTACTGGTGTTTTCCAGAGCCCAGATCATCGAGTTCTTGCTTCTCTTATAACGACTGAAATTCCGGGTCAGCGTCAGCATGTTGGATCCACGGGTGACTAACGGTCTGCGGCGCGCATGTCATCGCTTGAGCGCCTGCTGAGCGTCTCACCAACAGGTGCAGTCACCTCTCTGCTTATTCTGCCTGTCCTTCTCAATCTCCTTCGTTCCCCTTACTCTGCTGCCAATGCTGACACAGAGGCAGTCGCAACTATGAGTAGATACCAAGGAAACCCCCAGCCGTCACCAAGGACATCGCAGATCGAACACATTATGCACGCCACTGGAGGCCTGACATCGACAATGAGGGGCTTAAACAGCAGATCCGCATGGCCCTTGATGAGTTCTCTCGGCCATCCATCTGTCAGCCTTACAAGGACTCGCGCCAGGAAGCCCAGTGCTGGTCATACACTGAGAAGTTCCAGGCCACATACTCGGATGGAGTCTCAGGCTGTAATTGTGGAAAGGCAAGCCATGCGTGCCCATACCTGCGAAGCCCGCCATAAAGCCTGAGCACGCCGATGATGTGGCAGTGCTGATAACAAGGGAGCCAATACCGAAGATAGAACGGGCTGCTGCTCCATGTCTAACTCATTCGTTGGTTCACTTTCAGTTCATTGTGAGGACTGCTGACGCATGTTCAAGATCAGAAGTATATTTTCCGATCCCCCTACCAGACATAATACTTCGATCTATGCATACACCCCCTTCTCAGCCAGTTAGGAGATGTCTTCACTGTAGACGTCTCAAGAGAACCATATGCAGCGAAGGATTCGTTTGTGTTAACTACGTCAGGTTCGGCATGGACTATAATTCCAGAGTCCAAACGCACACGCGAGCGACGTCGCTGCGATAGGTGTTATGCGCACCGTTGGTGCTGCAACGGAGCCACCCCGTGTACAAAGTGCGTCAAAGATGGCGATGTGTGCACACATAATTGGCGTGATGAGAAGAATGCTATGGACATCAATGAAAGCGATCAAGAAGCTGTCTCTTAGCGCAAGGACACCCACGGTCACTTACAGCCTGTACCTCAACATCCTCGACCTGGACAGCAGGCTTTTCCACGCCCACTGCAGCCTCCTCCACTGCCACTGCAGCCTCCTCCTCCTCCTCCTCCTCCTCCTCCTCCTCCTCCACAGTGTCCTCTTCCACCATCACAACAGCCCGCTCCTCCTACACCGCAGCAGTCCGCCCTTCAAACTCTACAACAACATCCATTTCACCCTCACTTATACCTAGGAACATCTCAGGGCAGCTAGAAACCCTTGCTTGGAATCGAAGCATCAGAGTTGTCGACCCCACCGCCATCAACGTACACCGGCGATCCTGCAGTACACAGCATCGCACAAGCTGTAACGCGCATCGAGGCGGCGCAAGAAGCGCTCTCCAATGTAAATACCGCAATCGCTCAAGCTCTCCATACCTTGTTGCAAGAGCGCAGCACGAGACTGAACCTCAAAAGAACCTACACTTGAGAACGTGCAGCCAACAAAATGTTCGAAGATGTTACAGAGTATAGACCGTGGATACTGTAGTCCCCTAAGAGTTCTCGAAACTCACACACGATTTCCGATGCCATTGGAGCCCTCCAGAGGTTTGGATTTGGAAATTCAACTCCTTTCTCAATCAACTGTATATGGCACTCCTCTCCTCGGGCCCTTGGTAGAGCCTCTCTAGCCGGCGTACACGACGCTTTCACACCCGTATCAATAGCCATTACGACCTCAAACTGTCTCAGCTACTCTATCGTCCTGCTCCGTGATCCCTGCTAGATCATCACTGTCATCTATCGCATACTGCCATTGCACCGCCAAAGTCAGTTGTCACCGCGCCTCAACGACCCCGCATGGGCCGAGAGAAGCCAGACATGGCTTCCTGACTCGCATCTTACCACAGCGGCAACTTCACCCGCGAGGACGTCACCAAGGGCTGTAGCATCGGTCTTGCAACATACCTCGACCTCGTTGATTACCTGAGGTGTGAGTTGACTAAGATGAATTTGACTTGGTGGCGAGGAGGTGCAAGACGGCCTCATGAAGGTGGATATGATTGTGAACGCTTTCGAGGAAGGAAAGGCTGATCGGTTTGAATTTTTCGAGTCTCAAGATGCTCCGAGTCCTCAGCGCCAAAGAGGAGGGTATCAATGCCAAGATCTTCTAAGTTATCTGTCTCGTTCGCCACTCTTCCCTTTCCTTCATCCCGATTTCTTTTCATGGTTTTCAGCTGTCCTTCTAAGGCCCCCACTCGAGCTTCGAGAAGCTCAAGCCTTGTCTCTTCCGGGTCGGTTGCTTGCGGCCAAGCAACGGGGTACTTTCTGATCTCCTGTTTCCTGTCCACGTCCCCCGTTGTTTCATTGATAGTTGGTGTTTCGTGCAAGATCTTTGCCATTTTCCGGGCCGAGACGCCCAAGTGCTCGTAGTCAAAATTATTCCTGTCGTACCCGTGAGTTTCGCCGCTCGTGTTAGCGAAGAGGTCTCGGCCTTTGTCTCTGATGTTGTTGCGAGCGTATTCTCCTGTCAACTGATTGTAAAGATTGTAAAACAGATTGACTTGATTTTGGCTTGCGTCCGCCCATATTTGACCCCAAATACTTGCCACTTTGGGCCAGAACCTCGGACATTGTACGGTGTCTTGTTGGGTAATTCAAAGACCGGTTTCTCTATTATATGCCTAGTTTGAAGGGCTGCATTGATGCGTTTGTAACTGAACAGGTCCTTGTTCAAGCCTGCGTTTGCTTTGAGAAGGGGAGCTAATTCTTGCCGACGATTTGCAGCGAATTTGGGGAGGTTGTTGATCCTCTGTCGTGGCAGGTCGAGGTCGCCCACTTAGCACCCGGTGTGTTGGCAGAAGAGATTGATATTCTCGTACGCGTATACTCTTAGAAGGATCTCGTAATTCGAGAACCTTGGATTGCCTCTTAGTGGAAGATACCTCTGTATTTTGCTGTTGAGGAGCTCCATCAGGATGAAACTATGCCCATCGAAAGATCTGAAAAGAAGTCAAGCCGTTGTAGGACCCAACTTCATATTCGTAGGTGTCTCGACCCACTATGTCCCTGTTTCTACGCCACAAGAGTATTTCGTCCGCGTAAGATGTTACAGTCTCTGTGTGCCACCACAATGTGGCCGAAACGACCTCTTCATGGAGCTCTCCTAGAACAAGAACATATCCTATCTTATCGGTTCCCGATGTTATTATTGCAGCGCCTTCTCTACTGAGAGTCTGTAATGATCCTTCAAAACCTTGGATGTCTTGAATCAAGTTCCGTGCTTTTCTTCGACAGGAATCACGTCATGAACTATGTAATTATGATTGACAGTCTAGAGGACAAGAGCGACCCTTGCGATTAGCGTGAGTTCAGAACTCGAAGTATGGTCAAACGGAGATGAACGGATTACCTTAGCGCTTTCACCCAAGATGACCGGTCCTCACTCTCAATACGTCCTGTGTACAATTCTACCCAATGGTCGAAAGCCAGCCAGACAACGCCAATGAAAATCATCAGCGGTCCAAGCACGTACGTGCTCAGTCAGTCGCTGTTGTACGTTATCGGGCTCAGGATATACAGTATATGTAGCAAGCGTTCCATCATAATTGTGGTCTGAATTATCCAACAAGAATGAAAAAAAAAGCAGGTGTTTACTCTTCTGTGTGATCAGGCTGAACTTATGATGGGCTTCCCACGCTTTGCAGCTGAGCTGACCTCGGAGCTGAGATCTTGAATTAGAAATATATGGCGTCAGTGAGAGCATGTGTAATGAGGGGCTTGCCCGAAAGGCTGAGCGTGTTTAGTACAGGATTCTGCTTGGTGACGCTGTTTGAAACTTGGGAGTGAGCATTGAAGACGGACAAAGTGGATTGGGTCCACTGGTCAACCTGTAGGGACATCTGTTACAACTTGAAGTATGATAAATGTAACTATTAGTTCACGAAAGCCTCAGCTTTCAGGAAGTATGTGCACACAAGGCTCAACAAAAACAAGCGTAGCCAACAGGTCACACTGTCATTGCTATCTGGGCTTCAACTGCATCGTTTTGCCCACTTCACTCTTCCAGCAATACTCCTCACACTCCTCGCCCCAATCGTCCCTTCCTTCCCACCAACACCCTGAATCCTCAATCCAGCATCCACTATCTCAAGCTCATTAAACGATGCAATAGCCCCCAATCCCTCCGTCGTCCCTGCAGTAGCCATACTACTCGCACCGCCCATAATCTCTATCACACTATCCCTCAGCTCCGGCAGCAGCTCCGCCGTAGCCCCCAGCCACCTTGCTAACGTCCCCTTAAAGCTAACCTGATCAGAATCACAACTCCCATCCCCCTCACACTTCGCCTCCCACAATTCGCCCGTCTCTTCGTTCACGAAGTTACGCTTGGCAGACGCAATGAAACCTTTAGTCCTGTCTAGCCACTCGTCTTCGCCGGTGAGTTTACTCATAACAGCAGCGCCGTACATGAAAACACCGACATTGTAACTCCACATATTGTGGTTCACATCCACGCACCCATTCTCGCCCTTCGCATCGTCTGTGCCATCGTACACATCGAACTCCGGACTAACCAACCCCACGCTGACGGTCCAGTCATAGCTCTTGATTGCCCAGGCCTTGATGTCTGCAGACGAAGTAAGTAGTGCGAGACGAGCCGCCATTTGGAAGAATAATCCGTTTGCAATGGAGGACTTGTAGTGCCAGCCATCTGTGCCGTCGCCTTCGAGGATTTTCCATTTCATGCCGCCGTTGCACTTGTCGTTGTCCCAGCGTGTAGTCTGCTCCTGAAAAACGTTCTGTGCGAGGGTCGCCCAGGGTACGGGGCCAGTTTGTGCGAGGGAGGTTTCTGCAGCTGTAAGGGCGGCCAGGGCCCACCATGCTTGGTCGTCGTTGCCGGTTGCATGGACGGTCATGAAGTCGTTTGTGCCGGTGGCTTCGGTGATGAGCGTGTTTGAGAGAAGAGTTGCGTATTGAGAGTCTCCTGTTGTAGCAGTGTATGTCAGGAGGGCGTCGACGCCGGATCCGGACTGCCACCACCAGATTGGTTCGGCGAAGAGGGCAAGGCCTTGATCCGGGTATGTTGCGCGAAGAGAAGATGCGAATGCACCAGCGGTGGTCAGGAGGAGTTTGGCTGCCGGCGCTGCAGCTGCTGTTGCGGACGGGGTTGTCGATGCGATTGTTGATGATGTTACCGAGGTCGCGGAAGGTGTTACGATAGGCGATTCAATAGCCGTGTTTGTGGAGTTCGAGGCCAAAAATGGCGATTCTGGAAAGAAGAGTGTCACCAACGGGGCGATGATTGAAGGAAGACGCATATTGAAGGTTAATCTGCCTGATCTTCGGTGTAGCTGGAGGTGTCGAATCGAATTGGAATGCTGTCGAGGAGTATATAAAAGAGCGAGATCGACTCGCGAGTCAAAAGAATGTATAGACGTCAAGTCAAGAAACGAATGTCATGGACAAAGGCAGCCCCAAGGCAGATTCAGGCAGCGACCGAAGGAAGAACCTCTCCGCAAGAAACACCGGAAAAGAAGGTAACAAGTCGACAAGACGACAACAAGGAAAGGCGTCCAATTCCATGTGGACTCATTCGGGTGCTATACTTCCTTCGCCAAGGTTGAGTGGACCAACCGGGTAAACGCCCTGCCGTGACAGGCCCACATGTTGCACTGCCGACATGTGGATCGAACCTGTCGAAGGGTTTCTGCTTTTGATGGGGATGTTCATACTGGCGCATGTTGACGTTGTGTCCGCCCCTGTTTCATGTGAAGATATTGTGGGTCGCCGCGTGGTTTGAAACGTTGATAAGAAAATCTCTTTTTTGTGATTCGGCGATGTGCAGAAATGAGGACAATCATGCGTCTGAATGCTGTCAGTTGCAGCCAATTTATCCTCCAGGTTCTGGTGGCTCTGATAGGGCTGTCAATGTTCTAATTAGAACTGTAGTTGTTTTTGTTCGAACGAGAGGAACGACTGCTTGAGAGAGAGCAACGAAGTGCCGCAACAGCGACGCGTGTGTTAATCTTGGCGCATCGCGACTTTTGGGAGGCCTGGAGCAGGCTTTCAATGCGATGCAGCGAAGGAATCGAAAGTGTGCTCAAGATGTGCTGTTGCTGTCGTATGCGACTGTGTTTGGGAGGAAGAGAGTCCCTCGCAGTCAGCCTTAGGTGCCCTGCCAAGCTCAACACGTGCGCTCGTACCTTCACACACTATACAGAAAGATGCACTGTCCATAATGCCAATGCGATGTTTCCGATGTGTGAAATCACTGTGTAGTCACGAGAGTCGCCACGTAGTTCCGAAGACATTTGCACAATTCCATCCCTTCACAGCGTGCTGTCTTGGTTCTCTGTTATATGTACATTCTGCTACCATATTTGGCTGTATGATGCGATTGATACAGTCTGCTACTTCGCTAAGGCTGGAAAAATCCTAAACAGAATCGCGAGATCGTTCCATTACCTGCCGTAAATGCAAGAAGCCTATGTTTTGGGAGAAATGCAGCCAAAAAAACCAACCAAAACGCCTCGCTGTGCAACCTCAAATGCGCAATTACAAATTCGGATGCACCAACCATGGAACTGCGTCAGTCGTGAAAACATGATACGTATGTCCTTCTCTTCTTCCATTTCCCTTCCATTTCTTTTAGGCCTTTCACATCGTGCGACCTCTCCTTTCTTCCACGCCGCTAGGGCTCGTTCCATTGCCATTCGCAGTAACAGCGCCATATTCTTGTACACCAACGCTGACACCCGGCATCAGTCTCTCCCTCGCTTCCTCAGCTTCCTCTTCGATGTTCTCCCTCATGATCTTGTGGCTCCTCCTGAACACAAAAGCCACAAGCGCGATGCCGACAAGAAGTGCGAGACTCAGAAGAATGACATTGATAGGTACAGGGTCGTTCTTGAAGACCTTGTGTGTCGCAGCGTCAAGTGCCGATTGTGAGAAGTTGAGAAGACCGGCTAAGCAGATGATCAGACCGTAGACCTTGCCGAAAGTTGCAAAGCCGAACACTTTAGCGGAGTAGTCACTGTCAAGATGTCAGCAGCCAGCCACAGAAGGAGTGGACGACACTTACGAGACTGCGGTGTAGTACAGAGGTCGGTAGAGCACAAACAAGACAATGTTCCCGTAAGCCGACCAAGTCTCAGGGATCACACCCAAAACACCAATCGTAGTCGCGATAGTAACCAAGAGCGACAAAGTGAACGTTGTACTGGTGTTGTCCAAAATCAGACCGATGAAGGGTATCGAGATAATGCCACCCACAGGCAACGCAGCATCGAAGAAGTTGTTAATCTCGACCGCCTTCGAGTAGTCGTGGAAGATGTACGTGTACTGTGAGCGAATGGTCGCAACAAAGTAGTTGATCCTTGTCATCTGCAACACGGTAAACAAGGTGATGAGGATGAACCACGGCGTCTTGATCTGCTCCGCTGCAGTGCGTCCATGCAAAGCTCCCCAAACGCCTGACTTGTTTCGCTTCTTCTCTTCCTCTTTGGCTTGATCTGCGCCGTCTTTGGTACCTAGTAGGGCGGTGATCTCGCTGGCGATACTGTCTCGGTGTGCGCGGCGAGCGTCTTGCAGGCTCTGTACCGTAGATTGGTCCTCAATCTCATCATCTGATTCGTGGACGCTGTTATCCTCTTCTACTTCGGTGACCAACTCGCCGACAGTCTTGTATGAGGTTGAAGGCATGCAGAAGACCTGCACTGCCAGTATGTACGCAGGTACCAGGAGGTATGCGAGAAAAAATTTCTTAGGTGTAAAAGCGCCATCTGTAGCCTGGTAGACAAGGCGGTAAAATAGGAAGATGGCGCTCGAGGTGTCGAAGGCGCCAGTGAGGAGAGCCAAAATCAGTCCCGAGTATTGAGGAAATGTGTTGCTGAGCTGGAAGGATGAGATGAACACGAACGGTCCACCTAACGCCAGAAACAGGTATCCAGGGATGTACGCATCGAAGGGAAGCTGCGCTGCGAATGCGAACAGCAGAGATCCCAAAGTAATTGAGATCGCTCCAATTATGCCGGATACTCGAGGGCCATAGCGGTCCAATATCGTACCAACGGGTAGTGCAACGACATTCGTGGAGACAGCGGCGATTGTGAACATGAGGTTGAGCCTACCATTTTGGTCAGTGAGGTTGCGCCTTCCAAGTCTGTTTGTGCACACCTTAGCTCTTGCTCATAGCAAATGGGCACATCATCCTTTAGCTCCTGCTTCGAGCACTTGTTTCTATACACGCCTTCTTCGAGCAACACTGGTTTGATCGCCGCATATCCAAATACCACACCAGCAGCGAACAGGCAATAGATGCAAGCAAAGAACACCTGCACTGCACAACAATTAGCCGGTTTCGCGCGTCGCACAAAGGGTCTTGTACTCACAACATCTCTTCCACTTGGGCACCTCAAATGCGCCAACAGGCTGCACCTCCCCTGCAGCTTCGGTCCACGCTCCAACTGGATTGAACGACATCTTGCGGTTGCGCGAAGATTCGCGGCTGCCGGGCGCACTCCACGGCTGGTACTCCTCCATCGTGGTAAGGCGCTCGGACAGAGACATACTGGGCGGCTTGGTGTCTCTTCCTTTGCGAAGGCAGAACTATAAAAGCTACTTCTGAGTAGCCAAAGGTGCAGGCGCGCCTCTACACTACAATGACAGCTTTCACTTGCGCGCGTGCTCAAAGAGCTGCCTGCTGGCGGGAAAGTGGCTCGGTAGTATGATGACGTCGGTGCTACGAATCTATCGAGCGAAATTGCAGCACAGGTATTCACTCCACGGATGCAACAAAGATTGAGGAACAAAAAGAGTTGGACTGTCTAGCAAAAAGAGGTTCAGGCTCCTATATACGCAATGCGAACCTGCATCCAGCGAAGAGCGGAGATGCAGGGTTGTGTGCCTTTTGGGCTTCTTCCCGCATGAGGCGCAGATCTCTAGGTAGGCGCATGACCACACACATCACACCTCACCCATACATGCTCCACGATACGACGCTTCAGGCGGCTGACCATTATAATGAGCTCATCATCGACCTCTCTTTGTCTTCTGCTAGTTGCAAGGCTCGATTTTAACGGAAGGGGTTCGTTATCATCGTGTTGATATCTCGAGATTGATTGGTGTACAATAGCACTCCCGCCTGTTCAGCCAATAATTGCACGAGTCAGCCGCGGAAGACGCACCTGCATCGGTGCGGCTCACAACAAATTTTCCACGATGAAGGGTCCACAGGTTCGCTGGACGCCGATTCCCACAACAGCTGCACGATTGCAGCGCCCTGTAGCATTTTGCAGCAACTCTACGATCTTTTCGTGCAACATGCGTCAAAAATTTCTCCGTGCTGCTGTCTAGATCACGGCTACTGCAGGATACGCAGCGGGTCGAGGACTGGTTGATAGGTACAGTATTTGCTCAATTACATCGAGTAAATCTTTGGATAGGCGATGCGATAGGTCTGTGCGCTCATGCCTTGCAATTCTTACTCGATTACAGTGGCATCTCACACAGTCTCCTATCTTGCAGCAAAGCTCGGACACAGCAGCTGACGATCTTCACGTTCAGTTATCATGCCTGGAGGCCTTCGAAGAAATTCTGATTAATTTTTGGAAATCTACAGAATCGTCTGTAGTTCCTTGACTACTCATGAGCTGACAAAAGAGCGTCTAACATAACTCGACTCCCTCCCAATCTTGAGGACGTATGTGCATCACGGGCAGCAGGGCAACAATCACTGGAAGATTATCATCGATTTGGACGGGAAGGCAATGCCTACAATCTGACTGAGATAGGAGACGATGAGCTTGATGACTATAAACCCAGTGAGGAATATCTGGAGGCACTGTCACGAAAGTGGTGGTTGCACGATGCACCAAGCGCTTACGTCAAGGACCGTGTTTTTGAGAGCCTTCAAATTCCTGTACCTCGACTACATCACCGCAGTAGATCACGTTGGCGAGTTTCATGATCAAACGCATAAAGAGGTAGCATTGCTGGCTGCCGATGACCAGCACATGCTTACAATCTACTCAGGACATCACGCGCAACAGCAGTCTACTCTTTAAGAAAGATACCTTCGTTCACTCTCCGCATATTCCTGGAAAGCCCTCCACGGGAGCGTCTACTCAACCGCCTTAGGTAGGCATCGTTGGCTCAAACTATGTTCAAGACTCTCAACGACATGTTCTTCGACAAGGCACTTGCTCTCTATCATGAGGTTAAAGGCCTCCAGGTCGTTGTTTGTGTGCGTCCAAGTTGGCTCGATTCAGACTGAATACCTCCAGAACGCCAATTCGACTTGCGAGCTGAGTATGTAAATCAAGCTTGCATGGCTTTGATGGCTCCAGAGATGATATGAAAGAGAACAAACAGCCCGGAGGGCTGCTACAACATGATGGGAAGAAAGTTTGCCCGCAGAGAAGGTAGGTGGGTTTTAATTCTTCGCTTTATTGCAAAGATTCTACCAGAACGCTCAGCCAATCGCCTTGGGCTACTATCGCTGGCTCGGCGTTTTCCCAGAGGCCCTCAACGACGGTATGTTCTGCGACGAGGTATAGGATCAGTACCGACACGATGAGGCTCTCTCATGCACCTTCCTGCCTACCGACTGTGCCCCAAGTAACAACAACGCCAACGAGCCGTCAGGGAAGAAGATTGAAATAAGGTACGAATGCGATCGGTGTGGCTTTGCTCACAACAAGTGTCTACTCCTGGTGATGATCGGCAAAATTGCGTTGAGGACATTACCTGGCAAGATTGGGTCCATTGGGTTGTGAGTCCCCTGCGTACACAGGTTTCTTGAAATCTTGGCTCTAGGCTGGACGCCATGTCCGACAAAGGTGCTTTCAACAATTCGCACAGATGCAATAACGGATACTGCAATACTCACTCTTATATTGTGGTCGAGACGCGCTAACAGAATCTTGCCCGAAAACGTTCTGGTCTGCGACGTTGCAAAGTGCCCTGCTTGCAGCTCAACGATGTCCGCTGTCTGCGACAAAACAAGGTGAAGGAACAAGAAGCAACAGTCCTTGTAGCTCAGGGCCGGGTCGGATCTTTGGCTGCGCTGCTCCAGGATACAGCTTGTACAGGATTCTCTGCGGTAACACGCCACGTCCATTTGAAGGCTCTGTTGGTCAGATTGGTCATTACATCTTCAGACACTTGAAGCGTGACTGTTCTTCGTGAAGCAGATGGCGTGGATGATTATGGGGTAAATGGCGCATTATAGGTACGTCAACTTTCTGTTCTTCTCAATTTCATGACTGTTCGATGCAAGTCACTCAAATCATCTATTGTTCCTCACTTCTCCCGATTCTGCGGCGTCATGCTCTTTTCCAGTCGTCTGGTGCCATTTCGGTGCGTTATGTAGCATGGCGTCATATTGCGCCTTGCACTTAAGCAGCGCCTAGGCCACACCTTGTCAAATATCCAGGCATTGCGCCCTCCACTTCATCAACTCCACCAGCAGCACTCACTTTCAGCCTCTCGCTACATTCTTCTCTCTCCTCTTACCAGCTGTCTACCTCAAGCGCACTCATTGCACAGTACCATGCACATCAGCTTCAGCTCCGTGTCTGATCAGCAAGCCTGCCTCTCATGCTGCAGCGCAGTCCCTAGATTCGTGGGAGGAAGTCAATACAGATTGGCCTGAGCACTGTAAACTAACGAATAGAGAGAGGAATACAGAGTTTTTTTGTTGACGTAGTGCAACTGCCTAAGATTTGGTGAAGACCTCCAGGCATAAATGCAAACGGCTGAGATTGGTAGTTGCCGCATCTCGCCTCCCCTGCAACATGAAATCCTGCGTTGCTTGAGCTGCCTTTCCACGCTCATGAGCTGACGGCCACAGACCACCACCAAGCGAAAAGCACTGAAGTATATTGCTGAAGCCAAAAATCAAGGCTTAACGAACGAGCAATTCGCCGCGCACCTTAGCCAACCCCTGTTTTCGGTGAAAGACAAGACCAGAAACTGCCTCGAGAAAGTTGAGACACAAGCAGAAGCTGGAGCGGCAGATAGCAGAAGGCTACTACGACGTTCAGGATATGGTTCCAGATATCGCAGGCTTTCCAATCCAGGTCCCTCTGCCGAAACTCTCGAATACCGCACGCTCTCATACCATCCCCAGCGCTTTGAACTCCGTTGCAAATGCAGAAGCTCAGTCGCCTCCATCTACAGTAGACCCTACAACAAAACTTTGGAAATGACCAAGCGAATTTGGTTTCAACGGTTACCTATCGTCATCGCAAGAAGTTACTGCGAGCTTCATTGATCGCAGTAACCCAACGACTCCCGGGCCGGGGAAGTCTTTGGAAGTACCATTGGGTCATTCGTTCAGCTTCCACCACATTGCCGTCCCCTGCCTCAAGAATGCTCTCCTCCCCTCAAGACACTGAGTTCGGTCTACCATTCCATGAGCAAACGCACTATGAACCTTTCACAGCAACACCCATGTTCTCGATATCAGCGAGCTCGCCTTGCAACGACACAAGGATCGACGAAGCTGCTGAAGGTATGAGACGTATCGAAGAAGGCCAAGAGCAGTCCCTAGAGGTCAGAGATGCTCTCTGTCAAGGTATGCAGACGTTGTTACATGATAGTGGCACTGCATCCAGATATTCTGGTCCAATTCATCAATCCGACAACAAGGAGCACAATGCCAGCTCTCAGAAGCCACGAATGTTCTCGACCAAGGTCGGGAGGTGTTCTCACATGATCGGGGGCTCTAGGCTCCCTAGCTTCGACGTGTTGGCTGTGAAGCAAATTGGTGGTCGACACCTGCCTCCTACAACCATGCCTGTACTCAACACTTACGCTAACAAACTAAGGCTCAAGAGTTCAGCCAATTGATTCTTACGCTTTCTAGCTATACTTGACGCCTACTGACGTGAGATATGAGCAACGTTCCGCCCGCTGGACTCGATTTACTCAACAATGCCGTTACCACTACGCTAGGGCATCTGCACGTGTTGGCCAGACACCGACTGTGGCTTCTGCTTTGGCTTCCTTACAACGACGGCAGCAGTATTGGTGTGGCTGGTTGCTGCATCAGCATCGACTCGAAGGCGTCGCCAACCACAGCTGAATTTCAGCTCGATCAACAACACTTCAGATCAACCAATCTGGACAACCAATCCGATTCACAGCCCTTCCGATTTGTCGCCGTCTCAGCGCCCGAGCTTGCATTCAAGATGCAGCAGCCTGCTTGAGTTGTGGTGCAGGAATCTAAGCTGACGAAACGTAACGTATTGACGCCTGTTGGCACGACAGCAAACAGCTTCGTAAGCTGCGACCGGATGGCGATACTGCAGATCAGTCATCAACGTACGGTATCCAGCCATGCTGTCCTCGATTGGGCTGGATGATCGCTCGAGGACCTTGCGACGCTTCGAGCATGTCTACGTGTAAGGTTGTGTTGTTTATTGTCGTCCAGACAGTGAGGCGGGAGGGGCGTCTTGGTGGACTGCAAGCGAGAATCTCGAAGTCTCTCGCCTTCTCCATTTCTGTCGACGCACTCTACAATCGCAACGATTGAGAAGATGGCAGGAAGCGCAAACAACCCTCATGGTAAGCTGTATCAATATGCACTGGAAAAAGAAAGAGAACTGTGCAGATGCTGTGAAGCAAAGAAGAAAGTCACTCGGATGCAACGTCGATCCGCCACGCTGCGCTACCCCGCCGCACTTCCCCAGAAACCGGACGCCGCTTCGAAGACAGTATGCTAATAATAAAGATATGGAGTCTCGTGACGTAAATACATACCTTGTGCAGAGGCCGTTGCGAGCTATGTTGTTTGTGAAAAGTGGTCACAGTGTCAGGTACAATACCTGCCAGGCAGGTCAAAGTTGGATCAAAAGGTAAGGCCAAAGTTTTGGTGAGACTTTCACCCCGCACCATCGCCATGCCAACCACCCACCTTTTGAAGCAAGTGAACTACAGCCAAACGTTAAGATCGTGAGAATCACTGAAATGAGTTGGGTGGCTGGTAACTATAAGTTATGAGCTGAACTGCAACCAGCCAAGAATGCGCCTCTGGCGCTGGTCGCACAGGTTATGGGCTGGGCCGAAACCAGCCATGAACTAAACCTAGTATTTCGAGGTAGTACGAGGGATGTATAAAGGTCTGTTCTGATTCCCACAATCTGCATCAGCAGCATCACTTTTCCATCAACGTCTTTACACAAAACCACAGTACACGCCTTCTTCATCCCAGACACCTAATCATCCCCCTCATTGCAAGGACGTCTCACCCGCATCAATCAACATGCAATACACCATTGTCACTCTGCTGGCAACAGTCGCATCCTACGCCTCAGCACAAAGCTCCGCCAGTTCAGCTGCAGCCTCCGCCAGCCAAACCCCCATCGGCGCCGTGATTCCACTCGGCGGAGACTGCGTCCCAGGCGGCACTCCATGTGCCCTCGGCTCCCAGTGCTACGCCACAAACTTTATGCTCCAGCCTCGCTGCGGTAACTTCCAAGCCGCATGCACCAGCGACCAGCAATGCGCCTTCAACACCTGCAACCTGCAACAAGGCCTCTGCAACGGCTTCTTGTCGTCCTCTTCGGCCCCAGCGTCATCGACTATCACACCCACCCCCACTGGCGGCTTTACACCCGCTCCCTCTTCGACGGTTACTGCGCCTGCTGGCTCCCTACCGCTCGGCGCGCAGTGTAATCCCTATGTGAACCCGAGCCAGTGCATCGCTGGTGTGCAGTGCTGGGCTAGCAACGCGGGTTTGATTGCAAGGTGTGGAAACTTCAACGCTGCCTGCTCGAGCAATGCGCAGTGCGCTTACAACACCTGCAACAACGGGCTTTGCAACGGTTTCCTGGCATCGTCTAGTGCAGGAAACTCCACTGGAACCGCCTCATCGACTGGAAGTGGCACTCCTAGTAACACTGGCAGTGCGTCGCGCACGAGCAGTATAGTGCAGTTCACTGGTGCTGCGTCTGTCGCCACAACGGTGCCTGAGGTGATGGTTATGGTGCTTGGTGTTGCTGCTTGGGCTTTGTAAGCTTATGGGTTGTCGTAGGGTATTGCGGTTTCAGCGTAATCATGATAAAAGGTGCTAATGGGTATGGGGGTTTGGACATTGTGAATTGGTTGGACTCAGCATTGGTTGCTTCCATAACTATGTAGTAATCAAGTATGTAGTAATAATACATGTAGTTATGACAATGAACACATCGTCCGAGCCTCTCTGTGCGCTTCGACTGTTCGCCGTCTACAATATGCAGGGCCTTATCTGAACGTGCATGTACCAAAATCCAGGCCTGGCATCTCTAACCGGCGGGCGGCATGTGCAACCTCATTCTCAGCACACAATGCGACTGCTCAATATCCATACTTTGAACCCGCAAAGTGACTTGAAGACTGAATGCAACATGCTTCATCCGTCGTCTACATTACTATCCACTGACAACTTTGCGATGCAACGAAGCATCGAAGACATTCACACAGGTATTGATCACACCCGGTCACCGCCAAGACTTTATGGCTTCTCAAATGGGCTCATCTTAACCTTGACATCATGCGGCCAAACAAACCACTGCTTGTGCAAATCCCACTCCTTACTCGGATCCTCAAGATCAATCTACAACAAACACATTAGCAGAGTCCTAGCAATAAAAGACGCTCGAAAGTCAAGCTTACGTTGTAGTTCCCAAACACAAACGAAACCACCTTGTATAACTCCACCAACGCAAGCGGACGTCCCAAGCAAACACGATTACCGCCGCCGAACGACATGTCTGCGTCCTTCATCATCTTCAAGCGCGCTGAGTATGCTTCTGAGCTCTCCCTGTCACCCTGTAGCCATCGCTCAGGACGGTAGGACTCGGCATCGTCGCCAAATATCCGCTTGTCTGTGTGCATGACCCACGGGTTAGTTCCCACGATGGTACCAGGCGGGAGAACAGTGCCATCGGGGAGCGTCATGCCCGTCGCGGGAACCACACGCTCGAGGATGTGGCCGACGACAGGGTGCATACGGAGACCTTCCTTGATGCAGGCATGCAGGTAAGGCAGTTGCTCAAGGGCTTGGTAGGGTGCCGGGCTGGGGAGGTTGGCAGAGTGGAGTTCGGCAACTAACTTGGCTTTGGCGGAGGGAAATTTAAGAAGGTAGTAGAAAGTGGCTTTAGTGCAGATGGCTAGGGTGTCTGCGCCGCCGAGGATGTTGAGGATCATGTACCCGACGACTTCGTTGTCACTTACAAGGTCCGGGTACTCTTTCTTTGCGGCGAGGAAACCGTTGACAAAGTCTTTTTTGTCTTTGAACTCGTCAAGGTTTTGCATGCGCTCCATGAAGCGCTCCACGGCGAACCCAGCAGCGACCGCGAAATCATCAAACTTGTAGAATCTGGTCAGGTGTGGATTTTTGCCGAGTAGCTTGTCGAGTGAAGGAATTTGGCCAACCTATACATCATCAGTGACCCGTAACATCAGAGCTCTCGAGCGACCTACCACAGAAAAGTACCCCATGACGTTCTCAGCAGTTTGCAACATACCGTCGACGTCTTTGCCTTGTTCCATGAAGCCCATGCGCTTGCTCCAGGTCATATCGCCGAGGAAGTCCCAGGCAAAGTACGAGATCCAGTCAGCAACGTCACATGTCTTGCCTTTGTTCTCGCCATTCATGAACCTGCGTTCAAGCTCAGAGCCGAAGACACGTAAATCCTCGTTCATAAGCGGCTCCAGCTGTAGGGCACTTTGAAAGTTGTAAAGCTTCTGGACTGGTTTGAGACCCTTTGCATGATACTCATTGCTGCGTGTGCTGAACAAATTTTGGATGAGGTGGCCATTCTGAAGAGCATCATTGACTACGATCTATTAGCATGGAAGTACTCATTGTCGTCGATTGAGACATTACCAGAGTAGTAATTGCTCTACATAATGGTCAGTATGGTACTACGCATTGTCTTCAGATTGGCACTCACTTTCAAGAACGTGCCTCGAGTGGAGTAGATCGTTTTGAGCAGACCTGCATCCGCAACACTGACAGTACTCGGACCGAGACGAACCACGTCACCGTACTTCTTGTGCAACTCTTTCTGTGTCTCGATGTGTGTTCGACCGTAATGGTTGTAGAAGCGCCAGAAGTTTGAGAATTTAGCCAGGAACGGGCCAGGGATTTTCTTCAGCGGTGAACTTAGATATGCAACAACGTACTGAATAGCCAATACGATGGCTCCAAGGCCAAGCGCCTTGACTAGTAGAGAAGCCAGTGCCATGCTTTTGTATGCAACGAGAATGAACAGAAAAGAGTGAGAAGAAATCGAGGGGTGAATGTGACCTGTATAATCCACAACCGATCGCGTGGGATGTCACAACAGTTAGGCCCTGTAGATCGATCTTAAGATACTGCGTAAGGTACAGGGGCCTGGCAGGAATAGTTCCAATGATCGAAGAGCCGCGGAGGGCGTCAGCGTAAGCCGAATTATGTCATTCGCATGGTAGGAACGAAGGATTATCGTAGTCTCTCGTTGTGAACGGATCATGAAACGATTCTAGGTCTCTCGGTATCTTGGACCAGGTATTCACGATGCCCCTCTTTTTCGGCCGTGATGATTGGTGATGATTTGTGTTGGTTTCATAGTGGGCGACGGGTAGTATCATTCCACCGTTCGGTGAAATGGCCGCTGTTCCGTATCGTTAGCATTTGAGACCTTGACATGCAATGTCCCGATGGCAGGGGACGGTGGCAGTATAATCTTGCTTCCCATTTGTTCCTATCTTGTTTTGCTTGCGATGGTCTGGTCATCTCGGGGGAAGGCGCTAGCGTACGAGAGACGACTGACAATCCCCTGAAGGTATGTTTTCAAAAATACCAATATGTGCACACAGCGGCCAACGTGGATAAACTGCAGCGTTTGCCACGCGCGGGGTGTGGTAGTACTGCATCTGCATCCGATTGTGCGGTGAGCGTTGGTCCCTTTATTGTGACACCGTTGGAGAACGTACGGTGTGGGGTGGAAGGATCGGGGCGGCGGATGAGGCAGCCCAGTGGCTCGCTTAGAGTGCGTCACGGGAAATGACCACGTTCTGAGGCTAGCGACCTGCAACTCCCTTCATCCACAAATCCACATCTTCACTTTCCAATGACGACAATCGGCCCGTCGTGATTGAGATGCCGCACCAAGCCAACTCTATATCTCAACACTGGCGTGCCATCAATGTGCCGGCAACGTGGTCAAGCACTACGGCGCTCTCGCAAATATAGAGATGCAGGCCAATCTCAAGCCACTGCAGCCATCTCATCGTCCAGAACATGGACAAGGCGACCGATATCAGCCTTAGACCCACAAATCCCTGAGAAGGCATTCGGGGAACAAGCGAGCCGCTCCCGTGCAGCCGCTGCCACTGTTCATACGTGTGAATGTCACACAAGTGATTGGGTACCGGTAGGCACTGTCGTGAAACCACTGACGATCTGTCGACCAGATCTGTCGACCAGATCTGAGACTCTGAACAAATGACAGATGGCATACGAGCAGAATTTGCACGTCTCCGTACCTTTACAGTAGTGTCGACTCGTCGTTTCCGGAAGTTTGGGTACGAAGGATTGGAGGCGTCAATTCTAGTAGGGAGTGTTGCGCGCTCCTCCGCGCATCGTAAATGACCTCCGAAGAACGCAAAGAACCTCCAAACTATTTGCACTCATCATGTACACCCAAAGCACAGACAGCTACACGACCGTTGAACGAGCCAACAAAGACTACCATGTCCTACCCCGGCTCGAGACTCTGATGTGTGCATTGACAGTCAGGGACAACCTGTGTTCCGTTAATCGACTCACAGACACACCTTGTTTCGTAAATGCAGCTTCCAAGCCTACATGCACGCCATCACATATTGAGCATATCACATCTTAGCCTCATGTGCCATGTCAGGGACCGCCAGCGGCAACTTACTTCATTGAGGCCTGCTCCGAGTCAGACCTGTCGCCCTTTGCAGCTCTAGCGCTTGGCATTTGACTAGCAGGTGAAAAGCCACGCCTCATTCTGTTCTGATGTGTGGCATGTTATCTCTTATGTCGTTTCGAGTATGGACACGCTTCTGCCCGCTACCAAGGAAGACGGTGACGACCTGCCTAGCGCCCGTCGGCACCGCAGAGTGAAGGTCGACATGGGGTAAGTTGATGGACTTGATGGGGTTCGCCATGATGTAAAGTTCCACTCAAGGGTCGGTTGGAATGCCCTCTCTCCTCTGCATCTTTGAAATAGTTGTGGTCTGATCTCTCCAGATCTTGTTCATTACTACATCACTATTCCTTTTTGTTTCCAACAGCACACTTCGATAACAAGGTCTCTCGTCTCTTGGAGCATCTCAAACCCTCAGCATCTATCGTTTACAACAGCCTTGGGTCTCTCCTGCGATCGACAACCCAAGTCAACCTGTTGTCTTCGTCCCTTGAGGGCTGTACTTTCTTCCTTACTGGCCTACTCTTGGCGAGAAGTGGTCTCCCAGCTGCCCTGGAGGCATTTATTTCAACAACCACAATCATGGGAAAGCCTAAAGACTACGGACCAATCCTCAACGGAGTGATGTGGTTCCAAGTGATCATCTCGTCCGTCTTTGTCGTGCTGCGTATATACACTCGATACTATATCATAAGAAGCCTGGGATGGGACGATCTCATGATGGTGGTTAACCTGGTACGTCTAGCATCTTCTTACTATTTGACTCTATAATCTCGTTCCTTCTCCGTTCCCTTTATCACAGCATCGAACTAGAGAGAGGTTCACTGATTCCATCAGGCGACATTCATCGCTTTCATCGCCACCACTTCGGTTGGCATTACCTATGGCGTCGGTAAGAAGACCGAAGACATTATACGTCTTGGACTGGACAATTCGAAAGCTATCTATTGGGAAGCCATCGGCCAGGGAATTTGTATTGTAAGTCAAACACCACACAACATTCACACGCCCAAGTGCAATCTCTGACCAACATTGCCAGATGGGTATTGCTGCATCCAAGGCCTCAGTTGCGCTTTTCTTATTACGCATTGTTTTACGGCGATGGCACATCGCCCTCCTCTGGAGCGTAATCATCAGCACAACAATTTTCAGCACCATCACGACCGCACTGCTGTTCCTGCAGTGCAAGCCAGTATCATTCCTGTGGGACCAAACAATCCCAGGCGGTCACTGTCCCATAAACTTCACCGACGTCGGCCTCTCCATGGGTGGTACATATTCCCCTCCCCACACATCATTCGACGCACTGACAACCTCCAGCCTGGTCCGCAACCATGGACTTTGTCCTCGCCATCCTCCCCTGGCCCGTCGTCATGGGCCTCAACATGAAGCGCAAAGAAAAAATCACCATCGCCTGCGGTCTCTCGCTCGGCGTCGTCGCAGGCGCATGCTCCACCGTGCGCACCGTCGAGCTGCGCACGCTCGCCAGCCAGGCAAACTACGTCTACGACACATCGCCCATGCTGCTCTGGTCGTCCTCCGAAATCTGCTTGACGATAATATGCGCTTGCATCCCCGTTCTCCGGCCCCTGTACGTGCGAATCGCCTACGGCAGCCGAGGAGACTCGAGTGGCGCGAGTCGAGGGCGGAGTTATCCGCTCAACGAGTACACACAGAGCCACAGTAAGAAGGGCAGTATTGGGAATAAATACTTCAGGAAGAAGGGCAGCGCGCGGAGTCGCGTGTATATGGGCCCTGGGGCTAGCGCGTTACAGACGGCGGTTAAGATGGACAGTGACAATGTGAGTGAGGAGACGATACTGAGGGAGTGCCATAAGTATAGTGTGCCGGACAGGGCGGGCGATGAGGAGATGGGGACGTCCAGGCCGGAGAGGAAGAATGATATTAGGGTCACAACGACGGTTGAGGTGGAAGAGAATGTTGGGGAGAAGTTCGTTGTCTGATGGATGGTTGTGTCGACGGATCTGATTCGATCATACGTGAGACTACGAGGACACGAGGTTGGGGCATCGGTTGGAGTTGAGAGCATTGGTATCTGCATTTTGGAGGTGCTTGTTAGCATGGTATGGTTGCATATTAGGATCACAACTGCATGGGGTATCGTTCTGCATCGTGTTTCGGCATATCATCGTTGTTGGTATCAGGTCTATCATTGCGCATTGCATTCGCCTCGCGGGCTGGAGTGAGACACAAAGTTTCGAGATCAAATCACCCGCTCCCAGGCACTGGCGTATACGCCTTCTCTCCAGTCTTGTCGACATTGTCCTCCACTTTGACTCCGTCTTCCCCCTTCGGGGACTTCCACTTAGGCTTCTTCCCCCCTTTCTTGAATCTCCCCGCAGCGTCCTCTCGATCCCCTCTACCCTTGTCATTGCTACCCGCAGCATCTAGCGCGACAGTCCACTCCTTCCTCTCCTTTTCAAACATATGGCTATTGAACCAGGTGTCTGTAAGCGCCTGCGGTCCGTATTCTTCTAGCAGCAACTGCTCGTACGCATACGGCACGAACACGCGCGTCCCTTCGAGTGTCGACTCGCGCAGCGGGAACAGGCTCGACGTCGTATACAGATGCGTGTCCTTTGTGAACATCTCTCTAGCCCTCTCACTCCCTCGTTCTTCCCTGCCTTCGTCCTGGCCGAGGAAGATCTGGTGCTTCTCTTGGCTCTTCGCGGACGCGGAGGACGGGACGGGGTGCACGGTTGTGATGTCGATGAACAGCCCCGTGTGGGTATCGATCCAGCGGGCGTCAATGACGTTGTGGGTATCCGAGGTGGAGATGTCGGTGTAGTGTGGATTTACCTCCAAGAGGTACTTCTTCCCCTCCTCCATCACTGTTTCCCAGACACCGGATTTCAGACCCTCGGGCTCCCGCATTACTTCCACCTCCTCTTCTTGCCCTCTGTTTTTACTTCTTCTCCGGCGATCCCAGACGTAGGTATCTGCTTTCGACGGATCTTCGAGGCCTAGATCCGCCGCGGAGAAGGAGTGGACGGTCATATTCCACCACGCCCCCAATTCCGCTATCCCTGTCTCCTCGACACAAAAGTCCAAATCGCTGTCCCATGGAAATATGCCCTGATTCCACCACCACCCGAGCAAACTGCCGTGCATGACCCATGTCCGCACGCCTGCGCGCTCCATGGTTGCCATGTACGAGCGCAGGAGGAGGCGCATGTGGAAGAGGCGGGTTTTGCGCGGAAGCACAGAGTCAGCGAAGCGGCCATCGTAGTGAGGGTGGTTGATGGATTCGTGAAAGTATTTCTCGGGGAAACGGATATCGGTGGTGGAGAGGTCACGTGAGAGCGCTGTCAACCCCTGGAGGTGTAGGAGGGTGGCAGAGCGAGGTGTGAGAGGTGCAGCGATGGCACTGCATGCCATGAGCAGAAGCTCGAGGGGGAGCTGCATGACGCCGAGCGATCCAAGTGCTTGCGTTGTGTTGGTCGTGCTTGTGGGTGCCGGTGCATGTGGTGTCGGTATCGATAATGCTGTGCTGGGAAGTTGGGAAGCGATTGCAGTGCAATATAACAGAGTGCCCGATGAAGAACAGAACAACAATAGATTACAGGAAAAGTGGGCAAGAGCGCTGATTGTGTCGTCGCGACATGATGCCGCACACGCGCCTCTATGAAGGATCCGCGGCTTGTCTTACCCTGCTTGGATGACGAGGCCCGCCTCGTCACCTCTCAAAACCATCCTACATTAGGCGCCGAGCTTACGAAGCTTGATTGCAGTGTCGCAATGCTTGTCTTGGGCGGCTCCCATGTCCATGCTGTCTTAGCATGTCATGTCTGAGGAACATACCACCGGGGAACTGGTGTTGTGCTGTGGTCAAACACGAATTGAGAGACACGAGCTGACGGGGACCGCGGTTCGTTCCGAATACGAGTGGCGCAAGCACAGGTTCGCCAAGGCGGAGACCTGCAGCTCCTTGAAGGGCCTCCGACCTGATCGACCACCCTGGGCACTTCATGTTATGTCAATCATTGCGAGATTTGAGGACTGAGGTGAGGAGTGGAAAAGGTGGGTGATGAGAGAGAAGAAGGTGTGAAAATAGGAACAAACAGCAACAAGCACCTAACTGGCATTGAGGAAGCAGCCATCTCGCTCTCACAGATGCATTGAAGAGTGCGAACAGAGCCATTGTGCCCATTAGCGCTGTCCCTTTGGTCCTTGTACAACACTCTTAACTTCGCCAATTGCACTGTCTACTACAGCATGATTAATACGTGACGCTATCTGATCATAAAGCCGCATCGCCGACCGCATCACCGGACCGGCCCAACGTTTACTCCTCTATATCCGACCCTCGCAACTCTGGCGACCATCAAGGCCTCCCACGAGTTGATATGCATACTGCATCTAGCTTAAGCCTTGCGGTGGCATCGCGGTCTTGTTATTGGCTCAGACCGTAGTAGATGGAGTTTACAGTGTGACCGCTGGTAACTCCGTCTCAGCTCCGTGTACCTGCAGTAACGTCGGTGTTTGCGAACTGTATGGCTGCCTTTCGTTTGAAGCAGGGAACTGACGTTGAAGCCTCACAATGAAATGAGGGGCAGCAGGAGCTGAAAGATTCGTATATAAGACAGAGATGTAAGGTTTGCAGTACATACCAGCTCTCTCTCTCTCTCTCTCTCTCTCTCTCTCTCTCTCGCCTCTTACTTCACATCTCACCTTCCACTTCCTCCAACACTTCCACAAAGCCTCGAATATCCCAACACGATGTCTACCAACACCAAACCCCTCCTCGCCGTCTTCGGCGCAACAGGAAACCAAGGCCACTCCGTCGCCTCGACCGTCCTATCTGACCCTGAACTCTCCCAACGCTACGCCGTGCGCGCCGTGTCCCGCAATGTCTCCAACCCAAAAATGCAAGCCCTCGCCTCCGCCGGCGCCGAGCTCGCGGCCGCAGACATGGACAAGGCCGAGACGCTCCCCTCCGCGCTCGCAGGCGTGCACACGCTCTTCTTCCTCACCGCAACCCAGTACACCGGCCACACTCGAGAAATCGAGACGCGCCAAGCTCGAAGCGTGTGCGAAGCCGCCCTCGCCGCCGGCGTTAGCTACATCATCTTCTCCTCAATGAGCCACCCGTTCGCCATCAGCAACGGCAAACTGCGCAATGTCGAGCACTTCGACGACAAAGCCGAGATCGAGCAATACGTAAGAGGATTGGACGTGAAGAGCGCGTTCTTCGCGCCCGCAAGCTTCATGCAGAACTTCATGACGCACTTCATGCGCCCCGTGCCCAGCCCAGCAGGGGACGGAACATACGCCCTGGCTAACTGCGCGTATGGAGGGACGAGGATGCCGTTCATTGATGTTACGGAGACGGGGAAGTGGGTTGGCGCTATCCTCGCGGCGCCGGAGAAGTTCGAGGGCAAGCAATTGGCTGCGGCGTCTGAGATCCTGACCATGGATGAGGTGGCGGAGATTGTCTCTAGAGTGACTGGTAAGGTAGTCAAGCACCAGAACCTACCGGATGAAGTGTTTAAGGGATTCATGCCCGAGGGAATGAGGGAGCAGCTGTATGAGATGTGGGCGTTCCAGCGCGATTATGGATACTACGGGCCAACGATGGATCAGGATGTCCAGTGGGCGAAGGACAGTGCGAGGGGTGAGCTAACGGGGCTGGAGGCGTTTCTTAGGAAGCACAATTACGCGCTGGAGTAGGCGCGTAGCGAGCGGCGGAGGAAGAAGGGCAGTCGGAGGCGGTTGGAGAGTGTGGTGGTGCTTTGTAGTCGTATCGTTGTACCGTACGCCGTGGTCTTGCAACCTCTACGATTTCTGATCAATCCCAGCGTCTTCGTCGTCCACCTTCCGCCTATTCCTCGCCCCCTTGTAGATCCAGCTTTCCCCCTCCTCCCCATCCCCGTACTTATTCTTCGCCCACACAAGCGCGTCCTGCCCCAACCCATACCCCAACCCAACCACCAATCCCATCCTGATCGTCCTCGCCGCCGTACTGACTGGGAACTGATGCCACGCGCTCCATACACCGCCCGTGACCATTCCCGCTAACGCACTGCTCACAAAATCGCGACTCCCAGCAACTCCCCTGTCGATCCTCTTCAAGCTCAGCTCATCGACACCCTCCATCTGCTCCACCGTCCTGCCCGCCTTCCACGTCCCGCGAAAAACATCCAGACTCTCCTCCACTATGAAGAAGACGCTGCTCCAAGCTGCCACTTTTGCGCCTTTCCTCACCCCTTCGAGCACGCCTTCTTTCGTCTTGTAGTAGTTCTTGCTCTTGTGGTACAAGTACCACCCGGGTTGTGAGACGGGCAGGCGGTGTGCGTTTTCGGCGCGGAAACGTAGCGCGGCCATGGAGCCGGCGGATGCGGATCCGAGCGTGAAGCCGCACACGAAGGAGGTGAAGGTTGTGAGGAGCAGGCGCCTGTCAAAGGGCATGCCGAGGCGGGGGCCGTTGGTGAAGGGTTGGGAGGGCAAGGGTGCGGGAGGGGGGATGTCGGATACGATTATGGCGTTGGGGTTTTGCGGCGTTATGGTCGCCATGCTGGCGGGAGACTGAAGTCGGAAGATGGGTGGCGAGGGTGCGTTTGCGGTGAAAGCGGAGGTGCGAGGACGGTGACTGGACGCAACTCTTGTGCGGATTGTGTTTCAACTGTGCGATGTAGATATGGTTGACGTGATTTGAAGATGTTTGGTGTAACAGAAGACAACTCGCAGCGCAGAAAAGGGTATCGGGTGAGTTGTTGCACAAGTGCAGAAGCTTGGATCAACGATTGAAGTTCTGAAGCTCTGACGCTCTGAAGCTCTGAAGCTCTGAAGCCCTGGAGCCCCGACGCCCTGAAGCCCTGAAGCTCGGAAGCTCTTCCGCCAAGATCACATGCCCGCGCGATCCCGCCCCGCGCGTCCTCAACGCGTCTTCTCTACAACCGCCACATTGATTTCCATCGAACCGCACTAGTCTCCTACCATCCAATCCCACAACCCGACCGGAGCTCTCCAACAATCCACCCTGCTCGGCTTCCCACCCACGATGGCACAACCCACCCCTCAAACATGGACGCTCCGCTTCAAATCCCACCGCACCACTGTCCTGCTGCACATCGACCCACTCAACACCTTCGACACAGTCAAATCCGCCCTCTACACCGCACTCCAGGAAACCGGCCTGCAAGCCACCGAACACGGGCCCTCGATCTCGCTCCCCGCCTCGCCCTCGGACATCCAACTCGGCCGGCCCGTTGACCCGCTGGATCCCAGCCAAGGCTTTGTGTTGGCAGAGTGGGAGACACCTGCTTCGGACGACGAGGTTGCAATCGAAGAGGAAGGAAAGGGGAAGGGCAGAGCTGCTGCAAAGGGGAAGAAGCAAGGGGCGGGGGATGTAAAGGATTGTCCCAAGGGCGCAGGGCTGAAAGACGGCGCGGTGTTGGCGTTCAGATGGGAGGGTGACGGGACGAAAGAGGAGGCGAGCTGGGGTGTGCAGCTCGCGAGCTTTGAGGACGCGTATGGAGTGCAGAATGAGATGGACGTTGGTGGGCGAGCGGAGTTCGAGGGGTGAGACGGGTGGTGTGGTGAAAAGCACTGGGGAATCGAGAGCGAGCGTCTGAAGGCTGGGAAGAAGCTCCTACCTGTGCTTCAGTGGGTGTCGATCATGGGAACATGCTTGGCAGGCTGCTTTGGCTGGAGCAAAGGGTGTGGGAGACCAAGAGGGGATCGACAAAGATCGGAGGCATGCACATCAGGGTGCATACCGCCTGTGACCGAAAGCTTGCCTCTCGTGGTGCACACAACCAACGCCACGGCAAAGTGGAACGGAAACAACGCCCCAACAGCATCACGTCCGGGTAGCTAAGGGAGCCTTTGGGTGGTCGGTCAACAGAATCACGAGAATAGAAGCAGAGAGAAGCATATGCGAAAGCGTCATATTCTCATCATATCATGACTACCCAAACCCATAGTATCTCCAAAACACCATTACCAGCCAACAAACCAGACCATGCAAACGTAAAACAATGGTATCCTTCCGCTCTGACTCCTCCCCACCCAATAACCCCATTTTCTCCTCAAAGCCCACCCCTCTTACGAAATCCCGCCCTACTCATCGCGGTAGAACTTCTTGAAAATCAAATGCAAAAACAAATTAACATTAACCCTGACGGCCCCCTGCCCACTCCCATCCTTGCCCTCGCCGAACAAATTCATAAACTGATGGTTATCAAACTGCGCCTGCAGCAGCCCGTCAAGCGGGACCTCTGCAAACGCACCCGGAATCATCATGCTGCCCTGGCTCCCCTGGATCTCGAAGATGCCCGTCTGGTTCGAGCTGAAGGTAACCTCGAGACGATCCCATGCAGATTCCGGGTACCCGTTCCAGGACACCAGGATGCCCTTTTGCGCGAGGTTGCGCGCGGAGTATTTAAAGGAGCCGAAGCGGTAGGCGCGGCCTGTGGATTTGAGTTCGCGCATGTGGTTGTATTGGCGGGTGAAGGGGAGGAGGAATTTCTTCTTGCCCTTCTTGGATTGCAGGGTCACCATCGCTTGCTCGATGTAGTCGTTGTAGCTCTTGAGCTGTTGCTCGAGGAAGTGCGCCTTCTCGTCTAGTGCTGCAAGCGTAGTGCGTACACCCTCCATCTCGCGTGCGCGCTCCATGCGGCGTCGGTGCTTGGTGCGGATGTCCACGGCGATGGCGTTGAGCAGGTCCTGGTAGTTGTTGTGGGGGGAGATGCGGCCAGCGCGTTGGAGTTGGACCATGTTCTCCAGGCAGTATTGCTTCAGTGTGGGGTAGTCGAGTTCCAAGACAGAGTTAGATCCCATGTCAGTGGTGTACGTGGAGGCGGCTGACGATCGAACGGCGCTGTGCTTGCGGTTGCGGTCCTTCCTCTGCGCAGCGAGTTCTTCACGAACGAGTGCGTCCCATCGGTCTTCGTCTTGTGGCGTGACGGGTTTGCACAGAATCTCTGTGAGGTTGGCACCGGTCTGGACGCGGATGATGTACAGTGCGTAGCGCTTCGTCTCCATAAACAGTGACTTGAGGTGCGCATCGGGATCTAGTAATGTCAGTATCAATCGGCATGTGACTGTCGTGATGCCTACCTTCTTGTTCGTGGAACTTGGGATTCAGTGTCAGGGTGATTTCGGTCGAGCTAACGTGCAACAGCTCGTTCTCATTGTTTTTTGCGCTTCCCAGTTCACGGACAACCTCGCGGAGGGGATCGTCTTGGGAAGGACAGAGGGTTGGGAGGTCATCGATAACAAGGTTGTGAATGGCGAAGACGTCTGCAAGCTTGATGTATAGCGTTGGCTTGGTGCGAGCAAAGAGATCGTTGAACTCATCGATCTCGAAGTATGTCTCGGCATCGCGTACGTTGATGAGGTTCGACCAGATATCCTGCAGACGGTCGATAGCTTCGGTAATATAGCTGTTGAGTGGTTGCAAGTAGAGGTCTTCACCGCCAAACAGCTTTCCTGCCGCTATTTGCCCAAGCACCTTGCCAACAGCATTGAGGTTGCGGCCCATGACGTTAGACAGACCGCGGTCGACCACACCCCAGTGCTGAGGCTGAGCGAGGGCAGGTTGAATGTAGGATCGCCATACCCAATGGCCTGCAACCTGAAGAAGCTGCTCTTGCGGTTCGTACGGGAACTTCTGGTGCAGCTCCTCGAACATCTGTTGGGTAAGATAGCGGACACCATACGGCATCCGGTGAAGTACTTCCTCAAGCATTGAGAAGTATTGGTCTGCAACGTCTCTAAGGTCCTGGAGGTTGTGAATGAACGTAGCTCGTGTCTCTTGATCCTTGAGCGCCATGTCTCGTGTTACGTTCGGGTCACGTCGACTCTGTTGACCGGTGCGGAGCTCCTCGTTGTTGATTGCAGACTTGTAGATCTGCATAGGGTCGCTCTCGAGATCCAGCTCCTCGTTGTCAATGATGTTCTCACGGATGACAGTGCCCAGAAGCTCCTTCAAGAACTTGCGGTCTCGGGGCGAACGAACAAAGCTGCCGAACAGCTTTGTCCAGAAGAAGTTTCCACGCGTGAATTCCTGTAGTGTTGCGCAACCGTCGATTTCCTCCTTTAGAGATCTTGCCATAAGCTTCAGTAGCCAATACTCTTCTCTCCGCTTCTGGGCCAGACCGAACAGGCTCATGGTCAACTGCTCAATGCGTTTAGTGTCCTTTTCCTCAAGGCGCTGTTCGCGTACGCGCCTGAACAAACGTGCCAGGTATTGAGGCTGTGTCTGAAGAGTAAAGAACAACTCTTGGTACTGCTCGAGCTTTCTGCGCGAAGTCTTGTTGAGCGCCTTCAGATCGAACGGATCCTTGGAAGATATGTCCTTGCTGCTAAGAAGTGTGCCGACGTGACCTCCGAAGTGCTTCTGGTGCTTGACGACCTCGTCCAATGTGATCTTGTTCTTGACTAGCAACGCGATCTTGATGTCCAACTGATCGACGTATTGCTCAGCAAGTTCGTTTTGTCGTACGTGCTGAACCACGGTCTTTCGCAGGCGCTCAAACTCTGCACTACGGTCAGCATGTTTCCAACCAATAAATATGCTGTAACCCTACCAATCTCTTCATCAAAGTCGATGTCGCTGTCATTGAGCAAGTGGACAAAGTTTTTCACGGTTGACACCGGTGGGTTCTTCCCGCTTGTCAAGCTCTTGTATGCCTCGCCCTGTTGTCGACCACGAACGAAACTCTGAATCTTGATGACCTTCTCCATATTCTCTCTGTAGAACTGTTGCTTCTCCGCATGCTTCTGGCGGACAACCATAGCACGTGCCAGCGCCTGAAGTTCGACGACAGCCTCTTCGTGCTCCTCGAGTTGGCCAAGCTGCATGCCGATCTCCAGGCGAAGCAACATGCCGCGTGCGTCTCCTTGAAGCTGAGTGATCTCTGGCTCTTGAGCGTTGAGCTGGCAGAGTATATCATAGGTTCGCTGCCTCTGCACGAATCCTCGACTTGCCGATTGAAGGTCGACGAATGCTGGTGTCTGTGCCTGCAGAGCCTTGAGGTCAGAGAAGTGCCTTTGCCGTGAAAGGAAACCACGAATGTAAGCCTGCAAGGAAAGTACAGTAGTTTCTTGCTCGCGCAACTGCGCAAGCGTGTTTGCAGTTTCTGATCGTATACGGCCACCTCTTGCGATCGCTTGTAGATCGGTGATCTGCGGCTCTTCGGCGTGGAGCGCACTCATCGTCAACCCAAAGCCGACTCTCGAGGCATTGCCCCGGATCTTGGATTGGATGTCGATGACCTGCGGTTCCTCGGCGTAGAGCGCACTCATCATCTGCCCGAAAGCAACCCTGTAGTCATTGCCGCGGATCTTAGACTGGAGGTCTGTGATTTGCGGTTCTTCCGCATACAATGCACTCATCAATTGTCCGAAAGCGATTCTCGCGACATTGCCGCGAATCTTGGACTGAACAGCGGACCAATCGACTGACGTGCTTACCAGTTGGTCTTGCATATCGGCATTCTGCTTCCTAGCGAGAATACCTCGGGCAGCCGCCTGCAAGAGAGTAACCATTTCCTCGTGTTGGCGAAGGTTTTCCTGGTCGGCTCGTAGTTCCTGTCGTAGAAGTGCCGCTCGAGAGACGGCCTGAAAGTCTGCGATGTGCGCCTCGTGGGCTTGCAGCTCAGCCCATTCGCGATCGACCTGATGGCGAAGAAGGGCGCCACGAATCATAGCTTGGATGTGGACAGTTGCCGGCTCGGTGTCCCGTGTCTCTGCGTATCGGTCGCCTACACGGAGTCGTTCCAGTGCTCCTCGGATGGCTGCTTGGAATTGTCGTATCCCGTGCTCGTGTTGCTGTACTTTCGACTTGGTGTACTGGACCTGTGCTCTGGCTTTGCGTCCGCGGAACAGGTTCTGTACCTTGAGCACCTGCGCTGTGTTGTCTCGCCAGAAGTCCTCCTCGCCCCGTTTCCTGGATCGGACAAGGTAACCTCTGGCAGCGCTCTGGAGGTTGATTGCAAAGCGTCGCATGTCCAGACGGTAGTATGCGATCTGCCTTGCCCAATCTCCACGAATGCGGGATTGCAAGTCTGCGATGAGATGCTCGTGGTCCCAGAGCTCTTGCATCATGTCGCCCAGGCGCATACGCACCAACGCTCCTCTCATCTGTGCCTGCAAGTCCAAGATCATCGGTTCGCTCTCGCCCAGCTCGCGGTCGATGCGATCCTCTTCTGACTCCACAGGCTCCGGCTCAGGCTCTGGCTCGACGTTGAAGTTCGCCGACATGCCAGAGAAGTTGGGCATGCTGACACCCGACTTGTCCAGCCCCTTCTGTGTAGCCTCCAGTTCATGATCCTCGAATTGCAGCTTGCCGACCAAGTTGCCGATGCGGAAGTCGACGATGCCCTTTCGGAACAGCAACCACGACAGAGCATGGATACAGTAGATGACCTTGGGGACATTCTTCTTTTCGTAGAGATCGATGAGTTCGAACTGGAACAGGTCCGGCAACTCGACCTCGGCCAGGAAGTTGAAGAAATGGGCATAGTTGTTAGAATGCCGATACTGCAACTTCGGATCGCGGAATATCCGCAATGGCTGACCTTTGATCGATTGTACGATCTCTGCCAACGTCACGCCGTTCCGCAGCGCCTCTTCCAACTCAACAGCAGGCGGCAGCTCCGAGTCGATGATGTCCTCCATCCACTCCTTGGCTTCTCCAATATGACAAAGGTACTCGTATGCCTGCAAGAACTGGCGTTGCTGATCCATCCAGTTGCTTCGAGCCCAGGAGGACTGTGTCTTCTTCTCCCGTTGCTGGTCAGTCCGCTGCAACCGCCGTCTCCCATGCAGTCCAACCACTTCTTGCTCGGGTGACTTGATGCTGAAGTCGCTTTCGCTGCCTGAGTCTGCGAACTTGGAGAGAGTGCGCAGATGGCCTGTCGCTGATTTCTGCAGACTCTGCAAGACAGGCTTCTCGAGGTGTGTAGAAAGAGGCCGAGACGAATGGTCGCGGGCGGGTGCGCGTATCGAGTCTGCGCGAGAGACGGCGATGGACAGCGGCCGCGGCTTCGAGGGCGGTGAGGTAGGCGAGCTTGGCCCATCGAAGGGCTGATACCGGATGTTCTCGACGCTTTGTGACCGGCTGTGCGAGAGCGATCGTGTGGGACTGCCTGACGAGGTCGACGCGCGCTTTTCGGGGGAAGGTGGAGGCGAGCTCTGGGGGGCCTGCGATAGTGGACGCAGTGCCTTGCGCATACTAGCATATGTGCTGCCGGCATTGGTGTCGTCTGAGCTAGCGTAGTAGCTCTCAGTGCGCGGTTGCGACAGTGCTGTGGCCTCGCTCATGCCGCGGCGGTGGCCCAGTGCAGAGCCAAAGCCGTTCGAAGCACTGCTCGACTGCGTGCTCGAGCGGCTGGGTGCGTTGTTTGAGTGTGTGGAGGAGCCATTGGGCGCTGTCGAGGCCTGGCGGAGCGGGGAGGGCGAGGCGGTCGAGTGCCCCAGTCTCGTTCGCGGGGTGTACGAGTTGTAGCTCATGGCGCAGTCAACAGTTGGCGAGTGTCGAATGTCAGATGGCGCAACATGTGTTGTACAGATGGGAGGGTATTATGTCGAGCCTTGCTGCGCTCGCAGTGCAAGAGGCCGTTATAGAGGCCGCGATATTATTACAGGGTATGTCGGCAAGTCGAGTGAAGCTGGAGGCGCCTGCCGTCCAAAACAAAGGCCAAACAGACTCTCTCAGCGAGTCGCAAAAGTCCAGCGTCCAGGCGCTCGCACTCCCGCAGCCAAAGAAAGTAATGTGGAGTGTGGGATTAGGATGGCAGATGTCACGGCGGAGGTGAAGCTGGAATTGGAGGTGGTGCAGTCCGAGCGCCAGCGTTGTTTACCATCCATGCTGTGTTGTGGGCGCGTTGCCGTGGCCGATTCGGCAGAAAATCACTTCCTTCCCGTCGCACCGACAAACCTTGGAAGCTGGACGCTGGAAGCTGGACGCTGGAAGCTGGACGCTGGAAGCTGGACGCCCTCAACAGGCTTGATCTGTTGTGGTGGTCATCACTCGGCATCTACCATCGTGCTTTCATTTCAGCCAGTTCTCGTGGTGTTCGTGATGATGCCAGCAATCATTGTTCTTCTGTCCCAGCCAGCGTGTACAACACAAGTGCTCGAGTTCATCTTCCCAACCGCTCAGCCACACCACTGGACACGTCTTCAACCGGACCATCGGAGGTCGATCAAACCAGGCCTTGATGAGTTGTGGTTGCAGATCCTGATGAACTCCCTCCAAGCCCACGCGTCTGAGCAGACGCGGTTGGGCGGTACATCACGTGAAAGGATTCTGCCGGGTATGAGGGGAGGCTGCGGCCGAATTCGGCTAGCGCACTCACGCCTTCCACAAAAACTTTCGGCTCGCCGCCATCCTCTTGCTCTTGGGAAAAGTTCACTTTTTCCCGGCCAAAGTCGTAAATCCACGTACTGAGGTCTATTTCTTCACGTCACCTTTTCAAGCACTTCTCTGTTCCTCGAGAAGTCTTTTTTACTTGCAAAATGACTATCCAGAACGGCGACGCCATGACCGACACTACCACCAACGCCTTGGACTACACCAAGGCGCTTGAGGTGCTCAAGAACGAGTACCAGGAGCGCGACGGCATTGACGTCAAGACACTCATCGATTCCAAGAAGAACGGTGGTCTGACCTACAATGACTTCCTCATGCTCCCTGGCTACATCGGTGCGTAGTCCTCGCAGCCAGCTGAAATCCCAGCCCCGCCGCACTTTGACACAAGTGCGCGAAAGGGATTTCAGGCCGCATGCGACGCAAACCGCGATCTAACACGGAATCAGGCTTCCCTGCCGCCGACGTCAACCTCGATACCCCCATCACGAAGCGCATCACCCTCAAGACTCCCTTCGTCTCCTCGCCCATGGACACAGTCACCGAGCACAACATGGCTATCCACATTGCTCTGCTCGGAGGTCTTGGTGTGATTCACCACAACTGCTCTCAGGACGACCAGGCCGAGATGGTCCGCAAGGTCAAGCGCTTCGAGAACGGCTTCATCCTGGACCCCATCGTCATCTCCCCCAAGACCACAGTCGCTGAGGCGAAGGCCTTGAAGGAGAGGTGGGGTTTCGGTGGTTTCCCAGTCACCGGTAAGCCGCCCTCGTCATGTTTGCGCACCCCTCTCGATGATGCTTCAACTTCATTCATAACTTTCGTTCATCCGCAACGGTTCCGCCGTGCTGTGGAGACCATGATTATCTTTCTGATCGCGAATCCCTACTGCTTCTCGTCTTACTTGTTGGAAGCGTGCAGAGTCGCTAACAAAGACTTGCAGAGGACGGCAAGCTCCGCTCCAAGCTCATCGGCATCATCACTCCTCGTGACATCCAGTTCCACGACAACGTCAACGACCCCGTCACCGCTGTCATGTCCACCGACCTCGTCACCGCTCCTCACGGCGTTGACCTCAAGGAGGCCAACAGCATCCTGAACAAGTCGAAGAAGGGCAAGCTCCCTATCGTCGATGAGCAGTTCAACTTGATTGCGCTCTTGTCGCGCTCCGACTTGATGAAGAACCTGAACTACCCCCTCGCATCCAAGCTCCCTCACTCCAAGCAGCTCATCGCTGCCGCCGCTATCGGTACCCGACCTGAGGACAAGATCCGTCTACAGAAGCTTGTTGATGCTGGCCTTGACATTGTCATCCTCGACTCTAGCCAAGGTAACTCCATGTACCAGGTCGAGATGATCAAGTACATCAAGGAGAAGTACCCTGGTCTTGATGTGATCGGCGGAAACGTCGTCACTCGTGACCAGGCTGCTGCCCTGATAGCCGCTGGTGCTGACGGTCTCCGTATCGGTATGGGCAGCGGAAGTGCTTGCATCACCCAGGAGGTTATGGCTGTCGGACGTCCCCAGGCCACATCCGTCTACAACGTCACCTCGTTTGCCAAGCGCTTCGGCGTTCCTTGCATTGCGGACGGTGGCATCCAGAATGTTGGTCACATTGTCAAGGGTCTTGCCATGGGTGCTTCCACCGTCATGATGGGAGGTCTCCTCGCTGGTACCACCGAGTCTCCCGGTGAGTACTTCGTCAGCCGTGACGGTCAGCTCGTCAAGGCCTACCGTGGTATGGGCAGTATCGCCGCCATGGAGGACAAGAAGGCCGGAGCTGGTAACCCCGACTCCAAGGCCAGCAACGCTGGTACCGCTCGCTACTTCTCCGAGGGCGACCGCGTGCTCGTTGCCCAGGGTGTCTCTGGATCCGTCCAGGACCGTGGCTCCATTACCAAGTTTGTGCCATACCTGATGGCCGGTGTTCAGCACTCGCTCCAGGACATCGGTATCAAGAGCTTGACTGAGATGCACGAGGCTGTTGACAGCGGTGAGGTCAGGTTCGAGCTCCGCACTGCCAGTGCTCAAGCCGAAGGTAACGTCCACGGTCTGCACAGCTTCGACAAGAAGCTCTACTCGTAGACACAGATCTGGAAAGATCTGCTTGCATTGTAAGGGCGTTGGGTATGGCTTGAAATTTTAGACATGTGATGACGATTGATGGGCTATGTTATGGAGGATTAAATAGGCACCAAAAGCAATGATACCACGAACTATGTTCACTATTACCATCGACCGTCTTCTTCCAAGACTGCCTACTGAACGTGACGCTGTCGGATTGGTTGTCTTCGAACATAGATGCGATCTTGGCTGGCGCGCGACGTCACTTCGCGCCTTGCGAACGAACAACCTCGGCCCTTCCCCGCGTTTTTTTCCTCACACAACCACCGACAATGACACGCGCATTGTCAACCGACCGCGAGGCTAGCCATGCTCAGGCCGAGCACACCTTCTCGATCGCTCCTGGCTGACGCTCGATTCGCAATCACTCGTGCACATTGTTCAATACGCCCGTTGTGCAGCCTATCAGCCAGTCTACCTTCACTGCACTCAGGGTCAAGAGCTGTGTTCGGCTCAAGGCTACCATTGCAAAGGAAATTGACCATACAGCAGCGCAGCATGTCGTCTCCAGCAGATCATCAGCCTTCGAAGAAGCCTATGAAAGAAGCTCCTGTTCCAAGACCAAGCTCAAGGTACGATTCTAGGCGCGTTGGTTCACTCTACACACTGATCCACCTAGCGTACTCCTAATTTCTCCTACGAACCAAATTCTACTCCTCCATCGAGTCAAAAAGGCGTCCAGCTTCGCCTCCGCGCATGTCTTCCCTGGCGGCGCATTGTCTAAGACCCACGATGGTGACATACCAGATGTGAACGACCCGGGACGACACCAAGATGGCCCGGCATACCGACTCGCCGCAATCCGCGAAACATTCGAGGAGTGCGGGATCCTCCTCGCAAAAAGCAAAACCACCGGAAAACTATTCACAGGCATCAGCGACGAAGAAAGAGAACAAGGTCGCCGTGCCGTACACTCAGGCACCGTAAAGTTCACCGACCTCCTCGAGAAGTGGGGCGCGCTCCCCGACACATCCAGCCTGATCCCCTTCACGCGCTGGATCACGCCGCCAAACGTGCCCAGGCGCTTCTCAACACAAATGTACATCTACTTCCTCCCCTTGAACTCCACGTCGCCCACCAAGCGTGCCGCACCAGCGGGCACGCCCCCCGAGTCTGGCGTCGAAGAAGAAGACGAACTCGTGATACCGAATCCAACGCACGACGGGGGCATCGAACATACCGCTGCACGCTTTTTGCCGCCGAATAAGTGGATTGATTTGGCGAGAAGGAATAGGATTATTTTGTTTCCGCCGCAGTTCTTTCTCACGCTGTTGCTCTCCCCTTACCTCTCTGCAAACGTAACGAGTCCCTCTTCCCCAACTCCCTCGTACGAAGAACTCGCTCTCGAGCGCGAGAAACTCATGGACTTTTTTTCCAAACCGCGCACGTACGATGGACAACCCGAAGTCCCGCTCTCGGAAGCTTGCATCTCGCCGGTTGTACTGGGCAAGGGCGAGTATGGCGAGAAGGCGCAGGATGGTGTTGGCGGTGTGGATAAGCATACGGCGGTGCTTGTGCTGGATCGGCCGGGGAGGGAGGTTGAGGAGCAGGGGTTGAGTAGGAGGGGGATTAGGGAGTGGGTTGTTACTACAAAGTTTAAGGGGGAGGGACCGAGGGATGTGGATGTGCGGAAGAGGGAGGATGTGCTTGGGAAGGGAGTGGAGAAAGGGAAGCTGTAGGGAGTCGACTAACTCGATCAACTACGAATGAACTGAACACTGCGCATCGCCGTGCAGTCTGTGTAGTCCAATGGGCAAGTGCTGGCTTGAACTCGTGACACCTCCTTCCGAACAATGCTGACTCTCGGGAATGTATACAAGAACGACATGGGCAGGTGCTTACCTCTGTAGGGTCCGTTGATATGCGCACCGTGGGGCTGTCGTCGACCGCTCGGTGAACGCTCATGTTTCGATGATCATGTAGAGGTGGAGCGGCCGATACGTGTACTGCGAATAAGAACAAGGGACTCTGGAGAACCCATCTGAGATGATCGAGCTCCAGTCGTTCGTTGTTGTGGCATGTCGCAAGGCTCAGCGCCACCTGTTTTGGAGGCTGGAATTCTAAGGCAACCGGCCCAAATTGTGTGTAGCACTGCATGCTATACGGTAAGCGAGGAGTGCGTGTCGCAAGGCTGGGCGTTGTCGCATACTCTTAGAATGATGTTGTAGTGGATGAGACACTGCAGATAGCGGAACATGTCGCCAAGCGGACGCGACCAAAAGCGTGGTAGCGTGTTACTAAAGCGATCGATGTCTCGAGGGTTTTGACGACCTTCGGACCAAAAGCTCACAGGATTCAGAACAGCCAGAGGATGCACCGAAGTCGTCTGTATGGAAACAAGCCTGGGTCACTCCTGCCTCGATTGTAGGCTTTTATATAGTAGGCACGAAAGATCAAAAAGCTAGCAGAACGACAAGTGACTTTTTTCCCTAATCACAGCGCTACTGTGCACATTAGCCCACTTCTGCGTGTTCAACTGTCTCGATGGACGCGTTGCTGAGCGCGACGACGAGCAAATACCATTCCGTACGACTAGCATACCACAGAGCTATGTCACCACGATGTCCCTGGTCCTTGTCACAGCTTTCCATGCAGTGCTGGTGGCGTCCATCGGTGTATGCTACACACAACATATGTGGCAAACACTACGGCGCCGGCTTCTGGAGGTAGGACTCATTGAAGAGCTCTCCCTAATACGAGCAAATGCCTTGCGACTTTTCAACCCATCGCTTGTGCGGCACAAACCGAGCTTAATCATTGTCTCTGCAATCTCGTGGATCATAGCTATAGCCACTATATACCCAGCTGGAGCGATGACCGTGGACTTAGAGGCTGGCCAAATCTCCGACCAGTTCAATGTATCTGTCTTTCTGCCCAATGCGAACTCCAACTATGATGGAAACAGTTATGCAGATTATGCTCACTATCCTCCGTCTAGTTGTGACCCTTCCAAGACATGTATTGGATATCGGTAATCATTGCTATATTTTTCTTGGGAGCTAACCGGTATTGCAGTGGCTCTACCGATTCACTGAGCAATTTTGCATCAAAGGTGCTCATCGATGGCAAGATGCCCGAGCCGTCGAACTCTTTCAAGAGCAACGCGTCTTACGTTTTGAAGTTCAACGGGCCAGCGTTGCAGTGTAAAGAGACCAAAAGTTCCAATGTCACAGCTTCCATAGTGTTGCAGTAGTTGCAATAAATGAAGGTGTAACCGCGCAGGGCAGTCGGTCAGGGGGAAACCGCGCGAAGCAGTAGAATCAGTATACATAGTGTTGTTCTTGTTCAGTGTTCTGTCTCTCTCACCGGACCATCAGGATCTGTTTATATGATGTATCTGTCGTTCAGACAGAGGTGGAAAGGGCTTGTTGGAAAGGGCAAGAGCACTGCGCCAACACACGTGGCACACATGACCTCCATACTCCATAAACCGTCACACATAGCAGTGCGTGGTACAACTCCGACTGGGTCGGCGACGGGAACTAGGGGAGATTGTACAACGGAAGCCAATCTCCGGATATAAAGCTGGATCGGAGATTCCCCGGAAACATCGTACTACTCGACTCACCAAGTGAAAACTGGATGGGTTTTACATCCTGCCCCCGAGGTAGGTACAGCAAAGGTTCGTTCTAATGTGAGATGGCTGCAAACTCGTCCATGATAAGAGCTCTTACAGAAACGGACTGCAATGCAGCTGCCGCTGATATACCGTCAACATTACTTCCGTCAATGGGAGACAGGGTATTCGTTATACTACGGGCGAAGTCTGTCCGCTGTACCCGTTTGACTTGATTAGATAGGATTCCCTGTCACCGGATTGGGACTTTGTTCCCTTGCACTTCTGGGAAGAGCATGTTAACGTTTTGGCCTAGATAGACTCTTTGTTGAGGCATCTTGATGGAATACAAGGTACTTTGCAGGACGCGTTCTACTTTGATGAAGCTCGACTAAGAATGTGAAATCACTCGGCTGTCGAATGATCCTGTTGTGGAGGCATGCGAACCTGCATCAAACCCTATAAATGGATCAGTACTTGATGTTGACACAAGTAAGTTTGCGCGCTCTCTCCTGCATCATGTTGGCTCGCAGAGAGAATGAATATCTTCACACATGGAGAAACATGTATAGAAGCTGACTGTGTATAGTTGGGACAGTCTTCACTCTGTCATCTATGAGCAGAGAACCCTGTGCTATCCGCAACGGTACGAGGTACTTCAATATACCCGAAGTCATACTAAATGAGATCCTTGCCAATATAACCATATCGGTATTGAGTCTCAATCTGTGGCATGATGTCGCCAATGGCACAAGCACTCGCATCTACAATGTCTACCACTTCCAGCGCCATCTCAACTTTTTTTTGCCCGTACGATCTATGCCTCTTGTTCACCCTACCGATCGTTGCCACGGGTTTGATTGCTCTGCAACACAATGGAATCTCAGCTATCGATGGAGGTTTTCTCCGGATTCCGATGACAGCTGCGACTGGGCAAACCGTGGTCGAGACTACTGCGGGAAAGGGCTGTCTTGGCGGCTACGAGAATATACCAGTCGAGCTGAGGAAACTGAAGGTCCGCTTTGAAGAGCTGGTCACATACGAGACCACGACAGAAGATGTGAAGGCACCAGATACAGAGTCAGCAGCCACAAGTAGGGACCATCATGGCACAGAGGCCAATGAACCCGGCGAAGACATAACCTTGATGCGGTTATCGCAGAGGCGTGGGACTAGCGATGATCAAGACCAAACGGCCAGCCAGGCTGAAGTAGCCTCTGGGATTGAGAAGCACGATATGGAGAGGGCTTTGGCTCGAAGGGCAGGCTCTGGCGTATTCAGTGAGACCTAGCCTTTGCGTAGTGGAGATGAGCTAGGTGGCTCCTAACTTCGGTCATTGGAAAAGATCTGCATGCATCAATCCTACACACTCAAGGCAATATGATGGAGGTCTCTCGAAAGAACTAGGCCCAAAGTCCGGCGCTGAAAAGCTTGCAAAAGCTTGAGCAGAAGGGCCACAATGAAACGATTCGATAGCAAACGTCAGTTGAGTTGAGGATGACGATACTTGCACCCCTGTTCATCCGCGGTCGTGCCTGCATTGACGATGGACCCTAGCGTTCTTAGGACCGTTCCTTCCAGCTTCGCACCTGAGGGCTCTCATCAGAGGCTCTCATCAACACACAGAGGCTTTGAAACACCGTCATCAACATCACATGACACTCGACCTCATCGCGCATGGCAATTGCAACCTTCGGAGTTCGGAATAGTAGCGTGCAGGAGGAATGGACGGCTCAAGACGCGCAATTGGCGTTTCTGCACGCGCATGACCCTGGCCGGCTAGCCGTCACCGTCTCTTGCGGGGTGGATCCTCTCCGACTGCGGTCATAAGCAACAAGCTCCACCGCTATGGACGCGACTAAGACCCGAGGCTTACTGCCTCTCTCTTCAACTCTTTTTCTTTGCGACTGCTGCATAGCATGCGTCCAGAAACCACAGCACCATCATGACTGAACCCAAGCTCCCAGTCAAACAACTGGTCATACTTTGTAATCTACCCTCCGTCATAGTTGACGGCCTTCATGCATAGCTAACAAACACCAGCAATATGTCGATTCGCAGAGCCCATTGCCCTGACCTCAGTCTGGCCCTACGTCCCCGAACTCATGGAACGATTCGGCGTTCCTGAAAATGAAATTGCTCGCTGGGCCGGCCTCACCTCTGCCATCTTTTCGATATGCCAGGCCTTCACAGGCTTGATCTGGGGCGCAGCATCTGATCACTATGGACGAAAGCCAATCATACTGCTGGGTCTGTTTAACACTATGTGGACCATGCTGCTTTGGGGCTTCTCCACCAATCTGCCCATGGCGATGACGGCACGTGCGCTGCAAGGACTTGGCAATGGCAATGTTGGCATCCTTAGGACAACAGTTGCCGAGTTGTGTCCATGGAAGGAACTGCAGCCGAGAGCGTTCTCCGTAATGCCACTGGTGTACACAATTGGGGCCATCTTCGGTCCTACGTTGGGTGGTACGCTCTCGAACCCGCTGCGAATTGACCCACGCAAACCGAGAGGTGATGGACTGTTGGAGAGATTCCCCTACTGTTTGCCAAACATCGTGGCTGCAATCTTCTTCGCGATTGGAATCATTGTGGGCTGGCTCTTCCTGCAGGAAACGCTTGAGAACAAAAGAACCCATCAGGATCTGGGTCTCCGGACCGGCGCAAGGCTGACGACATCTGTGCGCAAGCTGCTCGGTATCGGAAGGAAAGGCGATCCTCTTGAACCGGAGCGCGAACCACTTCTAGGTCAACCGAAGACTGTGAACAGCTCGTCAACAATAGTCGATGCTACGGTCACCTTGACGAAGCCAGAGAAGCCCAAGATACGAGATGTCCTGACGTACCAGACGACGCTGAACCTAGTCGTGTACACACTTCTGGCACTCTATTCGATTGCGTACGATCAGGTAAGCGCATTCGCCGGATGGGATCTCCATGTACTGACATCACGTAGCTGATTCCTGTTTTCCTGCACCATCCTCCGCAAAAACTTGACGATCCCAACGTCAGCCTACCATTCAAGTTTGCCGGTGGCTTTGGTATCGACTCGCGACGTATCGGTGCTATGTTCACGTTCTTCGCCGTATCCTCAACACTATTCCAGTTTCTGCTGTTCCCACCACTTGCTCGCAACTTCGGTGTGCTCAATTGCCTTCGTATCGCCTTCTTGATCTACCCGATCATCTTCTTTGTCACGCCGTTCGTCAGTCTTATCCCAGATCATACTGCGAGGCAGGTGGCCATGGTTGCTCTGTTGGTCGTGCGCGGTCTCGCCGGAACCTTCGCTTTTCCAACTTCAACTATCATGCTCACCAACAGTGCTGCTAGTTTGCGGGTTCTGGGGACCATCAATGGTGTTGCGACCAGTGTGTCGGCTATTGGGCGCGCTTCTGGACCAGCTATCGGCGGTGGCTTGTTTACTTGGGGTGTCAAGCGAGGCTACATCATTGTACCTTTCTGGACTCTGACAGTCATCTCTTTGATTGCTTCGATACCAACCTGGTGGCTTGTGGAAGGCAAGGGATTTGGCGGCAGCGACGACTCCGAGAGTGAAGAGGAGGGTGTTGAGTCTATCTTCGAAGACGAAGAGAACATTACAGCACCAAAGGCGATACCCAAAGATATTGCTGCACAATCAGAGTCTGAGTTCGGTGAGCCCGGCGCTATACTCAGCTATACCAGCACGCGACGTTCAAGCGTAGCCATGTCCTTGGATGCAAGAGAAAACGATGATGTCGATGACCTTGAACGAAGGCGCTCATCTACCCAGCCGCAAGGTGTCAGGAGTCATTCTCGCGGAAGCAATATCAGAAGGAGGTCATCCATACCAATCGGTATGGGTAAAGGCTTGAGAAGATACAGTTCGAATTTGGGTAGTACGGGTGTTGATGCCAGTGGCACGAGTTGGGGTGGAAGGTAGACGTTAAATGCGACCTAACGCACATTCGGACGCCACACCTACAGCGTCGACAGCTTGGAAGTGCCATCAAGGCAAGCAAAGAGTTACGTCGAGGCAGACTCAGCCTTGCGCGACCAACGCATGCGGTTACTCAGCTGCCATGAATGTTCCAGAGCAACGCCGCATCACAACCTCGTCTCCAAATGTTGCTCTCCTGGGTGAAAAGTATCGACGTTGGCATCATACACTTGCATCAAAACTGCGGAACGGAACCATCTACTCCAAACCACAAGTACATCACAATATGGTTGCACGAGCCATTTGGACTCTCACTGCTCTACCTTGATGGTTGGCATTACCATTCGCGTAAAAGTGTGCCGGATTGCCGTAGAGCCGCTCGTTGTCCCCTGCGTGTTCGAAATGTCTTCCGCAGGTTGTGAAAGTAGTTTGGTATATCTCGATATAACACGCCAGGTCGACACTTCCCTACCAGCACCTCGAATGCTTACGGAACATCTGAAGCGGATGTCTGAAGACGTATACTTCAGTCAAAAATGCGACTCATACATACGTCTCAACAGTTCCCAACATCTACACATCCGCTTTCCAACTCACACTCGCCTTCGTCGACAGCTCTCTACATTTCAACGCAGCCTCGTAAGCCATATACCTTCATAATGTACATAGACACAATCATCTGTTACACCGGTTGCGGGCACGTAGAGACAATCCACAGCGGTTTCTGTCGCTAGCTGTATCAGGACCTTCAATCTATCAACCACCCGTACTATCTGAGCCAGCCTGGTATTCCCTGCAGGCAAGCTGTTAAGTGCGCGGCAATAATAAAGTATGATGTAAGAGATGGGCTTTGTCAACAGTGCAGCATGGCTTGGTATCGACAGAGGCCTCAGAAGTGGTAGATGTCGCAGGAGAAATTTGCTGGGCTTGAACGAGATGCGCGTGTTACGAGCCCAGGTGTATAGGCACGACGACGATCATGAAATTCGTGCAGCACCGAATAGCTCAAGGAACTTTTCTCTGACCACTTCCAACATACCTAGAATGTCTGACTAAGCATCGCAACATGAGGCCTCAAGAAGTAGCAACCATTGATGCTTCGAACACGGCGAGCGGCTTACCGACGTCGGGCAGCGACTTCCCGAAGCGCTCCGACAACAATTCGTTTGACAAGGCGCCCGTCAGCACCTTCCTTGGCCAACAACAGCGTGACCACATCTCCCGCATCTGAAGGAACACACTCATGTATCTTTCCGAGATTCATTCGTAAAGCTGTGTGACGCATTGCAGAATAAAAAGCAACATGCAACCCGTTCCCTCGCTACCCACAATCTTCCACTGAATACAGAGCATCGTTAACAACGAACTCCAACCTGGTGTACGAAGTATGGGATCCTTTAGAGGCCTCTATTACACCTTTGGTGCCCTAAGCACCGGCGCAGCAGCCTTCCTCTTCTCCTCCCGCAAGCCACCCTCACCACCCACAATCAAACTCCACGGCGCAGAAAACTGCAAATACATCCTTGACAACTCGCATTCACACACCTTCTCGCTCCCCGACGGCCGCAAGCTAGGATATGCGGACTACGGTGATCCAAATGGCAAGCCGATCCTGTATCAGCATGGAATCCCGGGGAGTAGGATCGAGGCGACACGGTATCATGATCTGGGGAAAGAGATGGGGTTGAGGATTATTAGCATTGATCGGCCGGGTCATGGGTGGAGTTCCCCTTTTGCAAGCTACCGCGGGCGAACGGTCAAGTCGTGGGCAGACGACGTCAACGCGCTGGCAGAACACTTGGAACTCAGTGAATATGCAGTTCTCGTAAGCCTTCCCTTCCTCGACCCCAACTTGCCCAGTTTCCGATGCAGAACCATGCACTGACGACACTGACGAGTGAAGGGCGTGTCCGGTGGCGGTCCTTATGCCTTATCCTGCGCCTACGGTCTCCCAAAAGACAGGCTTAAAGTCGTAAGTCTAGTCTGCGGCATTGGACCTCCAGACATCGGCATGTCGGGCGCCGGATGGCCTACCTGGCTGGGCTTCACAATCGGCTGGCGCTGGAGTCCACAAATCTTTCTGCGCTGGTTCTTCCAGCGCGACGCCGCCGACAGCCTCTCACTCCCCGACGAAGAGCGGCTCAACATGTTCCTCTCACTTGACCGAACCAAGGGGATGAGCGAGCAAGACAAGGCCTTTTTTGGAGATGAGGACGAGATGAGGGTTTATCTTGCTACGAGTAGGGAGAGTTTCAAGCAAGGGTTCGATGCAATGTGTAAAGACGGATACGTGATGTGCACACCATGGGGTTTCGCGATTGAAGAGATTCGCAAGGATCTGCCGGTTGTGCTGTGGTATGGAAGTAAGGACAAAAACGTGCCGCCGAATCACGGGCGCACGATTGCGAGGCGGTTGATGGGCAACGGGGAGGTGGTGAAGGAGGTAACTGACCAGGAGCCTTTGGAGTGGAATGAGGGGGAGAGGGTGAGATTGAGAATGTTGGATGATACGCATGCGAGTATTAGTATGAGGGATAAGAGGGGGTATCTGGTTGACATTTTGAATGCGTGGGGGAAATGAGTAGGTTGACGAGGTCACATAGGGCAGGGCGATCGCCACTCAAATGTTTGTGCTTAGAGAATGAGATACCCATCTTATTTTTTGATCTGGGTGCCTCCTTTGCGCTGGCGTCAAACTTGAGGGCGATCCATGAAATTTCCAAAAGATTCGAGGGCGAACAAGACTTGAGCGCGGATAAAGCTGTGTGTTACTCGTTGTCCTGAGACTGCTTACCTTGACGGAATCGACGTGACGCCATCTCATAGATCCCTTACTACCTCACTCCAGCGTCGCAGCATGGATCTCCAAGAACAAAGGCACTGCATGCTCGTCACCGTGTGAAAGCATTTAGGGGTATTGATGAACAGATCGATTCGGTCTAAGCAACCACAGTCACCGAAGGATTGAGGTGAGATGGAGTTGCAAAGCCAGCTATGTAGTGTAACGCCAGTATCCTCCCAGGGTATGTTGCCGTAGGGCCCGAAAATGCAAGACCGTGTACCTGAACGCCGTGTATGCAGGGGTATCTCCATCCATGTCCATCCCAGCCGCTCCATCGTAAGTCCTGAAAATCATCCTTGTCGTCGTCGCCGTATCATCTTCGTCTCTGCATGCCATCCGTAACAGCTATCGAACTCCTTCGAGCCCTGCTCTTGTCTACCTGTGGCCTGCCACCTCATGTAAGTCTAATGCTGCCAGAGCACGAACAAAACCCGTGCGCCGGAATGCAAAACGAAAGAAAGTGAAAACAAAGGCAGGCAAACAGAAATTCAAAACGAAGCTCAGTTTGCAAACATACCCCTAAACTTGGCACCGTTCTTGCGTTGGATCTCGCGCTTGGCGGCGCCGCTGGGCACAGTGAAGCCGCCCAGAACAGAAGAAACAGTGCCGGATGCAGGTGCAGGAGTAGTACTAGACGCAGGTACAGAAGTAGTACCAGACGCAGGTGCAGAAGCAGTCACCGAAGGCTTGCCAGAAGCGCCAGCAGTGACGGTTACGTACAGGATATCCGTGACCGTGACCACCTCGCCAGAGCCGGAAGTCGGCTCGGGCGCAGCGCTAGGACGGGTTGTCATAGTCGGGATGTTGGTGATCTGCGTGAGCGCCGGTGCGGTGGGAGCCGCAGACGCAGGAGCCTTGGACGACGAGTTCGCTGGCGCGCCAGAAGCGGCAGGCGCACCTCCAGTAGCAGTCGCAGAGCCAGAGAAGACAGGGCCAACCTCGCCCTGCAGCGCGTCGGTCATGATGGCCGTGCGGCTCGCAAAGTCAGATACCGCGATGGACATAGCGTCTTGCTGCGGGCCCAGGGCGTACATAGACTCAGCGTCGGCAGTGAGCGCGGTGTCGGCGGAGGTCACGTCGACGTCCATGCAGGTGGTGTAGTACTGATCTTTGCCGGTGGGCAGACCAGGATCGACATTAGGCGCTGTGTTCCACTGCCAGACCCAGTAGAAAGTGTACGGCTTGCCTTCGGGCGCGGTGTCAGGCACCTTGGCGTTGGTCTCGCAGAAGAGCGGGTAGTTGCCCGGCCCATCGGCGACCTGACCCATGGCGAAGTTAGGATCCGAGACGCGGCGCTCTTGCGAGATGGGTGTGTCATTCACCTCGTAGCAGCGGCCATCGTCGAAGTCGTTGGTTGCAAGGAGGGCGCCGCGCTTGTCGCCGCCTGAGCCGTCCTGGGTCCAGCGGAGGACGTCGACGAGCTTCTCATCCTCTTTGGGCTCCGTGGTGCCGTAGACGAAGACTGTGCCGCCTTTCTCAGGCTTGCCGAGACCAGTCGCGGGGTCGACCATGGTGACGTGACCGTTCTCCATGTAGCGCATGGCGACGAAGCCGCCGGCGACAGCTTGCAGGCGAGGGTACTTGTCTGAAGATTGCTCCTGCTTGGTCTGTGAAGTGTGACACAGTGGCGAGGTTTCGTCGATGAAAACCTTGGGTTGTACCGGTAGCAGCCAGTTCATGGAGTCGCCAGTGTAGCCAGTGTCTGTCTTGGAAACCATGCCGCGGGGGTAGCCATACTCGCCAACATACTCGCCCTTATCGTTGACGTTGCGAAGCTGCTCGATCCAGGTGTGACCCATAGTGAGAGGAGCGACGGCCAGCGCCGCCAGTGTTGTAGTGAAGATGCTCGGCATTTTGGTGTTTGTGTGTGCGTTTATTTTTTTTGGTGTATGAGTGGGGAAAGAGAGTAATGCGCTTTTGGTCCAGCCGAAACGCGTTGTTGGTATGCAAGCGGAAGTCGTGAAGTGCGGTCGCAAAGAGTGCGGTGTTCTGTTGAATTCTTGCAAAGTGGTCTGAAGAAGAAGGAAAGGCAATGGAGAGAAATTATCGGACGGTGAAGCAGTATTGAATGTGGCCTTGGCGACGACTTGATGAGCGCACAATGTAAGGTTACACGTGACCGGTTCCTCTTCACCTCGAACAGCGACAGCACTGTTGTTCAATAGAACAATGTAAGCGTGCAATATTAGACCTCCAGACACCGACACGCACAGCGCAAACGGGGGGCGAAAGAAGGGAAGATGAGGAAAGACGGCGTACCACTGTGACAACACGATCCGTTTACACGCGGACACAAGTCCTTTATTAGGCGGTTGAATAGAGATGAGACAGACGCTGAGCAACGTTGAACATTGCTCAGGCCTAGAAGGAAAGAAGAGTCGAGGACCAATAGAGAGGTGTACACACGAGGTGTCGAAACAGAGCGCCACTCCACGCGACTCCGCATTCAAGCTTTCGAGCCTAATATGTGGATGTTGGATCTGCGTTTCAACGTCGGACCTGAACTGTAGCCGCCAGCAATCTCGTCCCGGTCCCGCAGCAGTATCGCGGCGTAGCGCGTACAGCTGCATATTCTTCCGTGCTTCTGGTACAACCGATTTCGGTAGTTCGTCGCCTTACGGCTACATGAGCGACCTAGTGCGAGTCAAAGCGTCACAGGTGTACTGTTGATACAGGTGTGCCGTTGTCAAATGAGATCTACGACACTTCCACGACCACTAGGCATCATCTAGATCGGTCGTAGATCACTGCTTACGTGGTCTCCACTATTGCCAGCAAGCACTGTGAGCCTGCCGACTGCGAAGTTGAAGCCCATCTTGTGGCCTACATCGTCAGAATGAGCGCGCCGCGCCGTGACACCGTGGACCGGGTAGGGCGGACAGAGTTGACTAGGCGGAGTGATGCTAATAAAATCGAAGGTGAAAGAACAGGCCTTGCACCACGCGACGATAGGTGATGGTGTGCCGTTGTAGCGCGTCGCGTTGCCAACAAAGAATCTCCCGCAAGGAGGGCGAGGTTGTCCACCGACGCTAAGTTTCAAACTGCCGCCCTGCATGGGTAGTTCAACCTCGAAAAGTCGCGACAACATCAGGCACTCCAGCCTTGCAAAGCTCGTCACCTAAGAGTCTGACCGAAGGTTGCTGGCCGGAAAGTCGGCTGGGCAAGCAGACTCACTCATCTTCAGCGTTGCTCACAGCCATCCTTAGCCACCCGGATCAGAGGTGGTTGGGCCGGGTGCTCAAGCGGCGCGTCGCCAGCGAAGAATTTCCTGCAAGTGACGGAGGTTGTGGGGTGAAGTTCGACACCTGGGTATCTTCACGTTTCAGATCACAACGCCTCGCTTCCATGATTGGGCATCACATCGCCACATCTGATTGGAGCGCATTGCTCCAATTCAAGGTGCACCTATTTTCTTTTGATTGTTTTGCCGCCCGTCACCCAGTCGATGTATTTGAGGACACTGGGCCCAGACGTGTCCAAGCTTGCCAATTCATCGATACCCACCTCAACCTATTGTGTTGTTGAGGAAGAAATCGAGTGCTCGCTATCGCTCGCTGACAGTGTTTCCACCATCGCCCAACACTGTTCACGTTTCATGAAACCCAATGTGGAGCATTGTATAAATCCTGAGGCGTATAGACGTTCTCGGCCAGCATGCCGAGGATTGTTTGATTTGCGTAGATTGCAAGGAACGAGATGTGAGGGTCCAAGCGTTTGACGAGCGCGGTGGTACTACACTTCGCGCTGCACTTTGGTGAACTCATTGTGCGCTCGGGACTTTCCCATTTGTGATTGTGAGACAACATGCGCGATTGCTGATGAGAGTATACAGGTACAGCGCTTTACCATGTCCGCTTCATTCAAAGTGTCAAAGCTGTGCTGGCTCGCTGCGCTCGCTCGACGTTCCCAAATGTGACTGTGAGACACGATGTATCGGGACTTGAATGCTGACGAGAGCGCACAAGTATAGCAATGTAATATCGTGTGCCACGCGATTGGAATGTTGTACCTGGTGTGGCGCAGAAAGAAAGTGTGCTGACTTAACATCAGCAGATGATGGTACAGCCAGACACTCTGCACGGTGGTATACTCCTCGTCCTCCTCATCGCCGTCGATGGTGTGGTCATAGTCGCTGTACTCTTCAGCATTGCTGTTGTTTTGCTCATCATCGCCGGTGGTCTGCTCAGTGCCCATACCGACCGTATTCCTCAGCTCTGGCAAGTCATACACAGCGTTCGGAAGTCCATCAAGCCCAACACTCTTCGCCACAGTGATAATCCCAAACTCCATAATCCCACCATGCCTTCCACTCTTGCCATAGAACCCAACAATAACCTCATGCGACGCAGGCTCCAAGCGAATAACATTCGCATCCCCGCCGCGCCTCGCGTTGAGCTCTCCGCGCACAGTGCGATCCGTCAGACGCATACGCACGCCTTGCATGTAGTAGTTACCGCGGCCCCTGTTGACCTCGGTGCGCTTGGTGTTGACGTTGAGCGGCAAGGTAATGGTCTGTGAAGCGTGACCGTCGAAGTGGTGTTCGCATCCGTTTGTGCGCATTGGACCACAGTGACTCTTGTGGCCGTCTGCGTATTCGATTATGCCGCCGTCCCACCAGCAGCCGACGCGAAGGTCGATTGATGTTGCGCGGTAGATGGCGCCGTCTGGACCGCGCTCTTTGAGGAGTTGCGCCCACTCGCACATATCGTTGTCTGAGCTGTTCTCGACAGCGTCGGTGTAGACGGAGCGTTTGAAAAGACGAGCAGAGCTTCCGGGAATGCGAACGAAAGCCTTGACCGTCAACGTCTTCCACACAACGTTGATGGTCAGCTCTTTCCCGTTGAAACCGAATATATCGAGGCGTAGGGGCTGGGATCGATCGAAGCGTCGCTCTAGCTCGACCTGGAGGTATTCGCGCTCATTGGTAGGCGAGTTGATTGAAGGCGTGGCTTCGAGTACCTCGTTGAAAGATATGCGTGCAATACCAATAGTAGATGTGATGTGTAAGAGTGCGTCAAGCTCGCCTTGCTCGTTGTCGGTGAAGTTCAGCTCAGCTATCGGCTTAGAAGCACATTGCTCATCTGTAAAATGTTTGTCTGCCGGCAAGAGGAAACATCGAGAAAGCCGGAGGTTTAATGCATCTTTGAGATCCAAAATTGCACAGCCAGTCATGTCTACGTCTTCGGCAGACCCGTCAGGCATGGCCGCGCCCGGCAAGAACTGCTTTCGCCAATCTTGTGCCATTGTGCATTGGTCTTCATGCTCGTGGAAGTCAGCATTGACGCCAAAAGCAAGGCCGACAGCTGACAGGAACGATGATTGACCGAAAGCGCAAGACTCCCAGATAGTGGACTTGCCCTTCGAGATCTTGGCTCCAGCCATCCGAGCATCCGTCAAGCAGCTGTTGACCTCTTCCGTAAAGCGCGGCCAGGAGTACGTCAGGTGGCTGCCGAAAGCGCCCAAGGAAATTCCTGAGGAGTTGTGACGGCCGGTACTAACGTGTCCAAAAGCTTGTTCTGTGCATTTGTTGCAATGCGCATCTAAGATCAAGTCCGCCACGACAGGAGAGGACAGCGTGTCAAACTGGCCACCGTGGTTCGCGAGTGCCTTCAGGAAGATGTCAAATAGCTCGTTTTTTGTCGTAGGCGTTGTGTCTTTACCTTCAGCATACATGATCTCCTTCTTAGTCTTCGAAGATCTTACGACAGTTACCTCGGTTGTTGATCTTATGGCATCTTCAGAGTCGCAAGCGTGGTACTCCAAGTGTCTTGCATTGATGAAGTCTCGGCTGACTGTGTCGGTTGCCCACTCCTTCTCTAATCTAACAGTTCTTGTCCCATATCCTTTCGATCTCATGTCTTCAGCAGTCATGGCTTGTCACATATAGGCAGTCATTCGGAACTTCTCGATCGCGGCGAAGAGATCTGAATGGGCCGAGGAGAGAAAATCGGCCTTCTGAGGTGGGCAGTCCATGAGGAGCGGGTCTTTCGCTACCATGATAGCCAGGTGAAGCAAGGGTATTGAAGCAAGGGTATTGAAGCAAGGGTATATACAAAAGACTGATCTTGATTGATGTCTCTCGCTTGTCTTGTTGCATGTGAGCCACTTCGAGTGTGTTGGAGCTAGGAGAGAGCATGACCAGAGCCTTGAAGTAGCCACTGTGAATGGGCCATGTCTGTTCAGGAAACACCTCGAGGCCGTTCGCGCCTTGGCTCTTGATCGCGATGAAGTCTTCAAACCCGTTTGGCTGACATGTTCCTGTGATTAGGAGACAGCGCTGATATACCGGTCAACTAGATCTCAGTCAGAAGACGATGCTACTAGTACTGGTGGATAGTCTCCCCATCCTCAACGTTCGTAAGGCGCAATGCCGGCTGTGCTTCCTTCAATGCCATGGGAGAAATGTCTTGGGCTGCTGCTGAATGAGTGCCTCCATCTTCACTGGAATACAACGTCCCTATAAGCCTTCGATATGTCAAGTCAGCATACATCAACGGTAGGCAGCTGCACGCAAAGGGTTAGTGGGGAGGTTGCTGTCTCAGACTATAGGCGTCTGGTACGGAAAGAGCTGGGGCATGAGCTCGATATGTGCACCGTGTATCCGGCTGCAAGAGATTTTGAGATACGCATATTTGACTTATCGACTTTCCTATCAGAAGTCGACTGATGAAGGATGAGTAAAGTCTGAGCCCTTCTCGAAGCCACGCGAAGCGTCCGTGCGCATTACTAAGCTTGTGGCGCTAGTTCTCCGCTCGAAGTTCGCGACAATCTATCGCGACATTTGCTTGCGCAGCCTCACCACGACAACACCATCGCCGTCACTCGCCCATCCACGTTCACACCTCTCTCGCACTCACAAACCCACTCTCACACCGAACGAACGAAAACACCGCAACGATGGCGAACTACCTCGCCTCCATCTTCGGAACCGAGCAAGACAAGGTCAATTGCTCCTTCTACTACAAGATCGGCGCCTGCCGCCACGGCGACCGCTGCTCGCGCAAACACGTCAAGCCATCCTACTCGCAGACGATCCTCCTGCCCAACCTGTACCAGAACCCGGCGTACGACCCTAAGAACAAGATGAACCCGCAGCAGATGCAGATGCACTTCGACGCCTTCTACGAGGACATCTGGTGCGAGCTGTGCCAGTACGGGCTTGTCGAGGAACTCGTCGTGTGCGACAACAACAACGATCGTGAGTCACTATCCCCCCATCGCTCAAGGAATTGTGATACTAACAAACCAACAGATCTCATCGGCAACGTCTACGTGCGCTTCAAGTACGAAGAAGACGCGCAAAAAGCCTGCGACGCGCTGAACTCGCGCTGGTACGCCGGCCGTCCCATCTACTGCGAACTCTCGCCCGTAACCGATTTCCGAGAAGCCTGCTGTCGCCTGAACAGCGGCGAGGGCTGTGTGCGCGGCGGCTTCTGCAATTTCATCCATAGGAAGGAGCCGACGGCGGAGCTGGATCGCGAGCTGGATATGTGCACGAGGAAGTGGTTGAAGGAGAGAGGTCGCGATGAGAGGAGTATGAGTAGGAGCCCTACGCCGCCTGCAAAGAGGTTTTAGGAGGACCGCTTGAGCGAGGTCGTGGGTAGAGATGAAGTGAAGAAGGGCACGAAGAAGGAAATGAAGGAGGAGAAGGAAGAGGGCGAGGTGAGTTTCTAGGTGGACCTCAAGCTTTTCCCGCAGAACGAAATCTTGTGGAGCGAAAGGAGAACACTACAGCATGAGTGGTGATTTGGCGTCAAGGAGTTTGATACCTCATTTGCGCACATTGCGTACACGGTGGGACTGTACATTACGAGCCAGCAAGCGCTGACGGGTATAGGTAGTTTGCAAAAGCATCAAATTCTAACTTATACTCACGCTCCGTATGACAGACAGAAGAAATCGCATTGAGCCATACCGTAGTGCTGGCCCGGTATCATCTAATCGCTAATAGCAGCATAGAAAAGACGTCGCATCGCTGATGCGCCTTGCCCGCAGGGTCCCTCGCAGGGCGTCCTCTGAGAGATATTATGTCCTAAACGCCGTGCATGCATATGCAAACCCTCATCTCTTCATCTCCTCGCCCTCCACCTCACGCTCAAATGATCCCCTTTCCCCGGAGCACGAGGACCGTAACAATCGCGCCCACAACCACCACAAGAAATCCCATCCAAAATGCCCAGCACATCCACGTCCGCTGCCTCGCCTTGCGCTGCTGGGACTCGAGCCAACTATCCCTGTTCCCCGTATTAGCTTCAATTGTCGTCCAGAACCGGAAACCGTTCTTTGGTCTTCCACTCAACGACACGCCCAGACTCAATCTAGACGTATTCAGGGTCCTTGTAAAGCGCCGGCTAGTGCGCTTCGAACACAGAGAATTTACATCGGGGGCAAAAGTTGTGGATTTTGGTGTTGGGGGGAGGGAAGGCGGGTGCGAGGAGAGTGCGAAGCGGAAACGGCTTGCTCTTCTGCTTGCGCGTTTGGAAGGCGGGGTGTTCGCTGCGAGGGCGAAGTGCGCGGAGCGAGGTGTTGAGGGGAGCGAAGGGGTGGGTGTGTGTGAGGACTGGGGATAGGAGGGTAGTTTGTGCAGCGCGATCATCTCCGGCTTCTCTTCTTCGGCATCAAAATACACACTCCTCGTCCCGCTCGTCGCTTGGCTCGTCCGGTCGCTCTTCTCCTTCCTCGAGACGAAAGCAAAGACAGTACTTGGTGCAGACAATGGACGAGTGAAAGCCATGGGAGGGAGCGCGGGCGATAGATGCGATGTGGAGGTAGGCGTTGTGATGGGCGAGTCTATGGGCGAGTCTATGGGTGAGGAAAGGGACACGACGTACGCATGCTTGATTCCCCTTGTGCCTTTTCCACTGTTCTCTGCGTCTTTGGCGAGCATGGCGGCTTCGTCGTTGTGCACTGCGACCGAGAAGCGACGCCAGAAGCTCGGGTCTTGGACCATGGAGGGCGAGTCTGATGTAGAAACTCGAAGATGGTAAGCCGGGATGCGTTTGCGGTGTGGTGGATGTTGGTGTTGGTGTCGAGAATTGAGGAGGAGAAGTTGGTATGGAAGATGGTGTGCGGAGGCAGTCGCGGTGCTGTTTGAAACTGGTACGGAATTCGAGGTCAAGTGAAGTCAAGTGGGGCCGGCTGGATATGAGTGTTCGTGAAGTCGAGTTGAGAAACCTCTGATGCCCGCTAAGCTGTCGTTTGGATCACCACCAGAACTAGAAGTTACGCCAGTCGACAAGGAGTAGTTGTGCATGCAATTTCGTGTTTGTCAGGTGCAAGGGCGAGACAATATCCGACACGGGTGTGATGGCGTTTTTGGAGGTTGTTGTGGTTCTCGAAATGAGTGTTGTGTTGCACTGCAACCCGAGATTGGTAGTGGGGAAACGTTTTGGGAGACTGCACTCGTTTTGGATTGAAAGATTGTGGTGCCGGGATGTACCACGGTGAATGTCGAATGAGCGTGTAAAGTTGGAGATGCGAAAGGAATGACGTGATGTTTGGGTGGAAGGCAGCTCGTCAAGGCGCAGACAGAAGAAGAAGTGAAGGTGAAGGAAAGTTGTTTGTTACATAGAGACTGGCCGTATTGCACCGCACCCCTAACACAACAGTGCGTACTATGGACCTGCGCACCTTATGACTGCCGCTCAGATCAACAGTACAACAATTCTCGACTGTGTTGTGTGCAGCGTTCACTGCAACGGGAATCCTTGTTTGACGAGGTGTCTAAGTGGGGCACGTGCTGTCCAATCAGAACTGTGCAAGAGCGTTCAGGACCCCCATCCAGACACCTCTGTGACAGCGCTGAAATTGCACAAGGACGAGTCGAGACAAGGAACAGGCTGGAGATGGGCAGGTGCTTGATCGTCGCTTTTATAAGGGCGATGCGCGGAAGGCTGAGGATTGACCGGCTGCTACCCGCGCCTGCAGGTACAGAAGGTTTGACGGCGGTTCTTCAGGCAACGAGCTGAGCTGAGCTGGGCAACGCGTGCGTTCCACCTTATGTTGGGAGAATCGGCCAAAATGCACCTCCCTTTTCGAGGTGATGGCTGTCGTTTTGAAACGAAAGCGCTAGGAGTGACCCGAGGCGAGGCAGGTGCACAGGCATCCACGGATGCTGAGCAAGATGTGTTCAATCCTCCGTTCAATCTCTGACCGTTGGGATTTCCTGGACCACAACTCCACAATCCTTGTCTTACTTGAGATCGTCATCTCGACACGCGTCCAGACCTGGCGACTGATCATGATGCCAAAAGAAAAGTTGCTGCCATTTTGGAAAGTGAACGTGCCACCAGAGCAATGGCCTGCCGAGTGTCCTGATTTCTTGAGCAACGTTAGCGAAAAGGACCAGCGCATCATTGGCACGTCAGACGAGGAGTACACGTTGCTGGCCTGGCCAGAAGTGCGGGAACTCGTCAGTACGGCAGTGCAACCTCAAGTTGGAAGCACAAGTACTGATGGCGGTTGATAGGGGTTGATCGCGTTGACAAGTTCCACCGCAAGCCATCAGAGCTGCGACGATACAGGGCATTCACGTACCGGTTGGTGAAAGAGTATGGCAGCATTATGAACTTCATCGTGAACGAGCGGCTGCATTGGGCGAGCATGCAACCGAAAGGCAAGCCGTTTGAGTTCGATGGTACTGCATACCTTTACAAGCACATAAGCGTTTACCGTCTAACGTGTCTCAGAGGACATCAGGATCCTGTACAACGACTGGCCGTATGGCATCGACCCAGACATTGTGCATCTCGTGGTGTGGACCAAGTTCGAGCTCGAGGACGATGAGGAGACTGGCCTCTGCACAGCCGAATCGCGTAAAGAGATCAACGACTACGTCCAGAAGACGTTCGCAGCCAAGGTCAAGGAGCTCGTGTGGTTCAAGAACTGGAAAAGCCTGAAGAGTGTGCACGCAGTCGAGCACTTCCATGTCATGCTCTACAAGCCGGACTGTGAGTTCCTGAAGGAGATTACCAACGGCGACGTGCCCATGACAGAAAAGTTTGACTGAGCGTCTGCGACTGCATTGATCTGGTATTCAAGCGAAGCATTCTATAGACGTAAGACACCCGGTATCGGGATAGACCTTCTGGTAGAGAATCAGGATTTGATCTGATAAGGGTACACGGCAGAACGGAGCACCCCTGTAAATCAGTTCCCAAGGCGAAAAATTGACAGGCGTCGTCTGCGCCACAACGTGTGGCGCTGGGCATTACCGCGGCATTTCAACAGCTCGACGACTACGGAAGGGGCGTTCGCAACCCATTTCAAACGCCTCAAGTGGCCTGTTATCATGACTTGGTGAACAATAGAAGGCGCTTACACACGACTTTCCTTCTTCTTCTTCTTCTTCTTCTTCTTCTCTTTGTTGTCGCTCTCGTCCCCACTTGCATCCCATCCCGCGCACGGCGCCCTGACCACAAAGCGGTGAGAGCGCAAAAAGTCAAGTCGCAGGGCTCCAGGGGCTCCACTTGTAGACAGCGCCGAAGAGGGTCGTCGAGTGCGTGTTCGCTCCTCACCTTCGAGCCTGCTTCTTCACAGTGTGCTCGCGTGCTGCTGTGACGCCAATTGCCCAACTTCGGCGATTGTTGTGCCTGAGAGTGCCTAGTAGGTGGGTGATAATTCTGCCTGCAGTACACATCTTCGCGCAGGAGGTCGGTATACGTTGGCAAGCGATACATAGCACATACATGAGTACTGACATGTCTTAGACTCGAACGCCTCGTATACCTCGCATTCTCGTTTACTTGTTCTCACTCGCGTCCGTCGCAGATCACACCGGCGCACCGCCACTGCACCGCGTCACCGCCCATGCGAACAGCCTCCTAAAGAGCCCCGCGACGCCCCTCGCTGAATCAACTTCAGCGGTGCACCATGTTCGGCTTCCTCACCAGCCGCTGGCAGTCGGCCACGCCCCAGGCGAAGACCACTCCGACCTGGTTCGCCCACTCCGTCTCGCCCATCCTGCTCTCGGTCGCAAAGAAAGCATGCACCCACCCGATCCACACCATCGTCACAATCGCCTTCCTCGGCAGCTACTCGTACCTGGGCGTCCTGGACAAGGGCCTGCTGGACACCGAGGATGCGCACACCGGGCGCGTTGACCTGCAGACACTGTTGGCTGGCAGCAAGCAGCTGCGCGTGGGAGAGGAGACGAACTGGCAGTGGCAGGTCGAGGAGACGAGCGCTGGCGTACAGGCGCGGGAGCTTGCCCTCATCACCCTCGTGTTCCCCGAGTCCAGCACCATCAACTCGGCGCCCTCGCAGCACTCGGTCCCGAGCAATGTCTCGGTCGAGCGCCTCCCCAGCTCCTCGAGCTCCTTCTCGACGCTGTCGCAAGACACCTCGCTCGCCTACTCGATTCCCTACACCGAGGCCTCGGACTTCCTCATGGCCATGCAGGAGATCTCTGCGCCCGCCGATGTCGCAGACGCCCAGGGCTCTGACAAGGAGGGCACACGCGAGGAGAAGAAGTGGATGATGCGCGCCTCCAAGAACGGCAGTGCTTCAGGGGGTGTGCGCAATTGGATTAACGATTCGTGGACTTCGTTCGTCGATCTGCTCAAGGTACGTCGATTGCCGAACCCTCACACGCGCGAACATGGCTAAGAAATGACTGGCAGAACGCTGATACAGGCGACATCATCATTATGGCACTCGGCTACCTCGCAATGCACTTGACATTCGTCTCGCTGTTCCTCGCAATGAGGCGACTAGGGTCCAACTTCTGGCTCGCGACAGCCGTGCTCCTCCAGTCGGCGTTTGCGTTCCTGTTCGCTCTCGGTATCACAGTCTATCTTGGTGTACCTATCAACATGATTTTGTTGTCTGAGGGTTTGCCTTTCCTGGTCGTCATCATTGGATTCGAGAAGCCTATTGTTCTGACAAAGGCTGTACTTTCGGCTGCCATCGACGCTCGCCGAGCTGCAGAGGACAACCGCGGAGAGCCCGTCACTATTCAGTCTGCCGTCCAGGTCGCCATCAAGAGGACAGGATTTGAGATTGTGAGGGACTACTTCTTCGAGATCCTGATCTTGGTCGCAGGAGCCATGTCTGGAATCCAAGGTGGACTGCGACAGTTCTGCTTCTTGGGCGCATGGATTCTGTTCTTCGACTCCATTATGCTTTTGACCTTCTACACCGCGATCCTTACCATTAAGCTCGAGATCAACCGTATCAAGCGCCACGTAGCACTGCGACGTGCATTGGAGGATGATGGCATTGACGGCAAGGTCGCTGAGAACGTAGCTCGCAGCAGCGAGTGGCCCAGCAACTCCGGCGATGTCCAGCTTCGCTCGAACACCACCACCATCTTTGGCAAGAAGATCACTGTCCCGAAGTTCAAAGTCATCATGGTTGCTGGTTTCTTCCTCGTCAACTTCCTTAACCTTGCTACCTACCGTTTTGGCCTTACACAGACCAAGGGTGCCCATGTATCCGGTGTTGGCGCCTCGCCTCCTCTTGATCCCTTCAAGGTTGCTGGAAGTGGACTGGTCCATATCCTCGAGCAGGCTAAGAGCACAGGAGTCACCACCCTTGTCACAGTACTGATGCCCATCAAGTACGAACTCGAGTACCCTTCCATCCACTACGCTGAGCCCAGCGTCATCGAGTCCGACTCGGCCTTCGGCGCAAACATCAGCAATCACATCGTTGACGGTGTTCTCAAGAGTCTTGAAGACCCGTTCCTCAGCAAATGGATCGTGCTGGCTCTTGTTATGAGCGTGGTGCTCAACGGCTATCTCTTCAACGCGGCCCGTTTGACTATCAAGGAACCCCACAAGGCACTCGAGCCGCCCTCGCCGTCAGAGATCCAGGACGGAGCTCCTTCCACCACACAATCCCGCATCCCCTCCATGTCTGTTCCTACACCCCCAAGGACCCCTGGCCCTGAGGATCAGGCTGGCCGTGGTGGCATCAAGCCACTCACAGAGATCGCGCCACGATCCATTCCCCCGCAGCAAAGACTCCAGGTCGACATTCCTGCCGGCCCTGCCGACTACCAACAGAAGCAGCCTAACCGATCCATGGAAGTCCTTGAGCAAATGCTGAAGGAGAAGAACGCGCCCAAGATGACCGATGAAGAACTGATCGCAATGTCGCTCAAGGGCAAGATCCCTGGTTACGCCCTCGAGAAGACCCTTGGTGACAAGACCCGCGCTGTCAAGATCCGCCGCGGTCTGGTATCGCGCACACACGCTACTCGTGAGACCTCGACGCTCCTTGAACGCTCGCTCCTCCCATACGAGAATTACAACTACGACCTTGTTCACGGTGCTTGCTGTGAGAACGTCATCGGTTACCTGCCTCTGCCTCTCGGTGTCGCTGGACCCATCCTTGTCGACGGCCAGAACTATTTCCTCCCTATGGCTACCACCGAGGGTGTCTTAGTTGCCTCAACATCGCGCGGTGCTAAGGCTATCAACGCAGGCGGCGGTGCCGTCACTGTTGTCACCAACGACGGCATGACTCGGGGACCTTGTATTGGATTTGACAGCTTGGCTCGTGCCGGTGCTGCGAAGAACTGGCTCGACTCTGAGGAAGGCCAGAAGACTATGGCCGACGCTTTCAACTCAACATCTCGCTTCGCCAGACTCCGAGCACTCAAGAGCGCCATCGCTGGCACAAACGTCTACGTCCGCTTCAGGGCCACTACCGGTGATGCCATGGGCATGAACATGATCTCCAAGGGTGTCGAGCACGCCCTGACCGTCATGGCTACTGACTGCGGCTTCGACGACATGCGCGTTGTGACTGTCTCTGGCAACTACTGTACTGACAAAAAGGCCGCAGCGATCAACTGGATCGACGGCCGTGGCAAGGGCGTCGTCGCCGAAGCTACCATTCCCGGCGCCGTCGTCAAGTCCGTCTTGAAGTGCGAAGTCGATGACCTCGTCCAAATGAACATCTCTAAGAACTTGATCGGCTCCGCCATGGCCGGTTCAATCGGTGGTTTTAACGCCCACGCCGCCAACATCGTCGCCGCTATCTTCCTCGCCACAGGCCAGGACCCAGCACAAGTCGTGGAAAGCGCAAACTGCATTACCATCATGAACAAGTACGTTCCTTTCCTCACCCCATCCCCTCATAGGTCCAAGCTAATCTCACCCAGCGTAAATGGCAACCTCCAAATCTCCGTCTCCATGCCCTCCATCGAAGTCGGCACCATCGGTGGCGGGACAATCCTCGAGCCCCAATCCGCCATGCTCGACCTCCTCGGCGTGCGCGGCGCGCATCAAGAAACACCTGGTGACAACGCGCGCCAGCTCGCCCGCATCATTGCCGCCGGCGTACTCGCTGGAGAGCTGTCATTGAACAGCGCGCTGTGTGCGGGACACTTGGTCAAGGCCCATATGGCACACAACAGGAGCGCCGTCACATCAAGGGCGCCCACTCCTGCGCCGGCTACACCAGCCGGTAATGGAACGCAGACACCCATTACCAACGGTGGGCCTATTCTAAGGCGTTAGGGGGTGACCACAGATAAAAGTTGAGGCATGAATGGCGTATGGGAGTTGTTGCATAGACCGTGGAGAAAAGCGGTTTGTTGGATGGATCGCATATATACGTGCTTTGAGCAAGATCTTTAGGGTGATCGTGAGATTGCGATTGTACATAACAGTATTGCGAGAAAATATATCCCCTTATCTGTTCATATTACGGCCTGGCCTAGATACATGTTTAAGCCCGGTTGACGAAGGCACCATTGCCGTGAATCTCGTGGAGCTGACACTGTGACGTCCAACCCATCAAGAAAGGTACATTCACATGTACACATCGATCCCGCCAGAGCTTGCTAACTCTAAAAACATGCATGTCGCAGTGTAACTTATCTCCCGATTCAACTTGAAGCCTCTAAAGCAAAACCCCTCCACCTCTGCCGCACCAGAACACACTTAGCGATGGCATTGCGCATTAGCGTTCGCATCCTCGTCACCGCACACTAAACGTATCCACTCGCACCTTGGTGTTGTGTCTCAGATGTAGAAATCCGCCTGTTGTAGACTTTACCGGTCACCCAAGTCTGCCATCGATCTGTCACAACGCCTAGTTCTGACGATCTGGATTTCAATCTTCGTCTCAATCCGCTTGTGTCAAGGAAACCCACGAGAGCTGGGAGTTAGGCAATGTGAATAGTAAGTTTGTGGAAGGAATAATGCTGAGGAAGGATTCTTATGACACGTACTGGGCGTTGATGTCTGCGGGACGCACTATACGAAGTAGGCGGGTAGGGATTGCAGGCTACTAAGACTACATAGGTTATTGCGTTCCATGTGGACGGGACCGTCACAGCAGATGAGTCGAAGTCCAGCCTCAAAGACGTTGTTCATTCGCGCAAGCAGCAGCATGCATCTACAAATAGTCTAGAAGTAGGCTGCTCCTCTAAATACACTACGACTACCCGTAGGCTTCAGTCAAATGCCAGTTGCAACCGATAGAGACAGAAACCACACAAATATGCCATAAGTGGAGAGCAGATGGAAGGAGGTTTCCGATTCGTACACAAAGATAGATAATAGAGAAAAAGGAGAAGAACGCCTCATGATGTCCGAGTTCATGTCCATGCCAGTCATGCTGCCTCAAAGCAGCTGTAAATCAAACGCTTTACCAATCCTTCGAAAGAGGTGCTAGTTGCTATAAGCCGCCAGCTGTGACCTCGCCACGTAGCCCACTGGGTGCAGGACCCTTCTTGCCACGTCGACCAAGTAAGGTGGCATTATCCAGGCTGAGTTCGAATGCGCCCTTGTTCTTGACTTGTCGCTTCGCGGCCGCAGCGACGGCGGGAGGATGTTGGCCGTATCCGCGCTCCTGCTGTCGGGACTGAGGTGGAGCTTGTTGCTGTCGGGCTTGTGCGGCGGCGGACAATGTGGTGTTGCGCATCTTCTGCTCCATCGTGGAGACGTCGGCACCCTGAGACTTTGGAAGCTTAGCAGGTGGATGCTGTATGGAAGGGTCATAAGGTACCGATTCATTGCTAAACTCATCGTCATCCTCGTTCTCATCGAGTGCGTTCAGCGAGTTCATGGCATTCGCGCCACGGTAGCCCTGCTTGAAGTTCTTTCTTCTCTTGCCCTCCTCTTCTTGTCTGTGTACAGCATAACCGACATCAAACACCTCTCGAAGGTTGACTGCACCGGGCGAACGGAAGTCCCTGCGACCAGCGCCAGGGGACTCGAGGTAGGCGTACTGCTGCTGCAATTTGGGGTCCATGCGAGATGCTGCAGGGGTAGCCAGAGGAGGAGCGTCCAAAGCAGAGTACGTCGGCTCGTCTGCCTCGCGGATCCAAGGGTGGTTGAGGAACTGGTTGATGTCGTATCGCTTCTCAGGGTCTACTGTCAGCAGGTGAGACACCAAGTCTTGCGCAGACTTGGAAATATCGTCCCACCACGGCGACAGGAAGGTATATTGACCGCGAGCGACCTTTTCTGTCAGAGTCTGGATAGACTCGTCGTAGAATGGAGGGAAGCCGCAAAGAAGGGTGTAGAGCACGCAACCCAATGCCCACATATCGACACTCTTGGAGTAACGTTCGTCCTTGACGATCTCAGGAGCAGTGTAGCCGACGGTACCGCACGGTGTCATGGTCTGGCTGTCCCAAATGACCTTACTTAACCCAAAGTCAGCAACCTTGATGACACCAATACCTCCAGCGCCCTTGCCCTTGACGAACCCGCCTTCGTCGGCCTTGTCCTCGTCATCCGGGCCTCGGGGCTTGGGGTTACGTGTGGGGATGAAGGGTGTGGGGTAGAACAGCAAGTTCTCGGGTTTGATATCTCTGTCACATGACGTCAGTGATCAGGATTTGGAGAGTGCGGCTGAAGGGCGCAAACCTGTGAACAACACCTGCTTCCTCATGCAGGTATTGCAATGCTTTGGCGACCTGGATGATGGTGTGTCGTGATAGATCTTCGGAGAAGTACGTCAGACGAACGATTTGATGGAACAGTTCACCGCCGGGACATAGCTCGAGAACGATGTAGTAATATTGCCGGGATTCGGAGAAATCGATCAGTTTGACGATATTGGGGTGGTCGAGTTGTCGCATGATCTGTACTTCCTTGAGGATGTTCGCTCTCTGTAGGACATTACGTCAGCGCCTGTGCTGTTGTGTCGAACGGGACGGGGGCGAGAGGATGATACTATCGAGTCGAGCATCGCATGCAGGGTAAGATCTCACATCAGCTGCTTTGGGTGTTTTAAAGTCCGGATGCACATGCTTATCGCCCTAAACACGAGACATCGTGTTGGTAACGTCCAAAATCGCCGAAACTAAATGAAACGCGATGCGGTAGGAAAGGAAGGATGACGACACTAAGAAATGGGCAGAAGAGGGCAGGGCTGCTGGGTAATACTAACTTGCTGTGAGTTCATCTCGAACTTGCGGACTACCTTGATGGCGACCTCTCCCCATTGCCCGGTAGTATCTCGTGCCCGGTATACGTTGCTGAAGGCGCCGTCGCCCATCTTCTCGAGGATCTGCCATCGTTCAAGACCGGGGTACTTAGGTAGCTTTCCCTTTGCCTCGCGCTCCTCAGCGACAATGCGCTCTAGTACTTCAGGGTCGACCCCCTTTCCCTGGGCAGCGGCTTCTTTCTTCTGCTTCTGATTGGCCGCTCGGTCTGCCGCAGCACCGGCCTGTGCTGCAATGTTGCGGTTGTCGCCTCCAGCAGCGACTGAGTAATCACCGTGAGGAGCAGCAGCATGGTGCAGCGGCTTGTGGTCCATTACCGGCTCCGAGATGCCATGGTGAACTGGGTCTGCTCGATGTTGTTGTGCGTGAACAGGCGAAACATTTGTCGTTGGCTCGGCGTTCTGGCGTGCCTGCTTGCCATGGCGCAGGAAATTCTTAAAGTTCTGTATCGCAGCCATGCTTAGTTGTTATGTGCAAAAGTGAAACAGAACTTTGTCCTCGTGATGTTGGCGGGGTATATGAAGACACAAAGTGTGGAGAGAATTGTGAGGAGCAGCCGCGTGCAACTTCAGCTAGACTGTGTGCAGCGCGTAGTGTGACGGAATAATTCGTGAAAAGAGATGGGGAAATCAGAGGAAAGACGACTGGCTGACAAGGACAGAGGTCATGCAGCGTGGTTGCTAGAACAAGAGAGAGTGGAAGGTATGACGCAGATGCCGGTCCGTGCACACCCAAATGACGATGCATTCGACATCATCGCAAACAAGGCTCGACCACCCGCAGTCCAAATCAATATGCCAGACGATGCAGAGGAAATGAGCTTGCGCCGCCCCTGGGTCATGCCAATCGCTGCACGCCACGAATAGAGCCGCAAAAGACTGAAAGTGTCTTACCTCAATCACAGGCATCTTTCTGCTACGTCCAGCGCGATTCGACGAGTTATGGAACTGCATGTACCAAAATGTACTCCACGAATTCCTGACTCTCACGTTTGTTTCGGTACGCCTGCCGTGCTACGACGTGGGGCTTGTGGCCGTCGACGTGTGGAGTTATGACGCTCTGTGAAATCGCGTACCGTCTGGGAGATCTCGCAGGTTTCCCCCTAGTACAGTACAAGGGTGTCCAGCTGAAGCTGGCTCGCGATGGAGAAGTCGTTCGAGACAAGAGATCAGTCTCCTTTCGTTCGTCTCCGTTGGGGGATTCTAGTCTCTCGTGTAGGCTGGGTCAGCGCGCTTGGATCTCGATGATCGCCTTTAAGGAGGAAGAGGTCAAAACAAGAAAGCGCAGCGAGGTACGAAGTGTGAAAAGTTGCAGAGATGCGGTGTAGCAACAAGAGATCCGTTGCATGTATATCTAGTTTTGTCTATTCGTCTGTTGAGGCGTCTCGGCGTCCTGAGGACGCACTACTCCGCGCGAACACTGCGCAACAGTGGGTTGGCCGCGGAATCTGCGGCATGGCAAGGCAGTTCCAAATGATAGTCTTCCGCGTCACATTGGAAGCCTCATGCCTACAAACGGCAGGGCCGCTAGTGAGTGTAGTCGCTCGCCGCCACGCTGCACAGCACCCTCTTTGCACCTTGGAAGCATGCCAAAAGTGGCTCTAAACGGGCTCAACGGCAGTATCTCAGACCAAGGCAGCACCCCTGACTGCGTCTGCCATGGAAGTGACCGCCATGTTCCGCTGCATGCCTGCACACATCCTCACAACACCAACCTCTGAATTTGCCCAAACTTCAACGTTCCCATATGCAGGGTCTAATCAGTGTGGAGGGTCCTTACGTCACCGATGATCCATTCTGAAACACACATCGACGTTCCCCAGCTACCAATACATAATACGAGAACCCTGCGCGCATCATTCCTCGAGCCACGAGACAGACTACAAATCTCGGCTTGCGTAGCTGGTCTGCACATCACTGTCTATCTATTGACTACTCTCCTCGGACGCGCTGCATCTGGCGCTTACCATCATTCATCATGACTGTATGCAGGGTAAGCCTAAGTGGGGTACGAATATTGAAACTCTTTGATGACATCGTTCCTGAGGAGCTTAAAAACTGCACCATACTTTAAGTCTCACATGGAGCCAAGTTCTAATTCTACCGACTTCGTTGAGGCTCTGACATGCCGTGAGAAGGATCTCGTCTCGTGCGGCCGCGTAACAAAGCGAGCAAAACCTGATGGACGAGGCTGCTAGCTGGGCAACCGGACCTTCAGCCTACCACTGACCACGCGTTCACTCGTCCATCAAAGATCGAAAACGCAAACGCGAATCTATCCATCTCTGTGACTAGGAAGCTTGACTCAGACGCTCCAAGGTTCAATGCCCGCAAGTTTAACTTCCCCAGATGCTGTAAGGATTACACGGCATCGATCCACTCCTGTCCACAACACGCCACGACGCACGATGTCGACCTCACAGCCAACGTGAAGTTTAGACTCTATGACGCACATCACTAAGATATTCAGCTTCATTGCAGTGAGCCTTGTTTGACTATACCTTGACCGCTGCACCTCTGCATCTCCGCCGCATTATGCATCGCATACAATACATCCGACAATATATTGCTATAACGTACTGTACAAGCGAGTCGCGCACCCCACCAAGATTCTACCTAACACCAACTATCACCAACCATGCCACCACAACGCAACGTGAAATATACTTATACTGAAGGCAGATTGCAGCTTGCAATCAAAGCTATCACATTGCACCAGGTACAAAGCGAGCGACGCGCTGAAGTCATGTTTAACGTCCTTCAATCTACCCTACGAGATCGACGCGCCGGACGACTGTCTCGACACGATTGCCAGCCCAACTCTAAGAAGCTCTCAGAGATAGAAGAGGAGGTTATTGTTGCACGTATACTGGACTTTGATTTGAGAGGGTTTCCACCTACAAAGGCTCTCGTTAGAGATATGGCAGATAAACTACTAGCTGAGCGTGGTGGAGAGCCTACTGGCAAGCAGTGGGTTAACAACTTTATAAAGCGTTCTGATGAGCTGAAAACGCAATGGAATCGGCCCTACGATCAACAGAGAGCTCTCTGTGAGGACACAACAGTAATAATGCCCTGGTTTACGCTTGTACAGAACGTCAAGGCCAAGTACGGTATACAGGACGCAGATATGTACAACTTTGACAAGACTGGCTTTCAGATGGGTGTTATATCATCTCAGAGGGTAGTTACCAGTATAGAGGCTACTGGAAAACGGAAACAGATACAGCCAGGCAACCGGCAGTGGATAATGCTTATCCAAGGAGTCAATGCCCTAGGGTGGGCAATCCCGCCCTTTCTCATCTTCCCTGGAAAGGTACTTATTGACACCTGGTACGATGACGCTCCTAACAACTGGATCATCAATGTCAGCAGTAGTGGCTGGACGTCAAACAAGCTTGGATACGAGTGGTTGAAGCACTTTGATAGGCATACAAAGGCCCATACTGTAGGAGGATACCGTCTGCTTATTTTGGATGGCCACGGTAGCCACAGCTCGCTTGCTTTCCAAGAGTACTGCAAGGAGAACAACATTATAGCTCTCTGTATGCCTCCCCATTTGTCCCATCTACTACAGCCACTTGATGTGGGTTGTTACTCGCCGTTGAAGAGGGCATATGGGGATGAGATCTCGGCCTTGGCACACGTCCATGTCTCTATTGTCAAGAAAGAAGCATTTATACCAGCGTTTCAACGGGCCTACAATTGTACGATAACAAAGGCAAATATCCTATCTGGTTTCCGCGCTACTGGCCTAGTACTGTATAATCCAGATGCAGTACTATCGAAGCTTGATGTACAGCTGCGTACGCCAACACCAGCAGCAGCAGAGGACCTCCCGTGGCTTTCTCAAACACCAAGCAACGTCAAAGAGATAGAGGCTCAATCAACGCTTATTTGAGATAGGATACGACGTCACAAAAGCTCTTCACCAGCTTCTATCATAGAGTTGCTCAACAGGCTTGAAAAGGGCTCTGCAAAGATGGTGCTCAACATGGTGTTGATGCGCAAAGAGCTTGCCAACCTTTGGCAGGCAACAGAGATAGCAACAACGCGTAAACACAGAAAACGAAGGTACATTAGGACTGAGGAGACCCTGCCAGTAGGGGAAGTAAAGGAATTACTTGCTACAGATAATGGTGGTGGGCAGGAAGAAGGTGGAGAGCCCTTGAAGAGGGTGCGCGTGCAGAGGCGCTGCGGGCATTGCAACAAGACTGGCCACAACTCGCACACCTGTAAGGTAGAAATATTAGATACAGTAGATAGCGATGTTTCTGAGTAATACTACACTATTTGAGATAATACAGTATATATATTATAGCGTTGTAAGGCATTGCTGTAATAGTCGGGATTTTGGTAAGGTGCGCGACTCGCTTGTACAGTACGTTAATTCATCCGTATTTTCACATATGACCATAGGACCTTGAAAACAAGTTCTCCCGGGCCACCTGTCATCTGTCATGGGACCATTTTGAGAAAGCTGTTATACACCTTCCTGTTTTTGGTAACCACATCTTCTACCAGGCTAGGCTTAATCTAGATCTATTTGCTCTCTCTCTCTTTGTTGCATGAACAACAAACTGGAGACAGGATTCTGGTACAGTACTAAGACTAAATGTAACGACGCAGGCCAGTAGGGAAGATGTCCGAAGTAAGTGTGAGTCC